GTAGGTTACTACAGGTGTGTGGGCTCATCAGCCTAGCAGTGCAACAATGCAACAGTACCCCTCAGGTCGCCGTATTGTGTTTCCAGGGCGATAGGGAAGAACGGATCTGGATGACTGGGTTGATGGTAACACAAGGAGGGGAGGGATCTTTTGGGGGAAAGGGGGTACGTGTGGGAGGATGTACTGCGTTGCGGGACGCAACGGGGAAGAGAGAGGATAGAGAGAGGGAGAGAGGGAGAGGAGAGGTTGGGAGAGGGGCGGCGGGGGTTCCAGGTGAGAGCGTGAGAGGGCGAGAGCGAAAGGAGAGAGAAAGAGAGAGAAGTGCGTGTATGGGAGTGTGCGAGTGTGGGAGGCATCCCCTGTGTCGAGCCCATTGTTAACGACACCGCAAGAAGGGTTGGAAGAGTTGAGCGACCAGGGCTCGCGTTACACAAACCACCTCTGCGTGTTGGATCCGCGCAGGGGTCGAGGGCTTCTGACTGGCCGCTGCAACGCTGCACGTCGAGCCGACCAGGTTGCGGAGCGAATCAGGCGAGTCGCGGCGGGCGCTTAAGAAGATGAGAATCAACTGTCCTAAGCTGACCGCCACTCCGAGTCCCAAGTGTCGGCCGGCCCCCTCTCTCGCTATGGGCGAGCCTCTGCCTGCGGACGTGCGTACTCAGTACGTAAAACGGGGTCGACGGGACCTTGTGGTAACAACTTGCGAGATGAGCCATCCGAGAGGGGACGGAGATCGCCCGACGATGTCATTCCTGCGAAAGCAGAAGAAGCCTTCCCGGACTTGCGACGTCGGTGAGGCCGACGTCTTATAGGTACGTCTATAATATGTCTCGATCCATCAGATGTATAGGTAGGTAATGTCGACAGGTGTGCCTTTGCCTACCTACACACCCTATACCTAGTATGTGCACCGATACGATGTAGGTATGTAGGCACGACATGTGTACATCGCCGTTCTGGTGAGTGTGGGGTGGGTGACCATCGTGTGTGTGTGGGTGGGTGGGTGTCCATTATAATATCTGTGTCAACCATCATCATACATATTAGCCAATCTCTGTCGGACGTCCAATACATACTGTGCACCGAGCACGTTGGTGTACGCGCACTATTAGGTATGTCTTGTGTGCCGGTTGGTTATGGTAGGGCTGAGCTCGTCATGTCAGCACTCTCTCCTCCTCTCGCCCCCAATCCTGTTGTTGATATAGGTACTCATAATATCATCTTGGAACTTGGCAAATGAGACGAAAATTTACAGGGCACCCGTCAACAATCCCGACGTGGCCCCGACGACGCTTTTTGGTCGTGGGGTAAGCACCTTCTTTCCAGCCCTGCAGCTCCCATCCTCTCTCTCCATCGTCCGTTTTGTCGCTCGAAGCGGTTCCGGTAAGCCGTAGGCAGGCTGTGATATACCTACCTGCATTCTGTTTCCGCATATGGATGCGTGCGTGCTGTATATATTGATATCTGTGTATCCGTACGTGTAAGCACACCTAGGTATACAATGCGAAATCCACACCTACCTACTGCGTATTCGCGCGTACTGGGTGAGGCAGCGGGAACTACTCATACACACGACCTTATTACCACGCCCGCGAACAGACGTGCGCGATCTTGGGTGTGGATTATGCAACGGAAGTTCCTGCGTCACAAGGTTACTCCCGCATGTGTGTAGCCATGTGGTCGGGCTGTGCTGTCGGGGTTGTCGATCCCATACCTTGCCATCTTGCCATACCCTACTAGGTAGATGATGTGTACGTTGACAAGAATACCTACTGCGTCGCACCGTCTACCTACCTAGTTGGTGCACACACGACAAGTGACAAGTTTGGGTTGCATCAAACCCGACCGACTTGTATCATTGATCTACATATGTCCGTATGTATGTATCCCGTGTATGCGTGCTGTGCATCGATATTAGGTAGGCTGTGGTGAGATAGCTTCGGCATTTGCTGTCCTAACTAGCAGAGCCCCTTTGCACCGGGTTCCGACAGGTTCTTCGGTTTTTTCCCCCTCCAAGCGAGACGAGACTTCGGCTATACATGAAGTAAGACATGCTTGTTGGACGAAGCGCGCTTATCGTGGGTTGCGCAAGGCGGACTACTTTTTATACGTGTTACACGTCTCTTCCCGTACAACGTCGGCGAGGACTTGATAGCAGAGACGGCCGATCGATGCCGTGTCAGCTTACCTCTAGGTAACAGGTGATACCAGCCAACAATCTTTTGAGTCGGAGTCTACACCCACGTCTCTTCGATTTACTCTCCGCTCCCTCCCCCCCCCGCTTCTCCGAGAGGTGTTGGCCGAGAGCTGACGAAAGCTGCAAGTTGCATAGAGAGTTTGCCGCGTCTGTAATACCTCGAGACAACTGACAAGGCTGTCGAGTGTCACGTCGGCTAATATTAGGCACCTCGAATGTGCGAACCGATAGTACCGCCCATGTACCTAACGACAAGAGACAATGTAAATGGAGGAAGAGGTAGGACTGTAGGACGATGTAGGTAAGTTTTCGACCTGCCGAGACCAACAAAGCAGGTATAATATCCATCTGAATCCGTCGACGGGTAGAGGTAAGGCGATTGGGGCGGTTGTGCATGTACCGAGGTCTGGACGTATGCACATACCTTACCAGAGGTAAAATCTTACCAACGCCTAATACCGTATTCGGGTACCACCGGTGATATCCCGTCCTCCCGCGTCGAACCCCCCCCCCTCGGTCCCCGCGTTTGGCTGCTCTCCTCACGCTCCGTATTGTGCACGTCTAAGTAGTATTCGCTATTCGTGCCAGATACCCCTGTTCTCGGATGTGGTCAGGGCCGGAACTTTTCATCCAGAAGACGAGGTTATCTATTATATAATACACACCTAAGCAAGCAAGTACTCATAAGGCACCATCGCGGGTCCCCTTATTCCTCCTCTCCCCTAGCCCCCAGCGACGAACCCCGTTACCGCAAACGGGATCCCAGGAAACGATATCGAATACTTGGGTTTTGTCTAATAATAGGGCCATCCCGTCACAGGGATACTGCCTGTATCTCCGTACTACGTAGTACTCTCTCCCGGGGGTGCTTAATGTGTCGCTCGTCGGCGCTGTGTACGCGTAGGGTATGTAGTATTAGGTAGGTACCTAGGCATATATGTATAGAGAGCGAACCCTGAAACCATCCCCATCGACAATAGTGCGGCGTACCTTGGCTAGGTAGAGGAAGAAGTATATTTAACGTCACGCATTCTACCTAAACTAGATAATATCTTGGCTAGGTGTGTGCATAGCAGGACGCCCATACCAGGCCAAGCCACACATGCGGCAGGATGGTCTCGAAGTATTACTCATACATGTGTACGAATGCACTGCCTAGTGCCACGTTGTAAAAAAAAACCGCCCCAAAGAGAGAGGAAAAGACGTTTCATTCCGCTAGCAAACGGAGGACGGCGCAATGCGCGGCCGCATCGGCGTCCTGCCCAATCGGTAACGAATCCACCAGGTCGGGCCATCGAGGTCGCTGTATAGGTACCTCCTCTCCTAGGGGCCATGTGCCTGTGCATGCAGGCGAGAATGCGTAATACCTCCCCAGACCTACGATTGGAAACTCACTGTATGTGTATGTCCATACACGCCTCAGAATGTCCGGATGTCCATAGGGTATATCGGGTGCATTGGTAGGTATTTCGGTAGCTTGTAGGGGGGATCGCGAGGTGGAGGGTAGATATCCCGCAGGAGGATCGCGCAATCTTCTTCACTCTTATGCTGTTGCCGTTGTCGATCTCGTTACTGATACGTCTCTGCTCCTCGGCCCCTTCGACACAATCCGATGCCAATGCCAAAATCCGTTCCCGAGGCTTGCTTGCATGTACATATGCACGTACGTAGATTCGAGAGTAGCGGCATGGCAGTGCTGGCCATCTTGAAACCGTTGGATCCTCTTCCCAGGAGCCGGTTCAGTCGACCACTTGCAGGCAGCAAAGGTTCGCCTGAGCGGCTACCTATCAGGCGGATTATCGACGAGACGCGCACAGCTCTTCAAACCAGGCGGTGCTATATATGTGTACACAAGCTATCTTAAGGACTTCGCCAATTTATTTCCTACAGCAGACAGCGGCCGGTGGGCGTGGACGTAGGTGGGTAGGCAGGTGTTATTATTCACCCAGCTTTGAATAGGAACGTTCTCCAGTGGGACGACGCGGGGGCTAGGCCCCCAAATCCCCACGTAGTCGCATAGCTCTCCTACATCCCATGAACGCGCCTAACTAGGTACTTACCAGAGGTATGTACCTACCGAGGTGCCCAAAGAGGAGGTACCTAAGATGGGTACCATCTCCGTACCATCGCTCCGTAGCACGTCGGTGATAGACGGTCCCCACCCTCAGTGGCCGGTAGATGCACGACCAGCCACTAAGTGCATACCCCAGCACACTAGTGCATATGTGCACGTATGCGCTACGTGGGAGGGAGGTACCGAGCCAGAGGTAACCTCTACCTACAGCTACCTGGCCTAACCTCTTGGACCGAGGCGGGCTCAAGACCCTGCGTTGGTGACATCGCCTGCCTGCCTACCCATGTAACACACTTACACCCGCCGACCCAGCACAGAGCTCGAGTCCGCCCGAACCCGACCAACAAGACTCATCATCTTCGTCCAAGAGAAACGCCACTCCCTCTGAGTGAGAGCGATTGGCAAACGTACGGACATGCTGCGGACACATTCTTGGCCAGACCTGCCTCCTCCCAACGGCCGGCCGGTCCAGCCAGACTAGTTAGTCACCGCGTAGTCGACGAGACTCAGCCGTCCCGTTCAGTCCGGAGGTCTGCTACCAACATACATGCTCCTTGCGCCCGCCTGAGAGGGAGGGAGGGAGCGCAGAGTCCTGATTTCTTTCCTTCACGTCGTGTCGCCGGCCTGGCTGAGATGGCTGGGGGGAGATCCCCCCTCTCTCCCCCCTTGCCCTTCGTTTTGGGCACACGCCTAGGAAATCACAGTCATCACGAGGTAGACTTGTAAGCGTGAGATTGTTCTCGGGATGGGCGACTGGAGGGCCGGGAGAGCAAAAAAAAAAAAAAAGATAGATTGTAGCCTATGCTAAGCATTCCGTTGGAGCATGCTTCATCGTCTCCCGACGGAATACACGAACTAACAAAGCCAAGGACGGTGTAGAGAGAACAAGAAAAAAACAAGCCAAGCTAGCCCTGCCCTGCCTCATTTTGCTTACACCTCCTAGTACGTGAACCAATGCCAGGTATGTGCCGAAAACCGCCCTAAACGCCTAACAGCTCTCCCTCCCCCCCTGGCTGGAATAAGCTTCTGTCGAAGGGGGAGGAGGGGAAGCCGACGGACAAAGGTAGAGATAGTAATAGTACAACAGTGAGTAAAAGTAGAAATCTTGCTCTTCGGCGTTTCGATCTCACCCGCGAAGAAAAGAAAAACAAAAAAAAGAAGAAGCAAAGCCAAGACAGAAATCGTAGATCCTGTCAGATTGGAAAAAGAAAAGTGGGTTGGAGAAGAAGGGGGGGGAGGGGAAACCAATCTCTATGCTGTTCTTTTTCCAAGTGGAGAAAACCGTCCCTAGAAACCTAGGAGAGTATGTATACAAGCAGAGAAGAAGAAGAAGAGAAATGGGAGAAGACGGAAAATACGTCGAAGAATCTGGGAATCGAATGAAGCGAAGAGAAGAAAAAGACGAAAAAAGATCGCAGTAAAAAAAAAAAGAACCCCTCCAAAATCCGTAAATGGTTTCAACTCGTTCCTTATCCGCCATTCCATCCCTTCGTAGTCGTATTCGTCGTTACTATCGTCGCAGCAGTACAAGGGGGAGCCAACAAAAGAAAAGAGCCAGAAGAAGGAGAGAAGCCCATCGGTTCTCCCGTCATCTCTTCGTGAACGGCATCGGCGCTAAGAGATTGCTGCTGCTGCTGCTGCCTCCGCCGCCGTGCGACATGGCCATTGGCGGCAGCTGCTGGGCGCCGCCCATGTGCGCGGGCGAGCTGCCGAGGATCGCGCGGGGCGGCGGCGGCGGCGGCGGCGGGCCCGGGTACGCCTCGTACGCGCCGTCGGCGCGCAGGTCGAGCGTGCCGAGGTCGAAGCGCTTCGGGCAGCCGTCTTCCATGTGTCTAGGCGTGCGCGCGCGCGCGTCAGCGTCTGCGGACGAGCAGGACAGGAAGCAGAAGTAGAAGAGTAAGAATAAGAAGGGGGGGGGAAAACTCACCGCCGCAGCGTGTCCTTGCGCGCGAACATGCGGCCGCAGTAGTCGCAGCCAAAGTTCTTCTCCTTCATGTGCACGCTCTGGGTGTGGCGCTGGAGGTCGGTCTTGCGCACGAACTTCTTGCCGCAGTCGGGCACGCCGCACGGGAACGGGTACTCGCGCTTCTCGTCGTGCGTCTCCAGGTGCGCCTTGTAGTTGTAGCTGCGGCTGAACAGCTTGCCGCACCCCTTCACCTCGCACTGGAAGTTGGCCTCCTCCTTCGTCGTCATCTTGCGCGGCTGCCGCCGCTGCGTCCGCGGCACCCGGAGCTGCTGCTGCGACGCCGCCTGCGCCTGTGCCTGTGCCTGTGCCTGCATCTGGTGCTGGTGCGGGTGCTGGTGCGGGTGCGGGTGCTGGTGCCGCCGGTGCGCCTGCTGCGGGTCCCCCGCGAACCCCGCGTAGTACGGGTCCGCCGACTCGAGCGCGCCGTACTCGGACTTGGCCCACGAGCCCGAGGGCACGTCCGAGAGGTAGCCCGTGCTGCCGGCGGTCGAGCCGTAGCTGCCGGGCTCGAGCGGCATCGTGTGGGCGGAGCGGGGCGAGGGGTACTGCGACAGCTCGGCGCCGCTGCTGTAGTCGGCGGCCGTCGCGGCGGCGCCCTCCATCTTGACGCGGGGGATCGGCGAGACGCTGTGCGAGTACGTGAAGGCGTGCTGCCGGGCGGACGGGTCCGGGGAGCGCGAGGCGACCGAGGAGGAGGAGAGCTGGGGCGGCGCCGAGGGGGCAGACGGGTGGTGGGGAGGGGTGCTGCTCGAGAGCGCGGACGCCTGCGCGTGGTGAGGCGGGTACAGCTCGTGGCCGTACGGCGCGTGCATGTTCGGCTCGTAGTGGGCGAAGGTTTCGTAGTCCGCCGACATGATGCTCGGCGCGCTCGTCGTCGACGAGGTGTGTATTACCGCGGTCCCACTCCACCCAGCTGAGGTCATCACGTCCAGGGGTGGCAACGAGTTCTCGGAGTCCATATGGTGAGGAGGCATCGCTGCGCAAGACGGCTGCTGCTCGTACATGGAGGCAACCTTGAAAACGGGGTCTACGAAGTCCGGCGAGGGATAGTCCAGGGGCGGGCTGTCGGAGCAATTTGTACTTGGAGGTGACGCCGGCGACCTGGTCAAGGATGGAGGTGAGAGATCCATTACGGGGCTGATCACACGCAGGGACATGTCCCAACAGCCAGGAAGGTTGGTTATGAAAAAAGAGGCACGAAGGGGAAAGGGGGGGTAGGAGGGGGGCCAGAGAGAGGTTAGCGAGAGAGAGAGAGAGAGAGAGAGGAGTGATAGCAGTAGCCCGTGGGACGAAATAATCTTGGATAGTCCGGTGAGAGTGGAATAGGAGCGACTATTCCAGTCTTGCTCTCCGTCTCCTCTGGAGCTATCTATGTATCTGACGGGGCTAATAAATTCGAGGCTCGATTCGAGGTGTGTCGATACGGAAACGGCTGCGGGAGGACGAGGGGATGGGTAAGCATAGTTATACAGACAAGCTGTCCCTCGAATATAAAAAGCCTCGGCGTACACCCCTACTAATAAGATGTCATAGGAGCCTGGCGGTTGGTGTAACGATAGGAACCACAACTGAGAGAGATAGGCAGAGAGAGTGGGAGGGAGAGTAGGAGGAGTGAAGTATGGTGTACTCTATATAACTGGAGTAAGATAAATATAGTGAGGTGCACACGCACTCTCTCTCTTACACACACGTACATACGTACATACGTACATAGACCGTACGCCAGAGGAGCACAAGCGCGATGCGTCCCAAGGCAGATTCAGCGGATGAGATTATACATAGAGTGGTAGTACCTCAGACATAGTACCGGGTATGGTAACTGGGGTGGGAGCAGAGGTGTGGGCCACACGATACCTTTCGTAAGGCGCGGTGACCCAGTTTTCACTTCTTTCGTCTTGTCATATCTGGTAAAGTGGTAGTATATCCAATCGAGGATATACAGGGGGGGTGTACATACAGAGATAGGTAACTCGATTGAGGATGCCCGCAGTAGTCTCAAGTGTGTGGTGGTAGTGGTAGTGGTGGTGGTGGTGGTGACGACGATAGCGGTGGGTGGTAGGGGCCGTGGGTGAATCCTTGAGCCACCAGAGCAACAAGTAGTACCAGAAATACACCCGTATTACATACATACATCCCATTCGAGGTCGTAGGCATTGCTACCCCCTGCTTATGGGCTATGTGCGCATATAGGCATGTATGTTTGTGTATGTTGTAGATATAACTGCGAGGATGTGTACCGCGAGCCCCAGCTGTCGAAAGGCATGCATACACGCATGCGCACATCGAGAAATGTACATTGGTTTCACTCACTTACACTTGCCCAGAGATACGTCGTACTCACTCGCCCTGTCTCTCTGTCTCTCTTTCTGACATACACACACACACTTACACAACCCGTACATAACGTCAGACTATGCCTGCCGGGTCCCTCACCCAAGAAGTACTCTTTTTTCCATTCTTAGAATGAGCCAACAAAGTCCGAGCTGAGAGAAGAGTGACTAATACCGTACGACGTCGAACGTTGGCGTTGGGGGAGGTAGGGAGGGGGGTAGAGAGAGAGGGGGGGAGGTTTGATCGAGCCAGACCGAAGAGAGAGAGGGAGAGGGAGGAGAGAGAACCAGCCTACCTAACATGCCAACCTGCCTTGCCGACATAGTACGTGCGTCCTCTGTTAGTCGGATAGCATACATAAAATAAAAACAGGTTACATAACGATACAATGTACCTACCTACCTACCTACATACCTAGGTAGGTATGTAGGCATGCATGCATGCAGCTGTGTGGGAAGATAGAGATGGGTTGGTTGGTACCTTGGGACAGGTAGCGAGCACGAGATCCAACCTCTTGCAGGCAGATCCTCCAAGTGCGGTGAAAGGTAGCCTTATAAGCCAGCCCCCCCCTGGTCGGCTCGCCCAGCCTACGGGCTGTCAAATGAATTAAACTTCTTATTTAGCGACACGGGACCGAGCGGAGACGGTTAGCAATTGAGAGGGCCGTTAGGTCCTTGTCATTTCGAGAAGTCGTCATGACGGATTTATCTGAGGGTCCTCGAGGGGAGGGGGCGAGGTTACTCGAGAAAGGCCTACATAGGTACGGGATATTATGAGGGTAGTCGGCCAGCTACGCAGCCCACCCAGCCCGGTATCTGCATCCTAGGGTGTGTACGTACGTGTGCGTGTGTGTGTGTGACCCGAGAGTCGCTTCGTCGAGTTGTAAGACGGGAGGAGAGAGAGAGAGAGAGACAGGACGACAGAGGAAAAAAGACGACAGGACCATGTAAGTAAAAGGGTATAATATTCCTGTTGATCATATCGGATCTGTGGCGCGCGCATTATTAGCACCAATAGCAGCGGCGACATGGCGTGATGGCCTATCACTAGCTCGAAAGGACAATGCTTCCTGTCCAGGGGCCTGAGTCCGGGGACGAGCTGGGCCGGCTAGCATCTACACGGCTTCGTACGTGCTACGGAGCACTGCTTGGGCCAGCCGACTTGTGGGACAGTAGGGCAGAAGCCTCACGATTGATGTATGCTGCCTACGTACTGGCATACTGGCTCCGGTCGTGTTCCTAGTATCGGTGGGCAAGAGGGTCTACTCATAAACCGGTATAGCATCCAACGATAACAATGCAGGGGCCGGGCTGCCGCATCGCACTTCGCGCCCTGGAGGCGGGCAGGGGTCGCGAGCTAACGACATGGGCGCGGAATCAAGGGACCGCGACCCGTCCGGCCTCCAAATACATACACACACGCCATTCCCTTCCATACTCCCGGCGACAAGACAGGCACACGTGCATAGATCGCTGGGGAGGATGAGGAGGAGGAGGAGGAGAGCAGACGATATCGTCGGCAGATGCGATCAGCGTCGCCGCCCTCCAGCCTCCTTCGATTTGCCGGCGTAGCTAGGATGGAAATGGCAGCTTCTCGTGCATCTTTCTTATAACTGAAGCAGCGTTCGCTGAAGCCAGAGGATATACGCACTCTCTTGCCAACGGAAGCGAGATGAGACCCATAAGTTTTCTTTCCTATTTTTATTCTTAGTATTCGTATTATTACGGTATGAGAACTCCAAAAGAGGCGGAAAGAATATGTATATAGATCCCTAATATAGTAAGGCGCTAGAAGGTCAGTCTGGATTTGGGACGATGTAACTTCTGCGTGGTCGTCCTATCGTCCCAGTTTGGCGAAGGCCAGGTAGATGATCGCTGCTGGCTACAAGGGCAAGGCGGGACCTATACCATCATTTCCCCTCAGCCGAGTCGTGGGTCAGCTAGGGATTTATTTTTTCTTTCTTTTTTTTCCCTCTTCCTTCTGCCGATCAGAGGGGGAGGGTGTGAGTTTGGCTGCTGGTGTAGGGGGGGGCAGATGCAGGATTGGAGAGAGATGCCACAGTGATCGTTTTCATGGTGTGTATGGAGGCACGAACATGCCGACGGACATTCAGACATACGGAAAAATTCCGAGCTGGCTAATAGAACCCGAACCTCGCTTTCGTAGAGGCAACGGAAGGGGAGCAAGGGAATAACATATCCGTTCGAGGGCTGCGCCACAACGAGCCATGTTCAACGAGAACTGGCCATTCTCATTGTTCTAGCTCCTAATTAGCCCAGATCCAGATGTGGTACCCAAAAATCCCCCCGAAAATCTACACTTTTTTCTTCTTCGTCCTGCAAGGGTCCTCCCACGTCCCCTCCCCTTGTTGACCCTTGACCCTGACGTGACAGCGACGGACAGCCGGTACAACGGCATACATATATTGTACATGCCTACATACCTACCTACATTGTCCATAACTTACCTGCATGCATACGTATGAAGTCATCGGCCTGTTGGAGCCATCAGATTCTCAGGCGTTCCTCCGTTCGATCATCATGGAATATTCGGTTAATGTCATCCGAGCACGGCGTAAGTGGTATAAGCGTGTATGGGCGTCTATGTGCACACATGGTATTATATAGCGTGAGTGTGAGGGCGTGTACAGAGGTGGAGCAGTACACAACGGCAAGCTGAGCTGGGGAATCTCGAGAGGCGATGCTCCTTCGCCCCCCCCCCCGTCTGCAGGTACCGGCGCGTGGAATGGGACAAGATAATCGACGTGTCAATATGCCGTTCCTGGCTGTCGTTCCCTCTCCTCGCACCACGGCGATGGCTGAAAAAAAAAAGGGCGGCTGCCCAATGCACGCCATCCACTCCCAATACTACCGAGAGTTGACGAGAGGCCCCGTAGAGACTGGTCGTCGCATCCGGGCAGGCCTATAGCAACTCGCTCTCGGCCAGGGGAAGTGGAGGAAGATCCTGTAAGGCGCAGACATGCAAACGTACAGTCTTTCTCTTTTTCACCCGTCTGGCCCCCATCCAACTAAGCCTGGGATCTCTCTCTCTCCACCACCCCCCTCCCCCCCTTCTCTTACGCGCTGTCTTACTAACTCTCGCTCTCTTACCCGCTCCTACGGTCAAATCCACGTGTATCGGCCGGGAACACTCGGACTCGGGCTGGCTCGCTCTGCAGGTGTGGTGTGCTGAGAAGCTCGCAATTGGCAGTCCACCCTCCAATTGCCGCTGCCATCCATCCTCTCGAGACGTGAGAACTTCCGCACGCGGTAGTCGAAGCCGCCCGCCGTTACCCCCGCCCACGTTTCGGCACACACACACACGAAGCCTGGAGAGGCTTAGAAGCTCGAAGGAATAAACCCCATACTCGCAGGTTTCAAGCAGATCATCGACAACCTGTTCCAAGGTGCGCAAGCAAGCAAAGGTACCGGAAGTCGTCTGGGTGCGCATTAGTGCCCATGGATTCCAACGCTATTTCTGTCCATTCTCTAGATGCTGGTAGAATTTCCTTTTTATTTTCCTCGTCTTGCGGGTTTCTTAGGTGAGAGATGGCCGGTCACTTGCCCTCCTGGGCCGAACAGCTGCTCCCATGTCATTTCGATAGCACTGTCATCATTGTACTAAGGACCGGCCCGAGCACTTACTTTCGAGGTGTTGGTATCATCTTGATGGAAGTGGGACGGGCGAAGCCTATCCCTAATGACGAAGCGCGGGGGGGCGTGCGAAAATAGAAGGACAGACGGGTACGCTGTATGGCATGGACATGTCGTATGGACATGTTGTATGGAGGTGCTCCGAGCACACCCTGATCCGCCCCATTCCATTCCTGACTAACGCGATCCCGTGAACATCTAGATACCTACGCACACGTATTGTATTGTTATGGATAATACTGGGTGTGTTTATCAGAGGATGGGTCTTTGGCCGAGCCCGCCAACCCTGATAATGATCTCATATTATCCTCTCGGCACTGGGAGAGTAACCTGTAACTTGTGCTGATACCTAACGCACATACAATAGACATCCCCGAGTGTTGGGGAGATTCTGGGCGGGACTTGTTTCCTCTGCGTCGATATCGCAACCCCCTCCTCTGTGAGAAGATCACGGCTCCATCCCCGTCCTCCTCCATCGCCTCATGCAACGCCGTACCCTATGTATACAGCAAGACTTCAACCCAACGACACGTGCTGGTGTGGCCGTGTCACCTTTTTCACCCCTGCTTCCTCCCCTCCTTCCCGCTAAAGAAAAACATGTCTTCGCATATCAGTACGGTCTACTTTTAGAAGACATTCGCTCAAACTCCTGTTCACAAAGCGGACTCTCTAGGCAACAAACGATCCAGGTCGGCCTCTCTCGGCCGCGAAGACGATGTCCGAACCCCGATTCGGGTCTCTCGGGGGCTAGAATTGCGTAGACACGAACGATGGGGGCAAAACAAGGGCCATGCGAATCCTTTGCCGGTTCGATGCATGCGTTCCTAATACGTACAGCAGATGATGACGACGATCCGCGCAGTCGGACAGTTTAGGATTTCTCGGATTTTATCTCCCAAGCAGGACGACGTAACACACACTCTCTCCTCTCCTCTTTCTTTGAAATCGTTGATAGCGATCCCGCAAGACAGCGCTCGCGAGACTGTCGTGTCGTAGGGCTTGCGATATTGCCTGTGCGACTCCCCAATCTATCAAATACGTCCAAGTTCCATAAATATCGTCTGCGTTGCAATCGGCTGCCTACTGCATGCCCATTCTTCCGCTTTCGTCGACGACGAAGACAGAAACCAACCCTGTTTCGCAATAATTGTCTACCTGTTGCGCGCAACACCCAAGATGTTGCCCAATCCGCAAAAATAAGGTAGAGCACCTATGAATTTCCCGATTTTAATTAGAGAGCCAACGTGCGGAGAAGCTGGTCTCCCCGACATCTACTCTCTTACATGCCCAGATAACTGGATGCCTAACGTGCCTCTACCTATGCGCGAACGCGTATCTTATTTTGGAGAGATCACCTGTATACCAGGTGACAGATCGAGAAGACATGAGATCGATCAACTTGGCGACAACTGCGCGACAGACCAACCCGACAGGAGATACGCGCTCGTATGCACACGCTCGTGATGCAAGAGCAGCGGCTGACGATTCGTCGCTGTGCTAGGTCAGGAATTGTTGGGGGCCGCAGCCAGTGTCCGAAATCCGCTTGAGCAAGCTGAAGCATTCGGTATAGGCACATAGCCGCAGCACAGCGTCGTTTTGGAGGATCCGTCCGTCACCCGCAGAACCTGAAACGAGAGGTTCATCGACTGCTGTTCGGTTGCGTAGTATTGTAGCGCCTGCCAACAGTGGTCAGCAAGAAAAAAAAATCTCAGCTTTGCAGCAGCCTCAAAAGGGCGCCACCCTTCACCCCCTCCTCACACGGTATCTTGAAATAGCTAGGGCTGAGACCAGGCCGGGGTACCGATGAGGGCAGCCTTTTTTCCCCCCTTCGTTTTCATATGCGCGCATCTGCTGCAGACCCGAGAAGAGCGGGAAGTATCACAACAGCATGTTACAGGTTGGTTTAAAGCTCCGAACGAATCCTACACGAGGGGGGCTTTTTTTTTCTTGCTGCCTTTTCTATTCGAACGGGTGGTAGCATTCACTCTATACGGATCCGGCCCATAGGTAGACAACACCCGACCACGAACTAACTGCCTCGATGTGTATGCGTTGTTCGTGTGCATATGTCGCTGACCACGGGCTGACCAGCCCTCATTTAGCCTTGGCTTACTATTATTAATACATGAAACGGATGTAGGATACGGAATAAAAATAAGATAGATGTAGAATTGCGGAAAAAACAAGTGCAAAGAGGAGAATTGCGTCTGAGAAAGATGAATAAGACACGATAGGGTGGAATAACAGGCGGAAGGGAGATTAAGCCCATGTACCGTGCCAGATCCGACGGGCTGGTTCGTCGACTGAACCCCCCTTCCCCCTAACCCCAACCCAAGACCATGGCGTCCGGGAAAGGTATTCGGGACAACTGTCCGCCGTCGGGTCGACTCGTCGCCCTACTATATGCCATATTCTACGATCTGACGAGTCCTTTCCCTCTGCCGACTCTCGGGTTAGCCCGATGTCGCAAGCTGTCGATCACCTGGAAAAAAAAAAAGAAGCTTATTGCAACCGCTGGGGTCTGCGCGCCGGACCAACCGCACGGCGGTGTTGCCGGGGTTCTGGTGTGATGGAGGCGACAGACTCGTAGTCGGCGACCACTAAAGTCGAGGCGCCTGCCTCGTGCGACGGGTGGCTCGACTGGCTGACCGGGCGACGAAGGCCGGAGATGGGTGGCGGAGGGCTGGTGCAAGGCGACAAGGCGACCACCTGGCCATCGCATCCGTGATCCTTTTGATGGAGTCGCGGACCTGATGCTATGTTACATCTACCTGCCCAGAGGTAGTCAAGAGCGGTTCGAGGTAGTGAGGTAGGAGAGAGAGAGAGCGGACGGAATTGATCGAGCCTTAATCTGCTCAATATCTCTAAATTAGGCCGATGCAGAGTTCAGACGAAATAAGCAACAGCAGGCAGGCTTGAGATATTATTACTTTATATTTCGGTAAGGAGTAGGGTATTTTCATCGATCATCTATCTATAACCACCGTTGTCGAGGCAGTTTGATTGTTACAATACCTACGGGAACGTCCCCCACTGGTGGGCAAGCAACGTGTGGCTGCTTCGTGTGGCTCTTCCATTTTCTCAGCCACACAGACGTCGGTATAGGTACATAGGTACTTAGATACATGAGATCTAGGTACCTAAGTGCCTGTGTGAGATTGTGGAAGTTGAAGGTGAATGGATGATGAGAAGGGGTACACGGTAATAAGTATCTTACTACACAAGATCTGTGGAAAGATACAGATATCTCACATGAGAATCTGTATCTACCTGTTATTCTCACCTCACAAAGTTCAATCTTGTAACTGAACCTACGTGTAAAGCAGGTAGGTACCTCTCAGGTATGTACCTAAGTACTCAGGTACTGGTCCTCCGCCGCTAGCCTGGCCCAAGTCGCGTTCTTCTGCGTTGCGTCAGAACTTCGCGCTCTAGTTCAATTCCGCCTATTCATCATTTTCTATCAGAATCCGAGGTGGTCGCCGGCCAAACAGCACTGGGCAACCGATTTATCCATCGCGTAAATATACCTGAACACTGTCCAAGGAGGTAGTGAAAAGAAGAGACAGAGAAGGGAAAAAAAAAGAGAGAAAAACAGACAGGGAGGTCTAATCTTCATGAGTCGAGCGTGTAGTCTGCCTACCTCTGCACTGGACCTCCCCACCCGATGGTACTGCTCGTAAATCTTTCCTCACGGCTCGAAGACCGAAAGGGGTCAGTCTCTTCGAGACCAGAACGGTGCGCGCTCTTGAGTCCAATACCTCGGGGTTCTCCTCGGTAGGAGACAGCCTGTCCCGTCTATCCATGGTGCATCTGCACCTCCTACCAAAGAGATACCTAGTCAGAATCTCGCCAAGATGAAGTTCTTCATCGACGACCTCCCCGTCATTTTTCCCTATCCGCGGATCTATCCGGAGCAATATGCCTACATGTGTGACCTCAAGAAGACCCTCGATGCCGGGGGTCACTGTGTCCTGGAGATGCCTTCGGGGACGGGCAAGACCGTGTCCCTGCTCTCGCTAATCGTCGCCTACCAACAACACTATCCGGAGCATCGAAAGCTCATCTACTGCTCGCGAACCATGTCCGAGATCGAGAAGGCCCTGGCCGAGCTCGACTCCCTCATGAAGTACCGCGCTGACGAGCTCGGCCACGTAGAGGAATTCCGGGGTCTGGGCCTGACCAGTCGCAAGAACCTCTGCCTCCACCCCTCGGTCAAGAGGGAGAAGAGCGGCGCCATCGTCGATGCGAAGTGTCGTAGCCTGACTGCCGGCTTCGTGAGAGAGAAGAAGGAGAAAGGCGAGAACGTCGAAACCTGCATATACCACGACAACCTAGATCTTCTCGAGCCCCATAACCTGATACCGAACGGCGTATGGACTCTCGATGGGCTCCTAAGGTACGGCGAGCAACACAAGCAGTGTCCATACTTCACGGCTAGACGGATGGTAAGCTTTGTCTCCTCTACCGCACCTAATGCTACCTAAGTCTATACTTCGATACTCGAGCTCATTCTTGCCTCAATGCAGATGCAATACTGCAACGTTATCATCTATTCCTACCACTACCTGCTGGACCCCAAGATCGCAGAGCGTGTGTCCAAGGAGCTCTCCAAGGACTGCATTGTCGTCTTTGACGAGGCCCACAACATAGACAACGTCTGTATCGAGTCTCTGAGCACAGACATCACCGAAGACTCGTTGCGTAGGGCTACGAGAGGCGCCCAGAACCTGGAGCGCAAGATCAACGAGATGAAAGAGACCGACCGAGAGCAGCTCGAGAACGAATACCAGAAACTGGTAGAGGGGCTTCGCGACGCCGACGAGAGCCGCCAGGAGGATGCCTTCATGGCGAACCCCGTCCTCCCCGACGACCTACTCAAGGAAGCGGTCCCCGGCAACATCCGCAGGGCAGAGCATTTTACCGCTTTCCTGAAGCGGTTCGTCGAATACCTCAAGACGCGTATGAAAGTCCGCCAGGTCATCTCCGAGACGCCGCCCTCGTTCCTGGCGCATCTCAAGGAGCACACCTTCATCGAGAAGAAGCCGCTCCGGTTCTGCGCCGAGCGGCTGACCTCCCTCGTGCGGACCCTCGAACTCACGAACATAGAGGACTACCAGCCGCTGCAAGAAGTAGCCACCTTCGCGACCCTGGTCGCCACGTACGAGAAGGGCTTCCTCCTCATCCTCGAGCCCTTCGAGTCGGACGCGGCCGAGGTGCCGAACCCGGTGCTCCACTTCACCTGCCTGGACGCGGCCATCGCCATCAAGCCCGTCTTCGACCGGTTCAGCTCCGTCATCATCACCTCCGGGACCCTCTCGCCGCTGGAGATGTACCCGAAGATGCTGGGCTTCTCCACGGTCGTGCAGGAGTCCTACACCATGACCCTGGCCCGACGGTCCTTCCTGCCGATGATCGTGACCCGGGGCAGCGACCAGGCCGCCATCTCGACCGGGTTCGCGGTGCGCAACGAGCCGAGCGTGGTTCGCAACTACGGCAACCTCCTCACCGAGTTCGCGCGGATCACACCCGACGGCATGGTGGTCTTCTTCCCGTCGTACCTGTACATGGAGTCGATCATCAGCATGTGGCAGGGCATGGGGATCCTGGACGAGGTGTGGAAGTACAAGCTGATCCTGGTGGAGACGCCGGACGCGCAGGAGACGTCGCTGGCGCTGGAGACGTACCGGGCGGCGTGCTGCAACGGGCGGGGGGCGGTGCTGCTGTGCGTGGCGCGGGGGAAGGTGTCGGAGGGGATCGACTTCGACCACCAGTACGGGCGGACGGTGCTGTGCGTGGGGGTGCCGTTCCAGTACACGGAGTCGCGGATCCTCAAGGCGCGGCTGGAGTTCCTGCGGGAGACGTACCGGATCCGCGAGAACGACTTCCTGTCGTTCGACGCGATGCGCCACGCGGCGCAGTGCCTGGGCCGCGTGCTGCGCGGCAAGGACGACTACGGCATCATGGTGCTCGCCGACCGCCGGTTCCAGAAGAAGCGCGCCCAGCTGCCCCGCTGGATCGCCCAGGCCATGCTCGACGTCGACGCCAACCTCAGCACCGACATGGCCGTCATCGCCGCCCGCCGCTTCCTGCGCAACATGGCCCGCCCCTTCCGCCCCCGCGACCAGGAGGGCGTCAGCGTCTGGAGCCTCGACGACCTCCGCGCCCACCAGCGCAAGGTCGACGAGGACCGCATCCGCGAGCTGCGCGAGCTGCGCGACGACTCCCACGCCGCGGCGGCGGCCGAGGCCCTCCTCCGCCGCCACCAGGCCGCGCGCGCTGCCGTCGCCGACGGCGACGACGGCGACTACGAGTTCGACTACGACATGGACCCCCGCGAGCTCGAGCAGGGCATGATGGAGATCGACGCGGCTTGAGGCTCGGGGCGGGACGAGGGGGGGAGGGGGGAGGAAGGGGTGCGAGACGGGGAATTTGTAGTAGTCCGGAAGCAGGGTTGGACGGATGAGCGAACGGGGGCTACAGCCGATGGCAATTCTTCATAGTTCTCTGTACTCTCCCTCCTCCTCTCTCCCCCCGGAAGGGTGCGAGACATGGACACGATACGGCGGAGAGAGCGGCAGTGTCGTGAAAGTGTAGGTGGTTTGGTGAACCTCGCTACAACACTCACTCACAGCCTAGCTTGCTAGCAACTTGGGTTACGCCACGAAACGGGAGAGACTCGTCTGCTAGGGGAATACAACGATAGACGCGTAATGGATAAGTATCGGCCTTATTATGGTGTATTTGACGTCTAGTAGTTCTATGTGAATAGGTGTGTTGAGGTAGCTACCCAGCCAGCTACTTTCCTATGAGTATGCTATGCCATCCTGTCCTGTCCTGCCCTGTATCAAGGGAACGCCTGCGGTCTGAAAAAGAGAAAAAAAAAAAGAAAAAGAAAATAATGCTCAATAACCCGACCAGAGTCCGTAGGGATGATGTCTTTTTGCAAATTACGAACCGATTAACCTTAGCTACGCATCCCTTGTGCGCGATATACCCTGACCGTTTATATGCGTGTGCAATCCGTCCATACCATTCTAACTTCAACCATAAACTCTTCCCTCTAAACTTAGATTCGTTCCGGGTTCAAGGATCACGGTTAGCCGCCTAGCCCTCGCGTCAGACTGACGGGGGGATCGCCCTCTTCGCCGCCTTGACCGCCCGCATCGCCGGCAGCGTGTTCGCCTTGCCCGGGTTCCTGCCGATCTCCATGCAGAGCATGCGGATGAGGTCGGCGCTGGCCCAGTAGCTCGAGTGCGCGCTCAGCATGTTGAGGTACTGCAGCTCGAGCGGCCCGCCCCCCGACCGCAGGAAGTAGTCGATCTGGCCGTTGTCGTTGAGCAGGAACGCCTTCTTCTCCGCCACCTCCTCGCGCGAGAAGTCGTGCACCTCGAGCTCGAGCTGCGACGGGAGGCGCAGGGTCGACGGCCTCGGCACGGCCGCGCCGGCGCCGGCAGCCGACGAAGACGACGCTCCGGGCACGATGCTCAGCATCGCATTGCCCACGGATTGCAGAAACGAGACAGACGTGCTGGGTACATACGCCGTCTTTAGGCTAGCTGCGTATGTTGGGTCGATAGTGCCGTTGAGTAGGTAGGCGACGGCGTCTTCCCGGGCCAGGACGTTATAAATATTGTCGACGGCTAGGCAGCCGAACGAACCGGCTTCCCCAACGATATCCTTCGACGTGATGTCGCTCAAGTTAGCCCCTGGCTTCCGGCGCCCTCTCCTGGGCAATAATGCACCTCTTTCGAGGAGCAAGAAGAACGCGGCGGGACTTCCGAGAAGGAACAAGTTCTTGGTGTCGAACTCGAAGTGCTTTGTCTTGAGCGGCTGCGTTGGTTCCAGAGCTGGTAAGATAGTTGGTTGCCTCGATAACACTTCGATGGCCATCACGCTACCCAGAGAGTGACCGATGACGTGAACCCTACCGTGCTCCGAGAAGCTGGGATTGTTTCGGCACCAGAGCCTGTAGACGCGATTTGCTTCGCTCACCATAGCAGCGACCATCTTGGGCTTATGATGCGACATATAGAACGGAATGTCAAACATGACATCGGATATCATACTCCGAACGGCAGGAATAGTGTCGGGCTCGATATCCTTCAAGGTGAAGTCGCCGGGTCTGTGGTGGGCCTTATCCTCTTCCTTCATCAGGCCACCTTCTTCGAATGACAAGTTATGTCTCCAGTTGACTGGGAGAACCATGATGCCGTTTTGGCCTTGCCTCAACGCCCCTCTGACAGCATCGCTCCGCAATTCAATATTCACAGCTCGACGAAAAGAATTTATGGCGTGGGTGAAATGGTAATTTTCCACTCGCTCTGCCAACTTCTGGCCGATGCCATGGATGACTAGAACTAGATCAGTGATGTTTCCCCGTTTCTCATCAGCCTTGCAGGCTGAGCAGGCATCATTCTCTACGATCCCCGGGGAATCGTTCGAAATTGGCGGGGTTAGCCGGACGGATATGTCTTGTTTCTTTTCGTGCTTCTTCAACCACACCTCATAGTCGAACCCCCTCACCACAGGAATCCCGATGGTGATACCCCTAAGTATCTTCGCGACGGGTCGACGACCGTAGTACGCCGAGGGCTTCAGGCTTGGCTTGAGCAGATATGCGGTCGTCTCATTTTTGTAAATTACATGATACTGGTCGAACTTCCTGTGGGCTTGGGACGGAGGAGAGTCGTCTTCGTTCGGAGTTGGTATTAGGCTGCCCTCTGCAGCTGCTTCGCCGCGGAAACACCGAGCAGCGCAGAACGGATTACTAGAAATGGGCGGCTCCGTTGGGCCACCGGCCTTTCTCGGAGGCTTGCTCGGCGGCTTGGGCCAAAGAGGATGCGAGACTTTCTCTTCGCCAAGAGGACCGACTTCCACAGCACATCTAAGTTCGTCGAGCCACGTTTCGGTATGCGGTTTAAGCTCTCGGTATCCGGCTTCAAGTTGGTTGGCCACGGTAGGATCAATGGGCCGCATATCATCCCTATCACAAGTCAGCATAATGAACCGGGCGTGATGAATATCTGGTGGTAATACCGATAGAACCAAGTGGCCCGGAATACGGTGGCGATATCATTGACGGGAGACCAGTAAATGGGCTTCATCTGCAAGGCAGGAAGCGATACTTCGTGCAGCCGAGATATGCCAACTGTCACCTCAACCGAAGTCGGTGCTCCTAGGCTCTCCGCAGGCCGGGATGTAGAAGATTTCAAGCTCTCCTGTGGCTGGAGTCGGGACTCTAACTCATCGCTCCCCCTCTCGGCTGGCCTGGTAGATTGCCACGTAGCGGCGTTCCTCGGTAGGGACGGAGGAGGGGAAAACGTGGAGGACTCCGGTGTGCCTGCGCGGGCGAAAGGCCTACCTGAAATACCATCGTTCAAGAACGATGATTTGGTAGGAGTAGATCCGCCGAAATTCCTGTCTGTCGAAGAAATGCCCTGATGCGGCATTTGGGGCATCGACTCTGGATAAGGAATGCCGCCTGGTTGTTTGCTGCTGAGCGGCTCACTAGAACAATTCTGCTCCATCTGCGGCTGGCTTGATGGCCGGCCGCTATTCGACAGCACACGCCGTCCTGTGGCCGGGGCCGACGTCGAATCAGCACGCAACGTGCTCATCTCACCCATGACGGCCTGAGCAACAGCTTCCCGGTCAAGGTCGCGTTGCCTCCGGCGAGCGACGGTGCAGAAAGAGGCGCGCAGGGCGATGCCAGCATCGATAAGGAGGTCGGGGCAGCACAACGGTGTCGTCGTTTCCGGCTCCGATAGAGTCCTAACCGTAGATAAGGTCTTCTCCCGAGCCAGGCCCTCGCGTGCATGCTTTTCAACATGTTGCGCAGCTAACTGATGTACAATGTTGCCTAGCTTCTGAGTATTTAACTCGATAAGAGAAGAGCTAGGGGCACGGTTTTGCCGGGCGTTCGTGTGGTTCTCGCGATAAATGTCAGAAGAGAGGCTCAACCAAGCCTTCTCTAAGGCATTGTTGTCTCCCGGAGAGAAGGGACGGAGGCTGCTCCTCGAGGATTTCGGGTCGGCTACGGCGGTAACGGTCGTGGTGGAAAGGGGGTCGTCGATGGGGACAGACGATGCGTAGAAGTACTGGGCGTTGACTGGAGGGATGCCGTCGGCATCGGAAGACGGCGAGGGGCGGGAGACGGGAGCGAGTCGACACTTGGAACCAAAGTTGTGTGCCTTCAGAGCCTCACCGTAGCTGACGAAGTTGATTGGAGGCATCGTCGGTGGCTATTAGAATCATCTACTTAAAATGGCTCGGGTTACCCGAAGGAAAGACGGTAAAGCAAGCGAAGGAAGAAGTGAAGCTTTTCAAGTGTTGTTGATCTCTGCCAATCTGCCCTACCTCCTCCAAGTTGACAGGTGGAATCTATCGCGCACAAGGATACAGGGTCGACACGATGTAACGAGAAGGAAGCCGCGGTAACGAAGGCATCCTCCGGAAACGGCGGGTGCCTAGGATTGGAAGCCGTTGGCTGTTCCGTCGGTCTGTAGGCTGAGGCGGCCACTCGCATGCGAGGGCGGAGAATAAGCCAGTCAGTCAGCCGACGGCACAAGGACGGTCCGGTTCAAATAGGGTCTGAGCCTGTTCGTCGGCGGTTCACGACAGCGAGATACCTCATGTTTCGGGAGGTCGAGGCAGGTCTAAGATGGCTAGGAGGCGGAGGAGGCAGAATTCGCCAGGTCTTGCACACCGACGAGGAGGAGATCGCGGATATGGGAAGCTTGCATATGCATGCGCTGGAGTGCAGCGGTGACGTGGTGACGTGGTTCGCAGGAAGAGGACCGATGACGCATTACCTAATCGTGCAAGGGGAGGGCCGGGCCAGACGTGCTTAGAAGCGGTCACCAGCCACGGCGCCCAGGTCACGCCCGACCTGCATCAGGACACGCCAAGTCTGTAACCGGGGGTCCAGCCTACCGAACATGTGCCTGGCGCACACGTAGTACCTATATTACCTGGGTAGCACACATTACCCAGGTAACACACCCGCCCACTTGGCCTGCTACGTCTGCACATATTGCACATACTCATACCTACATCATGCACCAACGTTTCAAGATCTCTCGTGGGAAAAGCACCTCCCAAGCCTCAAGTGCGATCAGGTACGGACTGGAGAATTTGATGTGGGTGGCCTCGGATACCGAATAGGCACTAACCCACTAGCATTATTATGAATATACTGCACACGCATCCGAGCAAGATTATATAAGCTCGACACACCATGACCTAATTTGAGAATTTGAATATCCTCAATTCTCACCCCTCCTTTCCAACTTCTCCATCTCTCGGGATCTCAGTTGATCCAGCCATCGAATGCATCGCAGCCCCAACCCAGGGCGTCGGCACGGGCCAGGTCGCTTTTTCTTGGGGGTGACTGAAGAAAGAAGCCCGATATTTATCGCTGGGTTAGGTATCTCCGTCTACACTTGGGTCGTCCACCTAGAGGGACGGTCCCTTCTCGAACAAGCCATTTGCCATCCTTCCTCACCCTGTCCAACAGATCCCGCTCCTACCTGAGAGATTCTCTATCTCACGCCCCGGCCCGACAGGCTTGCACAACAACCAAATCCCCAGCGAGCCTCGGCCGGACGCCTCGCGAGCACATTCCTCGCATACGAGGAAGACGAGAAAACGGAGGCTTCGAGAAACAGGCCCCTTCTAAGGGTGCACCTGACGTACCCCGGATCTCGCAGCGCGTGTTTCGACACATGCTAATTGGCTAGACTGATGCCTGGCTCGTAGTCCGCGCGCGGCCCGGTCAAGCCTACAGCGCTGTCACTCCAAGACTGGAAGCTAAAGAGAGAGGGCGAGGGAGCGAGGGAGAGGGCTGCTACGTAGTAGCGGCTCGGTAGAAGCTTGTCGTGTATGAGTATGTGCTCCCCAACTAAACAGGTATGCGATGCTTATTGGGAAGCACATCGCCTAATGTAGTAGCCGTGTCCATCCAGCGCACCTACATACATACCTGCATCCTTACATTATGAGGTTACAGTTGGTTTGGCGTCCACCTGTTTGCCCCCTCTCCCCCCAGGACATGCCGCCTACCCAAGGCGCTTCACATCGACCTTACCGAACTAGTCAATCAGGAGACTCATCGTAGACGCGAGGAAGAAGCAAGGGATGCTACCTCTATCTAATGCTAGCGAATCCGGTCCGCGCCACGCAATATACACAGACATACCGTTAAACTGCCTACCGCCCATAACACGGCATGATCTTCACCGGCTCGACGCGGGCCACGCATACCACGTTGGAGTCTTGGAGGAAAGCATACCAGCGGATGGGCGGGAATACCGGTGCTAGCGGCCCTAATAACCATCATCATGCGCAACCAAGGCACCGCTGTTAACAGTTGCGTCTTCACGTATGTTCAGCCGTGTCGATTGGGCCGACGATCACTTCAATCCCAGGCTCCGACATGCTGATAAGAAATGATGTTGTGCCACATTCCGGCGACGGGCCTCGACATCGAGGTTCCTTCGTTGGCCCTGCATGCCTTCGGGACCCAGGGTACGCACGTAGGTCGCAGCACAGGCCGTCGACGGCCTCAACGGATGGACCTTATGATGGCTGACTCGCCCCTCGTTTCATCTATGTGGTCGGGCGATGTCTTCTGCCTCGTACGCTGCTGCTACATCGTTTCCCATGTATGTTGTCCCCTGCGCGGCCGGTTGAATGTACGAGGAAGCGAAGCTGTCCGTCTTATCACCCTTGCCACGAAACCTATTAAGAAACCTGGGTGGCGGTAAGGACAGCCTATCACAAAGTGCCAACCGTCGCCTCTGCTTTCTAGGGGGCATAGTCGGGTCGTAAAATGGGAACCACATACCTCGCGGTAGGTAACTCGAGGAGGATGATCCATTCGCCTTTCCAGAATGAAAAAAACAGGGGGGAGGGAAGGGGAGGGGGGTGCATCATCCGAGGCTGGTATATGGGATTGTCCCCACCAGTTATACACATTCCATACGGTGAGTCGTGTGAACTTCTCTTCGTCGCATCTGAAATAATAGCTTCTGGGCCTCTCGTACGCGTCTATCCCTGCGGCATCATGTGGAATTCGAACTTGCTTTGTCTACCGCCTCTGCGGTCTCGTGGGTCTCGGGCGCTGTGGACATGAACCACGGAACCAGGGGGCCATGCAGTTCGCTCGGCACTGATCAGCATTTGGTGACGTTAGCCCTTCTTTTGGAGACGGCCTGCCTAAAAGGACCAACGCTGAGAGTGTTCGCCTGTCTCTTTTTGGCGCTACATCAAAACTGCTGTACAATTCCACGATGGCGAGTATGCTTTACATGGCATAGCAGGCTAGGTAGCCGGTGTGTATGTGCGTGTGTTGGCGTATTACCTAGGTATGTGGTATAGGTATGTGTGTCTCACAACAACCTTTTTCGTTTTTTTTATACTACGCAGATGAGAGAACTTACATCGATATTCAGACTAGGTTCATCCGTTGAGGTTGGGACTAGGCGAAGGGGTAAATGGACATCAGTCTTCGGCTTCTGAGCAAGGATCGTGCCCACGGGCCTACCCGGGTGCAAACCAGCGGGAGAGGAGGAAAAAGAGGAAATGATGGAAACAGGCATATATATACCTACGCGGCGTGGGAAGAGATGCCGCGATATATACTAGTAGTTATACAAAAGTCTGGAGGGTAAGGCGATAAGGAAACGGGTAGGTTAACCCCCATGGTCCCATCTGGCCCAATCTCGCACCATAACCAGCTCCGTCAATCATGTCGCCTTATCAACCGCTGGTGGTGTTTTACTTACTGGGCGCTGCACGGCGCAACACCTGCACGGCACCACTTGCACCACCCGCTGCATCACCACTTGCAGCATCACTCGGACTAGGGATGGCTGCGCGATAAGGCCCTATAACAGATTTGACTCCAATCGCCACGACAGAATGCCGTGAGGCGACCTGGATATACCTAGGTAACAGTCCTCCCACCAGCACGCTTTGCGACAGTTGGCTATACATCTAGCTACACTGTCTACCTAAGGTATATGTAGGTATGCTTTCTCGCATTGCCCTCTTCCCGCTCGCCTAGCCCTCTCCCCCTCATCCTACTTTGGTGTCTGGTTCAACCTCTTCGTCTCTATTCTTGGTATCGCGTCCAAGGGTGTGTATGTGTATATGTGCGCGCGTGTGTGTAAGTAGGTATGTCTGCACCCCCTCCCCCGTCCCCCTCTAATCCCCTCTTCCCTTCTCCTGGTTTGGATGGTTATCCTTTCTCCTGCTCCTCTTCCCTTCTCCTCTTCGTCCCCCAGGCTGCTCGCCACCACTTCTTATCTTGTTCCATTCGTATTCTAGTGCCGCGTTTCTGCTCCTCATCCCCCGCCTCGTCACTACGTCAAGCTCGCTTACTACCTTGCTGCCATCGCGTACTACCGGCCTTTCCGCCACCACGTTCTTCTCTCTGCTCCCGCATCCACGCCCTCCCTGCCTTTGTTACAAGAATAAGTGCCAGGCCCAAGATGAGGCCTGGCCACCAACTCGATTCACCACAAACGCTAATGAAAGAAAACTCGCCGCAGCTTCACTCAAGTAGCTTTGATCTGCGCTAGCTTGACGGGATTGGACTTTTGGGACTGAGATAACCAAAATACGAAGTCGAGCAGTCATTTTGGGAGGGGGGTTCCATCCCGCTGTTTACCTGGGCTGTCGTTTATTGTTGCCTTTGCCATCACAATCCGCCGGCTGGGCAGGCTGTTTCTCGAACCCTTTGGGTCCTCCAACCCCCCACGTTGTCCTCATACTTTGATCATCATCCTCCCCTTCTGTCTCCGAATCCTCCCCATCCTCCACCCCCGCAATTGCACTAAGCAAGCCCACAGCACGCCTATCACTCGCATCCACGCGCATCCACATACGCATACAAGGTATCCTGGGAGCTGAACGTGGGACGCCTGATCCGGCCTGGTTTGACTCTGATGCGAAGCGCGGGTGACCGATAACGCTCTTATGGTTATCTGCCAATCGCCTTCTGCAGCGACGACAATCCCTTAATGCCCATTTACGAAGGATAAAAACAAGTTCAAAGGGGGAAGAAGCAGAAGCGGAAGAAGAAGAAGAAGAAGAAAGCCAAGCAGAACGGAAGCAATTGCCTAGGCGCACGGTGCTCCTCGCGATGAGTAGAACCATGACGACGGTGGCCCTCCCCCGACCCGTTCCACCGCATCGATCCTCTTCCGGTATCGTCGCCTTGTCTCCTATAGCACTTGAGACAATCAGCACCCAGCAGGTTTCCAGCACAGCGCCTGCGCCCCTCCCAAACAAGCATATACCCGTCTGTCCCACCGGACCGGCTCCAGCCCACATCCGCGAACCCACCACCACCCCACCGTCGCCGCCACCGCCCTCGCGGCACCACTCGGATGAAGGCCGCCGGCAGTCTCTGCTCCACCCACCCGATAGATTTGAACGCCTAGAAAATGGGTCCGTCGGCGTCTTCAAGATCACCGCCGCCGACCTGGCCGGCGCCATCGACTATCTTTCCCGCCAGCCGCTCCCGGACCCTTCGCACGTCTTTCCTTGGTTTCATGGGATGCACCCCAACAACCACATCCAGCAGACCTTCTTCATGTCGCGCAGCAATGGCATGAAGCAGTTTCCTGGCTGCCTACGCGGTATCACCGTGGTGAAGGCCGACAGCGACCTCACCGTCGCGCGGCTTAAGGGGGCCGTCGCGCCGCACGAGTTCCTGCTACCCGGCGCTGTGGGCGAGTTTGTCGAGGCTGACCCGAGGGAGGGGTTTTCCGTGCGCAACTTCCAGATCCAGACGGCCAAGACGGCCACCACCTCCGATGTCGTTATATACGGCGAAGACGCTGGGCTCGTCCGCAAGCTCGGGTGGGAGGTTGCCGCAGCCCAGGCCAAGTGGCGGCGGAAGCTCGAGGCGGCACGGCAGTTGGCGACGGTCCCGCAGTACAACACCTTCGTGTGCGTTGCGCCCTTCGCCGAGTTCGAAGAACGGCACCCCGAGATCGTGGCGGTCAACGCGAGGGGCCAGCTGACCGGCGCCGTCGTCGACCTCTTCCACCAGGAGCGCCTCGAGATGTACTCCCTGACGCGCGCGACCGAGATCTCGCACAACGTGTGGTTAGGACCGACCCCGGAGCCTGACAGTCCCGAGGAAGAGGGCTATGACGTGCTTATCGAGTGCAGCGACCTCGGGCGCTTGAATCCGTCCGCGCTACGGGCCATCGCTGAGGGCCCCGCCAACAGCACAAAGAAGAGCACCCCCGCCTACCTCGACTTCCCATCCTCGGGTAGCATCATGCCTCCGACGTGGTCGCATGCTGAGGCCGACGGCATCCTCGACACGTGCAAGTGGATGTGGCACCTATCGCAGGGCACCTTGCCTCCGAGGCCGTGTCTGGACGATATGACTGACGAAGACGGCGATTCCTACATGTCCGACGGGTCGTCCTCGTCATGCTCGACGTCCGCGGACGACGAGGGAAATAGCGGGGAGGAGCAGGCGACTAAGCCCCGCCGCCGCCAACGGTGGTACCCGCGGCGCCCGGAACGCAGGATCCTGATCCACTGCGCGGACGGGTACACGGAGTCGACGGTGCTGGCTATTGCGTACTTCAGCTACAGCACGGGGCGAACAGTAGCGGCGGCGTGGATGGACTTGCACACCGAGCTGAAGCGCAACTTCTTCGCGTACCCCACGGACGTGGGGCTGCTGACGTCGATCGCGGTGCGGCTTCTGCACGAGTCGCCGGTCTGCTTCCGACCCGACGCGACGGACGAGAAAATCGCCCCGAATAACCATGTCGCTAACCACGACGGCGGCGATGACAGGAAAATAAAGCCGAGGAAGAGGAGGCCGAGGATGAGCCTGTCGGAGGTAACGGCGCTGGTGCGGCAGGAGCCCCGGTGGCTAGCGTCTTTGGACGGCTCGTTCCCGAGCCGGATCCTCGACTACATGTACCTGGGCAACCTCGGGCACGCGAACAACCCGGAGCTGCTGAAGGCACTGGGGATCCGCCAGATCCTGAGCGTGGGCGAGACGGCGATGTGGCGGGACGGCGAACTCGAAGAATGGGGCGTCGATAATGTACACGTCGTCGAGAAGGTTCAGGACAACGGCATCGACCCGCTCACGAAAGAGTTTGAGAGGTGCCTGAAGTTTATTGGTACGTTGGCTCTCCTATTACCCTTTTTTTTGGTCTACCGAGGCTTTAACTTGCCTTTACATTCCAAACCTGCCCCTTTTTGTTTACATGTATATCTTCGCTTGGCGTTCACTTCATGTATTATAAACAAGATTAGAGAGGGGGGGGGGGTGATGGCTTAGAAATCTACTTGCTAACCCTGGCTCCCCTACCTGAATAGAACGCGGACGACGGAACGGCACGGCCACCCTAGTTCACTGCCGTGTCGGGGTCTCACGGAGCGCGACGATCTGTATCGCGGAGGTGATGCGGGCGATGGAGTTGTCCTTCCCGCGGGCGTACTGCTTCGTCCGGGCGCGGCGCCTCAATGTCATCATCCAGCCACACCTGCGGTTTGCGTACGAGCTGCTCAAGTGGGAGGAAACCTTGCAGGGGCGTCGCCACCACCGTCAGCACAAGCATCAGCATACCCGGCAGCAGCGGTCGCGCGCCAGGAACACTGCCGTAGAAGACACACACGCTCAACATGAGGGGGGAGGGGGCAGCGGAGGCGGGCGGACGGGCGGAGGCACGGGGTTCCGTAGGGAATTGGAGTGGGGCGAGATCGCAAGGGAGATCGCGCTCATGAATAAGCCCTACGCCAGGTAGACGGCGTGGCAGCCGTATGCCTACCACCCACCTGCCTACCCTGCCTGCCCTCGCGGCGCCGCCGGTCCGGACGACGAAGCAGCGAGTTCCACGCCCCCGCCAAATCCCCATCCCCCCAACCGTTTCGATGAAGCTGTCGTGCGGAGCTACAAGCAACTCGGCTGTGGCGTCTGCCGCAACGATGCCTGCCTACTTGCACATAAGCGGATGCTCATCGAGAGTTGGCGGTGATCGTAGTGCTGGTAATGGTAATGGTAATGGTAATTGGGGGGGGGGGGGCGCGGATAAGTAAACGAAAGGAAAATGAGAGAAAAAAAAACGAGAAGAAAGAGGGCATCTGACGGAGATCCACCATCCGTCCACTCGCTTCGGCTTCCTGCGCGTGCATTTCCGTGCATATACATGCATAGCCATTCGTTGCCTGGCTGCCGGCGTTACGAGTTGCGCCGCTTCACGGGTTTTTTGTTTTGTTTTCTCCCGTATTGACGTCGCGGAGCCGACATACAGAGAGCACAAGAGGAGAGGAGAGGAGAGGACTAGGACGCCGAAAGGGGTTTATAAAAAGTATCCCACCTAGAGACGAGAGATGACGGCATTAGGTGTGCGCATGTGTCTGGGGGGCGGAGGCTTTTTTGTTTTTTGTCCCTCTCTCTCTCTCCGACTCGCCGATACGCTCACGACGCGAGAGCGAGAGAGAAAGAGAGACGGGAGTTTTCGTCCGATTGGTCGGCGCGCGGCTGGGTCGGACCGGGCCTGGAGGAATCGAATCTGCGGACGGCCGCCGCGCTTGTTTTGGCTAACGACGAGACGACGAGCCTTGCTCTCTCTCTTTTTGTCCTTTTTTTCGTCTGTCCTTGGTATCGTCTCCGAGAGGGCTTGGGAATCTCAAGGGGAGCGAAGAAGAAGAGAAGGGAAAGGGGGGTGGAGGGCTGCGCCTAGATCGGAAGGGCCCCGTTTGGCTGTCTGCTGTCGTCCTCCGGATTTCCAGCGATCCTTGGGTTGGATCAGGTTGGCACGAAATCGAACGGACGGGCGAGCCGCTCGGAAAAAAGGAGGATAGGATAGCGCAAGGCAAGAGACGAGAGGGCTGTGCGATTTGTCGGTCTCGGCTCCTCGTTGCCATCTTCCATCATCATGATCGTCGGATCTGCGCCTGGGTGCGTGCGTACCCGGTATTTTCGGGCCTCGGGAGGCGAGAATCTTTTGGGGGGAGCGGGCGGACATTCTACGATTTATTCCTATTTACGAGTTTTTGTTTTCTCGGTACCTACTTTATTTTTAAGCCCCTATGTTTCTTGGGACGGGATCTCAGGGCCGCGTTCAGCTTACAAGTTTGGGCAGTCTCTTCTTCTTCTTCTTCTTTGTCATTTCCTTGTCGTCTTCAGCTTCCATCTGCTGCAGCAGCCTCTCGGAATACGGTGTCTAGTCGAGGAGACTAGAAGGAGAATGGCAGCTAGCTATCGAGGACGGCGGTGTTCCTGTGTGCATGTTCCAGGGTGTAAACTACGGCCAGCAGCGCAACAATAAATTGTTAAACCTCCACACACTATCTCCCTCTGTGATTGTACATATGTAGACATATTCTCCTCAGGAATGAATTGATCATTGTGTATGCGTGCTTTTATGTGTTCTATATCATCCGCGACCAGCTAGCCCGCGTAGTTTCGTGAACCTACTATCCCTCATACCCCTTCCTCCCCGGAAGAGTGGAAGCAAAAAATTACAAGAAAGAAAGAGACAACGGGGAATAATAGGTCGATGGTTAGATTAAAATTCATCGTAGTTGGAGGGAGGGGAAAAGCAGGGGGGAAGGGAAGAAGCAGTGATGAAATGATGCCTACTCTGGCTCGGTAGGAGGTTTATGTTTGGGCGGGGAACAAAAAAAAGAGAGAGACCTCGCCATTTACAGACGCCGCACGCTGATGCAAAAAAGGTGCAAAAAGGAGAAGGCAATATGATAAGAGTAAAAGAAGAGGTTAAAAATAGAAGGAACAAGAAACTGCGCGCGGCGAGCCGGCGAGGGTTGTCCTTGGGGGGGAGGGGTTTCGCACAATAGCGATCGATAACAACACCTACGCGCAGGACCAAGGCGGCGAGGAAGGCGGAAGAAACTGGGAGGAAGAAGAAAAGTCCAGAATATAACATAAGTAACCCACACCTTCGTCCCCATCGCCCCTAGAACGCCGCCCAGATGCTAGCCGGAAACAATATGATGAAAAAGACGAGTCTTGGGCGCCTCGTCCCAACGACGCGATGTATGGGGTTGGTTTACGAATCCGTCACCAATAGCCACCCCCGACCTCCGAAATCTCCGTCTCCGTCTCCGTCTTCCTCTTCCCCCTCGTGCGTCTTATCCTCCTGTCCCGGCCATTCCACCTCCTCGAAATCGTGAAGGGGTTCGGTACCGCATTTATCGGAATCGCCGCCCTACGGCCCGTAATTCGAGGCATCGAGTTTGTCATCGGTATCGAGAACCCTGGAGGCGGAGACGAGAGCGGTTAGTTTTCCCTTTCGTGCACCCCGAAAAGGGAGGGAAATGGGTGTCGGGGAATTGCAATATATATATATATATATGCTACTTACGAGAACTGCTTCACGAGATACCCCTCGCCGCCCTGCTCCATGTCGATGTTGAAGACGTAGAAGCCGCCGTCGCTCGTCACCACCATGACTTGCGGGCTGCTGCTGCTCATCGCGACGACGCTGCGCAGCTGCTGGCCGGCCGCGTTCCCGCCGCTCGGGCGCAGCGCCGCCGCCGCCGCCGACGAGTTGGTCTTGGGTATCTTGATGTACGCGAAGTCGCGCAGCGGCTCCCACATCTCCGTCACCGTCTGCGGCAGGTAGTTGCCCACGACGCCCGCCACGCTGCGGCCCATGATCTGCGACGACCGCCGCAGTATGCTGCTGAAAGACCCGCTCTGCCTCCTATGCGTCGCGGGGGGCGCCGCGTTGATCGCCGCTGACGTCGAAGCGAGGTCCGCGACCTCGCTGCGCGGCGAGCCCTGCGCGCTGCTCGTCGAGTCGTTGCCGCTGTCGTAGCTGCGGCTGCGGGACCAACGATCTGACCGGGGGGATCCGGGCGCCTCGGACGGGTTCCCGCCGGGTCCCGGCTGCTGTAGGCGGAAGATGTGTATCGTTTCTGAGGTGGAGGAGACGCAGAGCAGGGAGCTGGCCATGTTAAAAGACATGCTGTAGATCGTGCTGGGGTACGTGCCGCGGCGGAACTGGAAGAGCTTCTGGCCGCGAGGTACCGAGAATACGCGGATGATAGTCCCCGTCTCGCTTGCCGTTGCCAGCAGGTTCCCCTCGTTATTGAGCGCGATACACGACAAGGGCGAGCGATGGGCTTCGATGACGTTGACGGCCTTGAGCGTTAAGGTGTCGTATATTAGGACATCGCCCGACGTCACGGGAGCGTAGAGGGAAGCCGGCGGGGCATGTGATGGTCTCTTGTCTTGCGTGTCGTCGCGGGGTTTCGGCAGAGGGTAGGCGAGGTAGCAGTGCTCGGACGAGGGCGAGAGAGCGCAGACGGCGCTAGGGTTCGGGGAGGTGGCGATGTTGGTCAGGAGTGACATGTTGGAGATGTCATAGAGGTAGATCTCGTCCTCGAGCACGACGGAGAGTCGTTTGCGATTTAAGCGGACGGCGAGGACGGCGGACGGGAAGGTGAGTTCGCATATGACGGAGGCGCGTTTTGTGTTCTGTATTATGAGGTGGCGGGGCGAGAGGATGAGGGCGACGAGCGAGGTGGAGAAGAGCATCTCGATGATGGCGATGTTCCCGTCATCGCTGCTGAAGATCTTGGAAAAGGGATCCGTATGGTAGATGCGAAACCCCCTCGAGGTTCCTGAAGCCGTTAGCTACCTGGAAATATGCTCAGTAGCAACACGAAGCAACCGAGGGGAGGCGTACCAACAGCTAGGCAGCTGTGATCCTGGTTGAAAGTGATGAAATTGAGCGCCGGGTTCGCCATGGCTGTAGAGATGCGCCCGGCCGGCTGTCCCTCGCTTCGGATGAGTTGGGTGCGCAGGCGCGTGCTGTCCGGCCTGGAAATGGGGGGACCTGAAGCTCTGGTCGACTAAAAGTATGGTCGTGTAGCGGAGCTCTGGAGGGGTGAGTCTCACCAGGTGAATGTCGTCTCGATCCGAGGGTTGGTCTTCGCCGTCATGACAAAAGGGCAATCTGATGGTAAGCTGGCGTAGGTGCGATCTTTTCTCGAACAAGTGAATGCGGATGCTTAAATGGCAATGGCATTTATATCTGTAAACTATTAGATTGTCTGTCGGGTAGGGACCGGGAGAAGTGGGCTCTGCTCCTGGGACTTCGGGCCAAAGGTAAAGAGGTGAGACGGATAGGCAAGTCGAAGATTGCCGTCGTTGCAGACTGGTGGTAGAAATAAGAGGGGGTTGGAATTTGGCAGTGGAGTGGGGGGAAGTAGAAGAGGACAAGCAGAGGTAATGTACCTGCCTGCCTCACATGTACCCTAGAGGGGCGCACGCCCTACACCTGACGTGCCCGAGGTAGGGAGAGGTACATGCCTACGCTGGATAGAGGTACATACCACGGACGGGCACGTTCCTCTAGCGGCCCTTTTATGCGCTACCGACATTCCCTTATAGCACCTTACTGCGCCTATAGCCTCGAGAGCTTAGGTCGTTCTGGTACCCAATTAACTAAGGAGAGGTACCTATCTGAGGGTGGGCGCAGGGACTCGCACAAGATTCAATGGTGACGACTTTCCATGTCAGGTAGCTTCAAATGGAGGTTAGGTAAGGTGTGCTCCTGACCTAAGCAAGTATACACCTTGTATGGCTGTACGGAACTGTGCAGCAAACTGTACTCTACAGGTACCTAAACAATCTTCATGTTGAAACAATGTTGTAGGTAGGTAGGTAGGTGTAGAGGCAATCATTTGACTGCGTCGGGTCCGCCTGACTACAGGTGTTTCAGGTATGTACATATACCTATGTAACCTACTTGAGGCTTAATGGGAGGTAGGGTTTCTCTACATTTTCCCATTAGGTAGGTAGGTACCTCAGGTAGGTACTTACCTAGATGGTGCAGGTGGGTAATAGAAATTGCAAATTAAATAGAAGCAAATGAGCAGGTACCTAAGGTAGGCACCTGTAAGGCAGGTAGAGGAGGTACCCGTGTATTGAGGAAACTTCCCCGGCTATTAGGAGAGACTGAAAACATCTCTCCCTAATCTCTATATCTGATAACTTCTTCTCCGAGACAGTCCAATGCCGTACTGGATATGAGCACTGCGCCCAACAACATTAAACACCTCTCACTGTATCCCAAGACCTCATAGTCGCGGCTATCCATTCTCCACCGGCCTCGATGCTGACCCAACCTCACCTCACTTTAGCCAGACCACATACATAGAGTCGCCAATGCTGCCTCTTGGATCATCATGGCCCCCTCACGCGCTGTCGAGGCTGGGCCCAGCCCGGATCGCTCGTCCAAGCAACGAGCCCTCGACGATCTAGTCATGGCTGTACGTCCCACATGGTCTGCAGACCGTAGTCCCAGTGCCATTCTAACACGCCCCTATGAAGACGAACAGCAGCAGCATTGTCTCTAAGAGGAGTGTAGAACGCATCTATTACCCGCATGAACCCCATTTCTTCCGCTTCTTCGTTAAGAAGTTCCAACGGCGAGCTCCTCTCATTAATCGTGGCTACTTTGTCCGGATGCACGTAATCGACCTGGTCGTTCGCCAGTTCCTCGAGAGGCCGTCCGAGAAGACCAAGGTGGTGGTAAACCTGGGTTGCGGGAGGTATGCTTTCGTATATAACTACCTCCCTCGAGCTGCCCCCTGACTTCCGCTAGCGATGTACTCCCGTGGCAGTGTATGGCCAGATACCCCGAGCGCTGCCGGAATGCGAAATTTGTAGACGTTGATTTTCCCGACCTGATAGAAAAGAAGCGGCGGGTCGTCCAGGAAACTCAGGAACTCAGCTCCCCGTTGACCAGCCTGAAGACTAACACGGGAGCCCACATCTTGCTGCAGAGCGACCAGTATGTCCAGATTGGCTGCGATCTGCGCTACATACCCGATGTAGAAGCGGCGCTTTCGAGCTTCGTCGACATACCCCAATGCGAGTTTATGTTTGTAGCAGAAGTCTCCATCACTTACATGGAGACCGAAGCTGCGGATTCGGTCATCCGGTGGGCGAGCGGCCTTGGACAAGGTAGGCCGTCCCTAGACATTAGCTGGCGCCCAGTAACCAGGACTAACGAAGCCCAGCTGAATTTTGTCTGCTCGAGCAAATTATTCCGGATGGCGACGACCATCCATTTGCAAAGACGATGTTAAGCCATTTTGAGAAGCTGAAGACTCCGCTGAAATCCGTCTTCACGTATCCCGACCTCCGAGATCAGCGTGTCCGGTTCTCCAGTCGAGGTTGGTCCTTTGTTGAGGCGAATAGTCTCTGGCAAATATGGTCGGATGATCGGTGGCTCAGCGCCCACGAGAGAGGAAGACTCGATGGTGTCGAGCCGTTTGACGAGTGGGAAGAATTCGCTCTTTTTTGCGGCCACTACTGCCTAGTCCTCGCAAAGACCGGCCCGGAAAGTCCGCCAACGTCTCGCCAAACCTCGAATCCTCGGGGGGATCTCAATATATCCCTGTCTTCCACGCAGGCAAATTTCAACGAATACTCGGGGGCTCGGGGCCAACGTCGATTCGGCGCCGTGCTGAAATTAAGGAACTCTCTCGGGGAGGAGTTCTTGGCTAACACATTTGGACTCGGCACAAATACGCGGTTAAGGTCATATGATGTTTACACAAAGGGCCCGCCTGTACGAGATGTCACCGTGAGCCACACGGGTCCGGGTGGCCGCATGTGTCACACCATCACCAGCCTGGGCCACCACGGGAATCTGCTCGTAGGTGGTAGGACTTCGCCATCCACAGCCATGAGAGACTGCTGGGTATTGGACAAGGGAACCAATGCATGGAAACGAACAAACGACCTCCCATTACCCCTCTATCGACACGGGATAACAAGGCTCGGTCGCTCGAGTCTAGCCCTTTTGGTTGGCGGGAAATCCGATTCGTTGACGATTTTTGACGGGTGCCTCCTGTATCAGCCAGGTTCCGGCTGGACGGAGTGCGAGATGTTGGGGTCAGAATACGTGCCAGTATTCGGTTGTTTACTAGCCAGTTCACGGGAAGCAACCTTCTCCGCGGCCGATTCCCGTGTCCAGTTTCATGGAATTCTAGCTGGCGGTATCTCTCGTAATGGCACGGTTGCGAGTCAAATTTTACGATGGATTTTAACACTCACAGAAAATGGCAAACCCTTGATTTCATTCACAATTTTGTCTAGCTTGAACTCCCCGGACTGCTTAGGACAGGGCACCAGTGGTACCAACGGCCCCGACAACCTAATCAACCGTTTTGGTGCCTCTGGTCTCGTTTCCTCTGAGGGGCACCTGAGCGTGATTGGAGGAATCATCACCAATGATGCGGTCACACGAGACCACGATATCCTAATCGTGCGTGTCTTGGGCACTGAGTATTGCCTTCATTCAGCCTCCCGAATAACGGCTGCCCCTCGACCGTTGCTGATAGGCGTTTCAGCTGACTTCACTGACGATGGTAAGTTAATTATCATGGGCGGTGGGGCTACGTGCTTTTCTATGGGGACATACTGGAACTCGGGATGTTATACTCTGAGATACCGTCTCGCGACCGTCAACCACGAGCCGGCGGAGCCGTCATATCACGACGGCCAGTGGGGATTCTCCAAGGTTATCGAAATCACAGATGAGGTAGAGTCACAACGCGCCTACGTCACTACGCCCACCGAGCACGGCACCGCTGCTGCGGTCGATATACCGAAAACCCGGGTCACCACGGCGGCCGAGTTTGCAGCTGTGTTGAAGGCTGGCAAGCCCGTGATTCTCGATGGAGGCGACTTGGGTGGCTGTACTAGGACCTGGTCATCGGATTACATCGTACAACAATTGGGCTTCGACCGAGAGGTAAGAAATGCCGGATTTCATTTCCTTCCCCTCGCTTGCCTTGACATGTCTTCCCCGCCCCCTCGTCACCTCCCTTCCCCTCTCTTGAAAAGGGGGGGTTGAGTCACCTAGACAACATGACTTCGCCTGAGGAACGGAATTTATATAAACTGGTAGATGCACAAACTCACGTCCGAGCCCCCAGACTGCCGACACGCGCAGTGCCACCAGAAACGACACGCGCAGTGGCCCAGTGGTCCGGGCGGCGAGGTCAGCAAAACTTCGGGCTCGCCTGGAACAGGCCAGGTCAGCCGGGTTCGGGGTTTTCGTAGGACATCCTAGGTTCGACTTGGCCCGAACTGAGGGTGACCGAGCTTTTTTACCACTCTGCTGGCCCTATATCCCATCCTATTATTTCCAATTGTCCTTTCTCTTCTAAAAGCAGTGGGCCATTTAATTCCTCAATCCTATTCCCTCTCCTCACCCTTTCTCGTCCTCGCAATGCTTCCCCCCCATTTCCTATCACCCCAAGTCTTCGTACCCATCGCCGGTGAACGACGCACGCTCCCCAATTTCTCTACGTCGAGTCGTTCTGTTTCAGATGCGCTGTTACCTTTATACTAAGCTATCTACAGGTAATCGTCCATGAAGCTGGAAGCTCCAAGATGGATTTCAATAGCAAGAACTTTTCCTACGTAACGAAAAAGTTGGGCGAAGTAATACGGGAGATTGAAAACGGCCATACGTTATATCTGAGAGCACTTTCGGAGAATGGTCCAGCCAGCCAGCCCGCTAATATACAGACCGACTTCCCGCGACTAGCCGCCGACTTTCGACTGCCTGATGCACTGGCATTCATCAAAGAGAATCTATTCAGCTCTGTTTTGAGAATAACAGGCCTTGTTAACATGTGGTTGCACTACGATGTAAGAGCTGCGAAGTTGATCTCCTGTGCGGCATATTTACGATACGGCAGGTTATGGCGAACGTGTATTGCCAAATATTGGGCTCGAAGAAGTTCGTTCTGTTCCCGCCGTCAGACATTGGCCAGCTTTCGTTCCCCCCGGGCTCGTCCAGCTCTAGTGTGGATGTTTTCTCCGAGCTCGAATCGCCATCTCTAGCCGAAACTCACCCTCACAAAGCTGTATTAAAGCCAGGTGACATATTATATCTCCCACCCCTCTGGATGCATACTGCCGCTCCGATGGACAAATTAGGCGTTGCTGTCAATGTCTTCTTCCGCAACCTCGAAACTGGCTACTCACCCGGAAGGGATATCTACGGAAACCGAGATCTTCTAGCGGTGAGCCCCCTTATATTTGGAGTCTCGGGTGTTGAGATACCCTCAAAGACACATTTATGACATCAAAATTTGCTCCAGCAGTTGATGCTAACGTTAAACGGTATAGTATGAAAAGGGCCGTCGGGATGTTGCGCGTATCGCCAGCTCGTTTAACAGACTACCCCCGGACATGCGGGAGTTTTATATTAGACGGTTAGCGGATGAGCTTGCCCATAAAACACTCGACTAAGACGCCATATCAAAGACATAGTTGGTGTTGTATCCTGAAGGCCCGTCGGGTGCTTGAGCTTCTTGTCCAGATTCGCGAGGCCAAGTTTCACAGCAGGCGTAATAGCGGACACGCAAATTAAGGTCGATGAGATACGAATAACTCACCTTGCACGTGTACAACATTCGGGTTCGTTCCAACGACCGTTGCCTCGATTACGGCCTGGTCTAGTGAATGGTACATCGACGATAGTGTAGCGCCACAGTCACCCGCGATAAGGTGATCGAATCTATATCCCAAGGAATTTCACGAGCGTAATCTACGTAACAAAAAACCCTAATGCTTTGATTAAATTCGGGCCCATGCCCTTCTATAACATGCGGCGACCGGACCGAAGCGTTGAGATTATATCACAGCTACCTCACTTTCACGGGCCTTTTCCGCCTCCCTCCGGCGATCTCTCCTGTGGATGATGAACCAGGTGGTGAGGAGCGCCGCGATATCGACGCACAAGAATCCAAGACAGATTCCGTACGATACGTGGTAGGTCGGCCCAAATACCGTGCTGTAGACGTGGGGACCGACTATTCCGCTGAACTGCGCCATCGCATTTGTCCAACCGATACCAAACCCGGCTGCGAGAGTACCCTCGAGAGCCCGGATGCTGTACGAGAGTTAGCAAGGCATGCTATTGAAGAACCTAGGGCTATCAAGGCTACATACCGTTCCGGCCAAATCACGGGGTACGCGGAACCGGCGCAAGCAACGGCAATAATCAAGAATATATACCGCACCACCGGCTGGTTAACTGTGAACAAGACAATATAACAAACGATGATCGTTGAAGCAACTGTAGCCTTTGTCAATACCATGGTTTCGCACATACAGAGACGAATACTCACTAGCTACTGCTGTGGTCCAGGGCCGGATGACCTTTCTATGCAGAAAGTAGCCCACCGTGTTTAAGAAGAGGAACGCAGTGACGTACGGAGGCTATCGCGTGTGTGTCAGATATACAACTAACACGACGAGTGGCAGCATACATAGGGATTCTTACCATGTTCATCAACTGCGATTTGGAAGTCGTCGTAAAGCCTAACTGGTAGACAACTGTGGGCAGCGCCGTGCCGACACCGAAGCCACCGATCCCATGGCAGATCCAGTAAACCGAGAAGGTGTAAAAGGTAGGATCCTTGAGCAGCGTTTTCAGGGATTTGGCATCCCAATGCCCCTTTTTGCCCGTCGGAGCTGTCGCGGCGAGGCGATCCTTGAGAAACTCGCGCTCTTCCTCGGTGAGCATCTTAGCTGTCTCAGGGTAGTCTGGCAGCCAGAACGCGACAAACGAGAGCAAAACAGCAGGCAGACCCTCAAGTAAAAAAAGCCATCGCCATCCGGCAAGGCCGCCTAATCCATCCTACGGAGCACACGGGGGTTAGCAAAATCACTCGGGGAGCTTAGCAACCGACGGGGGGTTGAAGGGGGGTCGGAGTGGACATCTCACCATAAATCCTATGGCGTACGCCAACAAACCGCTCACCGCTGGAGACAGCTGCCCTACCGAGTAGAAGATAGCGATACGCTGCGGCATTTCCTTCGGCTTGTACCAGAAGGCCATGTGGTACAGCACCGCGGGGAAGAAACCCGCCTCAGCGAGGCCGATGGCAAAGCGAACGCACATCATCTGAGTTCATCACGTCAGTGTGCAATGACTTCTAGACGAACCCCCGGGGTGTCCCGAGTGTCTCAGGGCATCATCACACATGTATTATCACACATGTATACTCACCCCCTTAAAGTCCTGCGCGGCGGCAGACGAGCAAGCAGATACCCCCCAGGCGAGAATGAGGATAAACATCCACCTCGAGGGTCTTAAGACCTTCATCATGATGGTGTTTGACGGCTCGAATACCATATAGCTGTACGAGAATATGGACAGCGACCAGGCCCACTGCGAAGGACTCAGGCCAAGCTGCTGCTTGATACCCGTGCCATTCTCGAGATTGATAATCGCCGCATTAGTATAGTTGGCCGAGTCGATGACTCGGAAGACGTAAACGAAGGAGTAAAAGCCCACGAGCCAGAAGTCTATCTTCTTCATGACCCTCTTCTCGAGCTCCGGATCGAAGACCCGCGGCTCCTCCACGATCTCGACATCGCTGCTGCGTTTGGCGACCGCGACGTCGTCGGCTATCACGTCGACTTTCTTCACGCTGGCAGCCATGATTTGGTGCTGGTTTTGGTAATGACAAACCCACCACCGAGAGAAGGAGAAAAGGGAAATGCAGCGGGCAAGCTCTGTCCGTATTATATGGCCCTCCGACCTAGGCCTGAGGTTGTGCGCAAGGAATCATGGACCCCGGGAGAACGAAAATGACGAGCGGCCAGGCTGGATTCGGCCTCTAGACACCTCCACGGAGATGGAGATGCTGGGTAAGCAGAGTCCGAAGCGAGGTGACGTGCAGTATCAATATCGCAGGGGAACATCGCGCTAGACAACGATTCTCGCTACCTACTGCGCGGCAACCCGAGCACGACGTCCGCCTCGTACGTTATGTTATCGCGTCATGCGGTTGGGGATGGTAACACTTGGGCGATACCGAAGGCCTAACCTACGCAAGAATAGCCGGCGGCAAGAAGGGTGCCTATCGCGCGCGCTCCGTAGTCCAGATGTAACCTAGCTAGCTATACGTCTGTTTCTTTTCGGACAGCGGCCTGCAACGTGCGCGAGGCGGCGATCCGGTAGGGTCCATGGAGGTCGATATTACGTACCGTGGATTTGGCGATAACATTTCACCGACACGGGGAGGCATCCCGATGGTGTCGGGACGATTTGAGATGCTCCGGAGGTTGGTTGGCTCTTATTGCTGGATCGTCGAGCACGCGTGCGATGAGGTCGATGGGAACATCGAGCACGCAACAACCCCCGCTCCTCATCCCCGGACGAAGCAATCCAATCGGAGAGTTGACTACACTCTCAAACGGGTTGCGTACAACATGCAGGTTTGAGACACGGCGCGGGGATCGATAAGAGGGCAGGACTGCCTGGCCGTCGTCGCTTAGCAGCGAGCGATAGACAAGACACATATGTATAAGTGTGTGTAAGAGTATCGTCGGGCGAGTATACGTAACGTCACTCTCGACTACTTGATGTTACCCAGTCGAACCCCATATATACAGGCTTACTGCTATCTTGCTCGCTCCGTCCCGTCCTTGGCCGAACTAGACCACGCCACAAACCCCAGACCCAAGACCCAAGCCCGTGCCCAAGCCCACGGCAAATAAGAGCGACCAGACATTCTTGACGGGACCGTCCCTTGACCGCTTCGCGCCACGCGGCAGCATCCCGCCGTATCACAGCATACTATAGCGCAGCCATGGCCCCGATCGCGATCGAGACGCCGGCAGAGGCGGCGGCGCAGGTGCCGGACCCCGCCGAGAAAGTGCTGATCAAACCGTGGACGCGGCCGCCGCTGACGGCGGAGACGCTCGACTACGCCGAGCTGCCCAAGATCGACCTGTCGCGGTTCGACGAGCCGGGCGGGAAGCAGGAGCTTGCGAAGCAGCTGTACGACGCCGTGACGCGCGTGGGCTTCTGGTCCGTCGTCAACACCGGCATCGACGACGAGCGCGTCCTGCGCCAGTTCAGCATCGGCAACGCCTTCTTCAAGGAGCCCCTCGAGGAGAAGCGCCGTTTTCCCTGTAACTTCGCCGACGGCGAGTACTTTGGCTACCGCGAGAACTCCCGCTGGGTCGGCGACACTGGCATCAAGGAGAACATCGAGATGGTGCGTCCCTGACCCCGGCTCCTGTTCCGTCTTTCGCTATTCCCTTTCCCTGTCTAGGATCCCTACCTGGTTTGGGCGAGCACAACTGTATACCTATATGCCGCGCTATCTATCTCCATTCCTGTCCGTCTGTCCTCCCTGGACACACGGGCTGCCGCGGTTACGTTCTTTCTTGACTCCCTGCCTGCTTGCCTATCCACCCGCCTACTTACACAGGGCGGCCAAACAGTTGAACATCCCGAAGGCTATCCCGGCGTACGAGAGCGTCGGGCGGCACCGGATCGTGGAACAGAATCGGGCGGAAATCGACGCGTTTCACCGGGAGCTGTGGGACAAGGTGATACGGAAGCTGTTTGTGCTCATCGCCATCATCCTCGAGCTGCCCGAGAACTACCTCGTCGACGCGCACGCCTACGGCGAGGAATCGGACGACCACCTGCGCTACATGATCTACAACGTCCGCACCCAGGACGAGTGGGACCGCACCCAGGCCTACAGCAAGGGCGGCCACACCGACTTCGGCAGCCTCACCCTCCTCTTCTCCCAGCACATCGCCGGTCTCCAGATCCGCACCCCCGAGGGCGACTGGAAGTACGTCAGCCCTGTCGACGGTGGTAGTAAGTTAAGCCCCTTTCCCTCGTTCTCTCTCTTTAAGCCAAGCTGGAATAGCTCGCCCTTTCTTTATTTCGCGCGCATGGCAGAGAGGACGCGGGGAATGCGTAATACTGACACAGATCGATCATAGTCACCTGTAACGCGGCGGACACCCTGACGTTCCTCACCAATGGTAAGACCTCGTCCCCCCTTATCTCGCACTTTCCAGCGCCGCCTTACCCCTCCTCTCCTTGCCCCAACCTATGACACCGCATCGTCAACGCACTCCAACCCTGGTCCCTGGTCCCTTGTCCCCCCCCCCTCCTCTCCGGTCCCACCCTCCCTTCTGCTTCCTCACCCGCTTCGACCCGCCTACACGCCACCTACGTGGCTGACCCCGATCTGCTCACCCGCTTCTCGTTCCCGCCCGCTCACTCGGCCAGGCTTCATCAAGTCGACGGTCCACCGGGTGGTGACGCCGCCGCGGGACCAGATGGCGACGGCGCGGCTGGGGCTGCTCTACTTCAGCCGGCCGGGGGCGCGGACGGCGATGCGCACGGTGCCGTCGCCGCTGCTGGAGCGGCTCGGGCTCGTGCGCCCCGAGGACCGCGACCCGGACGCGCCCGTCGTCTTCGGCACCGACTACGTCCGCGCCCGCGTCCGCGACGTCCACCACAAGGCCGTGCTCGACCGCCGCGAGGGCACCTCCTTCGAGTTCAAGGGCCTCAAGGTCCAGAACTACTACGCGTAAACACGGACAGACAGACGGGCGGACGGACGGACGGGTGTAAGCGTGCTCGCGCGCGCGCGTTGCAAGGAACGAGAGAGCGCGCGAGCGAGATAGCCAGCCGGCCACCTAGATAATTGGGCATCTAGGCACACGCAAATTTACGTCTTTACTGCTGTAGATGCGTGCGAGTAGAGCCGAGCCGAAATATAGGTACTGTTTCTTGCACCGACCTGCCTCTGGGCACGCCCGGCTACTGCGCGCGTTAGGTAATGCTAAGGCGCTATACCCGCGCCAGCGACCCCAAGCGAGCTCGGCGCGGCCCAACCCAGCAGCCAAGAGCCCTCTTAGATCTGAGTAAAAGCTTCGCGTAGCCGATTCTAAGAGCCCAAGTGGGGAGGACGAAGTGGCTGGTTAGGTGGCATGAAGACTAGGACAGAAGAGGAGCGGTAGAGGTAGGTACATGGTAGGTAAACGACCTGGATAGTACATACCTACCTACGGCTCTCGGTTACGACACACCGATTCCATAGAGCGTGGGTGGTTCTGCCTGGCTAATGTTACACTGTCTTGACTCTATTTCTTGCGCCGCCATCGCGCGTTTCAGGCGGGCTCGGCGGGCTCTCTGTCGCGATGGGGACCCCCTTCTTCTCCCCACCACCGCTCGGCCGCCGCCGCCGCCGCCCGACCCGATCCCGCGGCGAAACGTCCCGGCCGTCTCGAGGGTCTCGCGGCCGGGGTGCCGGTAGCGGACCTCGTACGTGAGCCAGCGGTCGACGTGCGGGACGCTGAGGTGGAGCGAGGGGAGGGCGATGAGCTGCATGCGCGCCGGGTCCAGCACGCCGGGGTGCAGCGAGCGGGTCGGGTCCTCGGGGCACGGGTAGCCGGGGCGCGGCGCGAACTCGGGGCTGCCGAGGTCCAGCGGCTCCTCGAGGTAGAGGGCGGGGAGGGTGTAGCGGACCTTGGCGGGGGCGCAGCGCGCGAGGAGGGCGGCGAGCCGCCGGCGGTCCGCGGGCGCGAGCGACTCCCGGAACGGCTTGGCGTGCTCCAGCAGGAACGGCTGGACCACCACCCGGTACGGCAGCCGGTGCCGGATCCAGATCCAGAACCGGTTGTCCCACAGCTGCCACAGCGGGTGCGGCGTCATGCCCCGGACGCCGTCCGCCGGCTTGACCGCCCAGTACTGCGTGCGGACGCGCGGCAGCGGTAGGGTGGACTGGTACGGCGCGCGCGAGAGGAGCCAGCCGGGTGGGCCCGAGCCGGACTGCGTCGGCACGAGATGGACGCCGCAGACGTTGAAAGCCTTCGGGGGATGATATATCGCCGTCGCCTCCTCGGGCAAGGCAAGAGACGGGAAGAGCCGAGGCACGAGGTTTTCAAGGTTCACTAGGGGGGTGAGTTCTGATTCCGGGGTCACGAGCTCGAGGATTTTGCGCATGACGATGGCAGCAATTTCTCTCTGTTTCAGGATGCGCGCCCGGCGGCGCTCCGGCGAGCGGAGATCCCTCTCGGCCTGGCGTGGCGCGGACTGGGGGAAATGGACCGTCACCATGCCGGAATGCGGTATAAGATCGTGGACAATAACCCGAGCCAGGAGTCTTTTGGCCTCGGCCTCCTGGATCTGGACTCTTCGCCGGCACCTCTTCGCGAGCGCTAGGATAGCGGGTTTCTGCAGAGCTTCTGGTAAGGTATAGCCCTTATACATATGCCTGATAGCGTTTCTCATCGTAAGCGTGGGGTCTCGGTTCGTCGCGTCGTCGAACCACGGAATGTTGTTCTCTAAGCACGTCGCTATCAGCCGGTCTTTGCTAAACTCTAGCAAGGGCCGGTAGATCATGATCCCGCCGTCTTCGACTTCGACATTCTGCGGAAGCTCTACGCCCTTGTCTTGTTTCGTACGGAAGCCTATATCTACTATGGGCTTCTGTATTTTCGGCAGATAGAACGTCTCGGCGTCGAATTCGCTGATCCCGGCCACAGAGGCCTCTTGCGTCTCTGCGTGGTCTGGGGGACCGTCGAAGTGCGACCTGAGCTGGCTGCGTATCCTGTTGCGCTCGCTCCGCGTCGGCTTCATGTTGTAGAAGGGCTCGCTGAGGCGCTGGTCGTCGACGAAACCGCTGCCGTGGGCGCCGAACAGGCCCTGGCACTCGGGGATATTGCAGGCCTCCTTCATGCCTTGCAAGCCGCGACTGCCGTGCCCCTGCAGCAGGCGCATGAGGACCGTCTCGTACTGGTCGTCCTCGTGGTGCGCGAGGAGGAGGCTGCCAGCGCGCCGAATGGCGCACATGGCGCCCAGTTTCCGATAGCGAAGCGTGCGGGCGACAGTCTCGAAGTTGGGCAGTTCGCTGGGGTGGCCGTAAGAACCGAGGATGCTGGTCCAGCGGAGCCGGTGGACTTCGGCGGGAAAGCCTATCTTCTTAACCGCGGCGCAGGTCGCGTTAGCTTCCCCGGCCGAGGCGGCGCGGAGGCCGTGATCGATGATGAAGCCGCGGAAGCCGGACACGGGGTTGTCGGCGATCATGATGTCGGGGTTACTCTTGCGCGACTGGAAGCAGAGGAAGGCTAGGGCCATGGAGTCGACGCCGCCGCTGACAGCGATGGCTTTTGTTTGAATGCGCGTAAGCTGCTCTCTGCCCCGCGAGAAGCCGGACGAACGAAGGAGGCCCTACTAACCGACAGGTCTACGCCGTATCCCCCTCGCCTGAGGGAAACGGGGCTTGCAAGTGGCGCGCACCGCATCGATAAACTCGGACACGGCAATCGGCCTAGCGCCCGGGTGGAGGACGTTGTGGATCGTGCTCATTCCATCCTACGACGTGATCGCGCATCTCTAGCTAGAAGGGTATAGATATGAGAGGAAGTGTAGAGAATATTGATTTTTTTTCCCCGAGGTACCTACTAGTTTTGAAGGGTATGCAGTTATCGCATTCAACCAGACCCCTATTTTACTGATACGTAACGTCATTTTTCGGCTAATAGACTATCGATAGAAATATGTATATAAGCATCGCAAAGCAACTGAGGGACATGATAAGCGATAAGCGAAATACCAGCCCGCCGCCGGTACCGGGCCTTCAGCGTAGCTCACCCCCACCATCCCTGATTTTCCCAAGTCACTTACTCCCTACGAAAATATCTCAACAACCTGACTCCGAACCAAATCAAAGGGGGCCCAGCTCCCCCTGTGTCGCCGTCGCCGCCGCGTTGAGGCCCTCCGTACCTGCTTTCCCTTCAATGCAGGCAGCATTTGTCCGCTCCCGCGCCGATCCGAGCATTCGCAGCTCCCGCCCGCCGCAACCGAGGACCCAGGACCTCGACTCGCCACGCCGTTTGCGCGCGCGCGCGCGCACGCGACCTCTTCCCTTCTTCGCCCGCAGCCGCCGAGTCAAGAGATAGACGCGGGTAGCCCGCCGCAGCCCGCCCGCACACACCGCGAATGGTTGTGGGCGCGTCGCCGCCGCCGCCGCCGCCGTTCGCCACGGCCCTGCTGGCGGGCGGCATCGCGGGGACGACGGTGGACCTGTCGCTGTTCCCGCTGGACACGCTGAAGACGCGGCTGCAGGCGCGCGAGGGCTTCTTCCCGTCGGGCGGGTTCCGGGGCATCTACCGGGGGGTCGGGTCGGCGGTGGTCGGGTCGGCGCCGGGGGCCGCCTTCTTCTTCTGCACGTACGAGGGCGTGAAGCGGCTGCTCGCGCCCGGCGCCGGCGCGGCTGGCGCGCCGTCCCCCCTGCACCACATGCTCGCCGCGTCGCTCGGCGAGGTCGCCGCCTGCGCCGTCCGCGTCCCCACCGAGGTCGTCAAGCAGCGCGCCCAGGCCGGCCTCCACGGCGGCTCCAGCGCCGCCGCCCTCGCCCACATCCTCCTCCGCTCCGGCGGCCCCCTCGCCGTCTGGCGCGAGCTCTACCGCGGCTGGGGCATCACCGTCATGCGCGAGGTCCCCTTCACCGTCATCCAGTTCCCCCTCTGGGAGGCCCTCAAGACCTGGAGCCGCCAGCGCCGCCGCCGCGCCGACCGCGCTGCCGCTATCCTAGCCGGCCGCGGCGCCGGCAGCACCACCGGCCGCGCCGACGTCACCGCCGGCGAGAGCGCCCTCTGCGGCAGCCTTGCTGGCGCCGTCGCTGCCGCCGTCACTACCCCGCTCGACGTGCTCAAGACCCGCGTCATGCTGTCCAAGGAACGCCAGAGCGTCTTCGTCGTCCTGAGGGACCTGCTGTCCAACCACGGCATCCGGCCCTTCTTCGCCGGAATCGGGCCCCGCGTCATGTGGATCAGCGCCGGCGGCGCCATCTTCCTGGGCAGCTACCAGTGGGCCGTCAACGTCCTGCAGGGGAACATTTTATGACACCTTTACATACGATGACACTAATTGAAAACGAAAACCGGGATGAGAAAGCACTTACTATGGGAACGGGTGCTTGAGAATGCAACCCCGCTCTCGCTCTCGCCGTGTATAATCTCGTGGGGTATAATTATATATATATATATCCCGAGTTGTGCTTCCGAGCACGACTCGGGATGCGGGGTGGACGAGTGCCATTATCTATGTACAACAGGTGACAGAATACCCCCTTTAGACTTGCCGGATATAGACATAACAGATGATACCCTCCCGATTGTTTACCCCTTTGCCTCAAACCACTTCAACCCACAGTAGCGATCGGTGATGGGACCGTCGTAGCCGCCGCCGGCTGTCCTCCAGCTTCCGGCGCAGCAGGCTCTTCTACCGCTTGCGGTTTCGGCAGTTCCTTGGGAATTTCCTTTCGGCCATTCGCCTTGTAGTACAAGACGACATCATTACCTCCTTTCCATATATGGGCTCGCAGAGTGGCGAGGCTCATGGTACTAGGTAGCAACTGCACATACTCTCTTGTCAGCATCCTAGTCCGATTCCTGATTGACACCGCTGCTTACCTGATCGTTGCAATACAGCTCCATGTATTCCTCTGGTTTGAGGGCATCCGAACCCGCTTCCTCGTACGTCGGATCGATCCTTTCGGCGATGTACGCCAGGATTTTCTTGACCCTCAACATCCTGTTGGCGTTGAGGCGATTGTTTCCGTCCGCCGCCGCGATGCTAGGTAACGAGTCCTTCCAGGGATACAAGACAAACGATATCTTGACCGGCTCTTTCTGCGGTATCGTGTTCTATCAAGGTCAGTAAGTTATGTGTTCAAAAGATCATCGATGACCTAGAGGTTATGAGGCATACCGTGAGGAGCACTTCGCCCAGCCACACCGGGGCTTTCTCCTCGATAATATCTGCGTCTACGCCGACGGTCATAACCGTACCCCGGTACAGGTTGGCACTACCACCCGATGTCTCCTCTTGGATGATAACCTTGGTGCCGGATGGGAGCTTCAACACTGGAGCGTCGATAGGAAGGGCCGGTGTGATTTTCGTCTCGATGGTGTTATCCGGATTCTCGAGGAGTTGCTTCTCGTACTCGTTATGGATTTTCTGGATTACGCCGCGGAGATTGTCGTCGACTTCTTTTTCGTGATTAGACGACGACTCCGACTTGTTTTCCTCTGGCTTCTCTTCCGTGGCGACGGGTTTCTCGACGTTAGCAGCCGCCGACTTCCCAAGCTTCTTGGAACCAAACGACATGCCCATCCGGAACTTCTTGGCAAAAGGCGTACTCGGGGACTTGGCGCCATCCTTCTCTTTTTCTTTCGTCTCTACCGGGGTCTTTGGTGTCTCTTCCTTAGCGGGTGGCTGGTCCGCCGGCGCCGGGGTCGGGGCCGGGCCGGCTTTCGCGGTAGCATCCACCGAGCTAATGCCACCGGAGAAATAATCATCGCCGGACGGCCAACTATGGTGCGGAATAGACACCCTCTCGAGAGGATTAACCGGAGTGGCGATACCCTCGGAAATACCCGGTAGGTTCGAAGCCGGGGTAGCTAAGCCTATAGCTAGTCCTGGACTCATGGGTAGATTGGCTCCGTTCGCGCGAGGAGTCGTTACGGGCGAGTCGCTGGGTTCCCACCCTTGCACATTTGGCGCGGATAGCGGTATGGAGATCGGCGGGTTAAGTCGAGAAGCGGCCCGGCGGTTCTCGACGCCCTCGTTGAGCTTTTGCCTGTGAACCTCGTCGCGCTTGATTTCCTCGTCGATTAACTTGGCAAACAGATATCGCAGGATCCATCTCCCCAGGTTTACTGTGGCATGGTTAGTTTCCACCTCATAATTATATGTCTTGCGTGAGCCTACTCCTCTGGTCCTCTCGGAATTCCACGGGCTCTGCCAGAACCAATTCATCGGCGTACATTTCAGCGTCAAAGCAGTTGAAAGGCTCCAGCACGACGGTTAGATTTCCGGAGCTCGTATCGATCGAGCACCAGGGGGCAACCGCCTCGAGCGTGTTTATCGAGGGCTCGACGTCTTCGAGATGCTTCTTGCCAAACCTTTGGATAACTTCACACTACTTCGCAGTCAGCTCCGGCCGTCCGACTCCATTCCCGTAGAAACAACATACTCTTATCAGATCCCACAGCAGAACGTCTCCGGCCGTGTCCAAGGTCAAGACCCGCCGCCGGTCGTTGAGGAGTTTGTGCTTGACCAAGCCGTTTTGGCCCTCGACGGTTTCTTCTGGTAGGTGATGTATGGGCTCGATGGCAGGGACCGCAGAATCATCAGCTATCTCGGAGCCTTTCCTGGAAACCACGCCAGGTGCAGAATGAGGTTCGGGGGGGCCATCAAGTTCTGGCGGATAAATCGCGGTGTTTGATATCCTCAAAATCGATTTCGCAGGGATCTCGTGCTTTGCTTGCTCGTCGCCGGATGCCGTAGGCGGCTTCGTCGATCTTGAGAACGGACTTCCCACACGTAGATGCCTAAACGGCTCCGGAAGTTGAGCGTCGGGCCCAGTGTCAACGTCGGTCCACCGATTGATAGAAGAGCTAGAGGTGGCCGTCCAGATGTAGTCTCCGCAGGCCACCACTTTACTCACACCGTCGTGCTCCTGGGCGACGGCAACAGACAGCCCCTCATCCATCTCCACGACGCCTCTCGTGTCCGTCTTGACGATCAGACCAGATCGGTCGCTGCTGTACAAAACGGCCAGTTCGGGGTGCTCGGAGAAAAGCGACCAGACGCTGTCGTTGTGCATAGTCAGGGTATATACACACCGACCAGCGGTAACACTCCATACTTTGACAGTCTGGTCGGAACTAGCAGTCATGACGGTGTCGCCGGCCTCGTTCATGAGTATGGCGCGAATGTTGTCCGTGTGGCCCACAAACTTGGTGATCCTCTTGCCCGACTTCGGGTCCCACAGGCGCACTATGGATTCCGGACCGCCGCTGGCGAGAATATTTCGGCCTACACTCATGGCGTACACCGAGGCCTTCTCGCTAACGTCCTCTCCCCTGACGTCGATCTCCAGAGACTTCCCCTTGCCATTGAGATCCCAGAGGTATATCTTCCGGTCGAGTCCGCCCGAGGCTACCCAGTCGGCGGAGCTAGGTGTTGCGACACACTTGACATAGTCGGCGTGCTGACCGATGGTGTGAGGTTCGGCGTCTCCCAAACTGGGCCGCCATACCTTGACAGTCAGGTCGGAAGATGCAGAGACGAGAGCGGTATTGTTCGAGGCGAGTACGATGTCGTTGACCCAGTGGGTGTGGGCTTGGGTCGAGGCGCGAAACTTGGTGGTCGGCTGGGATCTCGAGCTGCGGGTGGAAGCGCGGTCACGGTCGGAATGGTTACCGAGATCGAGGTTCAGATCCCAGGCGCAGATGACACCGTCTCTACCCCCGGAATAGCTATGCGACAGCGCGTTAACGGGTGGGACGGGGTCGCATGCAGGCGATCGGGAGCTTACAGAATAGCATTGTCTCGGTCCACGGCGAGCCCGTTCACCCCGAGCCTATGGCCACCAGACGACGAATGATCCAGTTCCAGAACTGTAGCACAATGCAATTATCAGAAGCCAGGAGCTTTTTTTTTTTTTTTAAAAAAAAAAGTCGATTACTACAGGAATCGTGCAACCACGTAGCATAAGATCTAGCGATAGGGGAAAGGGAGAGGTCCGTGTGGATATGAAGACGGCCAACAGATCAACGACCGCACCATGCGGGGTGGATGAAGATCTACGGACACGAAGGGAGGAGGGGGGGGGGGACGGGACCAGGCCAATGTCGAGAGGGGGGAGATGCGGACGGACAGGAATCAGGACGACGAACCGTAGCTTATCCTTTGACGCGCCTTTTTGGCCATGGCGAGTAGCAATTTGTCGAGAGAGTCATGCGTAGAGAAGTTGATGGACGGAATCGGTCAAAAAGGGGTGTGCTAGCATGTAACGTGAAGATGGTAGCTACATAACGAACCGAGTATAGCTAGCTAGGTATGCATACAACGTGGACGGAATGTGCGCGGACAGGGAGGGTGGGAGGCCAAGCAAGGCGAGGCACGGCGGGTGAAGCGAAGAGGAGGGTGAATGAAGACGAGCGAGTGGAGGGGAGGGATCATGCATGGGTGGGCGGAATGGCTGGTTCGTCGGCGGATTCGGGGTAGGTAATGTGCATACGTGTAGACATGCCTTCATACGGCCAGGTAACGAGGGAAGAGAAGAAGAGGAGGAGGAGAGAGAGCGAGACGACGAACTAGCGAGAAGTGGGAGAGGATCTAAGCTTAGGTACCTAGACTCACCGGGTAGGTACCCAGGTAGGTACCTATGAGTAAGGCGCGTAGTGGGTGCGATGATGTAGACGATACCTACAGCGAGGCTGCCCATACCTCTTACACTGCGGTCCAGGTACCTAGCTTGCTCAGTTTGCCAGCATTCCAGTTGACCCATTTAGGTATCCGAGTGCTCGCAGGAGGTAGCGCCGTTGTAGCGAGAGCAGAACAATACCTATTCTTCCCTTCTGCGCCTCTCGTAGGGATGCGATCGGGGTCTCGGGCGGATCCCGCGCTCAAGTGCACGCGAAGGTCGCCTGCAGGCCGCCGGACCTCGTCCTCGGGACCAAGTCGAGAAGATGCGCGGTCTCGTCTCGTCACATCTCATCCCCATTCATCCGTCCCCTCCTGATGTTGGTACCTGTTAGGCAGGTATCCTGCGTTAGGTAGGATGTCGGTACCTAAGGGGGTAGGTAGGTTAGGCGCCTACCTTGCCTATAGAGCTTGGCACGTAAGGGCGTAGCGCGGCAGGGAAAACCACCCGAGAAGGCCCCTAACCTCCACACTGTCTCCCCGCGGGCGGGGACCAGAATCGGTGTACCTACTGCCTTAGGTACCTACCTGGATATCGATACATGCCTAGTACCTATAGGGACGACGATGCAAGGGCAAGATAATTTATCCGCTACCACCACGTCGAGGCCCTCGACTTCGTAGCACGCGACTCTTATTCTTCCTTCTTGTACATACAATACCATCGCTCCCTATGCATCCCTAATGCATTTTATGGTCCAAGTGCTCTCCACGACGCCTCAAAACCATGGGTTACGGTCCTACGATTGATACGTTTACGAATGCCCGTGCCAGCCGAATTCCGGGCGAGACCCCCTAATACGCAGAGCATGGACGTGTCGCCAGACAGAATCGGACAGAGCTTCCCTCCCGCCCGAGAAGAGAGCGAGACGGCGCCGTCGAGAGCTGTCAGCCCATCAGAGAAGGAGAAGAAGAAAAAAAGACCAATTAATCCACGCAAGACTCCACCCAGTTACGTTAGGAAATTTCTCTGTTGCGTGGGCACGAGAGCCTCGACCCGTCCGAAAGCTGCGAAACACAGCCTTTAGTGAGAAAGGAGGAGGCTAGTCTCCGTCCATAGACTCCCTCCCTTTTTTGCTCCCCCCCCCTAACCCTTTTGACGCCGGCCCAATGCATCCATGTGTCCAGTATATCCCCACCGCCGCCTTCTTCACGAACTCGCAGTCGTCGCCTCGCCCGGGCTATCCGAGGCGCCCGACGCCGGAGACGCGCTCAGGGTCCGCGATGGCGCTCGTTGCTGGTCGAGGAGGTACAGGGAGCGGCGTATCGTCTCTGCCGCCTTGCCGTTGGACGACGGCGACGGCGACGGCGACGGGCTCTTGGTTTGCTGTGCTGTGTCTCCCTTTGCGTTAATTGGCTTTCTTCTCGGGTCTAGAGAGGTAGGTATGTGATGTGCTTACCCGACGAGTGGCGCGAGCCCACGCTAGCCGAGGCCGTCGCCGTGCTGCCGCCCGCGGCCTTGGCCCTGCGCTCCTCCGCCGCGCACTCCGGGCACTTGGTGTCCCTCGGCCTCGTCGCTACGCGGCGCGTGCAGCCCAGCATCCCCGGCGGCAGCTTGGTCGGCCGGTCTGGCAGGAACTTGGGCTTATCGAGCAGCATGTCGTCACCGGCGTCGCATCGTCGGGCGACGTGGCAGGGGAACGTGTTCTGGTATATCTTGTGGTGGCAGTCGGGATCCCGGGAGATGGTCCAGATTTCGACGCACATGTTACGTAGGTGCGGCGGCAGCGGCGTCGGCGCGTAGGAGAGAGACTTGCTGGGGCTTGGGATGGTTTTTTTCCCTCCTGGATTGTCGGGTTTCGCCAGTAGGCAGCGCCGATGCAGAGAATGCTCCGAACCGTGAGGAGAGAAAAGGGAACGGGGTCTGTCAAAAGTAACGGAGTGAGATCGGCGAAATGAAAGGGACCGAAATACGAAGTGGCACGTCCGCGGTAGTTGAAAGCTGGGTGAGTACAGTGCCAGAATGGAGACTTGTTTTGGGGGTGCGGGAAAAGGGGATGATGAGGATGGATGCAGGGGCGCGTGAGGCTGCCGCCGCGAACTGTCGTGATATTTGTTTTATCCTTCTCAGCCAGTCCCCCTGGGAGATTTGAGTCGTTACTGGTAGCCCGCAGCAACGGCTACCTATGTGCTCTCATGGCCACAGCATGTAGCCGGCCACAATGAGCAACGGTTGCTGGCCACGACGCACAAAGACTTTTAATTTGTAGACAACGAATCGATGATTCCGGGCCGTCTCGTACCACAATAGCCTTTGGTGGATTATCGCCCTCCGCCTAGCCTTTTCCCCTCCCATTTTGTTCTTCTTTCTCCTCTCGAGAAACTGGAAAGTAGGTAGGTAATAGCTCGTGCTTTCGAGCGCGGGTCCCTCGGGATACAAGGCTCCCCACGGGCCATTTCTTAATGTGCGTGCTTCTAGGGACACTTCATTCCCACAGGCCCCAGGCTGAGCAAACCACACAAAGACAAACGAGTCACTTGACCACAAGATACGACCACGAAGACGTTTGCTCTGCAGGAGGTGGTGAGCAAGTAGGAAGGATAGGCCACCCGTATCCTCCTACCACCTATGGTGACGACTCACTCGGTTCTCTTACTTACACCCCGGCGTGGCCGGTGGGATATCCCCAGACCGTAAAGCTCGAATCGGGCTGGATAGGGCGAAATCGATAAATGCCTGCCTATCATTTTCCTGGCTTAGATGCGATTACTGGTATAGTTGTGTTCGGGAAGTTAAAAAAAGACGAGACAGCCAGTATCTGCTGCCCCTGAACACAAGCCGCTCAAGGGGGGATATCAATATCGCGGAAAATCCTCACTTTGGGGGTCATGGTTTCCAGTCCTTTCACGAAGCGCACGGTTGTGCCCTGCCCTATGTCTACCAGATACGCCTAACCACCAAGTAGAGGAGGCTACTAGAGCCTCCATCCTTATCGCTCATGATGGACACAGGAAAGCCCGATCATGGGCCGTCTGCCGTAGCGGAAGTCGACGGCCGACCAAAGCCAGCCGTTGCTTCGCGCGAGAGGAGGAGAGGGAGAGGCGGGAGGAACTCGTCAAAACCCACAGCACCCAGCAGACAGCTTCATATTCCCCTACCAGAACTTCAACCACCGTGGAATTCATAGCATATCCTCACCGGGGAGCCCACGTCTTCCTCACGCCAGTTATCCGTTGTTCGCTCCGGTACATCGATACGAATAGGGGCAGAGAAGAATAATTCCCCTCCTAAGAAACATCTACCTACTTCCCACATCTCTCTATTAATAGCTTTCTGGTATCATAGCGGCCGCCTAGCTACCTACCCACTATTTATGTCCCCTCTCCGCTCCACCCTCCCGCTCGCTCCCGCGATGTGCAGACTCGACCGGACGTTCACGGTCTGCCTGACGTGCGGCGCGGTCAGCCTGGACGCGCAGCGGTTCTGGCCGTGCGCGTATCGCAGCGGGACCTTGCAGAGCTGCCTGCTGTCGCGGCCGGCGAACGACAACCTGCAGCTGATCGTGCTGCCGCGGGAGGCCGCGCACTGGTGCCTGCACTGCGCGTCGGGGGAGCCGGCGCCGCGCGAGGCCACGCGCCGGGCCGCCACGGCGCTGCGCCGGTCGCTGCGGCGGATCGCGCGCCGCACCGCCCGGCAGCCGCCGCCGCTGCCGCCGCCACCGCTGTTATCACCACGGCCGCCGCCACCGCCACCGTCGTCGTCACCGTCGTGGTACCCCCACCACGCCGCCGACGACGCCGCGTGGGACGGCCCGCCTAAGGCGGCGGGCTCCCCGCCAGCCGGCGCGGCGCCCGGGGCGATCCGCTCGCCGCTCGAGGAGCCCGAGCTCCCGGTCGCCGAGCCCCAGCCGATCAACGTGTCGCTCGAGGAGCTCGAGCGCCTGGTCGCCGACGCGGCGCGTCGGGCGGTCGACCCGCCGCGAGAGCAGCCGGGCACGGGCAGGGCCGGGTCGCCTCCCTGGACCGAGGCCGTTCGTATTCCTCTCGACCAGGAATCCATCGAGTCAGCCGTGGCCAACGCGTATCGCCGTTTCCAGGCCTCCTGGGAGGCTGATCGTGAAAACCCTGGGGGATGACGATCTTCGACGACCTTCGAAGTCCCGATCCGCCCCAGAGCCGGATGCGCGGCGGCGCGGCTGGGAGCGGCGACGGCAAGTTGGGCCTTTGCGCCTGGTCCTGGGCTTTAGAGTTATGAGAGACGAGCGACTACACGCATATATATATACGCCTACCCATATCATAGGGAATCAGGGGGTGATGATTGTTTCACTGTCGTTTATGATGGATAGGGGGAGCGCAAGAGAGGGAGCAAGCGGCGCCGTCTCCTTCGCAGCGTCTGGTTCGAATTTTCTGTATTCTACGAGTAGACGGCGGGAAGCATAGAACATCCGAAATAGAACGCACCGTGTACGCGTATTAGCAAATAGACTATCTCCCCCAACACCTCTGCAAGCGCCCTCCCAGTCCGCAAACATCAGGGTATCTATTCCCTACTTATGAAGCCGACGACGCAGGTATTATACTCATCCCCCTTACTCCCGCCCGATGAGGACATCCACGTCCCCAGACACAGCCTCGACCTCGAGCGTCGAGCCGGCGCCGGCGCCGCCCTTGCGCGCCTCGACGCGCGAGCCGCCCCAGCCGCCGCGCTCGCGGACGATCTCGACGCGGCGGCCGCGCACGCGGAGCGCGCCGGTGCGGGTCTGGGCCGCCAGCGCGCCCTCCCAGGCGCGGGGGTAGCGCAGGGCGACGTCGCCGCTGACGGAGCGGTGGGCGGCGTCGAGGCGGGCGAGCGCGCGCGCCGCGCCGCCGTACCACGCCGGCTCGAGGACGCGGACGTCGGTGGCGCCGCTCGCGGCCGCGGTGTCGAGGCGCGCGCGCGCCGCCGCCGACCCCGCGTCCAGCACCGGCAGCAGCTCCGCCGCCACGTCGCCCGACGCGCTGCGCAGCGCCGCCCGCGACCCGAACGGCAGCGCCACCCGCACGTCCCCCGACGTGCTGCCCACGTCGACCGCGTAGTCGCGCGGCGGCAGCGGCGCCTCGCCCCGCACCGGCGCGGCCACGCGCACCGCCCCCGACACCGTGGCCACGGTCAGCGTGGCGCCGCCGCCGCCGGCCTCCGGCGCCACCGACACCCCCACGTCGCCCGACGTCGTGCGCACGCTCAGCGCGTCGCGCAGCGCCCACGGCCCGGAGACGCGGCCGGCCACGGTGCGGACGTCGGCGGCGCGCGCGGCGAAGGCGTAGGAGCGCGGCGCCGCCACGAAGCCGCCGCGCGTCGCGTTGCCGTTCCCGTTGCTGTCGCCGTCGCCGTACGCCCGAGGCCCCGCCGCCGCCGCTACCACGTCCCCCGGCACGGTCGCGATCGACGCGCCCCCGGCGACCCGCAGCGCCAGGTCCTCCAGCAGCAGCACGTCGAGGTGCGCCGCGCTCACGGCTAGGGAGGCGAGCTCGGCCGCCGCGGGCACCCAGAGCGTGGCCCGGATCTCGATGCACGGGGGCTGCCGGCCGGCTGCCGGCGCCGTCCGCGGCACGCCGACGCGCACCGTCTGCGCCTCCGCGTCGGCCGTCACGTCGACTGCGAGGTCGCGCGAGCTCGCTGCGATCTCCAGTGAGAGTCGCCCGGAGGCGGCGGCGGCGGCGGGGGTTCCGTCTGGGGAGGAGGAGGAGAAGGAGGGGGAGGGTAGACGTCGGAGGTTGACCTGTCCGCCCACGAGCACGGGGACGCCGCGGTCCCGCACCCAGCCCCACGGCGAGTGCTGCGGCTGCTGCTCCTCCTCGACGAAGGTGACGCGGCGGTCGGGGCCGAAGTTCAGGTGCAATATCTGCTCGGGGAAGTGGTACATGGCGTCGTCGCGGCAGAAGGTGGGCCAGGGGGACGGCGACGTCTGGTCTGCTGGCGGCTCCGGCCTGGTGTGCTTCTTGTCCTTCTTAATCACCATAGCGAGAAAGCCCGCTGGGTTAGCAAGCTGGCTCGCAGGTCTCTCGAATCGTCTCTGTGCGAGAAGGTGTCTCTCTCTACCGCTGGGTAAGAGGGCCGTGGGTAGGTAGATGCGTTGCAGTTTGACTCCAGGGGGATATTTGCGGAGAAGCTGGATGGGGAGGTAGGTGGATTTGTGGAAATGAAAAAGAGTAGATGGGCAGGGTTTGCTAAATGTTCTTGAGCGGTTTACTTACCCCGTTGTCATCCTCCCCAGATGTGCGGGAAGAGAGTGCTATGATTCGGAGAGGAATAGCCAATATGATGGAGACGAGAAGCACAACCAGCAGCAGTTTGCGCCACGTAGGTAGCTGCCCTCTGACTCGTCGAGCCCGCTGCTGTCGTAATGGTGGTGGCAGCAGTCGGAGTAGCGACGCGAAGCCATATCCTCTCCTCACTTCATAGTGACGCGGCGGCTGGCTCATGCTCGCAGGACACGCTGTTGCGCCAAGCAGCCTCTCGTTCTCGGCTTCTGCCGCACCCATCGCGGATGTGAATGTGTTGTAGCTCCTAGATTGGGTGCGCTCCTGGCTAGTGGTGTGACCGAGCAAGACGGGGGTTGTGGGAGAGGGTGAGTAGGCAGGCGGCGCGTCGGAATATACGGAGGGGGTGCGGCGCGGCGTAAGATAGCTTCGCAAGGGTACGCCCCATGATGACGACGACTGAGTGTGCGTGTGCGAAAACGTTGGACCGTGCTGTGATTCACGTGGGAGGGTAGAAATAGCGGCCTGCTCTGACTGGATTCGTTCTCGAGGATGGTTTGATCTGGGGGGCCGGCCGTCACTGTCGCGGTAGCCCTCCCCAGCTCTAAGTTGAGTATTTGATAGTAGCGACGGTGGCGATGATGAAGCCCCTCCCCCCTCTGTCTCACGAGCTTTCGGTTCACTGCCCGACTGATCTATCGGGCGCAAAGTAGGATCGCGGACTAAGACGTTTGGCACGAGCGGCACGGCATTCGAAGACCTGAAATAACCGTCCGTGGGCGATAGCTGCTCTGTAAAGCTCTCGCTGTCCGAGTAGTCTCCCGCCGCGGACGAACTATCGGGGTACGGCATTGTATATGGGAACGATTAAATCGTGGATAGCAAGACGACCAAGGCCAAGTAGTATTATCGCGGCGCGTCTTACGATAACGGCAAAAAATAGGAATAGGTAATCAGGTAAGCATGTAAGTACGTAGGTATTTACTAGGAGACGCCGGTAGTACACAAGCCCATAAATGGCAATCTAAGCCGGGAACTGGCATTGGAGAGCAAAGCTGCTCATATTCGCTAATCGCAAGATGAGTCTATCACGAACGAACGAGCGGTAGGAAGCGCTGCGGCGCGTGGTGGTTTAGCCCGCCCAGATATGGCCCAGACACAGCGCGATCATTGCCGGATCGGATGGTAAGCGGCATCCTCCCCCCTCGTTCATCCCAGTATGACTCCGATCGGGCTGCCTTGCCGAGCCGTCCTAGCCCTATTCCAGCTACGAAGGCTGCGTAAGCTCTGCCACCCTGGCGCGTACACACACTTCGTCATCGAGTAGCACCTCTAGCGAGGGCAGGCTATAGGCTTGAGCAGACGACCGAGCGGCGAGGCGATCCTCGAGGTCACCTCCATTGCCAGACGGCGTCGAGACAAGCAGGCAGCCAGCCGGCATACCCAGCAAGAAACCCGTACCGGGTAGCGAAAAGGGAAGCTCGATAGACGAGCTGCTGGTGGCGTCGGCGCCCCATTGGCTCATACCACCACACAACCAGCTCTATCTCAGGTAGCTAAGCCGGATGTATATAGTCTACCCTGCCCATGCATGCCACTATCGCCATCTATGGCCTCCCTTGTGCATATTCTCCGTACACAGATGCGTATACAGTGTACGTATGCCTACATGCAGAATGTCTATCTTTCTGCATCATGTACGTATGTATGTACGTGTGTATGTACGTATGTAAGTCTGCCCTCCTCCCACCTGGTGCCCCCCGAAGTCCTACACATTCTCCCCGCTCCTCTCTCCCTCTCTCTCTCTTACGTTCTGGTGGTACGTCAGCCACCGGCTCATCCAGGCCGCCTTTGGTCCATATACATACGCCCACGCATTCCTCACGCAAATCGATGGAGCCGGATTGCGAGTTCGAGTATCACCACCTCACCGCCGAAGCCGACGAGCCTGATTGGCCGGGAGTGCGATCCGAAAGGAGGGGTCCTCTCCCCGACAGCGTGGCCGACAGCAACGGTGAAGTATAGTACTTCTTCCTTCTCTCTCTCCCTCCCCCCCCCCCCGCGGCCGATGCGTGACGAATCCTCGGCAGGACATACAGCGATCTTCGGCGTGGTGACGACGTCGTCTACCGCATGTCCACATACGCAGCCCGTGCTCTGCCCAGGACCCCCATACCTACCTGTCAGCCAAGTAAGGGGTCGCGATGGCGTATATGTTGTCTGGTATGGCCTGGGTACCCCAGATCGCAGGCATAGGCGTAGGCGAGTGTGTGGCCGAGCACAACGAAGACTGCCACGATCAAGTTGCGTCCCGCTGCCGAGAGCCGCGCATGAGCCAATCGCTGTCGCCTGGATAGACGGCCTACATACTCCTACGGATGACCGACGCCCAGCATTAGGTATACCTAGCGTATAGTACCATGGCGTCGGGTTCGGACAGGTGGCGAGTCATTCGCGGATCCTCGCCATGCTAGGCACTAGGCAAGTAGGTAGATCCCAGTACGGAATCTAACACAGGGTCGATGACGGATGTGAATTAGTGATGGCCGGCTAGCCATCTCTGCGCTCGTAGTGTAAGCCTCTATGCTAAGATATATTTGCAAGTAGTGGTGTTTCCATTCGCAGAGAGTGTAGGTATGTATTAACTATGTATCCTCCTATCAGTGCATGCAGGCGAGAGGCTCTGCAAAAGCCTAACAAGATATGATACGATGATTACGACGATGGGCTTGCGCAAGATACACTCTTTTTGCAGATAAAACCCGGTTTACTACGTAGTGCGAGGCGAATCTATCGCAGTTATTCGTCGTATCTCGCATGCCCCTTGAGGCTGCTTTATCCGAGTCCTAGCCGTACAAGCAGCTGCAGACCCCCAACGCAGCCTCTAAGCTGATCGATCGCTCGGTCGGCATCGTAAGCACATCCCATCCACTACCCTTCGGACGTACGCCGTTGTCGTTAAGGCGTACCGGTGTGGACACGGCGGTCCTACCCTTGGCAGAGCCCCGAAGCTAGGGCTGAGGCATCGGTGGCGTGGATTCAGCCTCCCGCCGAGCTCCCGATTCGACGAGGACAGGACATCTAGCTCGTCAATCTAGCTCGCCAAAGCGGCGCACGATGTGCCAGGCCGCGAGCAATGTGCTGTAACGTGGGCAACCCTGCTTGTCTTCCACTTCTGGCCTCTGTCGGCGGTCTAACGGCCGTAGATAAAGACGGCAGAGACGTCGCTTGCGGTGGATCGGAGACATATATGGCGCGCAACTAACAGCCGAGTCCGGGGAAGTACGGATGAGGCAGGTCAGGATACTCGAGGTCCATCATTTTCTTCCTGTTACGGCCTAAAGGGGCGCGAGCGCTGCAAGGTGTGGAATCAAGGTGCAGTTAGGCTGCCTCTTGCTGCGGAGAACCACACCTACCTTGTCCGCGACTCAGTCGTATCCCCCCTCCTCTTCTGCTAAAGGACTCGGAGTGAGTTCCCGGCGACAACATATTGCTCGCGGCCAGAGCCATGAAATTTGCTCATAGACCACGGTGCTTACTGACAATAGGGTGGTTGCCACGAGCACAAATCACGAATAGGGGGTAACGCTAGGGTCACGGTCAAAGGGGGGGGGGGAGGATGTTTAGACACGTCGTTCGTCCATTCTTCCAAACCCCAATCTGAAGCCGGCCGGTTAGTGGTATTTCCATAAGCCGTGACATACTTTCAGCATTCGATGACTCGAGAGAGAGTGAGGGGAGGGGGGATATGAAGAAAGCCCGGCGTGATGTCTAGAAGCGATGGTACCTTGCTATCAAGAGTAAGCATATTAAGCTACGTCTTGGCTCTAGCACTCGACGCAGATGGGGAGCCGTTGTTGAAGTAGAGTAGGTAGGCTCCGGACGAGCTGGAAGCCTAGACGGGCAACTCCAACAACTGCTTCGCCACCAAGGCCGTCCTCTCTCTCTCTCTACCTTCGAGGGAGAAAGCCGGTGCCCTCCGTGCCGAGAGAACGACGATGCTCTAGACCCTCTCCCCTTGCCCGCCCTCGAATATCGCCGGTGTACGTGCCTAGGGTATATGGCTTTATGCGCGCGGGCTTGGACACCGATGTCGATTCGCCGGTAACAGCCCTCGTTTCGTGCGTTGTGACTGCGGTAGCGAGGGTGAGCATTTAGGCGTCGGCTGGGAGCGCGGGCGCGTAGGCCTGCGCACTGTACCACCCTACAAGATTAAGAGGGGAAAGGGGGACAGGAGGAGGGGCGTAGATATCGCCATTCGCTCCCTGAAAGAGGAAAGAAAGCCAAGAGAACGGGAAAACGGACAAAGAAGAAAAGGGGGAGGAAGGTGTCGAGTGACCTCTGTGATCGTATCCCAGTTCCGTCACTGGTGTTGAAAGGGAACAAGTAGATATGAGCCGTAGGAGAGAGACTCGTGTGTGCTTAGCCCGATTCTTGAAGCTGTAGGCGAGCATTCATCTCCTTGCTCCTCGAGCCGCCAACCCCTCTGGTGATGGTGATGGCGCGGCGTGTGCGTGTGTGTGTAGCCGGGAACTACCTTACAGGAGACGATACATGCGCCCCCTACCCAATATCGATAGTGGCACGGACCCCGTATAGTGTCTAGATGAGTTTCTTTTCCCACTTTCGCCGGCCAACGTGCCAGACGCGGTTCGCGTCGCTCAGACACGCTGCTTTTAGCAAGCCCCCAAGGCCTCAATAATCTATCCCTTGCCTCCCCTTCCCTTCCCGGCTGAGAGTAAAGCAAATAGGCACTGTCCGTGTGCCACAATCCGGCGTCGTGTCCCGTCTGCTGCCCCTCCTGTAGCTTCCCATTCCCGTAGCATCTATCCCCACATGCTGCGTCGTCGCGTAAAGAGAAGAGAGGGGGGGAGGGATAGATGCTCCAACTTGGCGGTTGGGTAACTCCCTTTCCCACCCCTCGTCCGCTCTCCATATTTTCCCTCTGTGGCGATATAACGTGCGTAGCGACTCTAGGGGGATGAGTCGGCGTGGGAGGGGGGACGAGGCGTGGGTTCATTGGGCCTAGGGGGTTTTGCGTCTTGCCGGCCGTCCTCCTGCCCGTCCCCATTCCTGTCGCACTATCGCCCCGATGTAGGATCACAAGGCGGTGGTAGTTGCGGTCAGTCGCAGTAGTTGTTGTAGGTAGTGGCTACAGTCGTAGTAGCCGTAGCACCGGCACTAACAGCGATGGCGATCTCACGGGAGTCGTTCGACTGGCATCACTAGCAGATGTAACTGCAACTTACTACGGGCAAAACGACGAGCAAGTTTTTTTTAATCTTCAAATTGCGTTCCGAGTAGATCAGACGGCGCACCGCGTCCTGCCTCCCCGCAGTTATCTATGCGCCGCCGAGCTGGAGGAGCTAATATGCGTTGGAAGTGCTTACGACGGGGACGCTTATGCGTGTATTTGGAATCGCGCTACCAGCCTGGTTCTCAACGACCGAGATATATCGACACATCTGTGCAAGGCAAAAAAGAAGAAGCACAGCAATCCGTTAGTGTTGGACCCTACGTGACTCGAGATGCTGTGCTCCCGCTCCTGCTCCTGCTACGGCGAATACATACTCGACATAGTCGACCCTCTCCTTCTGATGTATCGAATCCGAGCGAGTAATAGAGTAGCTAGCGTCAGTGGCCCGTACAGCTCGCCCGATCAGATATGCTAGCACTAAGCCCCTGATCCCCCACAGGCGACGGCACCTCAACAGACTCGGGCGCAATTTAATATCACGGAGAGACGGCAACGTCGATATAACATCACCAATGGGGTTACGGCACAGTATCCTCATAGTAAGCACCTAGGCTCTAGCAGTTTAGACATAATATTGCACAGCCATCCCGCTCGTGACACGGCACCCGTTCCTTTCGCAGGGAGCGGATCGCCGTTAATAGGTAGATCGCGAGGCTTATTTATCACTTGAGAAGCCGCCCAGGCTCGGTATCGACATACGCATGTGCGTGTACGGCATGCGCGTGCTACCACCTCCCCAGTAGGCATTCCCATATGACTTATCCGAGGCGCTGGGACGGATGACGGCAGCGCCCGCCAAGCTCTTGAAATATTATACGTACGTGTCGACGTCCGCACGAGGAGAAAAAAACCTCCATTCGGTCATTCTAGTATCGCCATTCGTGCCGTCTGAAGCAGAAGGAGGACCCAGGGCCAAGAGTCAATATATGCCACGTAGTTGGAGACGGTTTCCACGTATATTGATTATGAGTTTCTATCGCCCAATGTCGGCCATCCTGATAACGGGACATGACGGCTCTGGTATGGGGTTTTCTCGGACTTTCACCGAGTCAGGCAACGCACGAGGTACATGGGTCTATATTACTCTTCGTCGGATCTTGTCCGTGCCGACTGCACAGGGAGAAAGACGTAGCTGACTCACACCATGCCTACGTTCGGAGCCGGACTGAGATGGGCATGCCGTGGGGCGGGGGGCATACGGGGGCTGTTTGGCCTCGAAGCGGCGGTACGTCTTCAGGCGTGCCCGAGGAGGCCTCTATAAGGCAACTATATTCGAGGCGATGCTGGGCTTTACTGTCGCCGGAATGAATACATCGATATACCAACCCGAGGCCGAGGGGACAGCTAGCCACACAAGCAGCCGGGCAACCCTCTGCCCTCATCCTATTTCGTTCCGTGAGAGGTTTATGTTCCTCAGATCGTTCGACTTCGGCGTTCGTCATCTGACTTGCCTTTCCGGAGTTTATCGCCGCCTCTTTCTTAAAAAATGCCGCGGGGTTTGAGGCTCTGAGAAGGCCCCGGTCTAACATCGAACCACGATTGCTATTACGGACGCCCACCGACTACACATCCAATCGGAATCTATACTAGGTAGTAGATCTGATCTGAATTTTAAAGTTGCACCAACGAGCGCATCGATGGAGGCAACCGGCGAGGCAGAGCGAGCCAGAACACGAAGACTTTCGAGTCTGGTCTGGCCTTGGTCTTGCCCTATTAGGCAGCTACGAAGGCCCTCGTTTATGCTGGCCACGGGGAGATGGTGCCGGATCTTCGTGAGGAGGCTCCGCCAAGCACCGGAATATCTTTCGTATATCCGCATCGGTAAGGACCGCCTCAGAGTGCGGCGTACGCTTGTCGTTCATCGGCTTGGCAGCCCGCCGACGAACGCTTGCTGTGCGGGCTGTCTTGTCCAAGCCAAGGCCGTGATGGGAAGCAAGGAGCAATGTCCGGCCCTCGGGCACTAGGTCCAATGGCGACGTCGCCTCTAGGAAGATTCTATGCCGTGCCCGCAACAAAGCCGGGATGCGTCGACGCATGCTGCCATATCTGTAAAATGTCTAGTAAAGCCACCACGGATATGAGGGGGGTGGCTACGTCGGAGAGACGCCAAGGACACCATCGAGCGGCTAAATTGGCCAACCCCCCCCCCCCCCCCCCTCCCCCCCTTCCCCCCCAAGGTCTGATACTTTTCCCTGGTAAATCATGAAGCGCAGTTCGACCCTTAGAGTACCGATCTTAGGGGGAATTCGTGTCAAGGAGCTGCTACGCCGTTGAGGTTACATCGAGAAGGTGATATCCGTCTGGCACAGGGGTTGAACGGATCTCTCAAGGCGGTTGGCCGCAGGGCGTGTAACGTTGAGTATGCAGCTGGCTGTTTTCGAGCTGCCTTCCCGTCATTCGAGATCCCCGGGACCGACCAGGCATCGACCATTGAAATGCCGTCGACAGATTAGAACGGCCGATTCCCGCATGCCGGATTGGAAGGTTGTCCTCGTCACGTGGAGAGGACAAAGGCAATGAATGCTTGGGTGCCCATACCCTCGAAATGCGACGTTACCAGTAGGGCTAGAATGAATCGTTGTTGTCACCGATCCCAGCCATTAGGCGGCGGCGGCGGCGTCTCGCGCAGCGTATAGCGTATAAGGCACGGAGTAGGTAGGTAGCGTAATTTTTTCTTTCTTTCCTTCCTTCTCCGTTGCTGCGATCTGACTGGATACCGGGGACTCAGATGTGTCAATAGTAGCACCGAGACGAGAAGGATTTTTTTTTTCCGTTTCCGACACCAACTTGCTGGGACACGGGCGAAGCCGTGACTGTCCGCGCAAGGGGCTCAGGCACAGTTACATAGGAGGACGCTCGACGGTCTTGGACCTTCTTCCCTGAGTGATTCCTTATTGACGGCCGCGGTGGGCGACACACCCGGCTAACCAGGTCGCGAGGGTAGAGGGCTGAAGCATCCAAGTAGCAAGGAACATTGTATGATAGGCTGTCCGGTTTCGCTCAGCTCCTGGTCGCACGCCGACCGTAGAGCGAGGCTTCCACTCGCCTTCCCAATATCGCTAGAACGGGATTGTTGGTAAGCGCCGGATCCTCGAGCCAACTGAAAGGATGCTAAGGAGGAGCGCGAGCGTTCTACTTGCCCGATTGGTTCATCTGCTGGCTGGCTGGCTGGCTGGCTGGCTGGCTGGCTGGCTGGGCGTTGCTATTACTCTTTGTACTATGCTGCGCCCGCAACTACGCGTGTCTGGATAGGCGTTCCCGGGATGAGGGCGGGCCGGGTGTCGGTCATCGCTCGATATTCGGACTTGTCTGATTGCTGGTCACTCGTCGGTGACAGAATCGTGATGGTGAGCTGATGTATGCGGGTGGAATGATTGAGCACGGGGTGTAGAGATCGCCTCGACTGTCCTTATCGGGGTCCGGCAAGGCCGTCCGGGATTCGGGCCAAGATTGGTTAGGCAGGGGAGACTAATGCGACTAGCTAACGAACCGCAGCCCACTTGCCGTATGCAGAAAGGTTCTAGAAACGCCACGGAAGCGTTCTCGAACCCTTCTAGAAGAAGAAGAGGAAGAAGAAGAAAACAAAAGAAAACAAACGTACCTACCGGCTAAATACCGACCTGACTACCTGCCTAGGTAGGTACATGCGGTAACCGCCTGGAGTACCTGCCTCCTAGGTGAGGTACATAGTAGAGGCATGTGCTCCCATCTTCTTCATCGCCTTAGAGCGCACGCACGCACAAACGATATGCCGCTGCTGCGACGAGACGGATCGTAGCCGTCCATTCTAGGATGGGCGGGACGGACCAAGGCGGGGGGGGGCTACCAAGATAATAGGCACTACGTAATCCCTATCCTGCGCAGATGGAGAGAGCCCTCCCTACGCATGAATGTATCTATGTCGGCATGTACCTGTGATGTAGGTACCTGTTAGTAGAGGTACGCTCACCTGTACGTGTTGTAGTTGTTCTGGCATTACAAGGTGGCCGGCGCCAGCCATCGCTGCTACTACGGGATGGAACCATTTCAGATTCGAATCGCGCTCTCGCCACCTCCTGTTGCTTGGGGCATAGCACCCGGTCGTTTCTCCTTCACACGTCCCTGGTTTAGGGGGTAAGCAGCATGCCGGGCCTCCTAACTCGGAGCTGCTGCGTCACGCTGGCGGCCGTCATTTTCGACATTCACTCCTGGTGACGCTAGTCGCGATGGCGTCATGAGAGATTATTATTCTTGCATTTCTTGTGACCGCAAGGTATTTCTTTTTCGTCGTCGTCGTCACCGAATCGTTGCCGGAGGCATCGGTCCTGTGGTAAGATTCTCCTTGTGGGAGGCCCCTCTTCCCCCCCCCCGCCCCCTTTCCCTAGGGCAGCGGTTGCGGTTGCGGTCGGCATTATCGCACCTCCCAAGGTCCTAGACAATTGTCCTCCCCGCTGACCGGTACCGCCGGGTAAGCCAACTGGATGGATGTTGCCTTCTCCCAAAGGTGAAAATTCAAACGGCGGGGGGTTGGAGGGGAAAGCGAGGGATAGGGAATTGCGGTGAGCGCGAGGGTACCTAATGTTAGTTCGACTGGTCGAGAAGACGGTAAAGGGACCTGCTAAGACGGGCGGGCGCAAGGGGATATCGGGTTCAGCCCCTAGCCGTGCCAGGCCCCAGATGTGTCAGTGCTCTCTTCCGCCGCAGGGCGAGGCCGTATGTATAGTACGCGTACGTATGCGGTCTCGTCGTCGAACGGGAGGCAGCAGACGGGCGCGAATCTGATATGTGACGTCTTTGATCATCGCCGTACCCCTCAGGCGAGGCTGTCCGCTCGCTGCGATCATCAAGTTGGGGCGGCGCGGCCAAATCCAGCAATGCTGACAACGGCTTCCGTGGCGTCTAGTCCAATGACAGGTGTCTAGCCTTGCTGGAAAGGGCAGCATAAGCAGCTGATCCCACGTCTTCGTGTCTCTTTACGTCGATATCCCTGCCGGTTACGAGAACGGAGCCGTCTAGAAACTGCGATTTTTTTTTCTTGCTCGTCCTGCAGGGCTGATCTTGACTCCATCCATACTATCCACGCTTCTCTAGTAGCGGATGGGTGTGTGAGACGACAGGTTTGGGGCGCGCTTATGTCCAATGATGCAAGCTGGCGTCCCCTAGTTCCGGCGCACGATGGGGAGGGGGTTCGAGGTGGTCGACGGACGAGAGCGAAACACTAATGCTACGCTGTGTGGCCTCCAACTGCCGGAGTCTCTCACCCCGCCGGCGAAAACGATCTACATGCCACCGAGGGTTACTACTTGCGCGGCTTGCGCGTCTGCTGGTGATACGATACGATGCGATGATGCCCTTATGATGATTCAGCTCCGAGAACGAGGGAAAGGGGGGCGGGGGGGGGGTAGAGATGGGTACGCGACTCTCACCTCGCGATTGTGGTCTGCGCTCGATCGAGCGTTCCCCCCCCCTCCTACCCTCTACCCATGCGTCGCAATATAGTAGCATACATGGGTAGCGTCTGCCGAAGAAGCTTGGCCCCAACGGTCGCGTGCGTGTAATTACGGTGGTGAGGGGCGATGAAACTGTAATTATCCTGGATAATATCGACAGAGCCAGTCACGATGCGAAACAATCACGATAGACAGGAGCGAGCGCGGAAGGGTTGGGGGAAAGAGAGGGAAAATGACGAGAGATATGACAGAATTGACAGATAGGCGGGTGGGCGGCGACACGAGTTGACGGGGTCTGGCTGGCGATGGATGGATGGACGGATGGATGGATGGATGGCCGACTACAGAGGCGAGCCACCCAGCCTGTCCCTCAGGGTATCGTTGAGCGCTCCGCGAAGGGGGTAGGTCGCGAGAATTGGCGGCTTGAAACTGTTCAACGTCCCCGAGGAAAGTTTCTCCTATCGTGGCGGTCGAGCGCATTTCTTTTTTTTTTTCGTGTGACGGACGAGTCTGCATGTCGCACGGGAGGATATATATCTGCAGTGCGATAGCAGGCCTCGAGATGTATGGTATGTAGGTATGTGTATATGGGTGTGTGTAATGTGTATGTATGTGTGTATGTGCGCATGTAGGCGGGCGTGCGTGCGTGTTGTGCGTGCTGTGCGTGCTGTGCGTGTATGCGTGTCTCTTAGCCTATGTACGTACATGTATAACCTACGCCCGCGGCCGTCGTCGTCGTCACCGTCGTCGAAAGGATGCAGGTCGAGGGGCGCCGACGGGTGCGAAGCGTGCTTCCGCACGTCTGCACAGAAGCTTCAAGATCGAGGAGGCACACATAAAATACATATAATACGAGTCGAGGCCGGCACGAGGAGGTTGCTGGGGCCTGATGCCATCGCCGTGTCTGTTTCATGCCTTCGGTGTTCAGGGTTGGTGGGAGGGTGTCAGCGATGAGACCTTGAACTGACCGAGTCGACGACCAGCACGGATCGGCAGAGACGGAAATATTTCCAGACTCTCTCTCTCTCGCTGTGTATCTCTCTCTCTCTCTAGAGTAAAACGTACGAGAAGGCGACTCGGTTTATTAATAATGGGATGCATTAGTGCCGGCCTGCCTACCTCCTCTCCCTCTCGCCCTCTGCGCTTCTGGGGTTTCCCTCCCCGTCTCCTCTTCCCATGCTGCTCTTCCCGCATGTACCTCGCGTGTCGTGGTGCAAAGCACCTACCTAATACATACACAATGTTAACGTATCGCCCGGGGACCGACGCATCCGCATCCCTCGACCGCCCGTTCCGTACCCAAGCCAGGTACCTGTGCAGGTTGCCTGGGTGTACTTCGGGGGTACTGGAGGTACCTACCGTGCTTGCGTCCATGCCTGAGCCGCCAGACGTTACGCACACGCACAAATGCCGTGTCCCGTAGGTGCGAGACACACACTCTCTTGTCGATGTGTCTGCGAAGGGAGTTAGGTAATGTCCGGTCTCCATCGCCTCCACGCCTATCTTCTTCTATCGTCTTCGTCGCCCGGACGTGGCGACGCGGCCGGAGTCGTGGACGGACGGACGTGCACATTCGGCGTGTGCCACCAGCAGCTGGCAGGGCATACATGTATGGTAGGTACCTGATATGATACCTGCGCTCATACTCGTAGGTAACCTATGGTATGCCTGCCGCGGGACCAGGGTACATAGGACGGACACCACGACACCACGGCACCATGACACCATGACACCATGAAACTTCGGCGGTACCTTCGAACGCGGCGGAAGCTGGGTGGCAACGTACCGCCTGGCTCTGCCGGCCTTTGTTCCTTCGCCAAAACGTCGTAAGGTTTCTTCGTCATTGGACGTTCGTGGTCCTGGTGGTGGACCGCCCTCTCTCCACCGCGCAGAGCCGGCTCTGGCCGCTGATTGGCGTGGTTTTCTGTGTCAGGTGCTTCTAGCATTCTTCCATCATCCCTCGCCGCTTTACGCTATACGGCTAAATTGGCAGGGGCCCCGACGGACTATTCCGCATGGGTACGACCTTCTCGGGTGGCGTCGGCGCCGCCCGTGTGATTGGGCACTGCCCGCATTCTGCCTCTTCTAGCGCCTTTCTAGCGTTGTGCCACCCTCGCCTCCCCTCCCCTGTCCGCCCTCGAGCAGGTATCCCGAGTCGCTGCAAAGTTGGCCGGTAGGGAGGTTACCTGGTGATCGCTGTACGTGTATTAATATGCGTGCACATAAGATATACCTGCCTGGTATGTATACATTGTACCTGTGTACCTATGCATGTACCCACCCTGGGTACTTGGGTAGGGAGGTACGCAGTGGATGCGCAAGTCGGTAAGGGCTGCTGCATACGTGTAATAACATGTACCTACTTGCGCTCCCGAGTTGGTCTTTGTCCTGGCTGAAGCGACCGGGGCGACCAACAAGGACCTCGCCGGCCTCGAGAGAAGGCGTTCAGAGCCTAGCCTCGCGCAGTGTGGTCCGCGACAAAGCGGCGCGAGAATGGCACTAGGACGGCGAGCGACGTCGTAGGTAGGAGGTAGCTGGGTAGGTCTGTACGTGTAGCAGCACTCGCAGCCTTCCTGCCTTATCGACGTCCTTCACGTTGGGCTGTTGTAAGCAGGCTGGCTCCGCGCGTGCACACGCATACCCGTCTCACGATTGGCCTCTGCACCTCGCGGAAGACAACCCGTCGCAGGTGTCTCCTGGCAGGTATCTCCTGGCAGGTATTTGCATTGTCCAGGTACGTCGAACCGGGATGGACCAGGTTAGCAGGGTACATACAGCGCACATGTTGTATATGTAGGCACCGCAGCGAGCAAAACCGGGGCCAGAGGGCGATGGGGATTAGCGCCCAGCCAGCGGCCTCGCCCAGCCCGACACACGTTTCTCCCCCACCTTCTTCTTCTTCTTCTTCTTCTTCTCCTCTCTCTGCGCTCCCGCCGCTGCCCCTGGCCGTGGCAATGTGTCGGCGGGAGATAAAATTAACCATCGTCATCAGATATCCAGGGGAGGCCGTTGACAAAAAAAAGTTGGAACCGGTGGGTGCTCCCATCTCCTGCTCGGACGGTCATGCGCCCCCGTCTTGCCTCTCTCGCGTCGCCGTGCCCGTAGGGGTGTGCGCACACGCCGGGAAAAATCAAGAAGAAGCCAGCAGCGAGCTGGGAAACACCTGCATGAGCAAGAGGGCACGTGTTGGTGAGACGAACTGGTCCCCTCCTCGTCGCGGTGCCGCTACCCAGGTACCTCCTTATCTCCTCCTACCTTTCCGCGCTTCCTAGAGAGACCGCGAGTCGTGCCGGCGACGTAGCATAGCAAGGTATCTGAGGTAGGACTGGGTTACGTAACCGGTCCGGAGGATGGATGTTACGGGTATGTGCTGCCTTGTTTAGGTGAGGAAGTACTACCTCGTGGTCGTGGTCGTGGTCGTGGTCGTTGTCGTCGTGGGAGAGAGACGGCGACGGGCGTGGTGCGCGGAGGCGCCTCGCATACCGCCTCCCCTCCAGCCCTACCCTACCTCCTCCTCGGCCGGTAGCGTCGAGCGTTATTGTGGGAAGTTTGAAGTTCCCCGTGGCGCGACCTTGGGAGAGGGTGATAAATGTCGGAGGGCAAGGAGAGGAGGAGGAGGCCAGGAGGTCTACAGGGTACCTAGGGTACCTACCTGTTGCAGGCCTGGAATGCGAGGTACCGAAGGAGGTACCGCCGAGTGTACCTGGGTAGGTACCCACCTTAGGTACCTACACGCTAGGCGGGTAGGCAAGTTAGGTAGGCCGGCACGGTACGAGGTACCCTCTGCAGGTAGCCAGGTACCTGGCGGGGGGCGGACGAGGCATGTACCGTATGGGTGTCCATGGGTTCCGTACGCGGAAAGGGGGTACCCATCCGAGCCCCCAGTCATTCGCCATATGCGAAGTACCTTGATCATCCCAGGGGTGGGTACCTGTACTTGTCGCCCTTTTCCCTTTAATCTTCCAATGTCAAGAACTCGCCCGCCCGCTTCTCCCGACTAATTCTATTCTACATACCTCTTCTGGTTATTCCATTCCGCTTCGTCCATCCTTCGCCGCAGTACCTTCTTCCCACCTCCTCCTCCTCCTCCTCCTCTCGCCTCCCTCTCCTTCTCCGTAAAACCTGGCAACAAGAAACCCTCCGCTCTTCCTCGTCGGCTAAGCCAACAACGTCTACTAATTCTCTTTCTCTCGTTCTTCCGCTGCTCTCGGATTCCCGCCAGCCTCGCCTTATTTACACGACGACACCGCTGGAAACCCGGCAGGTCTGCCCGAACCCTCGTCGCCGACGTTTCGACTGCGTGGCTTGCATGCCGCCTACCGTCCCGCTGCCAACGCTGGTGTAGTGCTTCGGGATCGATCGCACCACCGCCTGCGTTTTCTTGGTCCTGGCCAGAGAGAAGATAGATCGACCAGTCTCTTCGTCGTCCTGTTGGTGCTCGATTCCGCGCGGCCCGCCGTCCCAGCACGCTGCAGAAACAGGGTCCTTCGCCACTGTCGGATCGTTGCACCGTTTGGCCCTAGAAGACTGCTAGAAGCCCAAACCCCCCCATCCTGCTCGATCTGCAAATCAGGTCCCTGTCGACGTATCACGACTTGGCCGGAAGGCAAATTCCCTGTCGCCTACAGCGCCCGCTGCTGACTTGGGAAAGCCTCTTGTGCGACCTTTGTGCAGATCCCCTCGCGAGTCTGGAACTAACTAGCTTACCACCGCACCCGCGGTACTCAACCTGCCCGCGCTCTCTCGTGAAATCCAATTTCGGCTGCGTGGGACGACCGGTCAACCTAGTAGTCTAGCTCGACACTTGCCTTGTTCCTCCTCACAGGGTCGTTTTCTTATTTCTTCTCTCTGGACTCATCCGCACAGGATATCTCTTGAGCCAGCGTCGGACCACCCGCTCGTCTCTCTATCGGCTCTATAGCAGCCGTCGCTGGACCGTCTTTGCCCGATTGTTTGTCTTGGGCAGGACAACGCGATATCTGACCAGCCGGCCTACTGATATCGGGTGTTTGAAAGGTCACTTGATATCTCCTGCTCCTACCCGCGCCGTACTGGGCCGTGAGCGCGCTGATAGGTCGAAGGGGGCTACCCGCAGATGATGAAAGCTGTCTAAAGACAACGTAGAGACGGCTCTTTGCGTATCTGCGCGGTCTGGGTGCGAAACAAATTTGTCAAACAAACACGGCCGAGAAGCTCTCCCCCCTCCCCCTGTTGCATGGCGTTGGAACTCATCCTGTGTTGAATCCCCCCTTTCCTCCCCTCCCAGAGCCTCTGTTTGCTCCGTGCCGCACAGTCAGGCGGATTATCCGAACCCCCTCCTCGCGGCTCGAGAGGAAGAATGGGAATATCTAGACTACGAGGAAGCTCGCCAGTCTACTTGAACCCGTCTCCTAGAGAGCTGTCACCACCGTCGTCGATCTTGGGGGATTGGGACCAAGCAACTGCAATGGACACGTCACGCCCAACAAGCCTAGCAGCCATACCGCGGACTAGTTCGCCCTTCGCGAACCCACCGACCCTGTCAGAGATCCTCGCCAACACGGCGCCACCGCCCTGGACGCTCAGCTCCTTCATGGCCTTTCTGTCGCAGAACCACTGCTTGGAAACGCTGGAGTTCATCCTGGATGCCGAGCGGTATGGGGCGACGTATTATCAGATCGCACACGGACGATTGTCCGACGGCCCCGAGCATATATGCTCGCTATGGCGCAAGGTCATCGATGCCTATATTATGCCGTGCGCGCCCCGGGAGGTCAATCTTCCCGCTCACGTACGCGACCGCCTACTTCAACTTTCCTGCTGCAAATCCAACCCGCCCCACCCTTCTGAGCTCGACGAGGCTATTCAGATTGTTCGAGAGTTGATCAACGATTCTATTCTTGTGCCGTTTCTCGAGTCCGTCGTCCCCGCCACGATCAGCTCCCAGGAAGAAGCCCTAGACCTGAGGCAAGGACGCTCGCGGCTACGGACTCCTCGAGATCCTATTACTAGCGACGAAGCGAGTCAGTCCCCGAGAGCCCCCTATCTCCCGCTCTTCATGATGGGCCGCGGAAGTGGGACCAGCCACTATTCAACTTCCGCTTCGATGGAAATGGTAGACGGCGACCTGATTACCGATGACAGCAGCAGCCCAAACTCTACCTCCGGGGCCGAGCCCATGACGCCACCCACTACGCCGCCGATGTCGGACTTCTCGTATCACACCTCCCCTAACGCCTTACAGAAAGCAGTCTCCGGCAATAGTTGGAAGAAGATGGGAGCCAAGTTGGGACTAACTAGGAAGAACAAGTCTTCCCGTCGAACCGGCTCGACGCCGATGCAGTCGGAACCTAGCCCGCGCTCCACCGCCGGACAAGCCAGCTATCCTCCTCCCTTATGAGGGTTACAGGTCACACCATCACTGGACGTCTCCACGACTACGGACAACGGCAACTCGGTGCAGAAGCACCAGACCGTTGCCCTGGTCAAGATGTCTTGGGAGGATCCACACCCCGGCGAGCGGTTAATGATCCCGCTCGCGGTGTCTGCTGGATTGCACATCTATCCCTCGACCATCAATGGAGACCTCCCGGGTGGCGTGACCGCAAAAGCGCGTGGCGCACGCCGGGACGGCAGTCCCTGCATAAACCAGCGAGGCATTCGCGGTCGTCATCGCAACGCCATACCGAAGCCTCTGAAGATACCGGACGAGGTCCCCGAAGAATTAGAAGTGAGGAGCGCGCCGTCGATTTCGTCGCTGCTAACCGACATCACTCCAACACCGTCGAATCTACGTCTATCGGAGTCGCTCTCGCATCTCGAGTTCGAAACCGACCAGGAGAGCTGCGGCGAGACGGGGACTCTCTTCGGAGACGCAGACGCGGACGCCGATCCAGTTGAGGTGGCGACCTTGAGCCAGTCCAGCCTCAGCGACTTCTCGAATTATCTCGGCATATCACAGGGCGAAGATGACGACGACGCATCGGTCACCGTTGTGGATTCGGACGCTTTCACTCGAGCCAGCTCCGTCGACGACGTGTACGGCTGGGAAGCAGAGCTGAGCCGCAAGGTACATTGCCGGGTGACTAACAAAGGATCCCTGTGTTCGTGCCGCTGCCAATACCAGAAGACGGAGAGCGGCAAGCGAAACATTCTATATCGGGTTTTTTCTACCTCGGGGAGAAGACATCACTCCGGGTTTTAGGTGTCCCTTCGTCCTCGGCTCGGCTTAGACGGCGGGATCGGGGTCACTCGAGCTGGGAATTAATGAACCGGCCTCGCGAAGGCCGACGTTGAGAGAAGCGGACTACGGACTTCTCTGACGCGGTGGCTATTGTAATTTTGGGAAGCATTCCATCATCGGCGTTATCACCTGGACGGCCGGGCAACCGGGTCCTCGGGCGGCTAAACATCAAAATACATTGGGACGGATAATACGGACATAGACTGGGTATCCACGAACTTTTTATCACATCGTTACGGCGAGGCGTTGAGACTGGATGGCGGCGAGCTTCGAAGGTTTTCTTCTAGACACGAATTTCCACTCTTTTCACGGGCTGGTCAGGGGCAGAGGCAAACAGCATCAATCGCGAGGATTTCCTTAACGGCCCTCACACGAACGAACTGCATTGTTGTGCGGAGCAGAGGACATTATTATCACTTACTATTTGGGAGAATTAAGGGAAGGGAGGGGCAGGGAGGAAGAATCGGGAGGGGAGGGATAACGAAGAACACGGATACACCCGACGAAGAGAAAAAAATTATGTCAATTATACATACCAAAACATACACACACACTGGAGAGAAAGACAGAGAGACGCGCTTGGCTGTCGTCGTATTATGTATGTGGACGATCTAAAGTAAACTTAGTAGTACTCATCTACTTTTCCCGATCCGAGTGACGAGCCGTATGAAGTTGTATATCCACGCTCCGTCTCCCGCGATGTGTTCCGCCTGTGATGTGTCCCCCTTTCCGCCCGCCGCCGCCGCCGCCGCCGCCACAGCCGACGACGATGTCACAAGCAAAGCCGTCTCGACAGACTCTGGTCTCGCGAAGCTGGGGAATGGAACCAGGACCGTGGCATCGATGCGACGCACGGGAGGGGGGCAACGCACGTGTGGTGTACATATCGTGGCGTGGGCACGGACAGAGAGAGAAGCAATAGGCTACGTAGTAGTAGTAGTGTATACGCGACGGGGCGGCCGGGGGGGGGAAAGCAGAATCATCAGGCGATGGGGTCTGGACGCCGTTCGGCGTCGGGCTACAACGTGCCTACATATCCTCCCCCCCTCCTGGTAAGGTACCACCCTGCCCTGCCCTGCCCTGCCACGCCCTCGGCGACCCTCGCTCTCTCTCTCTCTCTCTCTTCTCTCTCCTGCGCCGCCCTCTCGTTCCCCGATTTCCCCTGCCCTGCTCCGCCCTGCTCGACGCGCGTGTCCGCGGCCCGCGGCCGGCAGCGCTTGCCTGCCTGCCTGCCACCACAGCGCAGCGCAGCGCAGTGCTGTGCTAGCACCCCCCCCCCCCCCCCCCATCCGCGCGCCGGGCTCCCCCCCTCTGTCCGTCTTGCCCTCCGCCGCTGCCGCCGGCGCCTCCCGTCCCGCCAGCGGGAGACGGGGCGAGCCGCAAAAGGAAAAAAAAAAAAAAGAGGAGTTTGAATAAAAAGAGGGGGAGGGAGGGGAGGGGAAGGGGGAAAACGGGTGGCTGCTAGAAGAAAGCAGGGCGCAGAGCAGAGCCGGAACCTGCGTTGCGTGTCGCGCGCGTTGCAACCCGTCCCACGCACGCAACGCCCGCAACCCATACCGCACCGTCACCGTGCCGTGCCATTCGACGGCCTGCCTGCCTGCCCTCTTCTCCTCCTCTCTCGTAACCGCGGCGGCAGCAGGCCTAGGCCTGGCCCTGGGCCTGACCTCTCAGGCAAGCAGGCAGGCGGGCAGGCAGGTTTCCCAACCCGGGCCGGCCCGCCCTGGCCTGGCGTGACGGGCTGGCCGACTTCGATGCGTACCTAGGCAGGGAGGTAGGGAGGGAGAAGAGAGAGAGAGAGAGAGGTAGGTAAGGTAGGTAGGTGGGTAGCTACCGTACCTGGGCACGCATGTAGATGGAATGTATCGTCACGTCGGAGGAGCGAAGCCTAACCCAGACAGGGATTGCACCGAATTCCGTTCCCTCCTGCGTCCAATCGCTCGTTCGCGAGTTGGCTTCTCCCTTGTTCGGCCTCTCTTATTTTTGGTTCTCGCCTTTCTCGCTTCTCTACCCAGGTATGTACACGTAGATGGGCATGCCCCCCCCTTTTTTTTTCCCCCCCTCTCCTCCCCGTGCGTCTCTAGATACGTAACCTAAGCGCGTATATACGTGGGCGGTGGAGCAATGCGAGGCGAGGCGAGATAATTCAAATATTACTTGAATGGTGCCTGCTGCCGCTATTTCTGTCGTGTCATTGTTCTGTGTATATGTCGTCGTGCATCGTCGGAAGCACTGCCCCCCTCGGCCGTCCCTACATCCGGAAGCCATCCGAGAAAAAATAATAATAAAAGAGATATTAAGATCGAAAGGGAGGGAGGGAGAGGGAGAGGTACCGTCAGAATTGCTCCAACCACGTCTATCTATGATTTGTGATGAATGTCGGGGTCCCTCGTGGTACTACTACCGCCATGTATATCTCGACACAACGAGCTGGGTACGGGGGGACCGGGGGGAGCGTGCGCGCGCCTATGGTAGCATGTACACACTTGCTTCTCTTGTCGTCACATCTTCGGCGTCTACTACTTTCGGCTTCTGCTCCGCTCCGACCTACTCCGCGACGGGAGGCCTGTCGTGTCGCGAGTACATCTTGTACTCGAGCGAAGAGCTGAAGTCCAGCTTACCCTTCTCTACCTGCGCCCTGGTCGCGGACAGCATCGGCTCCGGCAAGCCCATCGACTGCAGGAATGCGACAGCTGAATGGGGGGAAAGGGGGGAAAAGAGCGAGGGGCAGTCAGCATCGTCACCTTACGTTAAGAAAACGCGAGCGCACACGCGCACACGCGCACGAAGGAAAAAAAAAACAAGGCTCGCCACGTGTACGCATGTCGGCCAAGCCGGTTGGTTAGGATAACTTACTGTCTTTCCACTCCCGTTCCTGCCTCGCGCGGTCCCATTTCAGCTCCTGGCTCATGATGTCGATAATCTTGGGCAGGCACTCCAGCGCAGCCTGGGCGTTCAGGAAGGCCAACCTCGTCCTCCGCGCCAGGACGTCGACGGCGGTCTGCGCGTACTCGTTGCTGATAGCGTAACGGACCTCTCCATCCACGAATGGGTAGAGGCGAGAGATGCGCTCCCCTCGCGCCGGGAATCGCAGGTCGGTGGGTTTGCACAGGGCGGCGACGGTCCACGCCCTATCCCCGTAGCTCTCCGTCAGATGCTTGGCGACCTCGGTCTCGACGCCGAAATGCTGGATGAGGTTGATGAACAATGTCTTGCTAAAACCGTGAGCTCCAATCAGCCGGACGTTGTGCGTCTGACAAGTCCCGTCCAAGATCGCGCCGTCGTCTACGGCATCAGTCCCGCTGACTCGCGGGGCGTTGCCGAAAGGCTTGGTGGGCAGGTTGAATTCCTCAACGGCGGCGTCCACGCAGTCTTCCGCCATCTGCCGGTACGTCGTCCACTTGCCACCTGCACATGTCACCAACCCTGAACTGGAAACATCGATCAGGTGATTGCGCACGAGCGACTCGGTGTTTTTGGCTTTGGGGTCTTTGACGAGAGGGCGTATGCCAGACCATGCCGCGAGCACGTCCCCACGGCGGACGTGGATGTCAGGCGAGAGGTAGTGGCTGACCTCGTTCAGGATCCAGCGGATCGATTTCTCGTCCGGAAGGGGATTCTGCGAGATCGTTGTGGGTTCGTCCGTCGTGCCAGCGATCGTATTTCCCTGCCACGGCAGGAAGAAGATGACTCGGCCGTCGGACGTCGAGGGGTCTATCAGTCCCATGTTCGAGGGGCTATAGTAGCCGGGTAGGATGACGTGGACCCCGGAGGCGGGCGCGACGATCTCCTTGCATTCCTGGTCGTCGAGCTTCCGTATCGAGTCGGTGAAAGGTCCGGTGCAATTGATGATGCATTTAGCCTTGACCAGGAAGTCTTGCGTCTTCTTGCCGTTGCGCTCGGGGATGAGATCTCTTACGAGTGCGCCAGACAGCCTGCCATTCTCGCCTTTAGTCAGGCCGACCACCTCAGCGTGGTTAACAATGGTAGCGCCGTATACCGCCGCCGTCATAGCGATGGATACGTTCATCCTCGAGTCATTGTGGGCGCCGTCGTAGTAGACCAGAGCGCCGACCAGATCCGTCTGCTTCAGCATCGGAAAGGCGTCGAGCGCTTTGCTCCTGGTGAGGAAGTAGGAGCTCTCGATGCCCTCACTCCCAGCTAGCAAGTCGTAGAACTTGGTGCCGGCCCAGTAGTACGGTACCTTCCACCACCTATCTAGGGGCAGCATGATAGGGAGCCAGCTGCTGAGGTGAGGCGCAGTCCGCAGAAAATACTTCCGCTCCTTCAGCGCCTCTTTGACCAATTGATACTGGGAATAGTCGAGGTTCCACACAGCCTTCTCTAGATATCGCACGCCGCCGTGCACGAGCTTGGTGCTCTTACTACTGGTGCCGCTGCTGAAGTCGTCGCGCTCGACCACAGCTACCTTCAGACCCCTGGTAGCGGCGTCTAGCGCCACACCAGCGCCAGTAGCACCGCCGCCGATGACCAGGATGTCATATTCGCCCTCCGCGCTGCCGCTCTTCCTCAAGTCGGCAATCTGCTCGTCGCGCGACTTCACCCTCGGGAAACGGGGCAGCTTGAAGGTGCCATCGGCGCCGTAGATCGGAGGGGGGACGGCCGGGCCTTCGGAACCGGGGATGTTTCGGGGACGGTAAGAATACAGGAGGGCGCCGCCGCCAGCGACGACTATGGTGGGAAGAGCGAAGCGTCTCAGGAGACTAGCTCCCCTCGGAATTCTGGACATGGCGGAGGGTATGCGTATGTGTCGTCTGGTGCTGTATGCAGCTGACGTGATCGGTGCGGCGGACGCGGTCGATCTACTGGCTGGGCCTCATGCAGCGACGGTAGGAGAGCTGGTAACCACGCAGACAACCGCGCCGAGTCCAGGCAGTTTTCTGCCCAATTCGAGCCCGGCGGAGAAGGGGGTGGGGGGTGGTAAATGTAGCTTCAATTCAGCCGCGATCCGAGCTAATTGACTCGAGAGGGCGGGTTGGGACGAGAGGCCGAGATGAGAACAGGCTGGACGAATATGGCTCAAGCTCGGGCGAGGGCGGCGAGGACGGACAGTGCTGGCGTCGGTGGCATAGCGTGGGGGGAGCCAGGCCGGGTGCTGGATCTCGTGTCGGTGGGGATGGAGAGGGAAAAGGGACGAGGGCGGCGTGGTGGAATGGTCGATAGCGACATGGTAGGGGATGAGGGAGAGAAGGACAGCGATAAAGTTACGCCGAGATGGCGAGAGAAATTAGGTACAGAAGAGGCGAGGCAGGATAGAGGTTCCTTTTTTTCTTTTTCTTTTCTTTCTCTTAGTCATGTCACCGGTTTGCTAGCGATACCGCCTATGGGTAAAAGTCGCTGACGGCCTTTGACAAGTACCTTGCTACCGCCGGCCCCAGCTATCCCGAGGCGACCATCCACTATTGTCTACCTGTACCTCTATATGTGCCGAGGTACCTCACTCAAGCTCGACGGAGTGCCCCGCGTACCTACATAGGTTAGGTACCTACATACGTGTAGGTGGGTACATCCTAGCTATACGCAGTACCTAGAGTTGAGGTCCCCCAGCAAGACGGGCTTTTTTATATTTATACTGAGCGCGAATTATCCAACCACAGCATCTCTCTACGCAATGCAGGTAACCTACCTCAGGCGTCTCCCTTAGGCACCTTAGGTACGTCGAGCCCGGCATCGGTCAGTGGGTTGCAGTGAGGCTTAGGCGCATACCTACCTCTATACCACAGAGTGGTAGGTGCACACTATCCAGATATAGCTGCGGGGCGCTCCCGCAGTAGGTAGGTACATATACTACGCCGAGGGTCTCCCATGCCGAGAACTGCATATATTAGGTACTCATACGCAGTACCTAACCCTTCCAGCTCGGGGATAAATATTCCGTTAATTCAGATTCGCCAATCGCTATACGTAACCGCCCTAAGAGCGCGTTGCCCTCTTCCCCGTCACTTCCTTGTGCAGTTACCTACGTCTATTAAATGTGCCACGGATCAGGCCGGCCGCGAAATCGGCACAGCGGAGCCAAACGACGCCATCACGACTACTACCGTTGAGGTGTTGTGGTGCATTGCAATGGCTTAATACCTTAAGATATGGAGGTGCTTGCCTAAGGCTCGATGAACGAACAGAACCCGGCATCTTCATCTGATGACGTAGGTATTCGTGGGATTAGGACATGGGTACCCGGCTGCTGACGAGTCCGTGAACATATAAATCGATGTGATGTATGCCGATACTTACCCAAGCTCCGCCTCGGACGACAGGTATGGTTAAAGGATATTTTTCGGACGGTGTAAAAATATCGTATTTCTCAAGTTTTTCCCGTGGTAGCTAGGAGCTCACGAGCTCTCTTTCATACGGCCCGCGTGCCCTACTACGTGTCTCCGGGTGTTGAAGATAAATTATCTATTACCTAGAAGGAAGGGAAGAGGGGATAAGCTAGACTACACGCCTGTACCACGAAATCAGCTAGACATTACGACAAGGGACCCGGCGGCATATCGTCTCAGTATGCCTATCTTTGCATTGCCACGGTAGGAGGAGAACCTGGCTATATATACCACGCAATGTATGGCCCGAGGCTCTCTCATACGGCATACCTACTTGCATAGAAGCTCCCCGACCCCCCGCGCCCAACTCCAGGCTTCCACCCGCTGTCCCTTTTCTAGACAAGCACTCCTTGTCAACCCCGTTGGAAACCCCCAAGTGTAGAAGAATCATCCTAGAGTTGCCTCCTTTGGATTCTTCGGTCCCATGTACCTCGACCCGCGCGCGAACCGACCATTACTAGGTATACCCACAAAAGAAAAGCCCAACCCGTAACTACCTTGCCCCCCTCCCCCCCCTTTTTTCCCACTCCCATATATATGTATATATGTATGTGTGTGTGTGTGAATATGCAAAAAGGAGAACCTGATATGTGTACGCCGGCCGGGCCACGTACTTGTATATTACACCTCAGAGGCCGTCGACGCAGACGGCGAACAGCTCGTCGACGAAGGTGATGACCTCGTTGCCCTTCTCGCTCTCGATCACGGCCGCGCCTAGGCGTCGGTGCCGCCGGCCCTCCTCCGTGTCTGCACCCCCGGGAAGGTTCTCCATCTCGTAGTCGAAGACGGCCGCGCCGCGCACCGCCTTGGCCATGGTCACGCGGTCGGCGCTCATCGCCGACGGCGACTTGGGCGGGTTGCCGCTGCCCCCTCCCCCTCCTCCGCCCCCGGTACTGGCCCCGTCGTCCTCGTCCACCTGCCGCACGTCCACCTGGATCTCCTGCGACACCATGATGCCGCCGAGCGACGACGGCTGGTGCTGCGGCTGGTGCTGCGCCGGCTGCTCTTCCGCGGCCTCTTGGCTCCACAGCTTCGTCGTCGAGTCCGAGTGGATCGAGTCGCGAGCCGACGACGTCGACTTGCGGCCGAGTCGGCCCTGGTTCGGATAGCCATCCCCGCCGTTGCCGCTGCCGACCACAGTCGTCGCGTACGAGTTGTCGCTCGCGCGGCGCAGGCGGCTCAGCGGGCCGAACTTTTTGTTGCCCCGCCGTGACGCCCCCCGGCCAATCTGGGGGTACGTCGTCTGGGGCGGCGGCGGGTGCGGCGGCGGCGCGTTGATGATGGGCGACAGCTCGCGATGTACGTAGCGCGTGAAGGCGGCGCGGTGCGGCGAGTCGGGGTATGTTATCTGCCTCACCTTGAAGAAGTTGAGCGGCACAAACTCGCAGCGCGCGCTGCTGCTGGCGGTCGCGTGGATCGGCAGCATGAGACACAGCGACACCAACGTGCAGCTCTTGGCTGACTGCCCGGCCTGCGCGCGGCACGGCGCCTGCACCACTTTAGACGTAAACACGGCGTTGTCGAACATGGGGTCGTCTATCCACGCGCGCAGCGCCTCGACTGCGTCCGACATCTGCGACGCGAAAAGCACCTCCCGTGGTGAGAGCCGCTTCAGCGCCTCGAGGCTGTGCAGTAGGAGGGTCACGCTCATTCGGTCGAATTGACGGATGACTGTAACCAAAGTTAGCGACTTCATTACCTAGAATGACGGGGGAGAGGCTAGGATGAAAACTCAGGCGACGAGGAGCGAGACAACAGAAGACGTAAGATTGCTGAAGTATAGGGGAACACGTACTGTCCATCTGCCACGAGTCGAGGCGCTCGAGCGTCACGGGCATGGTGGGCAGGAGGTTGCGGGCGCTCTTCCTGACGAGGACATCGAAACCGAAGCTGCCAACGCGGGCCTTGACGCCGAAGAAGGCGAGGTGCACGCCGGGGTCCAGCATGGCGCTGTCTTCGGCGAAGGCCGCCATGTGCCCGAGCCGGTCGCTGAGGTTCCGCGCGCGGATCTGCATGCGCGACCCGATGATCCCGGACACCTGCGTGATGTCGGCGAACCGGAACCCCGCCGCCTCGAGCTGGTCCGCGTCCTGCACGCCCTCGAGATGCCGCACCAAGAACATGAGGGAGCCGCGCCCGTAATCCTGGTGCTTCCAAGCGCGGCTCTCGCGCCCCGTTTCGACGACGGGGGAGGGCGGCGAGGAGGTACCCTTAGCAGGTGGAGACGGCTCGCCGACGTCGAGTCGAGGTTGCGGGTCGTTGGCGCCCGTCGGGAGGATCTCGTCCCACAACGTGCCCGCGCTGGCGAGCTGGTCCTTGAGCTTCTGCGCGAGGTTCGCGGCGGCGACACAGAAGAGCTCGCGCACGATGGCGTCGTAGTTCTCGATGAGCACGCCGTCATCACTAACGAGGCGGACGCCGCGCCCGTCCCTCGGCAGGTGCCCGAGGTGGGCCGTCATGCCGTCGATCATACTGCTGACACTAGCCCAGTTTCGCGACGCCTGGAACATCCAGTGGAAGAGCGGGTGGGCGATGTTGAAGGTATCGCTGCGGGTCCGCTCAATGTATGTGTCCGTGATCTTCTCGCTGGGTAACGAGCCGTCGAGCGTCACAAGGATCCGCCCTGAGCGGTCGAATACCGCCGCCGCTAGAACCACCTGTTGCGCCTTGCTCGCGTTGCGCCGTGTCGCCCACGTCGCGTAGACGGCCGACACGACCATGAAGAGGGCAGCGCCCACCGACAGGCAGATGACTACGATGACGGTCGTGATCTGTGAGAACTGGTTGCTATCGTTCAGATGGTCGAGGCGGTACTCGGTGCCCGTGGCCGCGGTCCAGTGCATCCCCGAGACGGCCCCGGCTAATATGACTGCGGTCAACGCCCTCTTCCACGGCGAATCCGTCCACGACGCCCTGAGGACGAAGAATACCGACAGCGCGACGATACTGGCGAAGACGGCGATCAGGGTAGCGCCCACAATGTGAGCCGTGTGGTATGTACAGCGATAATTGTTGATTGAGGCGTTGCCCAGATAGTGCATTCCGCAGATTGCGCCGCCAGCGAGCGTGCCTCCCCCGCCGATCCGCCACCAGGAGACCTTGTTGTTCGCGCCGATAGCCATGAAAGCCGCGAGGAGCACAACGATGGGCAGGAAGAACGAGATCGCGGTGAAGCTACCGGAGTATTGGATGTGGAGTTCAGACTCGTCATGGGCCAGAACGATCGCGCGGTTCCCGATAAAATGCTACAACGGTCAGGGGACGACATGGTAATAGACAAATTTCTCTAGAGGTCTCTCACCATGCACCAGATCGCTATGCCACCCATAGTCACGGAAGAGGCGACGAGAATGAGATGGTTGAACCAACCGGCACGGAACGTACGTCGGTTGAGCAGCTCCAACGTCGAGACAGCCCCGATCCAGGAGACGAAGTAGCTCAAGGCCACATAGCCGGCGTTGAAGGACCGGGGGACGATTTCGCCCTTGTATAGCCGCAGCAGATCCTCCCCCGTCGACATCGTGAAGAGCGTTATCCGCGAGAGGTAGATCGATGAATTTAGGAGTTGGCTGACGACTGGGGGGGGGGGGGGGAGGGACGACCGTAGTTACTACTAGGGGTTCATGCTGATGATACCGGCACGGTGATACTGCTTAAAGAGCAGAACTCGTCGAACTATCTATATGTCAGGTAAGGGGTTTGAGAAACCAGGCGCCTTATTAACGGCATGAATGTGCTGGCAGGCGACCTCGATCTAACTCGAGAGGCCATCAAGTAGCGTAGGGCGAATCAAGCGAGCTAGAGCTCGGACACTGTCCTACTTGGGAGACAGCTGACGGCGTCTCGTCTGTATAGTTCAGGCATCCTAGTTTAGTGAGGAGCTGAAAGACGACGAACTTGGCCGGACTATAACGGCATCACTGCTATACTAATAATGATCCGACTTTCGTTTGCAACCGAGGCTAACAATCCGTTGTTGCCACTATTAACGGCAGAATCTCTACCAAGCCGACAACGATAGCACGGGCAACCCTGTCTCGCTCGAAAGCCACGAGGGCGTCGGTTTGGGAGGCTCGGGGAACCCACAAGTAGCCAGGCACCCCCCCTGAGGTCTGTTCCGTTCTGGTTAGGGGCCAGGAAAAGGTACCGTTATCGAAGGCAAACACCGCGCATTGAATGATCGCCCATCCCGGCACATAGTCTGAGATTCGTACGTTTAGCGCGAGAAGGGTCTGGCACTAGTCTCGTTATCACCCGATGACTCCTCGTAACAATCTGTGTGTGGATCTTATGGACGGAGGGATAGAGGGAGGAATGTATGGACCAATAGAGTTTTGTCGGGAAGATGACCTGCTCGTTGAATCTGCTGTGCAATTTAGAACCTACCCAGACGTAGAAGAGATATGTCGATTCCGCATTTTGGGTGCTGGATGAGTATGGCCCTAGAAAGTACTATAGAGGACTCGACGTCTCTGTCGCGACGGCGGACGCTCCCGGCTCAACATTTCGTGTCCTTGTTGATGACTATTGTCTGATCCGAGCTTTCTGCTTCGAAGCGGCTTTCATTATCTACATATACGTCAGTGCTCGCGTTACGGTTTGTAGAACAACAGCACTCTGCCCAAGAGTCGTGTTGCTGGGAGCGACGGGACAGGAAGTCGAAGCTCTCGCTACTGAACGCCAGAGGGGTCGTGCTCAGCGCTAGTTACATATCACGAGAGGGAGCCCCTTACTAGGTTGAGTTAGTAGCGGATGCTGGTAGACGGCGGTAGCATGCCACGCTTCGACAGGGTCGAGACCTGTCATCAGTGCCGGCTAGCAGGGATTTAGGGCTAGCTTACGTATAGATCTTGGAGATCCTAAGCTACGGCCTCCTGTGCCCCTGACGCCGCCTATACCTAGGCCCTTGCTTTGCATACTAATCACGATTTTGACGTCGGTTTCGGCTTAAGCCTCAAGGTGAGGCGATGCGAGTGCGACGAGAACTGCCGGCCTCGGTACGCGTAAAGCTGGCGGGTTATCATCCTGTTTGTTGGTCAGGTGTGTGTCTAACGACACGTCGACTTCAGCCTGCCCCAACTAGCCACGATGAACCCGATTAGAACTGGGATGCTAGAAAAGAAAAGAGATTGGCAACGCCATGGGCGACACTATCGTCTACGCTAAGTTGGTCAATAAGTTGATCACACCACATTACTTACTTATACATGTATAGTTGTGCTGCTTTTTACGTTCTGACCTCGGTATCCCGGGTATCTCTTCGCTCTAGCCACGTCGTGATGGCCAATGGAGACGCCCCAACGTCCGGTGCCCATCAACGGTTATCCCTCAATCCGCCGAAACAGTGCGTAGGATCGTGGCTTGACCTACTTGTTCTTTTCGTGATCATGGTAGGTATTAATTTGCTCCTGTGAGGCTCAGCAGAACAAACAGCCTTTTGTTACTTCGTTTGAGTCCCTGAGGGGTCAGAGCTTAGGAATCGGCCCCGAGTTGGTTGGCTCCATAAACATTACCTGCTCGCTACCCTGCTCGAAGCGAAGGGACGGCGGAAGACACCTCGTTCTAGTGGCGCCGCGTTCTGGGTAGACTCTCCCTTCCCACGATGGCGCTGTGAAGGAGGGGCAATGAAAAGAAGAAGTAGGTAGTGGAGATGTCCTCATCCTCCTGTCGCAACCCTCCGCGTCTACGAGGGCCCGCAATGGCGTGAACGTAAATGGCTAGTTAAGACACGCCGTCTAGCAGCATCCGATGGGGGGGGTTGCCTCCACATGCCTGCTTTTCGTGGTCTTCTGCCCTCGAAGCACGTCGAAGGCACCTGAGGTACCTCACCATCTCCTGTAATAAAAGCCTTTGTCCTGTTCGGTTCCCGGCGAAACTCGGGCTTACGTCAACTAGTGGGCAAGGCCGTGGCAGCTATGCAGGCGCACAAGCATAAAAAAGAGCTGTTCTCTTCTTTCGGGCGGCTCTCGCACCTCGGACCTGCATGAACTGGGTATATGAGACGAATAACGCGTCTGTATGTAGGGTCCTTGATAGGATGGATCAGTTCCTTTTCTCCGACAGCGAGCGAGAGGTGCTCGCGCCGCGGACGGCGAGATCCCTGCCTCGCTTGATCTGATAGGCGCTGCTACTACTGGCCGGAGCTGAGGGGCGCCTAGGCGCCCAGGAGGGCGGTTTTCTTGCTACCGGGTTTCCCGGAAAGCAGGCCGATGGCGCATTTAATAGAGGAGTTCGCAAACTTGTCGCCAGTCCATAAATCCCCTCCCTACGAAGGGAACCAGCCTGCCTTGACGGGCATGATCCCGGTCGGCGTCGGCGTCGGCGGTTCAACAGCGGACGGGATATCCAGGATGCGATTGTTGTTGGCTGGAAGAAATTCGATCGCCGGGTGCGGTTGGGCCATTGTTTCCTTGGGTGCATACCATGGTGAGTGGGGCGGGTGCAGCTGGCACTTTACTACCTACCAGGTGCCCACGTACTATGTAGTACATACTGGTACCCTCAGATAAACTGAATGCCACTAATTGGAGCATGTACCTCTATGTATCGTTACCGACTACAGGGAATGCCAGGCCAGATAAGCGAGAGATCATCCCCGATGGGGACTAGTTGTGTACTATCTTTATGAATGCCTGCCTCTTATGCACTAAGTGGGTGCCAACGCGTCCCGGGGCCAGGTTGGAAACCTCCGGCGGTTGCACTACCTCCTTAACATCCCCCCCTCCCTCCTAACCTCCCTCCTCCTGTGCTGCTAAGGCATTTGATGTAGTGCCGTAAAGTGTCACTTATCTGATTGACCAACCCGGAGAATTCGGCACCTACGGCCTACATAATATAGAGGGGCCATTCCGTCGAAGGAGAGGAGAGGCGGTGCCGTCTATCTATTCGGTACCTGTCTTGCCAAGCACCTATTGCCCACAGGCCGGGTCTGGATTTCGGTGGGCCCCGGTCTAGGTCTTCCCTTTAGCCCCGTCTACCCCTATCCATCAGCCCCGCAAAGTATTGTACTCAGTAGGTGGATTACTTTTACCACCTACTAAGTACTCGTGTGAAATTAGCAGTGAGAATCGGCATTGTGTTGGTGCTCTTAGCTTTAGAGCAAAAGCCGGGAGCGGGAGCGGGAGCCCGGGCAAGAGGCAAAAATGGCCCTGCCCGACCCTCAGGTCCAAATACCCAGTCGAAGGAGAGACGGTTTCTCAGGCCCCGACCCGACAAGCTTGGTTGCCGGTATAGGGGAGGCGAGAATGCTGGTTGCCGAGCAGGACGGCAACGAGTAAAAGAACTAATAAGGCACGTAGGCGCGTCGCCTAAAGTACCTAATTCTTTCTACTGTGATGTGAGGTTCCGCTTAATCCCGCATATAGTAGAGATGCTAGAATGGTGGGAGGCTTTTTTAGAGCCTTAGATACAAAGGTGCCTACAGTAAACGTACGTTTTTTTCTTCTCAAACAGTGAGTCGCTGTATAATACTCCCCGGAAGGATGCCTATATTTTCAACTCAAGCCCGATTCCAGGGACCGCCTACTTACATACCTAGGTAACCTTGTGCGTCTCGTCTGGCTCGCTTCCTGTTGCTTCGTAATACTTAAGTCATCTAGGCATACGAAACGTAAGAAGCTGAATCTGAACTGCTGATCTATTAGGAGCTAGAACTCCTAATTGACGAGCTTGTATACAGCTCCTTTTACAGTGAATAAATATTGGCTCAGCTCCAAAGGTGCTGTAAACAGTTGTGCGTTTTGGTGGCGGTTCCTTTCGTGGCCTCGCTGCCTTAATCGTAAGGCACGCAAGACGAGTTGAAAGGTAAACCTAGTTGATCAATTGAAGGTGTAAAAACTAAACTGCTAAAAGGGCTTAAATACAGCGTTTTACGAACAGTTAGCTGTTGCGTGTTTTTCTTCAATTCCACCAATCACAGGGCTCCTTTCCTGATGCCTGATTCCTCAGGTGCCACACAGTCAATCAACCACAGGCTGCCGAGGCGCTGATGCCTTAGGATCCATTTACCTATTTACCTACTATCCCTCTTCGCTCATAGCATATCTCTGATAGACGCATAATTATGTATACGACATGCCTTTATAAGTGCATGCCCCGACAAGTGCCCCCCCGATTCCACCAATAAGGGCTTGGGAGTTTTTCATTATTCCATGCTCGACTGCGACTCGGCGGCGATTGCCCCGCATACGTCAGTAATCAGATCCCACCCAACTTTTCGCACGCGCTTATTCATCCTTCCGTCCTCGGCTCTCTCACTGCCTCTATTCCAATCTGCTATACCTTCGCCATCGCACAGGCACTCCACGCGAACTCCCCAGCCATAGAAGGGGCGGGGTTGTGCTTAGCAACAAAACTCCTCCCAAACTATTCCGAGGACCTACCTCCTACGTACCCACCAACCTCGCTCGCGTCATCGAGAGAGTGGCAAAAAAAAAAAGGTGAAACGACGCCGTCGAGGAGACCGTGCTTGACGACTACTACCCCGCCCCGGCCCGGAGCCGCGCCAGATATCGAAGGGGGGTGAGACGGGAGACGAAGGGGACAAAATGCCGCCTCCCGAATCCGTCAAGCTCGTACCCCTGCCGCCCTTCAAGCCCGACCTGTACCAGCGCGCGTGGCAGTCGATACCGCACCCGACCCTCCCGCTGCTCGCGACCACCCACCAGAAGTCCGTCACCGTCTTCTCGCTCTCGACCCTGTCCGCCCACAGCGCCCTGACCAATGGGCACGAGCGGTCCGTCCGCTCCGCCACCTGGAAGCCGAACCTGCCGCCGCACCGGCTCTGCCTCGTCACCGGCAGCTTCGACTCGACCGCGGGGCTGTGGCGCTGGAGCGACGACCGCGGGCCCCGGGCCGCCGGCTCCGGAGGTGACGACGACGACGACGGCGACGGTAGCGACAGCGACGGCAAGGCCGAGCGCGACTGGGAGCTCATCGTCGTGCTCGATGGCCACGACTCCGAGATCAAGTCGGTCGCCTTCTCGCCCAGCGGCCAGTACCTCGCCACCTGCAGCCGCGACAAGTCGGTCTGGGTGTGGGAGGACGTCGGCGCCTCCGAAGCCGACGACGAGTGGGAGACGGTCGCCGTGCTCAGCGAGCACGAAGGCGACGTCAAGGCCGTCGCCTGGTGCCCGGACACGACGGACGACTCCGGCGGCGGCGGCGGCAGGCGCGGCCGCTACGGCACCGACGTGCTTGCGAGCGCGAGCTACGACAACACGGTGCGCGTGTGGCGCGAGGACGGCGACGGCGAGTGGGTCTGCGTGGCCGTGCTCGAGGGCCACGGGGGCACGGTCTGGGGCCTGCAGTGGGAGCCGCGGCGGCGGCGCGGCGGCGGGTTCCCGCGACTCCTGACCTGGAGCGCGGACCGGACCCTGCGCATCTGGACGCTGAAGGAGGAGGACGAGGACGAGGACGACGCAGGCGGGGCCGGGCACGCCTGGGGCGCCGGCATCCCAAACACGATGCGCCGGTCGCTCAAGGAGGAGTGGGAGTGCACGGCGGTGCTGCCGGCGGCGCACGCGCGCGACGTGTACGCGGCGAGCTGGAGCGCGCAGACGGGGCTCGTGGCGAGCACGGGCAGCGACGGCATGCTCGCGGTGTACGGCGAGAGCGAGGAGCGCGCAGACGCGGCCGCGGAACTAGACGGCGACGCCGTCATGACGAACGGCCACCCCACCGCCGCCGCCGGCGAGGACGCGCCGGCGCCGCGCGGGTCCCGCCTGTGGAAAGTCCTCGCGACAGTCCCCGCGGCCCACGGCCCGTACGAAGTCAACCACGTGACGTGGTGCCGGCGGTGGGACGCCGGGTGCGCGCCGGAGCGCCGCGGCGTCGAGGAGATGCTGGTGACGACGGGAGACGACGGCGTCGTGCGGCCGTGGCAGGTCGTGCTGTCGTGACGGGGCGCGGCCGACGTAGCGAATTGGTTGGCGAGTCGGGCACTAGTGGTACCCCCGTCCCTCGGCTCCCGGAGAGAGACGGAAGCGAAGAAACGAGGTCTAAAATGGTGGGGAAGGGGGGCACGACAGGCGCGTGAGCCGACGCAAGGGTTTAGCTATCTTGCCCATCCGCAGCACACCAACGAGAGCGGGCTCTACACTATATGGGCGGACGGACGTACGCGTGACGGGGATGCATAGGCGGAGCGGCGGGCGCAGGGGATATACGGCCCGCCCATCTCCCGCACTGTTGAAAGGAGAGGGCGGACGATAGCACATCGCATACGACATACCGCGGAACGCTAGTATTAAGGCTGATTCCGGAATCCTACCCGCGGACCTCGGCCTGCCTTACCTCTCTACCCGCCTCCCACGGGTATATATATAATAGCAAATAGCAGGGATAGACCTCGGGCTGGCCGACGGGAAAGAGAAGGGAGTGGTGGAGGTCGAGGGAGTAACGAGATTAACAGACACGAAAAATCCCAGAGGGTAGTAACTGAACGCTTAGAGAATAGAAATGAATACTAAGACGAAGCCGGAGCTAGTGGGTGTCTTCAGTAATATTATTAGGTGGTGATAAGGATGTTGACGTTAGGCAGAATCCTCGCCAGTCCCCCTCCCCCTCTTCCTCGCTGTCCTCCTCCCTCCCCTTCACTGTATCCATGTGCCAGTGCGTGTTCGTACGTGCCTAGCGGCTACTACCCGCTTACCTGGCCCCCCAAAGAGAGGCGGAGAGGGGGAGGGCAGCGGGGTGGAAAACTAAACTACTACTAGGGTGTTGGCAGACACGAGCAATAAATATACCTGTCCCCTGCCCCTGAACCCCGATAAGTAACCCATACACACTCACTCTCTTTCCCTCCTCTCCTCCTCTCCTCCTCTTACCCCCCGCCCGTATTGAATCCGGCCGACTAGCTCCGCGACGCCACGCCAGGGCGTCCGCAGCGGCCGCAGCAAAGATCCGCCAGCACGCCGTGCCACGCGCACCGGGGGCACCACGCGCGACGGCGTAGCTCTCCGGGGCGACGTCTCCGCCACTGCGACCGCGGCCGCCCGCAAGCTCTGCACACGCGCGGGTTCCCGACGCCGCCTCCGCGTCGGCCTAGCACAGTTTCCACGGCCGTAGCCGTCGTGTCCTCCTCCGCTGCCGCTTGGTCGGAGAAGCCCCCGCTCTCGTAGCGATGGCTCCCGTCGCTACTCTCCCTCCTCCGTTCTCTCGTCTCCGGGCCCTGGCTCCGCGATCCCCCCTCTCGCCCCTCCTCAACCACCCCCCTACCCTCCCTACCTCTTTCCCTCTCCCTCTCCGTCCGCAAAGAAGCATGGCCCGCGAGCGGGATTCCGGCGTGTCTCCCGCCGATGCTGTGGAACTGGGGCTCGAATAGCGGCGGCTCGCCTCGGCGACGTCCCACCGTGACTCTTCTACCACTACCTCTACTGCCCTCGCTCCAGCTCCTACCCCTAATATTGCTAGTACGACCGTAAGCCTGATCCCGCTCCGCCTCCGCCTCGAGGAGCCGCCGTCGTGCCTCCGCCATCCAGTGCTCTGCGAACCCGAGGGGGGTGCGGGGCACGCAGTGCGGCGAGTACCGCGGGTTCCGCGGGTACGCGTGGATACCGGCGTCTGCGTCTGCGCACGCGTGGTCGCGGCTGCTGTTGCTGCCGTCCTGGTCGCGGCGGTCGGCATGGCTGCTACGAGCGGTGGTGGCGGCGGCCGAGGTAGCGGCAGGAGCCGAAGTGGACGTGGCCGTAGCGCCGACGAGGGGTCTGACGTCGTCCATGCTGAAGGAGCGCCGCTGACGCAAAATATGCTGTCGGTAGAGGGGAGGCGTGCTGAAATTATTGCCTTTGTCGGCGCCGCGGTTGTTTTTATCCTTGTTTCTGCTCGGAAGGGGACCCCCATCGTTCTCATTCTCGTCGTTGTGATCCTTAGTATGATAACCGTCACGCAAGCGGCGGCGGCTGGGCTGGAGGCGCGGCGGCATCAGCGACGAGATGTTAGACGTCGAGCGGCTACCGCTGGTGCGCAAGGTGGCGGCGCTGCGCTGCTCCCGTATGGGCGCGAGCTCGGTGCCGCAACCATACAGAAACGTCGTTGCCGTCGCGTCGAAGGCCGCGGCGAGCTGAGAGAGTGGGGACTCCGAATTCGGGGAAATGGAGGGCCGGGATGACGCCAACGGCGCCGGCGGCGAGGGAGGGGTAGCCGGTCTTTCTGCTATTATTGGGAATGCAGCTCGAGGTGACGGCGGAACCGAAGTTGCAGGAAGTGGGACCGGATCCGGGGTCTGGCACGGCGACTTGGCGTCGAGTTCGCTGGCCGATATCAAGCCTGCGTCGTATATGGATCCGTGGGAGCTGGGCTGCCCCTCAGACGAGTCTCTATGGTCCCATCGTGTAGAGATTACGGCAGTAACATGATAAGGGGTTTGTCTCGTGAGGAGGCTTGTGGCGATGTTGGATTTGTTCGATAGCGGGATTCGTGACCTTTTCGGGTGCGAAGGACCCTCGGCGAGAATAGTTGACTCACTCTCGTTGTTTTGCATGTTCATGCTAGCGTTAATACTTCGATTTGATACAGGTCGTTCGTATTGATGATCTGGAGTAGCGGAAGTAAAAACTCGCCAGAATTTCCGAAGGACCAACAGGGCGGTGTTGGGAGGAAGTGAGGATATTTTCTTCGCTATGGGAGGAAGATTTCGGTTATATCCTCTGGAGCAACTCCTTCCCCTCGTCGGAGTGATTTCATCGCAGCTGCTGTCGATGTCGGTGTCGGTGTCGCTCTGTCTTGCGTGCTCCCCCTTTCCAATCACAGAAGTCGTGCGCTGCGATATACAGTATGGCTCTCCTTTTACTCCCTTCCGATCCCACTGCCAACCCGACTAAATCGCTCTTCTCTCCGTAAATCGCTTAGCTACCTACCTCTAAACTCGTCGAATTTTAGCGGAAATTCTACCCTTAAGGTAGAGCTGATGCCGTTCACCGTCGAGTACACGATCTGTGTCGTCTGTATGTGGTATAACTGTATTATTTTATTACGAAGCCGAGTGTCTATGAGGTACTCCCTTCTCTTCTACTCTCCACCCCATCTAACACATCCACCTCTAACATGGCATATCTACCTCTCGGTGCTGGCCTGGATTCCCTCGGCAGCCAGCGCTCTCTGGTAATCGGCTATCGCCTTGTCCAGAGCGCGAATGACGGGTTCCATAAGCTTGAGCACCGCCTCCCTCCCCCCACGGATCGATTTAGAGTTGAACTTGATCTTCCGTTTCGTCCGCTCGTAGATCTGCAGAATTTCTTCTTTTCTCTTCTTAATTTGCTCTTCTCGTGCCTTCTCAGCCTCGGCGGCGACGGCATCTATCCTTTCTTTTGATCTTTTCAGGGCCTCGGCGAGGTACCCGAGCTCGGCAGCGCGGTCGGGGTCGCCGGAAAGGAATGTCGACCAAAATTGGTGTATAAACTCCATGGTCGTGGCGTGGGTGAGATTGCAAGTCGTTGTGATGTCCGCCGGTAACCCCAGCGGCGAGGTCTCATCCGAGCCTTGACCGTATAGCTGGGCCCGTCTCTGGGCTATGCCGTCCAGTATGCGTCTCTGCGCGTCTTTCCGTGATGCCCTGGACCCGACGTGAGGTGGCTTCTCTCCCTCATCTTCGCTGTCACTGTTGTCATCAATGCCTAGCGAAGCGTGGAGATCGATCCCGCCACCGCTGTTCCTCTTAACACTCCGGAGATCCCCCTGCACATCCCTGATCACCTTGGCCGGCTTCTGCCTCGCATAGACAGCCGAAGTGTTGGAGGCAGTGGTGGTTTCGTTGGAAAAAAACTTGCTCTGCTCCTTGATGTTGAGAATGATGTGCGTTTCCTCGGTGTCGCCCCGGAGATCGCGCAATGCAAGCTCCCGATAGGTGGCGAGATCTGCCAATTGCGTTGCGTCGTTATCGGCCGGTACGGTGCTCGCGAGCAGCTTTTCGCTAATGCTATTTAAAGCCTGGATGATAGGAACGTCCTTCCTCCCTCTCGGCCGCATCTCGATATCCTTGCGGTTGCCGCTCCTGAAGCCTCCCTGATTCTCTTCGTTACCCTCTATATCGATAATATGCGGCACATGCTCCGGGAGGAGTCGGCCAGGGAAGGCAGCGATGTCTTCGTATTCGTCATATTTGTCGAATATCTTGTCGGCCACTTCCTGCCCGTTGGCGCGTTCTCCCCTGAGCTTCTTCGACAGCTTACTGAGGAAGAACCTCTCCCAGAATTCATTCGTGCTGAGGGGGGGCACGTTCTCGTTATATATGCGCTTAACGAGGGGATGCTGGTTCAGGATCATCTGAATCTGCTCGACGCTGAATTTTATCTTCAGCTCGCTTGGTCTGTTCGGGTCCCCGTTCTGCTGCATGGTGGGTTTCACCTGAGCTAGAACGTTATAGGGACCCTTTTTCTGGTTATTCTCGATGGCGTGGGCCCGGAGAAGATTGATTCTCGCCGACCAGAATTGGGTGTTAAAAGTGGCGTCCGACATGGACTCTGGCTTCGTCTTGCGGCCTTCCATGTACATTTGCGATAGGTTCCTGTCGGCCTTCATTAGGGACTGCTGCAACGAAATATCGCTCTTGAGCGCATCGTCGTCGAATGGACGCGAAACTCCCAACTTCGATACGGCAGTGCTGGCGAATGCCATGGAGCCTGAGCCGCTGCCGCCGGCAGGCGCGGCGGCTGGTCGGGGGACGCTGGGATCATTGCTCTTGGCCTCGGCGAGAAGCCTCGATAGAAGGTCCCTGATGACGTTGGCTTCTCCTCGGGGATCCGAGGCAGAGTTGAAATGAAACAGATAGGGAGCCGGCTCAGAAGTCCCCGGTGCCTTCTCAAATATCTTCAGCATGACCTTCGCAGCCGTATCCGGGGTTTGCTGAAGGTCTAAATGTTGGAATATCAGCCACGGAAATAGCCTTACGCAATTACGAGATAAGTCCTCTTACTGGTGACATTTAAGATGGCCAGCGATACCGCCGGCGGCCCCCCGGGCGCTGAGTTGGGAGTCCAGATGACGCTCTTCTGATCCGGGGTGAGGGTGAGGATGCCATCCTTTTTCTTGTAGGCAGCCGTGCCCGTGGGAATCGCCATGCTGTGTGCACTGAGTAAGCTAGAAAGACACCGTCTCCTCCAAGTGGACGCAGCTATCCGACGCTACCGTCCTTATCGAGCCACTTCAGACCGCGCACGACCCTCTCAGCGAACGCGGAAGCGCTGTCTGTGATGCTTCCATGAACCGTCCCCTGCCAAGCCGGCTCACCGAATGGACACCAGGTCGGAGGGGACGAAATATGGCGAAGAGAAGGCCAGAACGAAAGACGGGAACAGATAATTTCGGGTCGGGTTGCCTATCCTCGATGGTCCGTAAAAGGGGGGTCGGTTCTTTCTCGTGAGAAGCGTCTTGCTAGCTGGTTATTTATGAGCTGAGATGGTAGAAGTGGTGGATGGCTGAGCTATGGAAACTGGCTTATGTCGAACTCCCTCAAGGGAAACACTTTTCGAGCTTTCAATCCGCGTAAGCCACAGCCGATGGTACTTAAGTACTTACTATGCGTGTCGGGCGTGGAGGGAGAGGCGTGCGCCACATTGCACTGGGGCGGGCGTGGCTGGAACCGGGGCTGAGACTCCACCAGATAATGTTGAGCAAGGAGAGCATCTGATTGGCGAGCGCGTCTGGACCGCTGCATGATGACATCGTGAAACCGCCTCAGCCCGATGTACGTATGTACCTACGACAGAGCGGGAGGCAAGGTACCTGCCTACAGATACCGAACGTGACATATGAGATGAGGTCGTTGTCGAAGCGATCCGGGGGTCCCATTCCACGGAGCGACCGCGATTACGGCTCCTTTTTATGCCGACGGGGCCTCCCAAGGCCTCTTCCTCCTGACTCTCCTCCTGGCCGCATCTGTATTGCGTATGCAGCTACGCGCACGGATCGAGGGAGGTACCCATCCATCGCACGCCCTTAGCGCCCCGCCAGATGCAAGTGTGCCGCGCTGCCAGGTGTCGGGTACACGGCGTCACCGCCTGAAGGCCTGTAGTAAGCTCGGTCCCTTGGGTATGTGAGGTGATGTGCGTTAGGTAGCATACAGCACCTCAACCACCTAACCTCCAAAACAGACAGCGTCGCCAATCCTGAATGCGCTCCACCACCCGGAACGTTGTCCAGGTTCACCTCTTGCCGTTTGTCTGGTGTCGTGACCGCCAGCTCTACCCCCTTATAGGGTGCATCTCCAGCCATCAGCCATCCTGCAGCCCGTGGCACCGGTCTGCTCTGCAGCTACGTCAACAAGTAGCGCGTCTCGTGACGGGCGTTGTCCTCCCAGATCGATCAAGTTAATCAATCGATCAACCAGTGCCGACAGGACCTCCTGGCCCGGTCACCCACACGGGGCACGGGGAATGCGTAATATTACATAATAGGTTACAGACACCCGGTCACCCGACACGATGAAGCGGGATACGCGTACGTTCGTGGTTAAATTTTTTTTTTCTCTGCCTCCATCCTGCCGTTGTTTGCTTCTTCTCTTTTATCCTGTTCTCTTCTCTGGCTGAGACAGAGATAAGAGAATAAAGATGCAAGGAAGAGAGGAAAAGGCGCCGACTTGCCTCCAGAGCTGATAGCCTCGGGTTTTTCTAGCGGCAATAGTCGGGCCTTTCCACCGAATCAGACGTCAAGTATTGCGGCCACAGGCCCCGTGCCGCCCCGTGCCAGCGTTGCCCTGAGGGCCGAATTTAGCCTGTAATTACAAATCCCTCACGCAATTGCATACCGCGCCGGCGCTGCAAGGCACGGTAGCATATAGGTGTGTATATGTGTGTATGTACCTGATGTATAGGAGAGGCTAGGTTAAGAGGTACCTCTACCTGGGTAGGTATGTAGGTAGGCACCTAATGTATTTGGGTGATTACGTGTCCTAGGGAGATAGGTACTTGCCTGCCCACCCACCTAGAGGTACCTGCGTCCTAGGCTGCAGAGAGGAACAAAGTGGCGCTTTGTCGAATATGCAGGCCGATATTCGATTATCCAGTCTACTCCCGGCTCCCTGATCTGCGACCGGGTGACGGCAAGGGGGGGGGAAGCCGCAATTGTTGCCAGTCCGCATTTGCTGCATTTGCTGCGGTTGCTGCATTTGTCCTGTGCTATTTTCTCCCGCTGCGGCCGGCGTGACCTGCCAACTTCGCCTACCGGTCCGTATCCAAATTTCCCTCTTCTTCCTTTCCTTCTTCCAGCTTCAACACCTCCCCCAGACTCCTCCCACCAGGCAGTGCGTGTTCACCCACCCCTTTGCCGACAATCCAACCAGACTTACTCCGCCGCTCCTTTGTCCCTCGCCGAGGTCGTAGCATCTCGTCTCTTGGTAGGAGTTTAGTTTAGTCATCTCCCATGGGCGTCTCCTCCCGTTCCGAAATAGAGAACAGATCGTTAGGATATTTCTTGCCGCCTCCGTCCGAGTCCTAATCCATTTTTCCCAGCTGTCAAAGCATTAGCCTGGCGCCATGCTGAGAAGCTCCCTCCGATCCTCCAGCAGCCGGCTCCTGAGAGCTAGCTGCCGAACCTCGCGATGCCTCTCCCCGGTCTCGAGATGTTCTTCCCTCCCCACCGCTCGCCGGCCCCTTGCCGTCGCCTCCCAGCTCCGACATGCCTCGAACACGTCGTCACCGCCCTCTCCCAACGACAACTTCCTGTCTGGTAGTACCGCGAACTACATCGACGAGATGTACCTGCAGTGGAAAGAGGACCCAGAGAGCGTCCATGTGTCCTGGCAGGTGTACTTCAGGAACATGGAGAGCGGCGAGATGCCCATCCAGCAGGCCTTTACGCCGCCTCCGACGCTCGTTCCTCACGCGACGGGAGGTGTTGGCCCGGCCGTGAGCATGGGCGTCGGGCAGGCGTCCGACATCACCAACCATCTCAAGGTCCAGCTGCTGGTGCGCGCGTACCAGGCTCGCGGCCACCACAAGGCCCAGATCGACCCCCTCGGCATTCGTAACGAGCAAAAAGGGTTCACCAATGTCAAGCCTAAGGAGCTATCCCTCGACCACTATCAATTCACCGAAAAGGACCTCGATAAGGAGTTTACGCTGGGTCCGGGAATCCTGCCGCGTTTCAAACGGGAGGGCCGAGAGAAGATGACTCTGCGCGAAATCATTGCCGCCTGCGAGAAGATCTACTGCGGCTCCTACGGCGTCGAGTTCATCCATATCCCTGACCGGGGCAAATGCGACTGGCTGAGGGAGCGTGTCGAGGTACCGCAGCCGTTCAAGTATTCGATAGACGAGAAGCGCCGGATCCTCGATAGGTTGATTTGGAGCTCTAGTTTCGAATCGTTTCTGGCGACGAAATACCCCAACGACAAGCGATTTGGCTTGGAGGGTTGCGAGACGCTCGTTCCCGGAATGAAGGCGCTCATCGACCGGAGTGTCGATTACGGAGTCAAGGATATCGTCATTGGGATGCCGCATCGTGGCCGTCTCAATGTGCTTAGCAACGTCGTCCGCAAGCCTAACGAATCTATCTTCAGCGAGTTCGCTGGTACTACCGGAGCCGAAGACGAAGGATCGGGAGACGTCAAGTACCATCTGGGCATGAACTTTGAGCGCCCTACGCCATCCGGCAAGCGGGTCCAGCTCTCTCTCGTGGCCAACCCCTCGCATCTCGAGGCTGAGGATCCCGTCGTGCTGGGGAAGACGAGGGCTATCCAGCACTACAATAACGACGAGAAGACGCACCGAACCGCTATGAGTGTGCTCCTGCACGGCGATGCTGCTTTCGCCGCGCAAGGCATCGTATACGAATGTCTCGGTTTCCACTCGCTACCGGCCTTCTCGACCGGCGGAACGATCCACCTAGTGGTGAACAACCAGATCGGGTTCACCACCGACCCGCGGTTCGCCCGCTCGACCGCGTACTGTACTGATATCGCTAAGGCCATCGACGCCCCCGTCTTTCACGTAAACGCCGACGACGTCGAGGCCGTTAACTTTGTCTGCCAGCTAGCCGCGGATTGGCGTGCCGAGTTCCAGTCGGATGTCGTCATCGACCTCATCTGCTACCGGAAACACGGTCACAACGAAACGGATCAACCGTCCTTCACGCAGCCCTTGATGTACAAGCGCATCAGTGCGAAGGACTCCCAGATCAGCATCTACGTGGAGAAGCTACTTGAAGACGGAACTTTCACAAAGGAAGACGTCGAGGAGCACAAGCAATGGGTCTGGGGCATGTTAGAGGAGAGCTTCGCCAAGTCTAAGGATTACCAGCCGACGTCGAAGGAGTGGACCACTTCCGCATGGAACGGCTTCAAGTCTCCCAAGGAATTGGCGACTGAGGTATTGCCGCACATGGACACAAGTGTCGACAAGAAGACCTTGGAGCACATTGGCGAGATCATCGGCTCTGCCCCCGAAGAATTCAAGCTGCACCGGAACCTTAACCGCATTTTGCAGAACCGGACGAAGTCCGTCCTGGAAGGCAAGAATATCGACTGGTCCACTGGCGAGGCTCTCGCGTTCGGATCGCTCGTCAACGAGGGTCACCACGTCCGAGTCTCGGGCCAAGATGTCGAGAGAGGCACCTTCTCGCAGCGACATGCCGTCTTCCACGATCAGGTCAGCGAGGAAACGTACACACCTCTGCAACACATCAACAAGGATCAGGGCAAGTTTGTCATCTCCAATTCGTCTCTCAGCGAGTACGGCGCTTTGGGCTTCGAATATGGATATTCGCTCTCGTCGCCCAACGCCCTGGTCATGTGGGAGGCCCAGTTTGGCGATTTCGCCAACAATGCCCAGTGTATCATCGACCAGTTCATCGCGTCCGGAGAAGTCAAATGGATGCAGCGAACCGGCTTGGTCATGTCTCTCCCCCACGGCTATGACGGGCAGGGCCCCGAACACTCATCCGGTCGCATGGAGCGGTATCTCCAGCTTAGTAACGAAGACCCCCGCGTGTTCCCGTCGCCGGAGAAGCTTGAGCGCCAGCACCAGGACTGCAACATGCAGATCGCGTATATGACGACGCCGGCCAACCTGTTCCACATCCTTCGCCGACAGATGCACCGACAGTTCCGAAAGCGTAAGTAGTCCATCAAACGTGACGTCCGTGATGATAATTACCGTATTTGACCGTTGCTGACATGCACTCGCGCAGCCTTGGTGATATTCTTCTCGAAGTCGCTCCTGCGACATCCCTTGGCGCGTTCCAACATCGAAGAGTTTACGGGTCCCGATGCTCACTTCAAGTGGATTATCCCCGATCCCGAGCACGCGGCCGGAACCATCAGACCCCCCGAGGAGATCGACCGTGTCATTCTCTGCACCGGTCAGGTATGGGCATCGCTCCACAAGTACCGCTCCAGCAACCAAATCGACAACGTGGCCCTCACCCGTATCGAGCAGCTAAATCCCTTCCCTTGGGAACAGCTGAAGGAGAACCTGGACTTGTACAAGAACGCCAAGACCATCGTCTGGGCCCAGGAGGAGCCGCTTAACGCCGGCGCGTGGAGTTTCACCCAACCACGCATCGAAACATTACTGAACCGCACCCAATATCACGACCGCAAACACGTCATGTACGCCGGCCGAAACCCCTCGGCATCGGTTGCTACCGGCTTGAAGGCTACGCACAAGAAGGAAGAGGATGACCTGCTAGAGATGGCGTTTACCGTGACGCAAGACAAGCTGAAGGGCGAGTAGAAGGGGTGGACAAACATAAACAAAAGGAAGAAGAATAAGGATGGGGGGCAGCACCATGAATAGTAGCCGCATCTGCGTTTCGTGTATTTTATCTTGTGTATAAGGCGGCCTGGGGGGTCATGGATTGAGACTACATAGACAGGCGGGTTACAGACGGGTTTCCCAATTATCATAATGCACCATTCCGTACACTGCCCTCTTTGACACGATGGCGTCTGGCAGGCGCTCTGGATCGCCGGTCCGTGACAGCAGCTTTCGATCGAGTCGCCAGGGCAATTGGCGACATTTCTGTCTGTGAGAGGCAGCTAGCTCGTCGGGTGGCAGGGCCTGCAGATCTCGATCCCTCTTCCGGAATCGTAGGTATATTGAACCCCGGCGACTGGCGCTCGGGTACATAAGGTGGTGATAAGCATCTACTCTCCGCGCCCAGTTCGCTAATGATCTGCTGTTGATTTGGCGCTCCCGGGGCGAGCTATTGGACTCCGAGACACAGCCCGATTTGATGCCTATCGCGCGTTGCAGCAGTGGGTTCCAGTGGTGCGCAGAGAGAGAGACGACTGGTCAGTTGTCTTAATCAGGATCGGCGTCCTGTGTTCCCTACGGACAATTCAAGGGCGCGCCCGGCGATAGCGAATAAACCTGGATGCGGCGATAGGGGGGGGGGAGGCTGATGGCTTGCTGGGGAGGGGAAGAGACCTGCATGGCATACGTTCACATATACATACATGCACATCTTGCCGTGCGGCGAAGCATTGTGGCTGCCGCTGGCCGGGTATATTTGGCGTCGCTATCTGCGACCGCTCCTCTGGGGAGCCGTAGCGCGCACAACAGCACATACGAACTGCTTCCGCTCGTGCCTTTACTACCATGAACGCATCGCTCCTGCGCCAGCGCGGCCGCGCCCTCAAGGAGAAGACTCGAGATCGGCTGACGGACGGGAGGAGCTGGATACTGCCGAAGCAGACCAGCAGCATCGCGCCGCCTCACGTCTGGACCAACGCGGGTACGCCGCCCCCTACCTTTCTCTATGTCTAGATTCCGACGGCCAGCGTAGTTGCATGCTCCGTATTGGATCTGCCATCACCACCCTGTTCGTATTCTGCTCTGACCGACGGCGTCTCGGCCGCGCGCAACAGATCAGGACCCCGTGCCGGAGGACAAGCGGACCTGGACCGGGTGGGCGTTTGTCGGGTACTGGTACTCGGACCTCGTGACCGTCTCGACATGGAGCAGCGGCAGCGCCATCGTGACGACCGGGCTGTCGGCCACCGACGCGATCCTGATTGTCCTGGTCGCCGCCATCGTACGTATTCCTTATTTCAGCACGCTCCACTTCCACTCTTTCCCGCGTCTCGTCCGCACCACCGCTTTCTTTTCCCCAGCGGGATCCGGGCGAGCGTCGCGGGTGAGGTTTTCTGACCACTGGGGAGACGCCGCAGTGCAACGCCGTCCCGACGGTGCTGAACGGCGCCATCGGCGCGGACCTGCACGTGCCGTTCCCGATCGCGTGCCGGGCGAGCTACGGGTACCGGCTGAGCCACGCGTGCGTGGCGGCGCGGGCGGTGCTCGCGCTGTTCTGGTTCGGCGTGCAGAGCGCGAACGGGGGCGCCTGCGTGACGGCCGTCGCGACGGCGGTCTGGCCGGGCTACGCGTCGCTCCCCAACGCGCTGCCCGCCGCCGCCGGCGTCACGAGCCAGGGCCTGCTGAGCTACCTCGTCTACTGGTGCGTCCAGTTCCCGCTGCTACTCGTCCCCACCCACCGGCTCCAGTACCTCTTCTGGGCCAAGACCGCCGTCGTCACCCCGACCGCGCTCGCCACCGTCGTCTGGATCGCCGTCGTCGCCCGCGGCCGCGGCGAGTTCTTCTACGCGCCCCCGACCGTCTCCGGGTCCGCGCGCGCCTGGCTCTGGCTGTTGAATCTGGTAAGCTGCTCCAACCGCCCGCCGGGAGACTTTCTAGATTCCAACGCTACCGTGTTCCCTTCTCGCCCACCCTTACATATTGGGACGCGATATACGATGGAGAGAGAGACGAAAAGCTAAAGAAAAACAGACCAGCGTTACGGGCGGATACTCGACGCTCGCCGTTAACGTACCAGACTTCTCGCGGTTCAGCCGGACGCGGGGGGCGCAGGTGTGGCAGCTGGCGGTGATCCCGGTGCTCAAGACGGCGGTGGGGGCGCTGGGGGTGGTAGCGGCGAGCGCGTCGCGGGAGGTGTACGGGACGGCGTGCTGGTCGCCGCTGGAGCTGGTGGGGCGGTGGCAGGGGACGCCGGGGGGGCGGGCGGCCGCCGCGTTCGCCGGGTCGGCCTGGCTGCTCGCGCAGGTCTCGGTCAACGTCAGCGCCAACGCCGTGTCCTTTTCCAACGACGCCGCCACGCTGCTGCCGCGCTGGCTCAGCATCCGCCGCGCCGCCGTCCTCGCCGCCGTCCTCGGCGGCTGGGCCCTCTGCCCCTGGATCATCGTCTCCTCCGCCGACGCCTTCCTCCGCTTTATGAGCGCGTACGCCGTCTTCAGCGAGTTTCTTCCTTTTCTTTCTTTCTTCCATTCTTTTACTCCTGCCCAACCCCGCTTCCTCTCGCCCCCCCCCTTCCCCGCTCGATGCCACCCCATGACCAAGCCACGCCCAGCCAGTCGCCTCGCTGACCCCGTTTCTGTCTGTCTTCTAGTGGCCCCCATATCGGGCATCATGTGCGCCGACTACTGGCTCGTGGCGCGGCGGCGCTACGACGTGGCGGCGCTCTACGACCCGGACGGGATGTACCGGTACGGCAGCCGGTGGGGGGCGAACTGGCGCGCGCTGGCGGCGACGGCGGCCGTGGTGCTGCCGCTGCTGCCGGGGCTCGCGCAGCGCGTCGCGCCGCGCCGCGTGCGCGTCCCGCGCGGCTTCGTCGACCTGTTCGCCGTCAACTGGCTCTTCGGCTTCTGCGCCAGCGTCGCGCTCTACTGCGCGCTCTGCGCCCTCCGCCCGCACCGCGCCACCCGCATCCCCCACACCGTGCCCGGCGACGCGCCCGCGCTCCGGGCCGCCGATCCCGAGCACGATGGCCACGGCCACGGCCACGGGGGCCGCAGCGCGCCGCAGACGGAGGGCGCTGCGGGTGAGGATGGGGAGAAGGGCGGAGGAACAGGAGGGGAGGAGGGGAGCGGGCTTGGGCTTGGGTCGGTTTCGTCTAGTAGAGAGGATTCATCGTAGCTTCGAGATTCGGAGGGCGATGCCCCAGCGTCTATCACGCCTGTGTTTCTGCTCACGGCGTAGCTTGCCTTTCCGGGCCTCTATAACCCCCGAGCCCGAGGGTACGCGTAAAGGTATTATCATGACTTGTGTGACAGATACACGCCGTATCACCACCACTTGGGCTTGGGCGCATTAGGAAAAGAGAGCGAGAGGGAGGGAGAGAGGGGGGGGGACCGTCCTCATCAAGCGTTAGGTTGTACCTATCGAGTACATCGCGCATCGCGCATAGATATTTCCAGAAGAGAAAGAGTTGATACCTGTCTGCACCCACCATCTGCGGCGACCGTTACCTCGTAAGCAACCCACGGTAGCATGTACGGGCATCTTGTTTTCGATGTGCAAGAGGGACGTCGAGGCAGAAATGATACATAACGATGGCAGGAAACGGGCAAAGGGAGAAAAAAGGAAAGAAATAAGGCAAAAAGGAATACCTAAATAGGGAGTCGGTACGGGGATGGGCCGTGTTGGGCGCGGCAAAAAGCGTTCCTGGTCCTAGTGGGGATTGAACCCACGACCTATGCATATCTCATTACAAGACTGTATAAGAGCACCATGCTAACCACTGCACCATAGGACCTTGTCGTGCCTTACCCAGCGCTAGTATCGCTTGGATAATCGTCGGATGAACCCGCTATCGCCTTTTATATATTGGGCTGTTTGCCGCAGGTGCAACCGTGCATGCCAATGACTAATGTGTCTTGCCTGTTTGCTTGCTGGCCGGCGGGGGGGGCTGGCTGACGTCGACGAAACGAGACAGTGAGGATGTGGAAAATAGAGGGCCAGGGACTTGGCCGATGCGACGGCAGATTGAGGGGGACGTTCCGTGGTATGCGGACGGCCCGATGCACCAGGTCCCAGACCCAAGGTGGCATGGCATTGTTCTTATAGTTAAGTTTCATATGTGATATATCGTGCTTGTTATGCCGGTACCTGGCTCTGGCATCATCGTGGAGACAACCCGACCTACTTAGTTAGGTATAACGACTATCTGCCTATATGCTTATTCTCATACCGGCCTGTGCTGCGTATGCCCGGGCGAGCGTCTTAACCAATATTATCCGCGTGCTCAGCCCCAGCTCGAAAGAAAAGGAGACAGAAAAAAAAGGACCAAAACCAGAATCTACGTCGGTACCGGGATGCGATCTCTCGATGGAGAGATTCGATCGCGGTGTAATGTGAGATGTGAGCGGGTCTGGCCGAGCGTTGTGCGATAGGCATGTGGGATATGGACGAGACTTGGTTGGGCCAGACAGCCGACGGTTTCTTCTCCCCTGGCGTGATGTCGTGATGTCGTAGGTACTTGGATGGGAAGCTCATCTAGCTGTCTCGTATCTGTGTCGGTCGAACCATCATGAGCATGTTCAGATTTTCATTGACTCTTACGTAAGTATATTCGCGGTCAGTAGTGAATCGAGAGACACAGATTACCTCCTCAACCTTTACCCTTTAGTTTACTTTATTCCCCCAAACCAGACCGTCGTGCGGATGAGAGCCTACGGGAGATTGCCTATATTTATGAGGTAGGCATGTTAGCCGATGATCCTCCATAGTCCGGCTCTCGGGCGAGCAGGGTCTCGTCGCCAGACGATGATAGCTCAGGAAAGCTTCAACCACTAAGGCCGGACAGGGTTCGGACTCGGCCCAATTGGCTCACCGCCGTGGCTGCCGCACCCACCATGACCCAAGGTCCGCCGCGATGGGGCCGCGATTCTGCAGATTCTGCAGATTCTGCCGCGGCGTGGAATAGAGAAAAACCCCGAGCACACCAATGGGACACGGCATGCGGATAGTCGCATCATGCGGGTTGCGGATCCGCTGGAGCTGCCTCGGTTGCGTCCACGACGGTGAAGTTATCCCCGCGTTGGGTAGCAGTTCACGGTTCACGAGCTGGTGCTAAATTCGAATCCGAGGGGGGCAACGCACAACGAACCGAGGCAAATCTGGGTCGACAGCACGAGACGTCTCCTCGCCATGTAGAGAGACAGTCGGCAACCGTGCTAACTACAAGGTGTATCGAAGCCGGAGAGCGCCAGCTGCTAGACCGGGGATGCGAAGCAGGAGAGATGTGAACGCCGAGTGGTAAACGATAGCCGGCGGTGTTCGCAGCAAATTTAGTGCAAACCCCGGGCACGGACTGGGCACGAGGAGGGAAGGAGAGCGGAGCTGGGGAGACTGGAACCGCGGTAAGTCGATGGGTAGGCATTAAAGCTGTTACGGCATCCACGGCATCCTCCGATGCCGATTACGGAAGCTTATATAAGCCTTAGGAGATTAGCTTAAGCTCTAGCTTTAGGTAGAGAGATAGCTTTATTATTAAGCCTTTTTCCATGAGATTTATCTATCCTTGAGATATGATATGGTAGTACCTCTCGTTATAACGGATAAGCCTCTCGGAAATACGATAACCTAATTTAGTTATCTTAAATTCCTTCGAATTATTCCCGCCCTTTCGATCGTAATATTATTACGATATAATTAATACTCTATACTTATAAAACGGGCCCGAAACTCTAAAGGCCGTTTTATTAAGGCCCTAGTAGATAAACCGATTACTTCCTTATCGCTAAACTATATATTATTACCGGCTGTTCCTTTACCGACCCCCGAGCCTCCTTTAGCTCCTAAAAAGAAAATCATTAATCTAACGATCCTTTTATAGAGCTAACGCCGTTCCCTTATTACTCCTATAGACCTTGTTTCCGTTAAATTAGAAACCGTTTTATTTACTATATATCTCGATTCGATAATACCTAATAACCCCTTTTTAGACCCCTTATTCTCCTTATTTTACTCCTTCTTATTTTTTATTATGGAAAAAGCGGGACCCTTTATTATAGTTCGTAGTAAATAACCGGAATACCGATATTAATAGCCTTTTCCGGAACTACTACCGGTATCTTAGCCCCCGTAACGATCCTACTTCCCCTTATAACCTACTATGAAAGATTTTTATTACTTTTACCTATTAATAACGGTACTAGAATAGATCCTACGAGAATAGTCTTAAGGGAAACTTTTTTATTTAAAAGCATTTTAGTTTAAGATTACTAGCGCGAGAGACGAAGCTAAGGTAATATTAAGAACCTTATTACCCCGTTAACGCCTTAATATAACCATGGAAGTAACCGATTCCTTTGCTAATTAAACCTAGATAGCCGACGCTATAGAGTTTAAGAAATTTATACGAGTTTAGTAGAGCCGACCTTTAATTATAAACTTCCCGATTTAAGTACCTAGTATCGATAGCCCGAAATTACGTATCTTTCCGTTTAACCTTACTTCTATTCCTCCTTAATTATACCTAGAGATATAAACGGAGAGATAAGTATCTTATAGATCTTACGTACTAGCGGCGGAGAGATAGATATCTTATAGGTCGTACGCTTTAGTTACGCTCCTATATATCCTTATACGGTAAGTAAGGCAGGAAGAGTTTCGATAATAAAAATATCCGCCTCCTTTATAGCAGGACCTTCAGAAATATTTACCTTAAGTATATTAAGATCGTTAGGGCTAAGGATATAATCGGAACTACGATAAACGTTCTTTACGCCCTTACGACCGCTTTAAACCCGATATCTTTATATATAATAATAAGAAAACTCCCGTAACCGAATACTTAAATAAGATTAACTTCTTAGCCTATCGAAAGGGACCTGAAGTAGTTTTAGATGCCTTTAGGTAAGGTATCCTTATAAGAAATACCGATGGGGTAGTATTCTTTAATTCTCTTCCTATAATATTAAGGGACGCTATAATATTCGATCTTAACCTACTTAAGGCTACCTTCTTTAAACGTTTCTAAAAAGATAAGGGCGAGATATTATTCTAAGCCGATAGCTTAAAATATTCCTTCGATATAAAAGATATACTACCGCTTTACGATTACGTCGACTAGAAGATACGACTCTATAATAAGGCCGGCGAGTTCGACGAAGATTCCTAAGTTAGAAGGATTAAAATAAGGTTGGATTTACGTTTAGTATAGGTCGTTATACTTAAATAATCCTATAATATTATTAAGGACTTAAAATCGTAACTAGCGTCCGTAGAGTATTTCATACGAGCCGAATATAAACGTATTAAAGTATAACACGAGACTAATACCTTTCGTTTCCTTTAGCTTAAAAAGGAGATCTAGTAATTAAAGTCTTAAGTACCTCCTAAGGGTAATAAACCGTTATTCCTAAGATAACTACCGCCTTAATAATAACCTTAGTACCTTTAATAAACTTACTAATAGCCGACTTAATTACCGTTAGCTTAGCTACCTTAGTAACCGTAGCTAACTTTATCCTAAGCTTAATTACTTACTAACGATAACGGGGGATTTAGACCTCGACGACGTTAGATTTATTTTAAATGTAGTAACTTAGACTACCGAGGAGACTATACTAAGCTAAGGCAATAGGTTAACGCTTACTTTACCGATAAAGCTATCGTTATTATAAACCTAGATATAGAGGAGGAATTCCTGCTATTACGAGAGGACTTCGATCGTATCGTTTAGGATATTTTTAATATTAAAGGAAAAGACGATACGGATCCGGAAAACGGCTCGCCGGCGACTTAACCGATATCCTAAGGCCGTACGGTACTACTACCGATAATGGGGTACTATTATTAATCTTACTACTAGAAATTTAAGAAAATAACGATAAAAACTATAAAACGACGAAACCTATAAAAATAACATGGATTATTACTACTTCGAGCTTAAACCTCGTACCTAATAACGCCTACGTATTCTTCCTTAACGACGATAGATACTTATTTCGATCCTTTTAATAACTCTAAATTATAATTCATTTAGAAATATCGAAACTAACGGCGTATATTAATATTTACTTTCCTATTACCTTAATAAGTCGAATAACCCTAGCTTTATACTATCCCTCCGTAATAATACGTCGTCTTCCTAAACTAATCTTACTAAACGGCATAAGCAAAGGTCTAACGGTTATTAACTTAACCTATCTAACGTTTACCTTTTTAACCGTAGATAATAATATATAGTCCGTAAATTATACCGTATTTATCGTCGATTCTTTATCGTATTCTTTTCTTTTAGGAACTTTATTTCTTTAACCTTATAAATTATATATTAAATGGAAAGATAAGTAAGATCTATTAATCGTTACTAACTCTAACTATAAAATACCAGCTACGAGTAAGAAATACGATGCTAAATTATACCGTCGTTTATTAGAACGAGTCGCTATTAGAATAACTTAAACGATAATTATTAAACTAGGCTATGGATATAATATCCCCGTAAAATATCCTGATCTTCCTATCGCTAGCTCCGGATACGTAATCGAACTAAAGGTCTTCTCTTCCGTAAGAACTAATATACTTAAGAGCCTTATCTAAGGAATTACTATAGGATAGTAATATATCCTATCCTTCGCTAACTTCGGCAAAACCCGTATCCATATTCCAGAGGGTAAATATATCGGTTTATTCGTACGACTTAATATATATAAAACTATATATTTATATATTACGGATATATAAATAGGAACTAATATACCTAAAGCAATCCTATTATTAGACTTCCTCGGAATAATAGAGCTACCCGACGATCCCGAATATCATAAATACCCCGATAAGTATCCGTATTACCTACTATATCCTAACGATATATAAGATAAATCGTTACTAAATTAAGATAAGTTATATATAAACGATTTAAATATAAACGTTTCCGAGTATTAAGGACCTAAAGTCTTCTAACGCATACGCGATATTATTAAATCCTACTCTTATCTTTTCCGTTAGATTCTAGGTAAGTTTAACGACGGTATTAAAATACCTATTAAATTTAAGGAAGGCGTTAACCTTAGCGACCTTCGTTAAAAACCTTATTATATGTCTCGGAAAGATAGAGACGTTATAAATATTATCCTAGATTTATTAAAGCGAATAGGCGCCGTCGAAGACGTACTCTTCGGAGAAGAATTACCATGCTTTAGCCTAGCGTTTATAGTCTAGAGAAACGGTAAACCTCGTATGGTAGTTAATTTACGACGAATTAATATTAAAATGCTACTAAATAGGTATCCCTTATTACGCTAAAAAGATATTCTAACTAGTATATACGGTTATACCGTCTTTATATCTATGGACGTTATTAAAGGATTCTTTTAATAAGACATTATCGAAGACGATAGATAGAAAACGGCCTTCGTAACCTAATACCGAGGCTATAAACGCCTTATAATTAATACCATGGGATTAATTATATTACCTAGCTTTATTTAATACCGTATGGAGAGATTCCTTTCCTTATACCTATAATAATTCGTATTAGTTTACGTTAACGATATTATCATTTATAGTCGTATTATAAATGACTATATACGGTACCTAAACCTTATACTTATAATCCTTAAGAAATCCGAAATCTCGATAGCATTATTTAAATGTTATTTCGCTTAACCCGGATTACGAGCCTTAGGTAGATGGGTTTCTCGCGTTAATATTAATACTATCGACGATAAAATAAAAGTAATATAAAAGCTAGAGCTTTATACCCTCGACGACCTAAAATATAGCTTAGGCCTTATGGGATATTATAGAAACTATATATTAAGATATTCCATAATAACTTAACCGTTATTCGAAATTAAGGCACTCGGTTTTAGAACCGCGCCTAAAAAGAACCCCCTAAGGAAGACGTACGTTAAAAGTACGACTTTTCTACCATTACCGCCGAAACCGAAAGGCGAGGATATTTAGAAATATTAAGTAGAGATTAAACGACGTTAAGACTTATGGGCGAAAGTAAAAGAGGCATGGGAAATACTTAAATTAAAGCTAAAGGATATAGTTAATCTCGCGTTCCTTAATTACGATAAGCCGTTTATCCTATTCGTTAACGGTAGTATTAAGGGTTACGGCGCGGCATTATATTAAATCTAAAACGGTAAATACGTTCCCTTAATATTCCTCTTTAAAAGGCTAGATAAATACTAAAATTATTACTAATTAACGGAGTTAAAAATAGAGGCTCTCGTTTAGGTATTCTAATAATTAGAATATATTCTGAACTATAGCTTTATTAACGTCGTAACGGATTATACGGCGATTAGAGATACCTTCGATAAAGGAAGGGTTCCCCGTAGATAACGACGACTAATAGCCTAGCGCTTATACCTAAGCTAATATAAGGATCGTATCCGAATTATTTATCGACTAAGTAAATAGTATACTAACGTCGACGCCCTTTTCCGTATATATAACTTTAATAATAACCCTAACTCCTTTCCCGATTAAGACTCCTTAATAACGGCGTTTCCGATTTAGTTACGTTAATATTACGAAACCCCTATATCCTTACCCGGAACGGTTTCCGTAATACTTTATTTATTAGATAACTTAATATAAGATATCATCGAAGCGGTCCCTTAAAACCCTTTATTTCGAATAATCTATATTAAAATTATTTAATAAATAGCCCTCGATCCTACTAAGACTATATATTATAGCTTTATTATAGATTCTTTATCCGGCCTTCTTTTCTTTAACGACGGCGAATATAACCGTCTTTATATTCTACGTATATGCTACTAGAAATTTCTCGTACTAGCTTATAACTAACGTACGTATATAGGTATCTTTAAGATATACGCCTACCTAAGAGGCATAATCTTTATTCCATTATTAAAGAAAGTCGTAGAAACCTACGTTAAATCCTATCCTTCCTATTAGGTATTTAAGCTAAATAATACTAAACCTATAAGAGACTTATAACTTATTATACCTTTAAAAGAACCTCTCCGTTTACTTTCCTTAGACTTTATCGTAGGATTACCTATATTAGAAACCGGTTATAACGCCGTTTTCGTTATAGTTAATAAACTCTTTAAATTTAAAAAGACGTTATGCGGTAAAATAATAAATTCGGTAGAAGACTAAGCCATATAGTATTTTTAATACGTATATCCCGACTAGTAGTGATTAAAGGCCTTTATTTTAGATATGGATATTAAATTTATATCCTAATTTTAGTAATCCCTTTATTAAGCGGTTAAAATCGACATCCGACTTACGTCCGCTTATTATCCTTCCGCGAACGGTTAAGCTAAAGTAACGATAAAAGCTATTAAAATGGCGCTACGATCGTACTTCGGTACTTCATTTAATTAGTTTTATTAGCCTAAACTCCTACCCTATTTAGTCGCGGTATTAAACTCGTCGAAGTATGAAATAATAAGTCTATTACCGTTTTAGGTCCTATACGGAATCGAACTACGCTAGCTCCTATTTAACCCGGAGCTAACGAATAGCTTTTTATAAGCCTAAGATTAATACCGGAAGGACGCCTTAAACGCTATTAAACTCGCCGAAGTTAAGATAAAGATAAATTACGATATACTATATATAAAGCCGGGGGAGTTAGGATAATAGGCATATATTCGATTAGCTAAACTAAGACGTAAGGGTTATTACCTATAGAACTAAATAAAGTTATCCTTTCCTTACGTAGGTCCCTTTAAGGTTATCGAAAAAATCTCCTTATATCGCTATAAATTAAACCTCCCGACCTAGTTATACTAGCATTCCGTAATAAATATATCCTATTTCCGAAAAGCCGTACTAGACCCTTACGATAAACTATAACTACCTCTTAGTCCCTTATACGACTAAACGTATATCATTAAAAAGATCCTAGACGAGAGGATATAATCCAGCGGCCGAGAGCTTCTTACTAAGTAGCTGGGATATAAATAACTAACCTAGGAATTACGGTACGTTTTAAAATAAGACGTTTCCTATCTAGTTTAAGCCTTCGATAGGTACCGAATAACTTAGCCGGCTGAAGCCGTCTCTTATTAAAAGGGGGGGCATGTTACGGTATCTACGGCATCCTCCGATACCGATTACGGAAGCTTATATAAGCCTTAGGAGATTAGCTTAAGCTCTAGCTTTAGGTAGAGAAATAGCTTCATTATTAAGCCTTTTTCCATGAGATTTATCTGTCCTTGAGATGTGATAAAAGCTACGGCGGGGGGAGGGGGGACGTTAGGAGGCATGTAGGTACCTAAGACAGGTCGCACCCACAGGTAGGGAGTACCTATACAATAGGTACCATATACCCGTAGCTAGCGAAGGGATGGCAGCCACCAGCACCAGAAGGCTAGGCTCAGTACCGATCGTCATTTCAAAAGGTACCAGCTTGAGGGGTAGGGGAATACCTGCTTTGGGTGGCTGAGGTCCCCCACCACAGGTACCCCTCATCTCGCACGCCGGGTATCGCGAAGGCCGACTCGGCTTGGGCATCAGGAAAGATGGAGTCAGAGGCGAAGAAGAACGTATCGGACTGTGCTATTAACCAATACAGGCTAATGGCCATAGCCAGGTGCCACTGTGACATCACCTCATCCCGGTCGTCTATGATGCTGGCATGATGCTGGACGAATTATTAGTCCGAGCGAGGTCGACGCGTTGAGCGGGACGAGGGGAGCGGAGAGGGTCTGGACGTAGGTATATAGAACCCCGAAGAAGGGGAGGAGGACACAAAGAGGCATTTGCTAGTCACCTCACAGACGCACACGGGCAACAAATATATAAAAATACCGCAGCTTTAGCCGGGTCCGTCCTGGCCATCTCGATCGCAAACCACTGCTACCGCCTCTCCCTCAACCAGCACAGACAGCGGGGGTTCGAGAACACGCAATAGGCCCAACAACCCAATCACATACACACCTCCACCTCCACGAAGCTTTTGTTTCCGGGAGCCGACGAAAACACGAAACGAAGAGAACCCCCAGAACAGCAGGGCAGAATGACGTCCAACAAGACCCTCATCTTCAAGAAGCCCCCGACCGGCTTCCCGGTCGCCGGCGAGCACATCGCCGTCGAGGACCGGCCGCTGGACCTCGACGCGCCGGCACCGGCCGGCGGCCTGGTGCTGGAGCTGCTCTACGCCTCGTTCGACCCGTACCTGCGGGGGCGGATGCGGGACGCGCGGGCGGACAAGTCGTACTCGTCGCCCTTTGCGCCGGGGGACCCGATCGTGAACAGCGCCGTGGCGCGGGTGCGGCAGTCGGGGGCGGCGGGGTTCGCGGCGGGGGACCTGGTGACGGCGTTCGTGCCGATCGCGGAGTACGCGGTGGTGGGGGACGCGGCGGCGGCGCGGGTGCGGCGGGTCGAGAACCCGCACGGGCTGGACCTGGGCCTGTTCCTGGGCCCGCTGGGCATGCCGGGGCTGACGGCGTACGCGTCGCTGCGCGAATTCGGCGCGCTGCGCCGCGGCGAGACCCTCTTCGTCAGCTCCGCCGCCGGCGCCGTCGGCCAGGTCGTCGGCGCCCTCGCCAAGCGCGAGGGCCTCCGCGTCGTCGGCTCCGTCGGCTCCGACGCCAAGCGCGACTACGTCACCCGCGAGCTCGGCTTCGACGCCGCCTTCAACTACCGCACCGAGAGCCCCGCTGCCGCCCTCCCCCGCCTCGCCCCCGACGGCGTCGACGTCTACTTCGAGAACGTCGGCGGCGAGCACCTCGAGGCCGCCATCGACAACATGAACGAGCGCGGCCGCATCCTGGTCTGCGGCATGGTGCGTCTTCCTCCCCTTCCCCCCCCCCCCCCCCTTTCCCCCACTCTCCTTTCGCCGTCCCTCCCGCTGCTTGCTAACTAACCACCCCCACCGGGTGCAGATCTCGGTCTACAACCAGCCGCCGGCGGAGCGCTACGGCATCAAGAACCTGCACCTGCTGATCGGCAAGCTGATCACGATGCGGGGGTTCCTCGTCGGGCAGGCGGAGCTGGGACCGGCGTACGCGGAGCGCCACCAGCGCGACGTGCAGGCCTGGCTCGCCGACGGCTCCTTCCCCGCGCGCCTGCACGTCACCGACGGCATCGACCGTGCCGCCGACGGCCTCATCGGCATCTTCCACGGCGACAACTTCGGCAAGGCCGTCGTCAAGATCCGGTAGGCGGGGGCGCCCGGGCGCGCCGCGGCGGGGGCAGGGGGTAGGAAAGCGGCAAGGACGCAAGAGGAGCGCCAAGGAGGAGAGGGAACGAGAGAAGAGAAGGGAAAGAGAAAAGAGAAGGGGAAGAGAAAAGAAGAGGACCCGCGAGCATTCTCAAGACGGCTGGAGGGCGGCGGGGGGCGGATATACTTAGAACAGAGAGAGAGAGAAGAGGGGAGGGAAGAGGGGGGGAAGGGCGTACGCCAAGTCGCACGGCGTACCCGGAGAGCTATGCGTAACGAGTCGCATCCCACGGCGCGGTGCATGCTCGTCGAACCCCCCTTGCGCCGAGGAGCCTCTTTTTCTTCTCTACACGAGCCCGGTCCCGCCGCTTGCTCGGCGGCGTAATGCACGCATGTACATATATCCATATACCTACTCGCGCGATGTCACAGCGCTGCGAGTGCTCATGTGTATCAACCACTCTGTATTGCCTACATAGTGTAGCTACCACGTAAGGAGCTGTACCTGAAGTCTTCCGTGTCGTAGGCAGGCATCGATTAAGCCAGATCCCGGGCATCTTCACCCTCCGCGTCCGGTTGTTTTTTTTTTTTTTTTTCCCACGCGCGATCCGCGTCCCTCCTGAGCCCCCTTTCCCAGTCTAGAGCGGTCAAGTCTAACAGTAAACAATTATCATAAAAGTAAGATTTCCGAGCGTTCCCCGGGTGGTGGCCGACGACGCAGGCATAAAAAAAGAGACAATAAAACCAGACACGGGGTATGTGATTTTGACGCCACGAAAATGCACATCATCTCAAAAGACAAGACGTTAAAAACCCTCCCTCCCTCCAGACCCCCCTTCCTAAGCTTGACCCCTCATGAATGGGCGAACTGGCTGGCCCATCTTCCGATAACGCCGTTCCCCTGATGATAAGACTACCGGAGCAAGCCCAACGCTATGGTCGGTTCAGTCCCTGTCTGGCCTGTGGCGGCGAGTTAGCCGGTTGCTCTTGAGTTTGTACGGGCAGGGGAGAGAGGGCGCTGGTTATTTGCTACCTTCATTTGCTCTATCCTCGCCTTGAGCTGACTCGTCACTTCCGCTGCCCTCTTCCAGCTCTCGACGCCATTAGCGCTAGTGCCACCGCCGCCAACAGTCGAGCTCGTGTCGGATCTCCCGCTATGGTGGCCGACTGCATCTTCGATCGCCGCGCTCCTAAAACCGCGGGCGGGGCTGGCTCTCCCGCTAGATCCGCTGCCGTACCGTAGATCCGGGCTCAATTTACTTCTGGGGTAGTTGTGGGGCACGTCGCCGTTTTCCTTCTCCTCAGACATGCTGCTAGCGAAGCTCATCCGGCTCGTCCTAGCACCTGGGTAGTTCCCTCCGTCCCGGTAGATGCCCATCTCATCTGGCGTTGGGCTCGTTACGCCTGGACTCGAGACGCCGAGCCCCTCTGCCCTGCTAAGTGCGCGCTTGAGGCGTTCCAACTCCCGTCGCAGCCGCTCATTGGTCTGCTCGGCTGCTTCGGCATCGCTTCTCGCCCTGACCAGCTGCGTCTCCTTAGCCTTGATGCTGAGCACGTCTCGGGTGTGGTCCTCGATTAGTCCGGCGTTCTGATTCTTCAGCTCTTGTATTTCTGACATCAATTTGCCCCGATCTTGTCGCATCTCATCCAGAACCTTGAGAAGCCGATCGTTAGCTGACCGTAGCTCCTCTAGCTCGGCACGCTCCATGACAGCCAGCCCGCTCGAGGGGGGTGGTTCGGGTGCAGAAGGCGCGGCGGGAGCGGCAGAAGGCTTTGCCAACGATCGCGCCGCAAGGCCACCTCGTCCGATACCCGCTCGGGGTTTAGGGGGAGGCGACGCTGGCAGAGATTCCTCGTCGTCATCTTCGAGAGGCGGTGGAGCCGCGGCAGGTGGCGCTCTTCGTGGAGAGGCAACCCCGGGCGCTCCAACACGCTTCTGCGGCGCCTTCAATCCGGATAGCCCGGAAGGCTTGGGCATGCCGAGCTTGCCCCCGGGGGCGGCTCGGGGGGCAGAGTCAGGCGGCGGTTGAGCTGCCGGCGCTGCCGTCTTCTTCGTACCGGCGCCCTTCTTAGCACCGCCGCCAGCGAGCTTCTTGGGGCCGCCGGGGGGGCCACGCGCGGCCGGGGCCGGGGGCGGCTTCGGCTTGTCCTTAGCTTTGACCTCGGCCTTGTCGAAGTACTCCTTGATTTTATTTTTCCGTATGTCGTCTAAGCCTTCGAGGTGGGGGTTCATGGCGCGTTCGCCAATGATCTTCATGATCGTACCCAAAACCTCGGCGCCGCCAGACCTCAGGCCCTCGCTGGATTCGGCGAGGAGTTTCTTGGCAGCTTCGACGATGCTAGCGACCTCTTGCTTGCTGGGGACGTCCCGAGTCGTTCTGAGACAGCGGACGAGAAACTTCATCGTTCCCTCTTTGACCTGCGGATTCTTGTGACCGAGGGACGAGAGGATATCCTCCAAACAGTCGGTTAGACTTGTCGCTAAAAACACTTGATCTAAGGCAGCGCCTAGAGCGTCCGCGACTGTTTGTTTTTTTTCCTTTAGGCGTTCCAAGATGGGCCCCATCACGGTCGACCGGTGCTTGCCGTAGCTCCTGCGAAGGCCCTTCGCGAGTACCTCGATACACTGGGCCGCCTGGGTGACGACGGCAATGTTGGCATCTTTCATAGATTTAGCTAGACCGCGGTTGATCTCGTTAAAGTCGCCATCCTTGATTCTCGGCACGTTAGCCAAGGCATAGAGCGCTTCGAGCGCTTCTTTACGATCCTTCCACTTTGACGAGGCGAGGTTGTCGTGGAAATCGCTTGGGATTTTCGACGCAACGTCCTGGGGTTCGGCAAGGTCAAATGCGTCTACTTCGGCCGGTTCGTCGACCTCCTCCTCCTCCTCTATCTCTTCCCCTTCGGCCCCCGGAGGAGGCGCTCGAGCCATAGCTGCTTGCTGTGATCGCAAATATCGTTCCTGTTTCGGCGGCGGCTCTGCCTTTACCTTTTCAAACTGGGCTTCCAGGTCGGATTGTTGCGTCGGCTTAAGATCGCCCCAAAACATGGGTTTCATCGCATCCCTAAGCCATCGGTAGAATTCGACAGCTAGGTTAGTCGCCTCGGCTCGCACGTTCTTGTCCGCGTGACCGAATGCTTTCGGAAGGATCTTGAGGACTGGTTTCGGGTCGACCGTCTTGCAACCATAGTTGTGGAATATAGTGGTGAGCACGGCGAGGGCGGCCGCGATGACTTTAGGTTGCTTTGCGGACATAGCAGGGAGGATGTCCTCGATGACGGGACCAGGGACGTCGAGCTCGACGAGCAGTAATAATGCTTCGATCGAGGAAGCCTTAGTGCCAGGCCTCGTTGACACGAGACCTTTCTCGACGATGGGGTTGATGACGTGACCACGCGAACGCACGCAACCTTCTTTTCCGTTGAACTTGAGGAATGCGCAGAATGCGGCAATGCCATCGGACTGGGCGGCCACATTGGAATCTGCTACGGCCCCTTTCCAGAGACTCGGGTCTTGGTTGAAGGGCCGGAAGGCGGGGTCATATTCGTCGGGAGTGAGCTCGAACTGCTTGGCTGCCTCTTCGTAGGCCTGCTTTCGGACTTTCCACACCTATATACGTATGCGTTAGTCCCATCAGATAGGTAAGGCATGCGGGGGTAACGGGGACAAGGCCGGACAGCTCACGCACTTTATGCACCCATCTCTCCGTCAGAGGCAGAGAGCTGTAGTCAGGCTCTCCGTCCGCCATGTTAGTCGTGGGGGGCTCTGTCGAATTATTTGCGGCGCGTCTAGGCGATAGAGTCGATGCTACTTTTCTTATTAGTTTCGGTAGACTAGCCTTCACAGAGAGGTGAAAGTGCATCTTGCGCAGGGTTGGGTTGGGAGATGTACGAAGAGACAAAGAGTGGTATAGAACTGGTAGCAGTAGTAGTGGTAGCGGTACTGGCAGTGATATGGTGGTAGTAGTGGTGGTGTTAGTGGCGACAGCAGCAGCAGCAGCAACGGCAGCGACAGTAGTCCGGAGAGTATGGAATTATGAGGATGTCTTTCCGCATGTGCTAGTCCATGCGGAAACCACTGTATAGCCAAACTGTCGACGTCGTTGCTGCTGCTGTGGCGGTCGAGACCAGTTGAAGTCGCAAGAGCAAGTAGGGGAGGGGAGAAGCAGGCTGAAACAAATGGGATGTGGTGTAGGTAGGAGGCAGGCAGGCCAGGGCGGTTAAACGAGTGAATGCCCTATGCAGACTCTAGCTGCTCTAGTCCATCCACACAGGGCATCGCAAGGGTGCATGTAAATGTAGACAGACTTTTGGGGTAAGGGGGAGACGGAGAGGATAGGGAGGAGAGAATAGGGAGCAGAGGAGAAGGCGGAGACGTACATTTCTGTCATGGAAGAGAAGAAGAGAAATTTGAAGTTTTAAACCCAAGTGCAAGCAGCGCCGAGCGATGGCTGGCTGGACCGTGATTACCCAGGGACGATGTCAGTTTCCAGGCAAGTCAGTCAGTCGTCTTGGAAACGTCGAGGATGTTCCGACGATGGTTGAATTTGTGGGGGGCGATCAAAGCATAATAAATGTTCTGTTGAGCGGATACTGGGCATGCGGTGTAGCTAGCGACAGGGTCTCTCGCGCTGCTAGCGATGCCGTGGATATGTATGCAGCGATGCTAGGTACGATGTCTGTTCGGCGATGAGCGAGCAGGAGGTTCGTGCTCGCTGTGCAGGAGGGTCTCTTGGGCCTCGAGGGTCTTCTTTGGGGTGTTCTCTTGGGGGCTAGGGCGTGTTATCGTGTGCACTGTGGGTATCTGTGCGGGTTGTGCGGGTTGTGTAGAGGGATGGGTGCGTTATAGGGAGTGGGCTGGGAGGAGCATCAGATGTCAGATTGTCGAGGGGGGGGCGGCGAGACAAATATTGATGTCTGCAAATTCCAGCGACGATGATGATGGGCGGTGTTGTCGGATCGGGGTTTCGTCCCTCAGGAAACAGAGCCGCGGCGTCGATTGGCCGAGCCGCCGACAAATATGGAGACTGCAAGCCTGCCGCAGCGTTACCCGGGCTGCCCTTTCCTGCTCATCGGGGCATACGAGTACATACAAAGGTACCTACCTATATATGTACCTTCCACTAAGAGTGGATATCCGTAGCCTCGAGGCCAACAACGGCCTTACGTTAGGTACCCTGGTAGGCCAGTTCGAGGTAGGTAGGTACCTAAGGTGTCCTTCTAGGCGCCTACGTGTAGGTATGGAGAGATGCCAGCATACCTGTACCTACCTCCCATAGGTACCTGATGAAGTTAGGTAACTGCATCGACGTCGACGTACTATTACTGTAGCGGAATCCAAGGTGCCGTTATGGGCGACACGCCCGCTGATTGACTTGCTTCAATTAAATACTTAGGATGGTGGGAAATTGCCTGCCCATGGTATTCCTCCTGTGCGACGGGTCTGGTTGCGATACACATTGCTTCGAGGATGCCATGCAGAACTCGACTTGGGCATACGTACCTATGAGTATATGTGTATGATATTATGCTGCGTAGTATAGGGGCCTGTTTGGATGGTGCCTGTAATAGATCCTAGTCCCTAGGTTCGGCTCGTTGTATATTATTACCGGTTCCAACCTGCTGAGGCAGATCTCTCGCTCCGCTGTGGGGAGAGACAAGGCGCCTAGGTCTACTCATAGGCCCCGGCTATATCTCCTACCTACCTCCCACCCAGGTATCTACGCGTATACACGTACATTACGCGTGCTAGATTCGGTACGGAGCCGGGGAGGCTCGGGACCTACTAGAATTCAGACGCCTTTTTCTTCGCATGGCCGAGGCTTGCATAACACATACATATACATACCTACCTACCTCTACCTACATATACGCACACATGTGCATTCTACGTATGTACATACCTACCTCTAGCCTCTACTACACGTATACATTACATAGGTAGAATGGACAGGGGTGGTAAGCTCCGGTTTTGTCTGCGATAGGTACGGGCCTCGATGTACCTATTGTATGAGGTACGCAGGATGGAGGGCATGGAGGGGGGAAGGCTGTGGCTTACGCACCCCGAGGACACCACCCCGCCGACGCACCAGGCGTTGTAAGACACGGGGGCGAGATACCTACATTAGGCCAGCAGGCCCCCAAGCTGCTGGCTCCGGGGAGGAAAGCCACATCTCCGTGTGGCTTTACACGTCCTTGACGAGTCAGACGGGAATGCTATTTTGTGTTTCTGCAGTCAGTTGCTGTCCATGCATCGGTGGAACATCAACATCACCATCGCCAACTTATTTTCTTCCTACTTCTTGTTCCCTTCTCGACGCAGCCAGCCCGCCTTCCCCTTCGCCGCACTAATGTTCCTGTGACGCTATCGCCGTATATGAGTGAATCCGGTACTTCTCCTACTTGGTTGTAATTCTGCTAGGTCACTGGCCGCTACTTTCCCGCCTTCACCTAGCGTGCTCCCAGTTGCGAAGCAAGTGTGTTAACCTCCCATCGTCGAATTACCAACCCACTTACGCACATCAACATTTGTCCCCGCGCCTATATACACCTTTCCCATTCCATAATCTACCTCTTATTCACCTACGCCTCTACCTCCGAACTCCCTGCTGACGTTGGTCCTGCCAACCAAAGGTTTCCACTTACCGTCTTCTGCGCGGGTCCGCGGTATCACTTTATCGACTCCCTCCGCTGTCGCACTCCCGATCCCGACTTTCGCGTGGATAACCGAACTAATCCAGCCTTGAACCCGTTCGATATTAGCCCCCTGGCGGCTGGTAAATACCAGGGGTGTAGCGCCGACTCCCACACCCTTGCTGCGACCACCCTCCGTGTTGTGGGATAGTCGCTTGTCTTGTTCTCTCACCCCGGTCCTCCACGATCTGCCTGGATCGTCCGCACTTCCTGCATTTCTGCAGTCATATTAGTTGGCATTCTTTCTAATATTGGCCCCGTTCTTCCATCGCTGGGCCCATGAGCGCCTTCGAGGTGTGAACGGGGACAAGATGAGCCAGATTCTGACCTCACGACAAGCCGAGGAGCTGTATGTCTCTAGCGAACCCCCCAAACCGGAGTAAATACAACGAGTCAAGGGCGGCGCTGACATCCATACAAGACACAAAGCCATCGTCGCGTACCTATCGTCGAATAACCTGCCAAATACCGCTTCCACGCTGCGAGATGAGCTCGGTTTAGGGGACGCTTTCGATGCTGCGACCTGCAAGAAGTATGAAGGCCTCCTAGAAAAAAAATGGACCAGCGTGGTCCGGCTCCAAAAGAAGGTAAGGTGGCGTGCGTGTTGTCGCAACGAGTAGCCCTCCGCCGTGTAGACACCAATGGTTCTTTGCTAATATACATTGCGCGGATGCTAGATCATGGACTTGGAGTCAAAAAATAACGCCTTGCAGTCGGAGATAGACAATGCGACACCGACTTCCCTCTCGAAACGAAACCAGGACCCTTCCAGCTGGCTCCCTCGGTCCCCTGCACGCCATACCTTGCAGTCACACAGAGAGCCAATTACCTGTGTCGCATTTCATCCCGTATTCTCCTCCTTAGCCTCGGGTTCGGAGGACAACACCATAAAGATTTGGGATTGGGAATTAGGAGAGCTCGAGCGGACAATTAAGGGCCATACAAAGGCGGTATTAGATGTCGACTTTGGTGGTCCCAGGGGAGGCACTCTTCTAGCATCATGCTCCAGCGACTTGACCATCAAGCTCTGGGACCCTTCCGACGAATATAAAAACATTAGGACCTTGCCCGGACACGACCATAGTGTTAGCGCCGTCCGGTTCATCCCGTCAGGTGCTGCGGGCGCGCCCAGCTCCAGCAACCTCCTGGTATCCGCATCTAGGGACAAGACTCTACGTATATGGGATGTATCGACGGGTTACTGTGTTAAGACGATACGCGGCCACGCAGATTGGGTTAGGGACGTATGTCCGTCCCCAGATGGCCATTATATCTTATCTGCCGGAAACGACCAGACGGCACGCCTCTGGGATATATCCCTCGCGAACCCGGAAAGCAAGTTGACCCTGATCGGCCACGAGCACACGATCGAATGCTGTACTCTGGCGCCTCCGTCAACTTACCAGTATCTAGCGCCGCTTGCTGGGCTAAAGAAACCCCCACCGGCCTCGAGCACCGCAGAGTTTATGGCTACCGGGTCCCGAGATAAGTCGATTCGTATTTGGGATTCGAGAGGTAACTGCATCAAGACCCTTTCCGGGCACGACAACTGGGTGAGGGCGCTCGTTTTCCACCCGGGCGGGAAGTATTTGCTTAGTGTCGCGGATGATAAAACCTTGCGATGTTGGGATCTAAGCCAGGAGGGGAAATGTGTGAAGATACTCGCAGATGCGCACGGTCACTTTGTGTCCTGTCTGCGGTGGGCACCGGGGATTGTCCGTGAGCCGGTGGTCAACGGCGGAACCCAGGGATCCAACGGCGCCTCTGTAAATGGCGCCGCGAAGGCCGCCCCCGACGTGCAGATCCGGTGTGTCATCGCAACGGGAAGCGTGGATTTGAACGTGAGGGTCTTTGCCAATTGATCCCCTCACCGCCGACCCTGGTGAAATTCGGAAAGATATGACGGCCGCGTCAATTAGCGTCTTGGGCTCGTGCCGACTGGCGACGCACTGATGCGGGCAGACGATAAGAGCAGAGCCACGGATACGGGTTCCCGTCCCCGAGCGCCGTCGCCATGGAATAGTCGCGGGCACGACGTGGGTGGCCGAGGCTGCTACGTGGTCCGGACGCCGGAGAAGGCACGGTGACGCCAAGTTTTGGGCGTGGCTGTAGAACGAGGTGACGACACGATGACGAACTGAGACGAGTCTGGCGGAGATAGAATATGACGAGCGAAGAGGACTTGGGGATGCGGCGGCGTTACCAAAATTCCCATGGTTGGCGCCATCTTCCACGGCGTGTTTGGCACCATTACCTTGGTAGATGATCGTAATAGTTCCTTTATACGTCGGGGGGAGTGAATACCTGATACCCTGTCATTGCGTGCGACGACTGGAATACGTACCAACGTGGCTCCGAGATGCGTAAATCGTAGCAGGTGTACGTAGAAGTATGTATTCATTGCTCCCTTGACGATAGCTAGGACCATATTATCTTTGCAGCCACTGCTATCTTGTTGCCGATATGGGTCTCGTGATATTTTGACCCCTTTTCCGTATACTTATACTGATTGGTACCTCATATAGGCATATTAATTCCCACTTACTCGCCTTGATGCATTGTCGAGTCTATCACAAGCACATTTGGTATCCAGGCACATGCCACACCTGTTATACAAGAGAGATGAAATTCGACTTCGGGAGAGCTCACGTGTTTAAGTAGATAGGTATATAGGCTTCCGGTAGGTCCGCTTTGAAAGCGTCCCTGCAGATTTACCCGTGCTGATCGTTGGTTGGATTGATGCCTTGCTACTCTAAGTACCTCCCACCTCCCTGTCGAGCACTTACTTACATACGGTGCATGCCTTCTTTCCGCCGGGCAGTCATCGAAGGTTAGAGTAGACCTGACGATGGTTAGAGCACGGGAGATCTTCAACTTTGGCGTCTTGTCGTAGTATGCATGTAGGTAGTTTATGTATTTATGAGGATATGTGTACTGTGCCGGAAAGGCAGGTTAGTTGGCGCGCACTCAGGCACGTTGTTGTGTGAGACTTGTCTTAGAGGAGGTACCTAAGGTATTTGTACCGTACCACGTAAGTGTCGGTAAGAGTTATCAGAGACGTGCCGTGTGTTGTACCTATTGTATGTTATCTTGCGCTATGAGGTACCTCCTTCGCAGTACCTACACAATACAAAACGGACTGACTGGCCTTACCTAAGCTACGGGGGATAAGACCTCGTGCTATAGGGTAGGCCCTCCCCCCCTCCTCTCCTGCGCTCTGCCTATCGTTAGTTAGCTCATCGTACGCATTCCCGCCCTCCGCAATCCCCATCCTCTCCGTCCAACAGCCCGCCTGTCCACGTCAACTTGGACTCCCAAGACGCAGGGTGAGGTTCGATGCAATACCCCCGAGTATCCGTTGATGAAGCATTTCTGCGATCGGAGTTGATACATGCCCCTTCGATTGCCTACATATATCCACAGTAGCCTGCAGCTCCGGCGTCCTAATCACCTCGAAGCTTTAGGTTTTTCTTGTCCCTCCGCTCCTCTCTCTTCCCACCCCTCCCTTCATTCTACTTCCACCTTTTTTTTCGAGTCTCCTCTCTGACACCGCATTCCGCGATACAACTGGAAAATATACATCCCTTACCTCGTCTATCTTTGCCCTGCGCGACGGGCGCCAGGGAATCCACAGCCGCTGTCTTACCGCTATATCTTGACAGTGTTGTGCATTTGCGACCTGCCATCACACACACTTCCGGATCTAGATTTACACTGCTACTCTACGATTGGCTTGGGTGGTACCAGAGACGCCCTGACTGTACTCGGCTCGCCTACACACCTACCTTCTTGCCAACCACCGTACCGACCTCTCCCCGCGGTACCGCGAATGAGCACAGAGACAGGACTTATCCATCCCGTCCCGTCGTCCCATCGAGACCGATAAACCAACCATCGAGGGAATTTTCCTGCCTTGCGCATGGAGAAACCCGCCTGACTTGCGTTGGGCGACGATCTTGCCTCTGTTTCTCATCTTTCCTCCGCGCACGATCTCGTCAAATCAGCTCGGCCTAGCCCTGCCCAAGTCTTGTCCGGCCGAAGCGTGCCCTTCGTATGCTCGAGCTCACACTCTCTTACGTCTACTACCGATCCGCATTCATACCTGCGTCTGCGCCTACATCTTATATACCGAGATCCACATCACCTATCTTCCCTGATCGGTGCCGGTGCAGCTCTGCCGGTGCAGTGACATAGGGCATTGCCCCATCACGAGTCGACAAAATGTTCTGGAGATTTGGCGGTTACGCCAACATCTCGACGATCGATACCATCCTCGACAAACCCGACTTCCAACTTGAAGACCTGCTTGACGAGAGCGACTTGATCCAAGAGGTCAAACAGCACAACACTAAACTCATCGAGTACATGCGTGAGCCCACAGTTCTCGAGAGACTCCTAGAATATGTTATCACACCGAAGCTCGAGCCTGTAGAAAATCCGGAGGAGGATCCCCAAGAAGAGGAGAAGAAGGCAAGGTCCAGGGGCCTGTCTTTCGGGCGCCCGCGCGCATCTTCGAGGGCTACGAGTGACGAGACCGACGATGACGAAAATGAGAAGAAGCGTAACAGGTATGCGTACGTCGCTGCCGAGGTGCTTTCATCCGACAATTGGTCCCTCTATGAAGCCCTGATGGAGAGTCAGCGTCTGCTACGCGATTTCTGGAACTTCTTAAAGCTTCCCTCGCCCCTAGATCCTCTTCAGGCCAGCTACTTCACCAAAGTCAACGAATCCTTGTTCGACAAGAAGACCGAGGAGATGCTAGACCTGCTAAAATCCCTCGATGACGCTGTCCCGAATATGCTCCGCCACGTTGATTGTCCCATGATCATGGATCTTTTGCTCAAGATAATCAGCCTAGAGAGGACCGAGAACGGGCAGGGCATAGTAGAGGTACGTTCGTCCCAGCACTTTCGAGGTTGCCTCTGACAGAGCGCTAACGTATTTTCCGGGATTATTCAGTGGCTCTATACTAAAGATGTGATGCCGACGTTGCTCTCTTTCCTCGGGCCGGAGCACAATTACGCTGCGCAGACATCCGCCGGCGACTTCATCAAAGCTATTATCACCGTCTCCGCCAATGCCTCCCAGAATGAGCAGGCCTGCATCGGCCCAAATGAGCTTACGCGTCAGCTAGTGTCGAAAGCCTGCGTCCAGAAGCTTATCGGGTACATGCTTGGTGGTGGAAACGCCTTGACAGTCGGCGTGGGAATCGTCATCGAAGTGATCCGGAAGAACAACTCTGACTACGACCCGGATGTCGGCCCCGATTCGAACGCCCTGCCCTCTAGCCGTGATCCGATATACCTAGGCACTCTACTGCGTCTCTTTGCGGACCACGTACCGGATTTCATGTCTCTCATACTCAATGCTCCGGCTCAGAAGCAGCGGCTAGATTCCACTTTTGGCGGCAAAATCGAACCCCTTGGATTCGACCGATTCAAGACCTGCGAGCTCATGGCGGAGCTTCTTCATTGCAGTAACATGGCGCTGTTGAACGAGGTTGGGTCCGAGCACATAATCGCTTTACGAGACGAGGAGCGCCAGCGACTACGTGCCGAAGGGCGACTTGCGACGAATCGGGGCGAGGAAGTGCAGTCGACAGAGGACCTTACTATGCGAATGCGCCATTCATCTCCTGATGACGGTCGTCGGCTTGAGATCACCAATGCCTCCGACGACGACGGATTCGAGGAAGTCAATCCCCTGAGCGATATGACTGAAGACACATCCCACGAATTCATCAAAGCCGAGGACGAGATCCCCATTGCACCGGTTCCGTCCTTTCTTGAAAAGGAAGACGATGATTTTGTGGAAGAGCCCCTGAGCTCGCCGAGGCTCAACGTCCAGGACAGTAAACTCGCCGAGCAACAATTCGAGAACCCCGAGCTAGTCGTTCCTCCCCTATCACCCAAGAAGCCGGTGGCCGTGCCACAGCTGGCACAGCCTCTTGATGCTCCTTTGACAAGTGATTCGAAGGATTCTTCACAGTCATCCTTGCCGACGGCCAGTGCACGCCAGGCCGAAGTGGCAACTCAGGTAGAGGTCCAGGATATTATCGAATTAGAGGGCCGCGAAGTGTTCCCAACTACGTCTGAAGGCCCATCTGCAACTAGCCGGGAGACGGGAGGCTCTGCTGGCTTTACGGTCCACGTAGTAGAAAGTATACCACCCCTACCTACTACGGAAACGCCTACAGTGGTTACAAACCCCACGGAGACTGAACCGAGTATGCCCGCCGGCGTCCCCTCACAACAGCCAACCACAACCACAACCGCGACTGCGAGTACCATTACCAATAGTAAGCCGGACGGGGCGGTTATCGTGGATGCTCACCCCCAGCCCGGGTTGACACCGCCCGGGGTTAGAGAACAGTTCACTCCAGTTGTTGGTGACTACCTTAAAATGCAATTTGTGGAACATCGGGTGGTGCCAACTATTCTGGTGAGTGCTCCCAAGCATGGTTGCGATAGCATTGAACGAGCGGCTGACCCTGCTCGTAGTCATTTTTCTTCAGATATCCGTGGAACAACTTTCTCCACAACGTTGTCTACGACATTGTCCAACAAGTATTCAACGGACCGATGGATCGCGGTTATAACCCTACTCTAGCTATCTCGCTATTCGAGGCTGCCGATATCACTAACGCCGTCATCAACGGTCAAGCATCCAGCGAGCAGTCACAGGCCCAGAGCAAGACTCGTATGGGCTACATGGGCCACCTGACGCTTATTGCCGAGGAAGTCGTCAAGTTTACGGAGCGCAACCCGCCGGAGCTTCTGTCCGAGCTAGTCCTGGATCGCGTCATGAGCCAGGATTGGATCAATTACGTCGAGGGCGCACTAGCGGAAACGCGCGAGCGGGACAATGCTATCCTAGGTGGTGTCAGGCCCGACGTTGCTTTGAACAATCGAGCTCAGATGGCAGGTAACGGTCTGGGCGGCATGGGCTTATCTGGCCTCGGCCTCGGCGGCGCACCGATGGGGGGCTCGCATGTGCTTGTCGAAGCCGGGCTGAATGGCGGCGGCGGTATGGAAATACAAGAGAACGGAAGCGGCAGCAGCCTCGGGCCGTTCAGTATAAGCTCTGGTTTGCTGTCCGGGTCTGGCTTCGGTAGTTCTAGCGACGAAGATGAAGATGACGCCGAAGATACCGAAGAAGACGTTAACAACGAGGTGAGTTACTCTCTACAACCCGCCGAATTCCTTCGCGCAACCCACCCCGATTCCACTTTTTCACCCGCGGATCTGAGGGCGTCAATGCTGGGGTCAATGGAGGACGAATTTTTGGGTTAGGAGACCCTCTAAAACATACTCTCCAATATTTCACCCCCGGCGATGACGGCATTGACGCCTACAAACCGCACCCTCTCCTTGAAGAGATAAAGGGCGGTAACGACATGCGACACACTGGGCAGTATGGGGGGTGGAACGACGGATGGGACGCAAGCATGACTATGACTCCAAAATCACGCACTTGGTTTTCACAATTTATGCTTAGCCACTTGTCATAAACCGTGGGCCGAAGAAGACCTTGGGTATACGGCATTCATGCTTGATCAATACTACTTTCTCGGGCGCTCTAGATAGTTTCGTCGTTACCCCCTTCCACTCTATACCGCTTCGGCTCCGTTTTCAATTATTGTTCCCCCACGTCAGACGTCGGGGACTTTCATTCCCCAGTCCATCTTGCGGAGAAGATGGGACGGATCAGCAGTGCCTCCTCGACTCCTTCATACTGAAAAAAGAGAGGAAAAAACAGACTTGCGAGGAATTCTTTTCTTTGAACGGGCGGAGAGAAAGTCTACTAACGCCTGATAGTTCCGTGCGTACACTGATCCGCTGCACGCGGCCTCTTCGTCGATGGATCCTCCCTCTGTCCCACCGCCACCGCCTCCCCCCCCACCGTTGAATATCCCCCCCTCACGCGCACGCCTACAATTTGCCGCGAGACTCGCAATGCAACAGAAGAACGCCGCTGCAGCCTCAGCGCAGTCGGCCGAGAATGAAAATAGCAGGGGATCCGACGACAATGCAGCAGACAGGGAGACTAGCAGTGTTCTCCGAAACCCTTTCGAGGATGACGGTGAGGATGATGTGGACGATGACAGCGACGATGGGCTGGGTGACGACGACAACACGGATTCCTGGGGCGCAGGCCCGTCTCGAGGTGGCTGGTGGCGAGGTGCCTTGCGAAGCGGCGGCGAAAAATTTGGGGATGGCAGAGACGACTCTGACTCGGATAAGGACGTGCCAACCGGAGGTGACGAGGACGATGAGGAATTTGGTGACTTTGCCATGCCCGAAGTTGACAAGGAGAAGGGCAATGATACAAGCGGCGTCATCGTGAAGCCGCTCGCCGTGCACCCACCTCCCCCAAGCCAAAAGACTTCGGCGTTCACCAGCCTCTGGCCCTTCGGGTCTAAAGACAGGGAGAAGCAGAAGGCGAAGGAAGGCGAGGAGCTCAAGGCTGAAAACCTGAGCGAGATTACGGGTGAGGATGGCGAGAAGATTAAGAGCACTCACGAAGCCGCTCGGAGGACGAGCATCGAGGACCCCGATGATGAGGAAGTGGTTGTCTAGGAACCCGCGTCCGGCATGAAAGGGGACTCTAGCGATTATTACGTCAAGGTTAAGGTTTCTCGATATACAGGCATGTGATACCCCCATATTCAATTCTCAGGGGAGCCCGGTTCCCCACCCGCAAGCGCGCCGCAGACCCCCATCTCAAGAGATTCCGGGGCGGCCAAAGAAAGGGGGGCTGGGGGGGGGCCCAGGGACACGTCAGCGAAGGATTTGGAGCGCGACTTGTATTATATATGTGGTTCTAGAGAGGCGGGCTTTCGGCTGCTGCCCGCCGGTCGCACGTCGCGAATTTGCCCGGAGCCTGTACAATAGTTTTGGAACGATACGGCAGGCTACGGTAGACGGACTAGGCAAGGCAAGGCAAGGCACGGAGAAGGGAAGGGGGAGGGCGCGGATGCTCTAGGTTAATGAATGACGCGACGAGAGCAACGAGGGAAGAAAGCGGAGAGAAACGAAGAAACAATCCGTAGGTTGGTTACGGGAGGGCTGGCTGCTTGACTGCCTAACGACAGGATGTTTTTGCTAGAGAAATTTGTCCACCTTGTTACCAGCGTATTCCGATGCCTACGTGCACAAAATACCTACTTAAATTCTCACTTAATCCCTATATACTTATTAGGCTAAACAACACACCTACGTCAGTAAAAGTCGATAGACCCGACGAGAGGGGCGATTCGGAGCTGAGACGGAGCTCCGAAGCGACGTGGCATTCCTTGAGGTACCTAAGCATCTGTAGGCTACTGGAGCTGTTTACGTCTCTACGCTACGCCTACGTACTTGGGTATGCTTGTAGTGATATATCCTGTCTCTTGCGGCACGGGGGGTTTCGGCTGTGCAAACACCACACGTATATATACCTACCTGCATGTGCTCACCGCCGCTGCCAGAGGTCGATAGCTATGGGACACATACCTGAGCATCGTGCGCCTGCGTGTCGATACTTCGAGCGACGGGATCTCGCAGGTCCGACGCGAAGTCCCGGTTCCGTTCGCGATGCCCCTCCCCTTCTCGCAAGCTGCACCTGTGGAGGACGGGCCTCGAGAGCGGACCTGGAGAGGAGGCGGTAGCGGCGGCAGCGGCGGGAGTGGCGGGTATGGAATCTTGAGGGATCGATGTGGGATCCCGATCTGCATACCTACCTACCTACATGGTGGCCGGGTCCTTGCCGCGTGGGTGCGTGCGTATATGTGCGTGTATGTGTATATGTGTGTGTCCTTGCCGCTGGCCCCCTCGGCTTGGCTGAGTCGTAGCAAGTATGGAGTGTTGTTTCTGTCTCTAACTTTGGGCAAGACAGGGGAGAGGGAAGAGGGGTGCTGTGTGTTCGTAGTACCTACACTTCGCACGGAGATAGGCAAAACAGATGTTTTCGAATGGACCAAGCCATCGTCAAGTCCCATGCGTGCTGGAGCTCTGTCGGTTGGCTTGGCTGGGAACAGGGTCGCGGAAATAGATATTAGCTGGTAACTATAACTGTTTGGCCCCCTTACCACGTAGTATTCGCCTCGGCACCTGGACCGCACGGCGACCGCCCGCGCACGCATCGCATCGCATCGCATCGCCGGGGCAGGCTCAGACGGCCAAGCCTCTCTTTTTTTTACACTTATCTGTTGGCATCAATAGGCTTTTATTTACAACAGCGAAGGCGACTATGAGATGGAGGGAAGGAAGAGGGAGGGGGAAAATCTCATCGGGCCTATGGCGATTAGATATGTTACGAGGTAGACATTATTGTTGGTTGGCTCGTTTTCGTTCAGACTTCTATATCGAGAGGCGAAGAGCGAAGGGAGGGAACCAGGCTGGTGCGTGACTTGGGATCTCGTTGTCGTTGGCTCTGTGGTTCTAAGACTACGACGGGTGTCAGCCGAGTCTCCTTGTCGGGTTAGCAGAATTGGCAAGGCTTTCTGTCCGTCGCTTGTCGAATGGACCCCATGTAAGCCGAAGCGCTATCGCTGAGATCGGATGGCGTAATAGCCGCTTGAGAAGGAGTAAGATGTTACAGATGCAAGTAAAAGTGTGAGAATAACATCAAGAAATTACTATGAACGCATCGTAAGAATATCTCTCTGATTTACCCCCTTCCCGTTCGCAAATTGACGTCAGTTACAAGAGCCCTGTAGAGGTCCACCGAGATGGCCAGGGACAGGGCTCTCAGGGGCGTATGTAGACATCGCTGTCGCATTGCTACGCGCGGGCATCTTCGGGACGTCGGCAACCCGTGGGTGGGTGTGCGGCGCGGTCTCACGACAGTGAAAGGAGGCTTCATGTCGTTTTCGCCCCTGACTGCCTGGGAATTCCGTGGGGCTATCGGCGTACGGTGAGGGACTCGCTCCAACTTGTCGATTAATAAAGTGATGAGGAGAACAGGGTGGTAGGGATGCTACATCACGTATACCTACCGAGCAATTTCTAACTGGATACGGCGTAATTCTGAAGTCTGCGTGAGGGAGAGATGGATAAATGTAGGTAGATAGGTATAAATATACCAGCCCACCTGCAAAGTATCGGTACTGGCATCGAAGCCAAGCCAAGCCAATAATAACAATAACGTAGACGCATACATATGCGTCGCGAGGAGTGGTGCAAAGAGACGAGATTGGGTGTTATTCGGTAGACAAGGCATCCAGCACATTCTGACAGGTTGGTTCCCGGGTTCGAGCTCTCGGGGAGGGTGGAAGAAAAGAAAAGGCGGAAATAGGTAGGTATGCAGAAACTCTTTCAAAATGCAACAAATCATAACAATAATAGCAACAATGATAATTATGGCGATAATAAGTATAAAATAGAAATGATGATGATAATGAAGCGAACTAATACTCGAGGTAGGTATAAAAAAAAAAGTCTGAGCTGAGTCGTGTGTGTGTTGCGTATTTTTAGCTACCGTCTCCCCCTGTCGCAGTTCCCGGCCTCAGCCACGCGGCCCCAAAGACTTCCTCCCCCCAGCTCTACTCATACTACCTACCATGATCATCATGCAAGCCCAGCCAAGGATTGTGATGGTCACCACCCGCCTAAGCCTCACACTGTCACTCTCCTGCGCTGACCTGACTATCTCCCTGCTACCTGGTAAGTGTTGCTCGCACCAGCCAGCCAGAGACAAGGTAGGCAATTGATGTTTTGTCACCAACCTCTGAACGCCTCGTAAAAGCCTTCCGGCATCTGCCAGTCCCGGTCGTGACAGATCACGACAAGATCCCGGTGGTGCAGGAGACTTCCCACACGTAGAATCCCCTCCTCTCGCTCCCCTTCCACACCCCATTGGACGCCAGCCCGAGCGAATCTGTCTCCGTATTACCAGCACCGGGCCCGGAATACGGAGCCCAAGACCTTCGCATCGGTGGACACGTCCCAACGATGGATATATATAATCCATGGAAACTTCGTCCCGGTATCCACACGGTTAGACGGCGACGAAAAACCATATTGATGCAAGAGAGAGTCCGGTTCTAAATGCCCGCAGGCGGTGGTGTCCTCTTTCTCTCGCTGACCATCATCCCATCGCTCACCCTCTCCGCCTCTTTCTCAGGTGCATGGCAGACCCCAATACTACACTGCATTGTCACGTAGATTCCCAAGGTTTGCCTCAAATGCTATCCGCGTCCGGTCTGCCTGGCACGTCCGTAAGTTGCTGTACTTCCAAGCCCGATCTACGGACCTTGTGGTAGTAGCGGTGCGAAGAAGTCTGGGAATCTAGGAACTACCGAGGTATAAGCCTGGCCTGATACGCTCTTACATTGTCGACGAACTCGGATCCCTCCCTAGTATTTGCCTGCTATCTCTCCCCCCCCCCCCTCCTTCCGCTGTGCCGCGTTCAGCCATGGAGAGTCCGATAGGGGAGAGCCTTCCAGCACTCTCTCCAGACGATACCATATCGAGCCTTTCCGAAGATCGATCCGACGAGACGGCCAAGGGGACGCATCTAGAAAAAAGGGATAGCAGATTTAAGAGGAGGCAGCTCCCTTCTCTCATCACCTCGCTCCCTTTACCTATTACCTCCTTTCCTACGAAGAGGGTCGACGACCCCAGAGAACGTTTAAGATCAGCAACAGTCGCCGTGGCCCGCGTCCTCGGGGTCGACACGAACGAGCTCCCACAGCCATTTTACGGGTTAATACAAGATGTTAACGACGTCTCAGACTCGGTTTATTCGCACTCCGGCAGCCCCCGACAGCCCTTGAACAGGGCAAGATCCACGCGAGAAGACTCGGATAGCTCGGCGTCGGCCTATTCGCCCTATATCGATACCTTCGCGAGGAGAACGTCATCGGACAATTCGATTGCAAGACGCCTCATAGTTATAGTAACTGATGTTCTCGGCCTAGATAGCAGTTCTCTACCGCTGGAAGAGTCGTTTGTGGATCTCGGAGGGACTTATCGGAAGGCGAGAGAAGTCCGGGCGAGATGTATAGACGAAGGCTTTTCCATCAAGACTAAAGACATGATGAATTGCAGAACCATCGCAGAGCTCCAGACGCGCGTAATGCCGCTCACCCAACCTTTGTCAGCCGAAGGCGGGATCCCGCCTATGGTTATCGACCCGCTCGAGTGCGACTCCTCAGACACGCTTCCCGCCTTACAGCGCCGTCGAGCGCCGTCGATCCCACAGAAGGCCCCTGCTAGGTCCCTCAGCTCCCGAGCAGAACTTAAACAAGGCCAGTCCCGGAAACGTAACATCCAAGTTGAACACACATTAGCCTTGCATGAGGGCGTCTCGAGAGCTGTTGTGCTTAAACCCAAGGCTGGTCCGTTCGAGGATCAACTCGTGGCTTTTATCACCCTATCAGGTTGCGAAGGGGAAGGCCCAGATGACTGTGAAGTCAGGTTACAGAGCATACACCACGCCGGCCGGCTATCAGAGATCCGGAGGTCGGTCGAATCCAAAGTCCCCCCCGGGCTCGTCCCAACTGTTTGGATAGTGCTGGAGAAGATGCCTGTGGACGATGCCGGCAAGACTAAACGAAGAAAACTGCAAACATGGATTCAAAATGCCAACGAGGAGCTTCAACGGCAGATACTATCGATCGAATCGGGAGAAACCGCGCGACAACTACCCCCGAGCGGGATTGAAAGATGGCTTCAAAAGACGGTCAGCAGTGCGCCGCACACCGACGAGGTAGGCACGAGAATGGATAAGCAGTCTAGGGCTATAGGCGGCGATCTCGATGCGTTGCGGCTCGTGTCTGAAGGCGATTTTCAGGGTGTCTCGCTTGGGATAGAACACATCTTACAAGCGAAATCGTTGTCCCAGCTCACTGCTCTCGCCATACCGAACGGGCCGTATCTTCGTGACGCGAGCGCGGCTGCTACGGAAGCTTTCGAGCTCTCGCCCATGCAACGCCTATATTTTCACACACACATTAGTCGCAACAACGGCGAATCACGGGCGTCTGGCGGCGAACGTCAATTCAACCAGAGCATGTTGTTTCGGCTCACACGGAGAGCGAGCCTCGAGGATGTGCGCGCGGCAGTAGAGGCCTTGGTCAATCATCATGCTATGCTTCGATGCCGGTTCCACCCCGTCGAGAAATCCTGGTGCCAATCGATAGAACCCGAGGCCTCGTCTTCTTATCACTTTGCGCACCACTCCGTCAAGACAGATGCCGACGTCGAGGAAGTGGTTGGGATTGCCCAAGCCGCGATCGACATTAACACCGGGCCTATCTTCGCTGCACACCACTTCGACACCCACGATGGTTATCAGATGCTCTACTTAGTCGCGCATCACCTCGTCGTCGACCTCAAATCCTGGAGCATCATAGTAGATGACCTCGAAGCCTTGTTAACGCAGGGTTGCCCAAAGTCCGGTCCCTCGACGTCGTTCCAAGAATGGATACACCACCGCAGGCGTCGCATCGAGACGATGGCGCCGACTGCTGACATCTCGTTCGGCATTCCGGTGGGAAATCCCGGATACTGGGGGGTTGACGAGGCCTCGAACACGTATGGCAACACAACATCCATCGATTTTACCCTTGGTGTGGAAGAGACCTTGTTGCTCGAGACCAGCAGCCGGACGTTTAACACGAGCCCTGCAGACATCCTCATAGCCACTCTTATCCTCTCGTTTGCGCAGACGTTTCGCGATCGCCAAGTGCCAGCCGTATGGAGCCAAGAACACGAGAGATCCTCGCCGGACATATACTGCGACGTATCGGAGACCGTGGGATGGTTCACCTACCTCTGCCTCTTCGCCTTGGAGGTGTCCCCCACGGATGACATCCTAACCGTCTTCGATCGCGTAAAGGATCTGCGCCATACCATCTCAGCAGACGGCGCCCTTCACTTCACGAGGAATCTAGTCAACGCCGAGTCCGCGTTCACCTTTGCTTCCACCCACTTACCCCTCGAGCTCATGTTCACGTATTCCGGAACTATGCAGCAAACGCAGAGACAGGAGGCCATCCTGGAGCAGATCACGCTCCCAGGCCAGGCGCTGGCTTCTAGTACGTCGGACATTGGGCGCGACGTCGGTCGCGTCGCCCTATTTGAAGTATCAACACTGGTCGACCAGGGCGAAAGCAAGGTCAAGATCCTCTACCACAAGGATTCCAGATATCAGGAGCAGATCGGCAATTGGATACACAACTACGAGCTGCTGCTGCGCCGGGGGATTACTAGATTACAACATAAGTTCCCCGGACTCTCCCTCCCCAAATCCCCCCATTTGAACGTGATCGACAAGGAGCTTAGCCAGCTGAACAGAGATACGTTGTCGAGCCTCAGCCTCAGCGTCTCAGATATTGAAGCCATCTATCCTGCAACACCTATCCAGCAGAATATTCTGGTCAACGATTCCATCATACCTGGAAGTTCCAAGGCGGAGATTATTTATGATCTTGACACCTCTGGCAGCCCTGTGGACATCTCTCGTGTATGCGCTGCTTGGAACAGAGTAACAGAGCACCACTCTGCTCTAAGGACAGTGTTTTATCGGGGCGTCTCTAAAGACGGCCTATACGATCAAATCGTGCTTAGGTCTCACTCGCCTAACATGCTTTTCCTCGAAAGCGACAGCGTTGTGGAGGCGATGGCTTCGCTCGAGAAGCTCCCTCCCCTAGCGCTCGACGAGGGCATTCCTTGGCATAGACTCGTCGTTTGTCAGGTGGCTAACAAGACGTTCTTGAAGCTGGAGATGAGCCAAGCCGCATGCGACGTAAGCTCCTGAGCCTTGAGTTTCTAATACGTGTGGCTAACTTGAAGGTCCCATAGGTCCCTAGTATGTCGATCCTCTTCCGAGAACTCGAGCAAGCCTACTTCCATAATCTCGGCCCGTCCACGTCCGAAGTGTGCTGCTCCGAATATCTCCAGTGTCTGAAGGAGGCTTCTCGTAGCGTTGATTTCTGGAAAGAGCATCTGCGCAACTCTCAACCATGTCGATTTCCCACTATCGTCTTAAACCCAACCCCGAGCGAGTGGGACACTACGTCTACAGACCTTGAAATACCGTGCGAGCACGTCGAGACGTTCGCCAAAGATCACGGCGTCGAAATATCTACTGTTCTGCGAGTCGCCTGGGCCCTAGTTCTCCGAACTTACATCGGAACGGACGACGTCTGTTTTGGCTGCCGTGTCTCGGGCAGGGACCTCCCCGTTGAGGACCTGAGCGATGCTGTTGGGTCATTCTCTACAGTGTTGCCGTATAAACTTACAGTCCCCCGCGACGAGCCTCTGGTGCAGCTACTACTTGATGCGGAGGACGAACACCGGCGCACCCTTCGCCACCAATACGTGCCGGTAGCGAGGATCGAACACGAACTCGATATTAAGGGGGGGCATCTATTCAACACCTGCCTTTCCTTTGGATACGAAGGCGTCTCCAACAACTTGTCAAACACCTCCAAGTGTCAGCATGTCAGAACCGAGCAAGCTTCAGAATACGACATAAACACCGACGTACACTTTCACGGCGGGAACGTTACGGTCGATATCGGATACCGCATCCTCATCTCTGACCAAGCAACCGGCATAGCTAACGCCTTCAGGAAGGCTGTCGAGACCATTCTCAGCGCGCCGACCCGCCTTGTCGGGGAGGTCGACCTCTTCAGCGCACACGATAATGAACAGATCCTTGCGTGGGACAGGACGCCCGAGATCGACGTGCCCCAGGCGCCCGTCCATCAGCTGGTCGCTAACCGAGCATCGCTTAACCCCGAGATGCAAGCCGTCTGCGCCTGGGACGGAGACTTGTCCTACGGCGAGCTGCACGAACTATCCGTCATCCTCGCCAAGTATCTCTTGGCTTTCGGGCTGAAGCCACAGGCGCCCGTGCCGGTGATCGTCGAAAAGAGCCGTTGGGCAGTGGTGGCCATGCTAGCAGTCCTCCAGTAAGTCCACGACATGCCAAGAAATTCCAGTAGAGTCTCTTATTTACTGTCTTCTAGCGCCGGCGCCATCCTGGTCCCCGTAGATGCAGAATTGATCTCGACATTTGCTCGCGTTATCCAGACCGTAGGCGCCGACCTAGTGCTGGTTTCCGACCAAGTTCGCCAGCACGTTAGTGGCTTCAGTGTTGACGTTATCGTCGTCAATGGCGAGTCCATCCTGGAAATGGCGACGCGAGCGGTCGACGTGACGCCTCCCCAGCCTGCGCCGTACGAGATAGCGTGTATTCTCCTCGGCCCCCCCGGGTCTCCCACGTCGTCGAGGGCCACGCCCTACGGCCACGCTACTCTCGCAGCCGCGTGTCTCGGGCAAGGCCCTGCGCTGCGGATCAACCCGTCTAGTCGAGTCATGCAGATCTCGTCGTACAGCACCGACATCGCGCTGGCCGAAGTGTTCACCACCTTGGTCCAGGGTGGCTGCGTCTGCGTCCCCTCCGCTGCCGAGAAGGTGGCGGGCTTCACCGAGGCCGCGAGGCGCATGCGAGTCAACTGGACGTATTTCACTCCTGCTCTGTCCCGGAAGATCGACCCGGAGAGCCTGGAGGACCTCGCCGTCGTCTGCTTTCCTATCCGTCATCTCGACGGCGACGCTCACGCGCCGTGGATCGGAAAGACGAAGGTGCTGCTCGTGTACGGCGTCGCCGAGGCATGCCCGCTGGGGCTCTCCGCGACCGAAGCGACCGATCCTCGGGTACCGCCGTGCTTTGGCCGCCCGTTCAGCGGAAACTTCAGGGTCGTGAGCCCCGAAGATAACAGCCGGCTAGTGCCGGTCGGGGCGGTGGGCGAGCTCGTGATCGGGGGTCCGATGCTGGCGAGCGGGTTCGATATCAGCGACCCCGACGCCCAGGCCTGGGCTGGAAAGTGCTCGACCCGCATCAGAACCCTGCTCGAGAAGTCGGGAAGCCGTCTGCTTAAGACAGGTCACTACAAGACGGGCCACTACGTCCGCTACCGCGAGGGGGGGCAGATTGAGTTCATCTGGGTCGCGGGTGAGGAGATGGAAATCGACGGCAAGACCTTTCGCCCGAAGGATATCGAGTTGAGGCTCCGAAGGTGTCTCGGCGGAGGTGTCGACGTCGCCGTAGAGACGATCGCTTTCAATGACCCTGGTTTGCCTTCCATACTTGCCGCATTCGTGGAGCTGGACGAGAGCGCGTTTCAGGGAAGCGAGGGGCTGTCGAAACTGAGCTCTATCACTAGAGAAAGGCTGGGCCTCTACAAGAAGACGGCGGATATGACTCTTCGAGAGGCTCTGCCAAGTTATATGGTTCCCACAACATACATACCCGTCAAAGCCATGCCATTGACGCCGGATTTTCAGATTAACAGAGAAGAACTTCAACGTATGATTACCGGACTGCGACGGAGGCGACTGGTCGGGCTAACAGAGGCGAATTCGCCGGTGGAGGAGAGATCGCCGATTTCCAAGCCTCTCCCGTCGCCCCGGGTCGAAGAGCAGATGCGGGCTATCTGGGCCGAGGTGCTCTATATTAAAGAAGATGCTATCGCGGCTGACGCCGGATTTTTAAGCCTAGGCGGCGATACCGTCTTGGCTCACGACCTCGTATCTCAGTGTCGGCAGAAGGGGATCAATATTTCGACCACTGACGTGCTTCGAGACGTCTCGTTCGCTAACCTCTGTAAGGGGGCAGTTTCGCTAGAGGCGGCGTCTCCCGTAAAGCCCCAGGAGACGAAAGCTACGCAACCAGATTCTCCGGATTCTTTTGCCAGCGACTCGGTAGTGTCACAACTCGGGTTCGACGAGGGATTAATCGAGGATGTAGCCGAGGCATCTTCTCTCCAAACGTCGTTTGTCGAGTCCGGGATGCTGCGGTGCCACGGCAATATCAGCTACATCACGATCAACATCAACGGCCCCCTTAAGTGGCACAACCTCGAGAACGCGTGCTTCCTGCTAGTGCAGGCCCATCCAACATTACGAACCGCATTCATAAGTCGCCGCCGTAAGCTCTACCAGACCGTTCTTCGGTCGTACCACCCCGAGGTTTCGAGAGAGCAGTGCCAAAGCTGGAGACTCTCTAGCCTGGCCTCGAAGTCCATCAAGAAAGACCAACAAGCACCAGTTGATTTCCGGCGGCCCGTCACCAAATTTTTCTACTTCGATGCCGGGAAGAGCTCCATACTCATAATGCGCCTATCTAGAGCTCAGTACGATGATCTCTCGCTGCCAGTGCTTATGCGGGACCTCGGCAAATTATATCAACAAAATACACTTACAAATCGATACCCCAGCTTCTGCGAGGTAGTCAAGACTACTCAGCAGCCTACATATTCCAACAGCGCCAGCGAATACTGGCGCGGTCTCCTAGAGGGCGCGTCGATGACACAAGTTGTCTCGCAGCCATCGCCTGCAAGCATAAACTCAAACTCTACAACTATTCAGCTGCAGGTTTCCATTCCCGCGTCGTCTCAGAACATGGGCATATCGTTCGAGACGATCCTCAAGGGCGCGTGGTCCATCGTGCTGTCGAATCTATCCGGCAGCGACGACGTGGTCTTCGGGCAGCTCGTGGACGGGCGGCGGCACCGGAGCCTCGCGGGCGGGCACGCCATCGCGGACGTCGTCGGCCCCATGGGCAACATCGTGCCGGTGCGGACGCGGCTGCCAGACGCGCCCGTCCTCCCGTACAAGTTCCTGCGCCGCGTGCAGAACCAGCGCGCCGCCGGCATGCCCTACGAGACGATGCAGACCGCGGACGTCGTCCGGCTGTGCACGGCGTGGCCGGCGTGGGCGCGCTTCAGCACGGTGGTCTGCCACCGGGACCGCGGCGCGGGCGCGGGCGACGTCGACGACTTCGCCATCGGCGACGCGAGCTGCTCGCTGGGCTGCGTCGAGTCGGCGCACCACGCCGCAGACCTGTTCGTCGAGTCGGTCGCGCCGGCTGAGCGCAGTGGCGGCGGCGGCGGCGGCAGCGGCGACGTCGCCGACGTATCCCTCTCGTTCTGCGCGGCGCGCGTCGACGCGGCCTTCGCCGACGCCGCGCTCGCGATGCTGGGCGCGGTGATCGCGCAGCTCGCGGCGGCGCTCGTCACGGCGCCGCTGCGCCTGCGCGGCCTCGGCGACAGCCGCGCGGCGCCGCGCATCCCGCTGGCCGCGCCCGGCGGCGCGCAGAAGCGGCGCGGCAGCCGCGGCTCGGGCACGCCCTCGCCCGTCGACCCGCTCGACCCGGACCGCGCCCGCGCCGCGCACACGCTGGTCTCGGCCGCGTGGGACGCGGTGCTCGACGCGCGCGCGCTCGGCGTGCCCGACCTGCGCGCCGTCCCGTTCTGGGAGATCTGGGGCGCGCTGGTGCCGGCGGCCGAGCTCGCGCGGTACTACAGCGAGAACATGGCGGCGGCGGCGGCGGCGGCGGCGTCGCCGGGCGTCGGCGGCAGCGGCGAGCCGCACGCCTTCGCGGCCGAGGACATCCTCACCCACCCCACCATGATGCAGCAGTACGAGCTCGTCGTCGCGAGGCAGCAGGAGGCCGAGCGCCGCGCCGCCGCCGCCCTCCCGCGCCCCGGGCTCGCCCTGCTCCACCGCCCGAGCCACGCGCCGGCGGGCTGGCCCGGCCGCGGCATCCGGCGCGCCGCGGCGGTGGCGGGCGGGCCGCCGGCGCTCGCGCCCCCGCGCGCCCCCGCCCACCACGTCCGCTCCAGCAGCTACCCCGAGGAGCAGCGGCCGTTCGGCGGCGGCGGCGCGGTCCCACCCGCTGCCGCTGCTGCTGCTGCTGCGCTCCACCCGCCGCAGCACGACGACCACCGCCGGCCGCACCGCCAACACGGTCCCCCCCACCGATACACCGCCAGCGCCAGCCTCTCGCCGGACCCGGCGGCGGCGGCGGCGGCGGGCAGCAGCCAGAGCGACGGCGACGCCGACGCCGGCAGATTGCTCCCGCCCGGGCCCGAGGGCGCGAAGGCGAGGGCCCCTAGGACGAGGGCTTCGATCTTCGGCGCGAGGATGCTCGGGCTGTCGAGCTGAGCGCGCTACACGGCGAGCGCCCGCACTTTCCTTTTGTCTCGAGGGTAGAGGATACGGGAGGGTGGGCGTATTGAATTGTGCGCGCCGGGCATGGAGAGAGAGGGGGGAGCTTGCGCGCGCTTTGATATCACTGAGGGATATTTTGGGAGTCGGCGTTGGGGTGGCAGGGAAAATGGGCTACCAGAACAACGGACTACTAGTAGTAGGTAGACACAGACCGGTAGGTGGGCGAGGATGGAGGGCGGTTGTTTGATACCTTAACGTTTGTTTTGTTTCAAAAGAGATATTTCAGAACGGAATATCGTCTAGTGTTATTATGCTTCAGTCTGATTACTAAATGACAGGGGTTCATTTTAAAGGGGGATAAGGGGTTGGCGGGTCGGGGAAGGGGTTTATGAAATCTACAGACTACTATATATATAGGTAGACAGAACCACAAAGCGTATAAGCACCACGAAATACACCTCATCCTTCTCACACTAACCTATTCATTACCCTTCCAAGTTTGGGGGGATGGAAATCTGCGAACTCTGTTCGTATTAGATGCTATACCGGCATCGCATCGCGATCATACCTCTCTCCCGCTCCGCCGTGGTATTGGGCTACGACACGGCGCCGTACTAGGCGGCCTCACCTGTACCTACGCTTGCGGCGCTTTACACCCTCGGCCCGCCCGTATTCGGCTGCGTCCGCATGGTGACGAAGGGCGGCGATGAGACCAAGTCCGGATCGACCTCACCTCTGGGCTTCGGCGGCTGCTGGCTCTTCGCGTTCGCTTCCCTGTTCAGCCTGAGGCTCTCCCTATCCGACGGAGTTAGCAGAGTGCTGTGTGAACGGGGGATGGAAGGGGTAGGGGTAGGGTAGAGGGGGGTGTTTACTTGCCTGTAAGCCTCGCGCAATGCCGACTTCTTCTTTCTGAACTCGAAGACCAGCGGCTTGCTGTGGTGGACGTGCTGCTGGCAGATCTCCTCGGCCTTCCTCGCGTCCTTGCACTCCTGGCAGTTCTCGTGATCCGCCACGACCGGCGGCCGCTTCGTGACGCCCGGACACGGCACTCCGTTCTCGACGGCGAAGCACGGCGTGTGGACTTGCTGGTGGCCCCACTCCTTCTGGCACTCGTAGCAGTGGAACCATTGCTCGTTCTCCCAGCACATCTTGCCCCCGGTTTCCCTTACGTCTGTCTAGTTATATGGAAAATGGTATTAGCTGGGTTTAGCACACGTGGGGGATCCGATATATTCCTCGCGAATTCGTACCCTACAGCTAATGAGGACTAGTGGTTGCTGGCCGAGCGATCATAAGGGGGAGGGATCTTATAAACCTGCCACAGGCGTTTTTGTATAACAATGCCATTATTCTGAGATGGGAAGCCGCGTTGATAACATCAAAGACTCTGAGCACAAGAGAGCTGCACCTAGTAGAAGGAATATCAAGGAACTTGTTCAAGTTGCTTTCATTCATGATAGCCCACGCAAGAACATTCACTGGCCGTGCAGATCGTCCTTGGTCAGGAATGTTTCATCCAACAATAACCCCTCTTGTGCATTTCCTATTGTGACTTGACCTTGCCGAGGTCACCCTTGCAATTGCTCTGCGTTGATTCACCAAACCAGTCTTTATCAAGAGCGTGATAGTGAAAGACTTAGCTACAGACTCTACCGGCTTCAGAGGATATACCTGCGAAGCTGTCCAAAGACCTTGGGCCTATGATAGGTGTGACGACACAGTGACAGTACCCGCACAAGTCATCAGTCATAGACATCACAGTTTAGAGATATATGATGATTATTTACTAAGGACTTGGTAGAGCGTCGTTAGGGTGATTCTAGCCAGGGGGCAATAGTTACCGGGGCTTAGATCTTTACACCTCTAGCACAACCTACTGGTAACTATGGTAACCTCTCTCTCAGAGAAGGCAGCTCATCGTCCAGTGACTGTTCTTTGCCAGACGGCATCCTACTCCACCATGGACCAACCAACCTACCCGTGAGCCAATTTGGTTCTCTTTGTCTGTCACGTCTCTGCTAGCCACCCGAGCTCCCGTCCCAAAGGCCATTGATTCTCTGACAACGCCCCATACAAAGACTCCAAGGCCCAGCTACGGATAAAGAGGGACGTAACGCGAGATAAAACCGGCACAGCGGCCAACGACAACATACCCATTGACAGCGTCATTTCGATCTCAACTCCATCGCACCACACCACCGAACCGCAACTTACCACCAGTATCGCAACGCCGACCGACAAGATGCCCCGACGCCACATCTCGTACATGAGCCACAGCAGCGCGCTCCCCTCGCCGCTGCCATCGACGTCGCTATCCGCGAGCGAGACAGGAGCCGCCGGGGCGGACGAGGGGGGGCAGGGCGGAGGCCGCGACTGGCTCGCGGCCGCGCAGGCGGGCCTGCGGCGGGACCTCGAGACGTCGCGGATGGAGCTGGAGCTGGTGCGGGACGCGCTGGCGGAGCTCGACGCCGGCCTTGCCGGGGAGCAAGACGGAGAGAACGGCAGGCGGACGGAGCAGGAAGAGAAGGCGCCGGGAGGGGACGGCGAGGAGGGCCCGGCCGCCAGCCTCGGCCAGCTCCGGGACCGCCGCGCCCTCGTCCAGTCCTGCCACGAGTACGCCGGCTCCCGGGCCCTCATGCTGGGCGACCGCCTGCGCCAGGTACAGTACTGGGTGGACGGCCGGCGCGAGGGCCGCGAGGTGCCCGGCGGCGCGCCGGAGGAGTAAGTTTTTTTTTTTTCTTTCCATACGCCCCTTTCTCTCTCTCCCTTTCCCCCTTTTCCTATTTTACCCTCCCCTCCCCCCTGTCGTAGTACGGCCTCCCGATCGCCCGGCCTCTTTTTCTTTGCTGTCGTCCTTTTCCTTACCTAAGCAGAAGCTAACGAGGCGACGCCGGTTACAGGTGGCACGCGGTCGACGAGGAGTGGCGGCGGTGGCTCGGCGAGCAGGCGGCCGCGGTGCGGGTGGCCGGCGACGCCGACAACGACGACGACGGCGAGCCGTCGTCAGCGTGCGCCCGCGACGCCGCGGGCGGCGAGGCCGTGCGGCTCTGGGGCCCGCTGCTCGTCGTGCTCGCGAGTTGCGCGAACTGAAGTGCTGGGAGCTTCCCCCCCTCCCCCCCAATCGCCCACACATATTGCTAGATGCCTACCAGCCGGTGCCGTGGGGGCCAGGACGTCAGGTTCGGCGAGGTGGACATCCGCAAGTGTCCATACATATGTTGGTAGGGTGGCAGTGCCACGGGGCAGACAGACGAGGTTCGATCCAAGGACGAGCACCAGCCGGAAGCAGCCATCTCTGCCCGCTGGAAATCTGATCGTGGTTTGCGCATCTTGGCTGCACGCTGGCCCCTGCTTTCGCCGCTGCGGGTGGGTGACAGGCGCGACTACTCGTATGCTGCCTGGCTCGTATGGAGGGCGGGCGGCTTAAGCAAGACTGGTCTGTCGGTGTTCGGAATGGGTAAGTGAGGCGAGACATGTACATACGTAGACGTAGAGAGACGTAGGGACAGAGAGATGCAGAGAGGGGGGAGGCAACGGGAGCGGGGCAAGCGAACTCCCCGATAGGATCAGACGCCAGTACGAATAGGAGTTGCGGATGTACCGTCGAGTATACCATGGTAATATATCCCAATGCTGTGAATGGCTCCTGCAGGGTCTCAACCCTCTGCAAAGACCTCGCTTTGGAGGTTGGGAAGGGGGGGTGAGAAGAGCCATAGTGACGGGGTGGGAGGGCTGACCTGACCTCGCCTCCTTGCTGACGACGACCAATCGCACCGCGCGCGCTGGCACGAGCGGGACTGTGCAGGCCGGCAGGGCCGGCAGGGCCGTCGCGTTCGACGACGGCGACGACGACGACGACGACAATGGTCAGACTCGCCCGAACCGGTGCTGGCTCTCGCGATAGAGGCAAGGCGACGTGCAAAGTCACATATCCATGCCGCGTTTGCCTCAGGTGGCTAGATAGCCTGCCTGGTCGGGCTCGGGCTTCAGGGAAGACAGATCACATGTCATGATGCCACCTAGTTCTCCGAGCCGGGCCAACCCCTTCTGTCAGACTACCCTTATAGTAGGGGTCGGAGCTGAGCTAGGCTCGGTGAGGCTTTTCTCTCCGGAGGACCCGTACTGCGTGGGCGAGGGCAACTTGACGAGATCCTGTCGTGTGACCCTATGTACCTACGCGCGGGAGTGCATACAGACCTACAAGTCGTCGCGGCTGGCCCTCGGCCCTCCCCTACGCTCTTCAGCCCTATCGAAGCCTTCGAATAGAAGTCTGGGGCGCTGGCGGCGATCACCTGTATACTTACCCGAGGCCCCGTTACGGGATGTCATAGGACATAAGCTCGAGAACTCGCTGGTACGGGCCGGGAGTATTAAGGGGGGAGGAGGGGTGGCGGTGGAAATCTTACCTACCTACTCCTGCAAAGCTGCGGCATCTGTGTACGCGTCGAGGACGGTGAGTGGTTAGGCAGTGGGTAAACGCCTCCTACTTCTAAGCTGAGATCCTCATGAGAAAATCATATCATCGTTAGGCCAGCCGGGAATGACTGGACGTGCCCATCGACAAGTTTTCTTGTTCGATTTCTGACCGCACTGCCTGTTTCGGTTCCTTGACGTTTAGCCCATTTCATCTTGTTTGCCCGTGAGGCTATATTGGACTCGTGCAATCGGGGGACCCACGCCCTTGAGACACCCCAGGTTTCCCGCTGCCTAAACGTTACGGTCCCTTCTTCACAGTACGGGCCTCCTCTCCGGACGGTAGATAAGATGCCTACGTCGGCCATGTGCCCCAGCGCCTGTGTAAGCTGGGAAAATTGGGTAGCATCGTGGGCTCGCGTGGTGGTGTTGTGTCCCCCGCAAGTCTTATCAACCACGGCGGCCAATGGCCACGGTGAGCGTTACGTACGAGAAAGCGAGAGGGAATAAACTGTGACAGAACGCCAACACGGATAAAAATTCCAACTGGACCCTACGTAGCACGCAGATAGAGAAAAAGGCTGCCGGGGATACCCTGACGGGGGACCCGGCTCCTCTCTCCTCCTTCGGCGAGAATACGTGGAGAAGGAGGCAGCAGGGCAGGGGGCCACGACGTCTCACGGGCCACACCGAACGTGCTTCAGGATTGCTACCGCAGTCCTGGGTCTCGTTTTTATTTCCTCTTATCTCGGGGACCCAACGAGAGCGCGTATGGGGGGGGGAAAGCGTCTATCACCGTCGCAGAAGGAGTGCGGATGGTTTGTCGTGGGAAGCAGCAGCAACAGGAGCAGGCCCGAGGCTCGGGTTGGCCGAGACAACGGGGGGCCACATGCGTCTGGGCGTTGATATCGGCAAAATACAGGTAGAGTTAGGCAGCTCAGCCAATGATTCTGCGGGGGATTTCCCCCTGAGGGTGTAGCCAGTCTGGGCGGACGGCGGCGGACAGGGGCCTGCTGGCCCAATTAGCGCGCTGGCAGGGTTTATGATGAGATGACAAGGCGCCCCGAGGTTGGGAGCAGCTGGACTGAGTCGCGCCCCGTACGTACCGCGGATAGCTAAGGGCGGACGGGTTAGAGAATACTTATCGCATATTAAATCATGCGGCGTTTGGTCGATTCTTCTCTCGGTAGCGGGATCGACTGGCACGCGGCTTAGCAGAACTGCTTGGTCTTAGTAGTCTCTCGACAAGAGCGGGCCAAGAGCGCTACGACGAACGCCGCGGTCGAGGAATTGTTCTGGAACGATACTACGTTACGTATGGCGGCACGTGTGACCGTGACTCTCTTTATTTCTCTCTGTATTGTCCTACGCATGGCGGGTATGGCCGTTATTATGTAGGTATAGTAGATGTGTGTGTAGCATCTCACGTACTCCAGACAGGTACCTAAGGTATGTAGGCAGGCATAAGCATCTCAAACGTCATGGACTGCTTTCCCCTCTCCCTGCGCTACGGTAGCAGACACGAGTACCTAGTGTGTTCACATGATACTGCGTCGTCATGATCGTCACCATGATCACCCGTGAGAGGTAGACCGCGCTAGCTGCGCTCGATTCCATGCCTTTTCCCTAATCGATCTGCTAGAGATTACTATACGCGTCCTTGGATAGGTGCAGAAGAGGGGCTCTCGGTCTAGGAAACGGGCCATTTCGTCGTCAATGCATAACGGGGCGCGTTTTAGATGGTTCGAGTGAACCTTCGAGACCCGGACTCTCGAGGCTTCGGGCGAACGTTCGTATGTGTCACAGACGACTAACGCTTACGTAGAATGGGGAACGAGCCGGTAGGTATAGTATTCGTGTGGGCATCATGCATGTTGGATGGAGAGAGAGAGAGTCTTTGCCCGAACTTGATTGACGCGCGGGCATTTCTTAGGTACTTGGTTATCTTCGCGAACACCGGTTACCCACGGTTCTGACCACACACCATACCACGAGTTGGAGGAGGGACTCAGCTGTAAAGATGAGGCTCGGTGCTGAAGGTGGTGTACTCTCGATGCCGTGGCGTGGGGACGGTCCCCGTATCTGCTCCAAGGGATACGCATACACATGCCTACCACTCGTATGGCGGTATGTACACATACACACAACCACGTAGGTATCTCTACATGCGATATACATGTGTGTCCCGACGAAAGGCACGGCGCGCGGCGATGGAAATAATATGCCTAGGCAGATTCAGAGGGGGAGGGGAGGGGGGTTCTAGAATGATTCCGTACGTTGGCCGTGTTTCCGTCTTCATCTGTGACGCCGGCTCGCTACTATCTCTAATTGATTGTCTGCATTGGGCGTGCTAATAATCCGTAATGTCTATCCGTCTAGTCTGGTTGCGGAAGGTAAGCGGGAGGGAGAGAATGTGAAGCTATCGCGCGCGTATAGTCGTTCTTGGACGAGATTCTCCCGTCTCGGCCTGGGTGTTGGTAGGCATGGGGCCGTGGTAGGGGGCCGTGGTAGGGGGCCGTGGTAGAGGATGTCCGTAATCTCATTGGCATCGTAAAATAAGACGTAAAGTGATCGATCATGGCTGGGCGCTGCACGGGCGACATTTCCCGGGCTCGGACGGGTGACGTGAGAGCAGCCATTGGGGGAGTAGGGAGTGGTGAACGAGCCCTGTAACCTCATTGCGAACCAGGAAGACTTTCTTCGCTTCCGCAACGACTCCTCCAGAGGCGCGTCCGGCTATTTGCCATCCCATTTTTGCCCCCTCCGGCCTCCTCTATTATTATCCAAATCACCAATATTGCATGGTCTTGGCATGATAGCGAGTTCGCGTTTACCGGGACTTTTATTGGAGGAACTCAGGGTGTTGCTGCGGTGCAGGCATTCCCTTCTCTTGGTAACTCTGCGTGTTTACTCTTCTCTCTTCCCCTTACCCAGGGAATCAATCCCCTGCCTCCTAGTCAAATCAAGCAACAGAAAAAAAGAAGAAACGATGAGAGAGAGAGAGAGAGGATGCAACTCGACAGCTTAGTAACATTGCCTATCCGTGTGGCACGTTGGCTTGAGGGTCCAGACGATACCAAGATCTCGGCACAGCAAAAACGACTTGGTCTCGTAAGCCTTAGCAGGGGCCGGGGGTGTGGGCCAGTTTTTATTTTATATTGGTGAAGGTCGCAACCGAGAAGAGAAGGTCGAATTTCTGTGCCCCGCGGGACCGTAGCCGCTGCGGGTTTTACTGGTCCCATTGGGATCCTCGGGCTCAACTCGGTGGGAGGAGAGAGGCGATGCTTGACGAGCGAAAACGGGGACCACGTTCCCTTCTTATCGTGCTAGTATTGCAGTGTTCTAATAGCTACAAGTAATAGATATTAGCGATATATCAAATACTTGTTATTTTACGTCGGTATATCCGCACATGTAACAGTTTAGCAAACGACAGTCACCGGTAGGCGTGTCGAGTTTTGTCACCGGCGTGCTCTGCTGTCCAAAGGTCGGCAGGTAGGTGTTGGTCGATGTAGTTACAATGCCTACCTACCTAGGCAAGGCATGGCGCTGCTGCAGCGCTGAGAGAAGACGGCGACATGCATACATACACACATAGTTCTTCTCGGCAGGGGACATAAACAACGAACCAAGCAAGAAACACCCCCTTCCGCGCACCCCTTCCGCCCATACTAACATCTACGTATGGGTGTGTGTCGAGTATTGCGTGCGCGTCGGGGGCGCGGAGAGGCCAGCAGAGACGCTAGACGATAACGGCTCTGGCATTCTCGGTCCTTTTTGTTTAGCTCGCCCCCCCTAAAATCTTAAATTAACCGCTGGACCAACCCATCCATCCTGCTTTGGGGAAGGGGGGTGGACGAGCTCGTGAGAGAGAAAGCGAGCGGTTCAGCAGCCGGGCGTTGGTAAGATGATGATGGTCGACGACGCATTGCATACTCCGTACATACCTAGACGCACCTACATAATGTCTGCCTATTACATATCTGCGTAGTATGAAGTAGGTAGGTAGGTAGGTTAGAAGGCCCTCCCTCGCCGTACCGTGCGAGGATGGGCGCTCTCCACTTCCTTCGGGCCCCCTTCCCCTCCCCCAACGGGCCTTGGCAGTCTGGAGAACCATCGTCGAATGAGGCAAGTGGGCGGGTGGTATGGTATGGGACGGGCGGAGGGCACCTAAAGGGAAAAGGCGCGCCCACTTCCCAAACCCAGAGCTGCCTCACAAAGGACACACTATAGTATACTGCCTACGTAGGTAAGATTCTCGCGAGTGGATAAATTTAGGTCTCTCGAAGAGCTACCGTCGACATGGACGCCGATGTATACACCTACTGGGTACCCAATCCCATTTCGAGTCTTTCTTCCTTCGCCTCTGGGGGGTGGGGGGAAGGCGAGTTTGCTCTGCTCTGCTTGCCTCCGCGTATTTTATGCGTATCTCCGGGTCTCCATTTTTTACGATGGATTCGAAGAGGAACAGAGAGGGAACAGGGGGCCGGGGGGGGGGGGGCGCGAGAGGAGAGATAAGATCAATGTGGCAGGATGAGGATTGCTCGTGAGGATGAAGCACCTGGTTAGGCACCTTGGTGTAGCCGCTTAGTTCAGTAGGGCGTTAGCAGGATTAATATACACGTCGCATTTCCGATGTTTATGTATCGGCGACGAAGTGGAGAGGGAGAGACAAGCTTCTTCTTCTTGATTAATCTCGACGTTCTAGTTTCGTAGGCGAACCCGGCCGCGGCTTGACCTAATCTAGCCTGCGTTAGCCGTATCGTCGATCAACCTGCCTGCCACTTGGGGAGGGAGGGCATCTCGAGATCGAGTTCGGTAGGTAGGTAGAGAGAGCGGAAGAACGAAAGCACTAGGGTAAGTAGGTTTAGAAACGCTGGGTGTGGCGCTGCGCATGCATGGTATAGGTACTCTGTCGTCTCGGCCAGGCCTCGTTTTTCTTGCCCTCCTGGGGGGGTCCTGCTACCGTGGTTTGGGGTTGGGGCGATGGACGCTGCACATCACGCGAGTTGCCAGGTTCGATGGTTGGGTGGGTAGACGGAGAAGCGGATGGGGGAGAGTGGACCGAAAACCAGCTTAGCTTGACTTTGATATGTCCTGTTCTCCTTCACTTGAAAGTTCTGACGGTGATACTGTAGATCTCGCAGGGTTGTTGCACAATAATACATTCACCAGCATCGGCATTGACTGGATGTACGAGGTATGAGTAGGTAGGTAGGTATGTACCCGCACAAGCAAGCCGTCGGCGTCAAGCCTCTCGAGGCTAGAATTCACCCCCCTAAAGTGAGACCCGTCAACGACGGCATCCTCGCTCGCCGTCGCCGTCCTTTGTACCTATCATCTGTACCCATACCTGGTATACGCTCTGCTGTAGACAATCTTCACCCTGTCCCACTCCTAACCCCAGTTCCACCTCTCTCCCCTCCCCTCCCCTCTTCCCTCTGCCCTCTCCCCTCTCTTCTCTTCTCTTCTCTCTCTTATTTGTAACCTTCGTGTGGTACTTTTGCATACCGACGGGCGGCATGTGTGCACACAGGTAAGTACCTACCTAAGGCACGGGGCACGCGATGGTACCAGGAGGCATGGTACCTAGGCATATAGGGTAGGGTACGTACGTGTAGACGCGGTAGGCAACCTTAGGTAGGTACCTAACCTAGGTACCTAGACAGGCATGTACCAGTCTGTAGATAGCCACGAGTTCCCTGTTCTATGCGATTCGGCGTCGCTGGCCCTATCAGCACCCCTGTATTTGCGACGGGAAGGGCGAGAACTGGTACCATGCCACTACGTCCCCCATCCCCATCCTCATCCATCCCCCCATCCAAGACGCGACCTTCATCCCGCTGTTCATTCGGCTTGGTCCCCGTAACTATGCCATGCCAGTAGGATGTATGTGTACCCTCGCCGCAGGATCGAGGTCGTGGTTGCTATTCGACCTTAATAAATAAAGAGTCCGTCGCGCCCGCGCAACCCTCTCGCCGTGATACTATTCCGCTCTCTTCTTTTATCCTTTCCTTCCCCCCCTCCTCCCCCTCCATCCCAGGCCTCGTCTGCGTCGAGTGGTGGCCGTTCGCCAAAATTCACTTCTTCCCGCCCCCCCTCCATTCCTCTCTCCCTTTCCTCCTTCGGAAAGGAGGAACATCGCAACAACATCGCCCGTTGCTGTCGGTGCCGTAGTGATAGCGTCCAATCTACCACCGATTTGACGGCTCCCATCCGCCACCATGGGTTCTCCCGATCTCGCCGCCAGCAGCGGCAGCAACAATGAGGAGAAGGAAGTGCCCCCGCCGACCTACTCGCCCCAGGTCGTCGGCCAGGTGCACCAGGGCGCGGTCCGATCCGACAACTGGGCTACCCGCAATGGTCTGAACCTCGAATCCTTCAAGATGCGCGACTACGGTCGCGGCATCGTCGAGCTCGATCGAAGCATGAAACCGAGGCATCTACACATGATCGCTATCGGAGGGTCTATCGGCGCCGGCTTCTTCGTCGGTTCGGGCAGGGCTCTGTCCACTGGTGTATGTCGCTCCCGCGGGCAAGCTAGTTTCCTCCCTATTCAAATCTGGGAGTCCCTTTTTTGTCTCTTTCTTTTCCTCTTGCGCTAACCGTGACGGCCGAGATAGGGTCCCGCATCTCTGTTTCTCGACTTCCTTATTATCGGTATAATGATGTTCAACGTCGGTACGTATAGACGGACACACACGCCTACGCCGGCCGTAGAACTGGTTCGCGCTAACGTTTTCGTCTCGCAGTCTATGCTCTCGGTGAATTGGCTGTTATGTTCCCTGTCTCTGGCGGTTTCTACACCTATGCCACTCGTTTCATCGACCCCTCGTGGGGTTTCGCTATGGGTTGGAACTATGTGCTGCAATGGGCCGTCGTCGTTCCGCTAGAACTCACCGTCTGCGCTATCTCGATCGACTACTGGAACCCGACCATCAGCCACGGCGTCTGGATCACCGTATTTTACGTCTTCCTCATCGCGGTTAACATCTTCGGTACTCTCGGATATGCTGAGGAGGAATTCTGGTCGTCGATCCTGAAGCTCTCGGCTACCGTCGTTTTCATGTTCATCGCGTTGGTTTGTGTCCTCGGTGGCGGTCCCGAGAGAGGCTCGTACAGCGAGTACTGGGGCGCGCGCCTCTGGTACGAGCCCGGCGCGTTCCGAAATGGCTTCCGAGGCTTCTGCGCCGTCTTCGTCACTGCTGCCTTCTCATTCAGCGGAACTGAGCTGGTCGGTCTCGCTGCCGCCGAGTCCAAGAACCCCGCCAAGGCCCTCCCGGGTGCTATCAAGCAGGTCTTCTGGCGGATCACCCTGTAGGTTCCCACGACGTGTGGTCGATCTGGGTTTCTGTGAGGCGGGTGGAAAGTGCTAACGACGGGCCGTATAGATTCTATCTCATTGGTCTGACCTTCGTCGGCCTGTTGATCTCTAGCGACGATAACAACTTGCTGAACCCGGAATCTGGAAACGATGTCGCGGCTTCGCCTTTCGTCTTGGTCGGGCAATACGCCGGTCTCGATGGATTTGACCACTTCATGAACTTCATCATCCTCGTCTCGGTCGTGTCGATCGGCGTGTCGGGCGTTTATGGTGGCAGCCGTACCCTCACGGCTCTCGCTCAGCAAGGGTACGCCCCCAAGGTTTTCACCTACGTCGACCGCAGTGGCCGCCCTCTGTTTTCCGTCGCTCTCCTCCTCCTCTTCGGGGGCATTGCCTACATCGATTTGGCATCCGACGGCGCAACCGTCTTCGACTGGCTCAGCGCCCTGTCTGGCCTCGCTGCTCTCTTCACTTGGGGCTCTATCTGCTTGGCCCACATCCGCTTCCGGAGTGCCTGGGCCTACCACGGCCACACGCTCGACGAGATTCCCTTCAAGGCGATTGGCGGTGTTTACGGATCCTGGCTCGGATTGATCTTGGTCGCACTCGTTTTGATTGCCCAGGTAAGCGTTCCCGTCGGCCCACGTAGATTTACCTTTAGTCTCTCTAACTCGACGTTTAGCTCTTCGTCGCTATCTGCCCTCCAACCGGCGGCTTTAACGATGCCGAGGGTTTCTTCAAGTCCTACCTTGCGCTTCCCGTCGTCATGCTCTTCTGGGTCATCGGCTACCTGTGGAAGCGCACCGGCTGGCTCCGAATCGACCAGATTGACGTCGACAACGACCGACGAGTGATCGATTGGAATGAGATTAACGAGCATCGCGCGAAAATTGCCGCCTTGCCGGCCTGGAAGCGTATCATCGACCTTATATTCTGATCCTCCCATCTGTGTGTCTATAGGAGCAGGTTGTGGGCTTCTGGGGTTATTCGGCGGGATGCAGTAGCGGTCGATGGTGAATAGAGACGAGAACAATACGAAAAATATAGCGTGGTAAAACTTAATAAGAGGCCGTTACCCGAACCATGGTTTTTAATATTGTGATATAAACTGGGATACGTAATTGACTCGTCGTTGATGGCCGGCCTCCAACGATGCCTATATGTACGCAGCTAGGTATGTATAATAGCGATATTTATATCGCCGCCGCCACGACGGCTCCGCAGTCGGCCCAGGTCTACAATGTGTAGGGGTGTGTGGATCATGAGAATGACAAGTCCCGCGCCCTTCATATAACAAGCGCCACACCCGCTACGCTTAGCACATCCGAGCCAGACTAGATCAAGCCAAACAAAGAGATAATAGTCAATGCTTAGATCCGCGCCGTCGATGGCGAATGCCTCTTCTTCTACGCCGCGTCTAGAGAGCTGGCCGTAGTGAGGAACGGGTGCGCATCCAACACCACGCGCGTGCCCGCCCCAAGCACAACGCGCGGGGATGGAGACACGCGCCTCCCCATAGCCATCCTGGGACACTGCGCACGATTCTATAAGTCCTGCCGAGTTTAGCTGCTTCTCCGTCCACTGGCTCCGGCGGTGTTCCCTAATAGGCGCTGCGATGTCGGGATACAGGTGCCTGTTTGGAATCTGAGACCAGATTCAAGTTCAACTCGCGGAGAACGGGGCAGGGGATATCCATGTCGCGATGTGCTTACTTTGCTTTGAGTAAGTGTAGGTATTTGTCCTCCCTCTCCCCCTCCCCCTCCCCCTCTCTCACTTCCAATGCCTTTAACTTAGGTACGTGGTGTACTCGAATTCCCCGACGAACTTGAACGAAAGCAGCTCCGTTTGAAATGGCATTGACGAACCAACCTCGGTTTTAACGGAATAACGAGAGCGGCCCCGTAGAGAGCGCTGTGTTTTGTTTTATTCGGGATGCTTCGCGATTAGGAAATTGAAATATTCCCGAAGGCTAACGGCATGGGAGCACAGAACAGCGGGTGGCAGTCACACCGCTATGGAGAGATGTACGTGTAGGGATGCCGTCCGGGCTTCCTGGGCGACCACTTGGCAACGTAGCCAGCCAACATCTCCCTGCCCTCGGTACCGTGGGGGTTAAGCATTGACGAGTACGCGGTCTGAAGGGGAACGCCGTTTGGAGAGCGGAGGACGAGCAGAGGGACAACACGGGACGAAACAAAGAAGGAAGAAAGTGAAAGGGGAAAAAAAGAGAGAGAGAGAGAGAGAAGGCAGAAACACATCACATCCTCTAGACTTGAAGTGCCGTCGTACTACGGGAGAAGGAGGCTGGCTTGTTTGTTGTCTACGAGTCGACGCGAGCTCGCCCTTATCTCTCGCCTCGTCACGTACGAATCCGGATAGAAGATGCGATGCAGCGAATCAATGCACGCGTGGGGCGCATCGCCAACCACCCGGCCCGTTTACGCGTATTCTGCATCGCCGCCGGCTGATAAGAGAGATGGTGGGATGAGGAAAAGAGAAAGGGAGAGAGCACAAGGCCGGGTCTGCAAGGTGGATATGCTAGTATGAGTAGATCTCTATTATCTCCTCCCCCTTGGAGGGGCTACGGACCGATCCGAGCTGCCTGGAGGAGGAGGAGGGGACTCGACCGATTCGCAGCTATTTTCTGGGCGCCCTTGCGTGGCTCGCGTCGTGGCGCGCGGGCATTTCCCAAGATTGGCGTCGATGGCACTTTACCGGTACCAGATAGCGTCGGCATAGGTTAACGGGTGTGGAAGCGCCGGGTTTGGCGATATGTTGCCGTGTGGGAACCTGTTATAAAGGGTAGACTAACATATGCATATGCAAATCGAAGGTGTTGAGAGGAGCGCACACCGTCTCCCCTGGGAACAACCATATAGGTAATTAGACACCTACAAGAAGGAGCAAATGGGTAGAGTAATGATAAAGATATCTACAAAAAGGTGTATAGGTGAAGTAAGTGATTTCGGCGAAGATCGACCACGATATGGCGACACCTAACACAATGCCTGTTCCGTCCGAAGGAGGACCGCAAAAAGAAAGAGAGCCTCGACCACGAGGCAAACTCCAGGTTTTATCGTCGCGGGATAATCGCCCGAGAGCCAATCGCATCTTAAGTGGCGCCTAGGAGGGGGGGAGACGGTTGGTTATCTGGGGCTTCTGGGGTGCGTCTTGAAGAATGCTGCCATAACCTAGCAAGCAGCACGTAAATGCTCCCGCCCCCCCCCATCTCCCACTCTCCCCTTAAATTCATGGCTACCCAGCCTCCCTCGACAACTTGGTGTTCCGGGACATCGGGATTGCCCATTTGCGGGCCACGAATGATTGCCCTCGCCTCACTCCATGTCATGACAGCTCTGGTGCAATGCGCACCCCGTGCTACGCCAAGCGGCTGTCCACAGGATGGCGACATTGCTCCCGGCCTGTTACGGACGTGTCTTGATAAGAAGAAGTTGGCTCGGCCCACGGCTAAAGTTGAGAGGACCTGGATCCCCCTTCTCGAGATGCGTCGTATGGGGAAGGGGAAGAAGGGCGCACGGTCTAGATAGGGAAGGTCGACGGAGGGGGCGCGCCAACCGTCCCGTACGATTCACACAAAGACCCCCCTCTATCCCCCCTTTCCGACGCCTCTTCTCATTGTTGATTACGACTACCTGAGAGATGGCGTGAGTTTCCTCGGCCCGTTGAGAGCTCTGCTATGTAACGCCAGCAACTGCGTTACCTAGGTGTCCCTGCACACTGTACCTAGTTTCGACAAGACTCGGGATGTATCATGGCGGCGTTACTTCGACGCAGAGTTAACATAAGGGCCTGATAAGGCCCCCCCCCCCCCCTCCCCCGCCCCTTCTGAGACCCGGGTTCCTCGCAAAATACATATATCTCTGTGGTGTGCCGCGTAGGCTTGAGCACCGCCGTTCGCTTCCCACCAAGCAATACTTTTCCGCGGCATCAGGCGAAAAATGGCGAATCGAGTCGTTGAGGTAGGAGGTGCCGTCGGCCCTCGCGATGTGGACGAGAAGGCCAAGCGTGATGAGGCCCAGAGTAGCGACGTCGAGTTGCCGCTCGGTGCCCAAGTTGAATCGTATGACGTCTCGATGACTTGCGCACCGCTGTCTATGCTGACCACTCTGCATCTAGGGACCTCAACGCGACCGAGGATGATATCCTAGAGGCCAGGGAGATGGCCGAGAGGCTGACGCTCGGAGAGGTCCAGTCGATGATGAAGAAGGTTCTCGCCATCCATGAAAGCGACCCGAACTTTCCGTCGAGCATGATCGAGCGCATCAAAGAATTTCTCGGTGAGGATCGGCCCAAGTCGTTGTCGAGCCGGTGAGGTCAATGGACTAACCTCGCGAGGTAGGCGACGACGAAATTATCCAGAACCCCGAGAAGCATGCTGTCTTGATTGAGGAGATGAAGCTCCAGGCCGCCCTGATCACGATTAATAGCCCCTACGCCGAGGTGCGCGCCGTCGTCGACAACCATGACGATGTCACGATACCTTGTGGCACCCTCCGTGCTTGGATTATCGGCCTGGGCTTCTCGGTACTGCTTGCCTTTATCAACCAGCTCTTCAGCATCCGCCAGCCCGCCATCTCCGTCCAGGCCAACGTCGCCCAGCTGCTGGCCTTCCCCGTCGGCAAGGCCTTCGAGCGGCTGCTCCCGGACGCCGGCTTCACGCTCTGGGGCACGCGGCACAGCTTGAACCCGGGCCCGTTCTCGCGCAAGGAGCACATGCTCATCACCATCATGGCCAACGTCGCGTGGAACTATCCGTACTCTAACAACATCATATGGGTTCAGTATCTGCCGGCTTACTTCAACCAAAGATACGCAGGTCAGTTCTCCTACCAGATCATTATCGGCCTCGCCACCAACTACATCGGCTACGGCATGGCCGGTATAATCCGTCGGTTCTTGGTCTACCCGTCTCATTGCGTGTGGCCGGCGTCTCTCGTCACGATCGCCCTGAACGCGGCGTTCCACAACGACAAGAACACCCCGGTCAAGGGCCCGTTCGGCAAGATATTCACCATCTCGCGGATCAAGTTCTTCGGCGTGACCTTCGCCGCCATGTTCGTCTACTTCTGGTTCCCCAACTACATCTTCACCGCCCTGAGCGCCTTCAGCTGGCTTACCTGGATCGCACCCGACAACCTGAATCTCACCGCCATCACCGGCTTCAACAACGGCCTCGGCATCAACCCGTGGCCTACGTGGGACTGGAACACTCTGCTCTTCGACAACACGGATCCGCTCATGATCCCCTTCTTCTCCACCTTCAACAAGTTCATCGGCATGCTCATCTCCGGCTTCGTCATCGCCGCGTTCTGGTACACCAACACCTACAACACGGGCTACCTGCCGATCAACTCGAACCGGGTCTTCGACAACACCGGCTCGCTCTACAACGTCTCCAACGCCGTCGACGACCGCAGCCTCTTCGACCCCACCAAGTACGAGGCCTACTCGGCCCCGTTCCTCTCCGCCGGCAATCTGGTCGTGTACTTGATGTTCTTCGGCATCTACTCGGCCGTCGTCTCGTACGCGTACCTCTACCACCGGCACGAGATCGCGATGGGGTTCAAGAGCCTCATCCGCAGCTTCCGCAGGGGAAGTGGCGGCGGCGGCGGCGGCGGCGGCGTCGACGGGTCCGGCGAGTACCAGGACGTCCATAACCGGCTCATGGCCAAGTACGCCGAGGTGCCCGAGTGGTGGTACACGATCGTGCTCGCCATCGCCATCGCCCTCGGCTGCGTCGCCATCGCCTGCTGGGACACGTACACGAGCCCGGGGGTCGTGTTCTACGGACTCGCCCTCTGCGCCCTCTTCGTCGTCCCCATCGGCGTCGTCAAGGCCATCACCGGCGTCGAGGTCACCCTCAACGTGCTCGCCGAGTTCATCGGCGGCTCCTTCGTCGGCGGCAACGCGCGTAAGTAACTATAATCATCATCATCATCCATTCTCCTCTCGAGATTGAAAAAAAAAGTCGCGAGACAAGCCCCCCTTCCCCCTTCCCCCTTCCCCCTTCCCCCTTCCCCCTTCCCCCTTCCCCTTTTTCCCCCCCTGGTTGCTAGTTAATACGCCAGCGCTAACGCAAAGACGACGAACGACCGACGCAGTGGCGATGAACTTCTTCAAGTCGTTCGGGTACGTGACGTGCAGCCACGCGCTGCTCTTCTCCAACGACCTCAAGCTCGCGCACTACGTCAAGATCCCGCCGCGCCAGACCTTCGCCGCCCAGATGGCCGGCACCTTCGTGTCCACCTTCGTCTCCGTCGGCGTCCTCAACTTCCAGATGAACCAGATCCCCGGCGTCTGCACCATCAACGCCCCCAACCGCTTCACCTGCCCGTGAGTTTGGCCCAACCCCCCCCCTCTTCCCCCCTTACCACCGCCACTGTCGACCAACCCAAGCTAACCCCAACCTTCTCCTCCCTCCCTCCAACACACACACAGGGGCATCAACACATTCTTCACCGCCTCGGTACTCTGGGGCACCGTCGGCCCGGTCAAGGTGTTCGGGCGCGGGGGGATGTACACGTGGCTGCTGGCCGGGTTCCCGATCGGGTTCGTGACGCCGTTCGCGGTGCGGTGGGCGGCGCGGCGGTTTCCGAGGGCGGGGTGGCTGCGGCAGGCGCACGTGGTGGCGGTGTTCTACGGGGCGCTGTCGTGGGCGCCCTACAACCTGTCGTACCTGTGGCCGGCTGTGCCCATCGCCTGGCTGTCGTGGGTCCGCCTGCGCCGCTCCCGCCTCGCCTTCTGGTCCAAGTACAACTTCGTCCTCTCCGCCTCCTTCAGCTCCGCCGTCGCCGTCGCCGCCATCATCATCTTCTTCGCCCTCCAGTGGCCCGAGCTCCGCCTCCGCTGGTGGGGCAACGACGTCGTCAACCAGGGCTGCGAGGGCGACCCCTGCGTCCTCCGCCACCTCCCCGACGGCGAGTACTTCGGCCCCCGCATCGGCGAGTTCCACTGAAGCCCTTTCCCCCCTTCCTCCGGTCGACGAGGCCGCGGGTCCCGCATTTAGGTGTTGCGTGCGGGCTGAGGGAGCGAGCGGTAAAGCATCGGTGCGAATCTAGTGCCAGGAGAAAGGCTCGGCCTATTAAACATCTCATATGCCCGAGGTCACGGCCACGTCCGGACCTTGAATGGGACGGTTTATTGCTTCTTCGTGGCGTCTGCGTGGCATCTCGAGGTGTGGTGGCACTCTTGCAAGCAGTATGGGTTTAAAGAACCCTCTAATGACTCACCGATTCTCCCTAGGGAGGAGACGGAAGATTGGTGTGTTTTGACGCGCAGATTTTAGCAGGGGAAGTTTAGGACAGGGGTGATATGTTATTACTGAGCTATGAATAATACTGGTAGTGGTTACTAGGGCTGCCTTGCATCTGTGTCGTCGGTATTAGAGGTTTACATGCCCTGCCGAGGTTTGTAGGTCCGTTCACCGGTACAGTCCAACCTCCATGCATGCCTTAGGTAGGGAAGACCATTCCCGCAAGATAATAATGTGGGTAAGAAGTGTAGGGCCAGAATACCCCGATGCTCAATCGTCCGAGGCGATAACCACCCCGTTTCCGTTGAAGCCGACCAAATTCGTGGAACCCATGGGGTCGAGGACGACGCCGGATGTCGCCAGTTTCTGCAGCTCTCTGACGGTGTCCTCGGGGGTCGTCACCCGGTAAGGGATGATGCTCTTTAGGTATAGGATCAGGCCGGAGATGTGAGGCGCCGACATGCTGGTGCCGCTGTGGACGGCAGTGTCAGTGTTGCTTCCGATCCAAGCGGACTCGACGTCCTCGCCGGGGGCAAAGATATCGACACTGTTGCCCCAGTTGCTGAAGACCGAACGCGAGCGGGCCTCGTCTATGGAACCGACGGTGACGGCGTGGGGCGACGAGGCCGGGGACCAGTATCTCGCGTCGCCGTCCCAGTTCCCGGCCGACACGACGGTCACGACGCCGCTTCTATACGCCTCCTCGACCGCCCGATTGACAGAGTCCTGGGCCCTCATGCCGGCGCTGATGTTGATGACAGACACCGCTTCGCGCTTTTCCTCGGTGATGTTCCTGACGGCCCACGAGTAACCTTCGAGGAAGTCGGACAGGCGGCCCACCCCTGAGGTGAAGATCTTGACCGAGATCAGAGTTGCCCGTTTGGCAACGCCGCTGGAGAGAGAAAGTAGTCAGCAATGACGATGCGTGCACGTAGAACCGAAAGAGAACTGAGCAACAGGGTAGGCCGGAGCCCACGGGGTAGATGAAGGTCGTGCACATACTACGTATGGCCGCCAATGGTCCCTGCAACGTGTGTCCCGTGCCCAACGTCGTCTACGAATTCCCCCTCCACGGCGTTGTGGCCTAGAACGGCACGGCCCTCAAATTCTTGGTGGGTAGTTAGCAGCCCGGTGTCGAGGATGTAAGCATATGTGCCAAAGCCAGCCCTGTCGTCGTAGACGTAGTCAGTGGAATTCGACACTCTATGGGAGATGGCGCCCAGCCCCCAGGTGGCATTTTCCTGTAACACATGCCTCGTCAGGCTCACGGTGGCGTCAGGCTCGACAAACTGCACGGCGTCGTCATTGCTGATCTGGGCGAGAGTGTGATTGTTCACACGGCAGGAGTAGGCGTTCCAGGAACCGATGTTCCATTGTCTGTCAACTCGGAGATCCAGTGGGCTGTCACGGCCAAGCAAGCCGACAGTCCGTTGCATATGCTGCTCGACGGCGGACGCGTCTAATCCGTCCTGGAGAGTGATGATGTATCGACCAGTAAGAACGCCTGGGCTATCCCTTTTATGCGGATCGCAAAAGTTCGCAGCGGCGATTCCGAGCACGGCGGTGCTCAAAAGAGCGAGTTTTCGAAGACCAACCATGGCGGTAGTAGATTAGGGACTAGAGAGGTGGGAAATTCGGAACCAGATCGTAGGGGATACTTTGGGGAGCAGCTGGATAACGAAAACTAGCTCGTAAGTATGAGATATTGTCTATAAACGAGCAGTGAGTGATGATGAATACCCATGGATGGTGTAAGGAGATGGGTTGGGAGGTCGGAAAGCGAGGGGAGAAAATATGAGTGCTCGTTCGGTTCGGGTTGAGAACATTGACGAAAAGAGGGAAGGCATAGTTAATCCTCCATTGGAAAGAGGACAGCAGCTTTGCTACCGAAGATTCCTTCCGTCCTAGCCGAAGAGCATACGCTGGAGGGCGTTGGTTAGTATATGAGATGAGGCGGATAGGCCCATCACGACTGGTTGCTTCGAGAAAGCGTAGCCCCCTGAGGTAGGGGCAGGTTTCTGTAGATCGAGAAATTACACGAACAGATCCGTTCACGGTTAGGAAGAATGCATGTACGTTCTACCCCTACCGTGGAAATAGAACTACGAAGGGAAGCGCCTGTGAAAGGTGCCTTTTACCTCTCCTGGCTCTCCATCTCGCATTTGGACCTTGGCAATGGGATAGCAACCTTCGCTTGGTAGGTACGCTTGGAACATTATCGATGACAGGTCGGCGTTATGCTGCGCGTTAGCGGATAGGAGTTATCGGAGACCTGGGGACATGTTTATATCGCACAGCTGTGTTATATTCGCGACTCTGCGCTCTCTGGCTTCTCTCCTATGCTCGACCTTATACTACCTACGACAGGTGCATGAGCATTGTCTCAGCGGGAGAGAGCTAGACGACGCAACTGATCCGCAGATTTATCGATGTCTCGTCTCCGGACTTGACGTTCATGCTGAGGATCTTCTTGATGCAAACAAATTGTTGTTGGTCTCACCTTCTCCCGCCCTGCTCGACTTCTCGGTAGAGGGGATCGAGCAGGAGGCCCCAATCGTCCTTTACGTCTCGTTTCAGTTCGAGATTTGTCTTTCTCGATTCCACAACTAGGAGGCCGCCACCTCGAAAATATGCCAACACGCCTCCCTTGCCATCCATGCGAGCCGTGATGCGGAAGTAGTGCTTGCCCTCTTCGTTGGCCTTACGGATAGGGATAAACTGAAGATCGTTCTCCTGGCACCAACTATCCACTTCGTCGCGGAATGTGGGTTCGGGCTTCTCCCAAGGCTGAGATGCTGCATGTACTGGTTTGGGCTTGCCGTCAACTTTTGGCTTGTCAGAACGCGACTTCGACTGATAAGCAGGGCGGCCGTCTGGCCGAGGAAGTTTGGCCTTGGCGTCGGCGCCGAGGTCGAGAGCAGTCTCGATCGTGGTTGTGCCTTTTTCGAACTCGGCCGCGACGCTCGGCAGAGATGCTATTTCGGCCGGGAACACCTGATCCTTCCACCATTCATACCACATGCCGATTTCTTCGTAATTTGCTTCCGTACTGGTAAGCCACTGGTATAGAATCTCGTGCCACATAGGGAACACCTCCGAAACTATGACCTCTCCTACCATAGAGGTGGATATCACATCCGTCCACTTGAGAACACCGTTAAGCATCTCTAGGTAGGGCTCTTGGTCGCTCGGATCCACGCGGAAATTTGCGCGCAGGTATCGGGCCATGCTCGGGAGGACATGGTGCATGACCAACGGCTTCCACTGATCTTGTTCCCGAGTTGGGCGAAGTACGTCCTTCCACTGCCTGAGGCCCTGCACCACCCCTTTCGAGAAGTCCCATCCGTCGATGAGCTGTCTGAACTTGCGCCTTACATCAGCCACGAGGCCGGTCCCCTTGGGCTCGAGATGATGAGCGGGAAGATGCTGGAGCCAGGGGAAAAGCCAGTAGTGCAGGTTTTCGTGCCTCTTCTTGGGCTTCCAGCTGCTGACAGCGTCATCTAGTCGCCTGACAACTTGTTCCAACAATTGTGCTCGGACGAAGGGGGGGAAAAGCTGTTCCCACTTGTCAAAGACGGCGAGGAGAGGCGTTGCGTGGTAAACATCCCATGTTTGAGAAATGGCGGTGACGATCTTGGGGAATACAATTTGGTAAATCATACTCTCCCAGGGCGTTGCTGACCTTATGTGATGGCGATGGGTGCCATCAATCTCGGCGTCCTGCCACTTTGTAACGGCGCTTCCGTTGAGCGCTTTGGCATTGAGGCCGAGGATGCCGCGAATACTGGAAAGATCTGACGCGAAACTGCCCAGCTTGGGATCATCTAAGGGTTGCCAGCCTTGGACCGCATCGCGGAGGAAGGGATGAATGGCGGCTACAGCGATCGCTGCTAGCTCCTCATCGCCGTGGGTCGACGTCGAAGCCTCAGCCTCTTTCAGCCCGGAAATCACGAGATCCCACTCTCTGTTACGGGCAGCCTGACCCACTCCCTCCAGGATGGAGGAGAATATGCTAAGCCCCGAGAAGTCGCTCTCAAGTTCGTCGAGCTCTTGTCGGCGCTGAACGGTTTCCATATCTAGCCACGCCTTTCGCTCTTCGAGGCCCTTCCATTCTTCTACAAACGCCGTGAGGTCACCTTGAGCGCGCCTTGCTAGCTTCTGCGATTCCGTTTGCGAGACTACTTCGGTACCGGTAGTGGGTGTCAACAGACCGGAGCTGGATGTGAGTAATTTCTGGTCACGGCCGGTCATATCCAAGATAGGAGCAAAAGCGTCGGGTATGTGGAGGCCAGGTGCGGCTTTCTGCATGTCGTTGACAGTCAGGTACTTCGTCTTGGGCTTTCTCGGGGTGCTCGCTCCGCTGCCGGGGCCGTTGATTAAACCCTTCTTCCTCTTCTGCTTCGCCTTTTTCCTTTCTTCGTCCGAGTCAACGACGTCCTCTCCTCTCATGCGGGCCTGTCGCTTCTCTTCCTTGCGTTCCTGTGCTGACTTTTCTTTGACGGCGCCTAGACCGACACCCTGCGGACGCAGAGTTGGCTCTATGATGATATTTCGGCCTTGGCTTTCGGCACCGAGACCTTGGCCTTCCACATAACCCATCTGCGCCATGATGCGCGCCGCGAAGGACTTGGCTTTCCCTCCCCTACCGAAGGCGCTGGGCTTGGGGGTCTGGGTTGCCGGCGGAGCATCGCTAAGATCCGCCTTTAGGACAGGCTCGCGTGCGGAGGAGGGAACAAAGCCTCTTCCCAGCGGCGTACTTCCGTCGTAGGTTGACTTTAATTTGGGCGGTTTGCTTGGTGTATCTGCGGCTGGTGCGAACGGGAACTGAGTCGGCCGCGCTGAGCCGAATCCCCGCGTCGAGGCTCCAAGTCCTAGGCCTCCCCCAGCCATCTCTTCGTCGTCGTAATCTTCTTCTTCTTCTTCTTCTTCTTCGGCCGCTGGCAAATGGGAAGCAGCAGGCTTAGGCTTAGCCCCCAGGCCAGGATGGTCACCGAGTTCGTCATCTTCGTCATCTTCGTCCCGGTCTTCCTCCAAATTCTGGTTCGGGTTTTCTTGGCCAGCAGAAACGAAGGACATGTTCTTGTGTCGCAGGTCCTTCTTAGATTTCCATCTCTTCCCGGGACCGTCGTCCTCGCTCTCGGAGCCGAATATTCCTAACGCGGCACTCTCTTTCGCGTCGCGACCGGTTCGCCTTCGCTTGCGAGGGTTAAAGTCGAGAAATTCGTCGGCGCGTGGGTCAACGGACGGATGCAAGTACTCGTCTTCCTCTTGGTCGTCATCGTCGGAGGATGAATATGCGGCCGCGTCGGCCTTGGATATCCTGCCAGGATCGAAAGACATGTTTACCGGCGTTGCGCGCGTCGATTGCTGGGCTTCTAGTTTCCACCGGTTGGTGGCGGCGCTGCCATCGATGGGAAACTCTGCAGGCCAATTTCGACGGAATTATCCCTCCTTGCTAGCGGTTACGGGTGATATTGTTCGTAAGAAGTGGTTTGTGGTTGGATTTCTGATCGCCTCTGGCCTGGCGACGAGCCTCGAGAGCAAAGCCCACGACTTTTTACTGGGTCCCTGTTACTACCGGTAGTTACCTAGGTACCTTCGTTTATACATAAGCTGCGGAGGTAGGTACGTACCGGTCTTGTTTCTTTGAAGTTACGTCAACAGGTACATAGGTACTTGGCGACCTGATTATACCTAGCCCCCTTTTTGTATCTGTCGCCAGCGATACATAGGATGGATACCTGCTGTATTGGCCTAGGAGCTTCAGCGGTGGTAATCCTTTTCAACTCCACATTGGGTACACCTTATATGGCACCCGAAGCGATGAGTGACGTAGAAATAAATATGGCAACACTGCCTGCTTGAGTTCATGTTCTCCGAGCCACCGTTACTTTAGGTACTTTCTACGGTATGCTCTGTTGTCTATTATCAAGGCTTACCTACTCACTCTATGTCAATCCTTTGCTTTCGTGTCACATCTGGTATCGTATATAAAGACTTTGTTTGGCTTGGCGGGGTCTACCTGCCATCAGTGCTTCTTGACGCTCTCCATCCACTCCTTGGTCCCTTTCGTGCCTTGATGGGCTTTCCTGAATAGTTTCCTCTCCCACTCCTCCAGGCCCCTCAAGAATTCTTCGCCCTCGCCCACACCCATGTCTTCGGTAGCGCCAGCTTTCCTCGCGTGGAGAGCGATGTCGGCGGCTCTGGTGACGAAGGTCCTCCGGAGGATGGCGCATATCTCCCGCTCCTCGAACACGTCGAGCATGCGTATGCCGAGGCCGTAGAAGTTGTGGGACTGGTCACGGAGGGGCACGGCACGGGGGTCGGCTTTGAGGGCGGACATGACGTGGTTGGATAGCGAAGGCGGGAGGTCAAGAGTGACGAAAGACTTGGAATCCTCCTCGGGGTTGCCGGGCGACCTACTGGTCAGAGCAAGCGGTTCGGCGAGCCATAGCGGGAGGCCGATCGAAGTGCCTGCCTTCAGTGGCTGCGAAGGGTTATTGTCGAGATAGCCGAGTTCAGATACCTCGAGTTCGAATTTGCACGGTACTTTCTTGTGATGGGGAGGCAAGATTAGCTCTAGGGTTGAACGGGACAGACGAGCGCAAATCTCGATTTATTTACCTCGGCCTCGGTGAGTATAGCATCGATATCGTAGTAGGACATGTTGTTCTTGCATGTTCCTACAGATGAATGGGATGGTGTCCTCCCGCTACCCGGGGCCACATTTAGATGCGCGGCGCGATGTCGACACGACTAGGTCGGCCGCGATTGATGTGGTTGGTAGGGGAATCATTCGTCTGTCTTAGGTACCTAGGTGTACATCGACAGGGGCCGGTAGGTACCTCTAACCTTGGTACCTGATATACCTACGTAGCGTGGGCATGTACAGGTACTATCAGTAGGAGGGAGGAGATAGACTTAATAATAGAGACTACCAAGTAGCGCTGTCAGGAATCGAACCTGTCCTCTATTATATAACCCACTTAGCTCGACCCATACAACAGGCACGCGCCCCCGCGCGCTATTACAACACTGCCTGCTCCAGTAAACGTCGGAATACAAGATCTTACAAGGATAAGATACGCTCCACTACTATCGTATAGCCTGCACTAGTACACACGTACTACCTAAAAGGACCTTATTACAAAGGCGGCACTCTGGCTCGAACCAGTAGCTTCTGGAGTTTAAAGTACGCAGTACCTGCTGCCTGGACGAAGTCACCAGATAGACTTAATAATAGAGACTACCAAGTAGCGCTGTCAGGAATCGAACCTATCCTCTATTATATAACCCACTTAGCTGGAGGTATGTAAGTGTAACTCCATACCATCAGGTACTTAGGTAGGTAACCACGTACAGTAGGTGGGGGTTCTGCGTGGTGAGTATACGTATTATTAACCACGTGACATCCTCATATGTGTCTATCGATAAGGTTGTTATCCTGCTAGGGAGGTATCCTTGGTCCTGCTGTCCGATGCGGTTAGAGGCAACGGCTCAGAAATCACCATTGCAATTTCGCTCTAACTCGATTCGGCCATGAACAAAAGTTGACATCATTTCCTGCAATGACGGCAGTAGCGAACCTCGAGATGAAAGCACCGCAGCTGCGGTGTTTCTAACCCACCTCCGAAAAGCGCCGAGGGATCAAATTCAGTCCCGACCACTTCTTATCCACCTCGCATCCCGCTGTCTACCTATCGAGCCCTGAACCGAAACGACCTGACTCGGTGCCATCTGCTTCCAATCGCAACATCAGAGTTCAATCAGGATGGCAGCGCTTTTCAGGACTGCCCCCACCCTGCGTGCCGCTCTGCGGGCCAGCTCCGTGAAGCCCGGCGTCGCCGCTCTAGCTAGTACTTCGTTCGTTCGAGGCAAGGCCACTCTGCCTGACCTTTCTTGTGAGTGTTTCCGGCTCGCTACATCATCATCCCTCTTTGGCTCACATCCGTTACGTAGACGACTATGGCGCGCTCGAGCCCTACATCTCGGGCAAGATCATGGAGCTCCACCACAAAGGGCACCATCAGACCTACGTCAACGGCCTCAACAGCGCACTCGAGACTATCGAAGCCGCCAACGCCAAGGGCGACTACATCCAGGCCGCCGCCGTAGCCCCCCTGCTCAACTTCCACGGCGGTGGCCACAAGAACCACACGCTGTTCTGGGAGAACCTGGCGCCGAACAACAAGGGCGGCGGCGGCGAGCCTGCGGGCACGCTGAAGTCAGCCATCGACAAGGACTTCGGCTCCTTCGACAACCTCCAGAAGCAGGTCAACGCTGCGCTGACCGGCATCCAAGGAAGCGGCTGGGCCTGGCTCGTCAAGGATAAAGCTGCCGGCACTCTGCAGGTCATCACCAAACCGAACCAAGACCCCGTCGCCGGCAACCACGTCCCGCTACTGGGGATCGACGCGTGGGAGCACGCTTACTACCTGCAATACCAGAATCGCAAGGCGGAATATTTCAACGCCATCTGGAACGTCATCAACTGGGGCACTGTATCTAAGCGGTTGGATAAGGCGTGATGTAGGTACCTATCATATTTTGTTCGATAGGGGGGACCCATGCGAAGATGAGCGAGATGAAAGTTTGCCTTGCCCGTAGATAGAAACGAGCGTCGTGGTAAGATATTATATGCGAGAGACTTGATAAAAAATATCCAAAGACGTAAAAAATATCTGGAGACGTAACAAGGTGTCGACCGGCCCCTTTCATCTTAATCCTACTGCGAAGTGTCACTTAGCACGTAATACAAGGCGTAAGACTTTTGGTATAAGGTTAATATAATTAATCATAGCTTTACACTATCTGTACAGTAAGTAATCTTACTTTGGGGGGTTTCTTTTTGGGACGTTTTTTTTTATATTAAACCGGGGGGGGGGGGGGGGGGAGATATTCTCTCCCCTACACACCGTTTTCCCCTCGGTCCTCACCGTTTTCCCTTCACTCCTCACCGATTTCCTTCACTCCTCACCGATTCCCAACACATCGACCACCCAGATGAAGATGACCGTCTAGCTGTGTGCCAGGTCTCCTCTCAGTACCCTCTCCCCGCCCGTCACGGGTCTCTGATGCCCGTCTATTGGGCTCGATCGGTGACGATCTGTCGGGCTACCTCTTCGCACACTGTGTGTATGCTGAGGTTAGCGATCTGGCCTAGGATGGCGCTGGAGGGAGATAACTTACGTTTATGGATGCTGATGCCGCTGAGGAGCTTGATGACGGAGATGTCCTTGCCGACGGCGCGGTAGAACCAGCCGCGGATCTCGACCGCCGTGAGCGAGTCGATGCCGAGGTCGGTCATGTTCTGGATCGGGCTGATGGACCCCTTGGGAAGCTGCATAGTCAGTTCGAGGCGAGCGAGCAACTGCTCCTCGATAGCGGCTGCGATCTCGTCTACCTCTGTCATGGCGGCGATATCGTCAGCCAATTTCTTGAGCACGTCCACCGATCCATTTTTCGCGGGCCCGTGCTCGCCCGTCTTCTGAAGCGTGTAGTGGCTGAAGCGCGCGTCCCGCTGCCAATGGAGCAGGTTGGCGCTGGTGGGATCGTACCGGCTCAGGCCGGTGGTGATGTCGTAGGGCTTCGGCGGGAGCGCGTGGTCGCTGCGACCCGCTAGGATGGCCTCGAGGAACATGTGGTGGAGGTCGCGCTCGGAGATTGGCGGATACCCTTCGCGCTCGAGGCCGGCGTACAACTCTTCCTTCTCACGCTGGAGGAAGCCGAGGCCGTAGATGACGCCGATGTTCAGAACTGAGCCGTTGCGGCCCTCGCCGCGACGGAGAGCCGCCAGCCCGTTCATGTACATGTTTGCCGCGGCGTAGTTGGACTGGCCCGGATGGCCGCCGATGGCGGCGAAGGACGACGTCATGATGAAGAAGTCGAGGTCTGTGTCGTGGAAAGCTGTGTGGAGGTTGAGAGATCCGACCGTCTTCGGGAGCATCACGCGGCGCCATGTTTCGATATCCATCTGAGCAAATACGCGATCGTCCAGGACCATGGCGCCGTTGATGACGCCGGCCACTTCGGGCATATCCTTGGATAGGCCCTCCTTGAAGGCTAGCACGCTATCGAGACTGGTCACGTCGACCTTCCGGATCTGGACCTTGGCTTCGTGGGTTCGAGCTAGGTCTACGGCCCAGTCTGTACTGCCGCTTCCGGAACGGCTGGCCATGACGATGTTTCGGGCGCCGTACTTGACGAACAGGTAGCACAGGCTCTGGCCGAAGTCGCGCGTCATGCCGATCATGACATAGGTCCGGTCCGGGCGGAAGAGATTTTCGTTCGCAATGTGCTTTACCATGGCCGTGACGCTACGATCAGCTCTCCAGTCGATGATCTGGAATGGTGACCAGACCGGGTTGGTGCTCGCCTGCAGCTGCGGAAGGGAAACAACGCTACTGTCTCTGGGGGAGACATTGCTCGATTCGCTCTGATTCGCAGCCCTGAGAACGACATCGTTCCAGACTTCGTCAACTTCGGGCAGGTCTGGTGAGAAAAAGGCGGTTGTATCAGTGGCGCCTCCGAACAGCACAGCGCGGGAGTAGTACGAGCAGTTAGCTGGGACCATGTCATCGATGTGCTCGGATAAGTCAGCATGCGCATCCCCTAGGATATTGAAAACGAGCGCGCCTGCTAGCGGGAAGATATCCTTGACCTGCTGATCTGAGGCGCGTGGGTGCAGATACCGCTGAGCAGTGTTCGGGTTGGTCGAGTACGAGATGAAGCTCAGGCCGACTTCTGACAAGCATCTATCAAGATCGGGGTCTGATCCGATCATGACCACGCGTTTGTTGCGAGCCATCAACTTGATAGTGGCGGCTATCACATATCTCTGAGCATGATGGATAAGAGGTATTCTGGATCTGCTACCCAACGGGAGGCTGGACAGGTGTCGTGTGGAAATCCAGACGAATGAACCGTTGCTCTTTGAGAGCCCGATCACGGGCTCGTCGGTAGTTATGTCGTGGCCGACGCATAGGTAGGCTGAGGCGTCGCCGCCGAATTTGAGGCTGTCGACCGAGCTATAGTCCACCCGGACCTTGTGCTGTAGAGCCTCCGGTACGCTTTCGTGGTCGTTGATGGCCACATACGACATGCCGGTCGGACTTTGCTGCTGCACAACTTTGACGGTCTCCTTGAGGGTATTGACTTGCTCTCCTACAAATCTCCGCAGCGCGTTCAATCGGTCGATTCCCTGCTTCAGGGGCAGGACACGGGGAACGAGCATTCGTCCGTTTTCCACGTGAATCTCCTTTTCGTCGGACCACAGATTCTCCGCGTCAACTTCAGCAGTGCCCAGGAGCCGGATAAAGGCATCGGAAATGACCCTCGCGTCCTCGATGGTGTCCAGATCTAGTACCTGTAGCGTAAAACGGGGAACTTCGGCCTGGACCGTTCTCGTGAACCCGAAGGTTGCTGCGTGGAATGGCGACGTGGTCCTCGAGTTCAACGTGAGCCAGAGAACTTTCATCTCGGGTCGTAGTAGCTCGCGTAGATTATCCAGGTCCTGAGCGGTCAGGTTTGCCATTATCGACCCGTCCAGATCCTGCAAGATGATGGCGGCGGTGCAGCTGCCGAGAACCTCTGCGCTGATGGTTTCTAGGGAGTCCTGAACAGAGATCTGGCCGCACAGATGCGCAAGACGTCCATGCAACTCGTCGACTACCTTGCTGTTCCACGCCGTTCCACCCAGGATGAGCAAATGGTCTGTGATGGTGCCACTGGCAATTACAGACGGCTGCTTGACGAGCTGGAGGACGGGATTTCCCAGCTGTCTCACCATGACGGTATACCCAGGATAGTAGGACTGGTTGGAGTTCCTGGCCAGCTCAATGAATTCATAAGCATCGAGCAGGTCAGGCCACTCAGGGGGCGTCATCGAGCCCATCGCTGTGTCCTGGCCGGTTTCGAGGAGTTGAGACCTCAGGGATATCTTGGAGAGGTTCACCAGCACTAGGTAACCGCCTGATCTCATAATGGACCGGATATTCTTCAGTATATTCAGCTCCTCATTGGCCTCGAGCTGTGATACCGAGACCAAGACGAGGTCGTACGGGCTGTCTGACTTAAGCTGGCCGGCCAGGTCCTTCGTGAGATCCAGAGGTGAAGAGACAATTTTCTTCGCTGCCGATTCCGCAATCTTGGCGCCCTTGGTAGGGTCTCGTGCTGTTTCCGTGCCGATCACGAATCTGAAGAAGGATGGTCCCACGGCAGACAGGACGTTCGAAACGAGGTCGCCTTCTGGCTCCGCCAAGCTCAGTATGTTCATTCGGGGGAAGCGATGAACGATTTGCTTCACAATTCGGCTGACGTGTTTGTTGAACCGGGTTAGGCAATCCGTCCCCTGGACGAGGCGCGGGATAATGTCAGCCAGTTCTCCCTGGCCGTCCGCCATGTCACGGAGCAGGGCCAGCCATTCGTGGTATTCGGAGTCCTCAATGAATTTTTCGATCGTCTCCTCGGTGTCGAGCGGCCACGAATCCGGGCCCACCGTGCGCAACACGTCTGGGAAAGTCGAGGCAAGCTTGTCGCAGAGACTCTCGAGGTCGGGACGGGACAATTCGGCCTTGGGGTTAGTTTTGGCGAGGCATATGGCAACTCGCGCGCAGGCCTCCACCAGGGTTGGGTCCGGAGCAGCATCTCTTGCGGTATCGTCTGCCACAATCTCGTCCGTCGGGTCCAGATCCATGACGGTGTGAAGGTACAATTCGAGGTCGTCCTTGGGCTGAATGTGGGCGATAGCCTGGACACATAGACCGTCGACTTGAATCTCCATCTCATTGTTGTCGTTGAAAATGCCGATTTCAACGGTGAACCTGGCTTTCGAGTCGTAGGTCGATTCGTCAATTCTTGTCAGATGCGTGTCCACTGTCAGGGTATCATCCCGCCTATCGTGCGTTGCGAGATTGAACCGAACGAGATCGATGCTCGTGGGGAGGAAAGATGTCCACAGAGACTTGTCACCGGGGGATGAATATGTCAGGAACGCAGATTGGAAGCAACTGTCAAGGGTTGCCGGACTTATATCGAGTGATGTCGTGTCCTCGGCGTGCACGCGATCAACCGCCGCAGTGCAGTAGTTATATCGTCGCCGGATTGTCTTGATCCCTTTGAATGGTCCGCCATACACTAGACTGGTCTGGTCCATCATATCGTAGAATGACTCTGGGTTCACCTGGAAACCCGAATCCTCCGCCGAAGGCAATCTCGATGGCAAGATGTCCGAACTAGGCTCTCCTAGATAGATCTTCATAGCGCCGGTCATGTTCAGTCTCATATCTGTCGTACCATTGGCGGGACACGACGTCAGGCTGAAAGTCGCTTCTAGGACGGAACCGGCACGGCGCCCCGTCTTGGGCGGGTCGACGACAAGCGAAAACAAGACCTCTATTCCCGTGGAATCGTTGTCGATGCTGATGCCGGTAAAGATCTGCATGTCCCGCAACTCGACCATGGATGCCGGCCTGCCTTTGAGGAAAGCTCGCGCCGCATCGAGCGCCATGATACAATAAGCGGAAGCGGGCAAAAGAGCCTGGCCCTGGAAGGCATGGCCGCTAGCCCAAGGAAGCCTCTCGCCCCTGAGCAAATTTCGCCATCTCCATTCTTTGTCATTGTCGTCTCTGGTTCGGACGCCGAGGAGCTCATGGGGGGTAGAATCCTTGAAGTGGTATTGTCGCGAAACTCGAGACTCCCGGTAATGAATCTGGCTGTGGTCCCAAGAGTACGTGGGAAGATTAGCTAGGCGGGTATTGAGAACACTGGGGTCTGGGGAGTGCTCGAAATACGGAGCCAGGTCAAAGGTGTGCGGCCCAAACTGAGACCAGAATTGCCCGATGAAGTCTGAGAATGCTTCGGTGTCGTCTTTACCCCGGGACAGTGTGCCCATGTAGGGGACGTCGTGTCCGAGGCTCTTACAGATCTGCGAGAAGGGTCCCTTGAAGGTTGCATGCGGTCCGATTTCCAAGGCTCCGTCGAAGGGGCCGTGCTCCGAAAGCGCGGCGGAGACGGCGTCGGAGAATCGAACCATTCTTAGCATGTTGTCTCGCCAATACTCAGCCTTGAGATCCTCAGCCTCGCTGATAGTACGACCGTAGACGCTGGATACCCAGACTGTGCCGTTTCCGGCGAAGTCTGGCTCGATATCGCTCTGGTTGAGGACCTCGACATATTTGACCGCAGGTTCTGCCATGTACGGCGAGTGATATGCCGCGTCGACACGGAGCATTCGCGAGAATTTCCCTTCTTTAGTTAACTGGTCGTGAGCTGCGTTGATCGCCTCCAAGTCGCCTGAAAGAGTGACGCTAGACGGAGCATTGCTAGCCGCTAGGTGGACTTTGTCGATGAATTCCTGCCGGGAGCAAAACTGAAGCGCCTCTGCTTCTGTAAGCCCAGCGGCAAGCATTCCGCCCTTTCGGCCTCCAGAGTTCGCTGCGAGACCCGTCCAGTAACCTCGGTGGTATGCGATCGTGATCGCCTCTCTCGCGTTGATCTTCCCAGCTGCATATGCAGCGGCAATCTCTCCGGAAGAATGTCCAACAACGGTGTGAAAACCTATTCCGAGGCTTCTGATAAGATCAACCAGCGCCACCTGGACTGCGGTGGATAAAGGCTGGGACACCGAGGCGATGTTCACCTTAGAGTCTGCCGCGTCGGCCAAGATTTGCTGTTGCAGGGACCAGCTGGGGGGATCAGGGAGAGACTTCAGGACTACGTCGAGATTTCGGATCAGGTTCCGGTACACGTCGTTCGTCAAGAATAGCGCTCTAGACATGGTTGCCCATTGCGCACCTTGACCAGTGAAAATTCCGAGGATCTTCAGGCCCTCTTTTACGGTTTTCGATTGAGACTTGAGATCTTTGCCGTCAGGTGTTGCGAGAACTTTGTTGAAGGAATTGATGGCCTCGATTCGAGAAGTCGTAGGTATGGCAAACCGGTACGGATGAGCAGTGCGGAACTTATACAGAGCCCAAGACAACTGCCCAACCGTCACTCCTGGGTTCTCCTGGAGGAAATCCCTATAAGCTTGGACCATATCCCGGAGTGACTTTGGTGATCCGGCAGAGATGAGCAGCGGAACCGCGCAGGACGCTTGCCCTGCTAGCTTAGACGGGAGGGGCAACGCGTGCAAAGCACCGGAATATCCGTGGATTTCCGGCTCGTAGGACTCGACAATGACATGGGCGTTGGCGCCTCCGAAACCGAAGGAATTGACACTCGCTCGCTTTGGCTGGCCGGCAGGGGGCTTCGGCCACGGGACCAGAGTGGTCGGAACCTCTAGATTGCTGCAGAAGGGCTCGACGGCGGGGTTGAGCTTTTTGAGGTGAAGGTTGGGAGGAATGAGGTTGTGCTTCATGGACTGGATCACCTTCAACAACCCGGCTAAGCCAGCCGCACCTTCGGTATGGCCAAGGACGGTCTTGATGGAGCCGACAAGGATACGTTTCTGTGAACCGTCTGCGTTCTTGTATAGACTCTCGTCGTTTCCGAAGAAGGACTTGTGAATTGCCTGGGCCTCGCGGGGGTCACCTGCAGGGGTGCCGGTACCGTGAGCCTCAAAATACTGACAGTGGTGCTCCGGCAAGGTCGAAACTAGGCCGGACTTCCTGTAAGTGTCCACGATGAGCATACTCTGGGCGCTAGGGTTGGGCATCGTGATTCCTTGAGTCCGTCCGTCCGAGTTCACACCGGTCTCGCGAAGAATACACTCGATGCGATCGCCGTCCTGAAGGGCCTTGGAAAGGGGTTTTATGAAGAGAGCTGCGATTCCTTCCCCGCGGGCGTAGCCATCGGCCGAGGCATCCCACATCTGGCTCCGCCCGGACGGGCTCAGCATGTGCAGGCTGGACTCGACAATGAACTGCTCTGGCGTAATCATCAGATTCACTCCGGTCACACAAGCCAAAGAGCTTTCGCCCGCACGGAGACTCGTGACGGCCTGATGAAGGGCAACAAGACTGGAGCTGCAGGCCGTGTCGATGGTCATGGACGGGCCCTGGAAGTTGAAGAAGTACGAGACGCGGTTGGAGATGATGGAGCGCGCGTTTCCGGTGGCGTAGTACTGGCTCGTTGAGAGCTCGTCGCGCTGCGAGAGGGTGTCGTAGTCGGCAGTCATGACGCCTGCGAAGACAGCGGTATCGCTCCCGCTGACGTCGGAGAGCTTATACCCGGCGGACTCCATGGCCTCGTAGACGACCTCGAGCAGCAGCCTCTGCTGAGGGTCGATGGCCTCTGCCTCCTTGGGTGTGATGTGAAACATGCGGGCGTCGAAGACCCGGTGGTCCTGGTCTAGCCAATAGGCCTTGATCGAATTAGTCGTCCCATGGTACTCGCCATCCTTGTGGTAGAAGGCGGCAGCGTTAAATCTCTCGGGTGGAACCTCCCGCGAGAGGTCAGGGGCCTCGCGGAGGACCTTCCATAGCTTGCTCGGCGAGGTGGCGTCTCCCGCAAAGCGACAGCCGCTGCCTACAACCGCGATGGGCTCATTCTCCGGGACCGGATAGGGGGCCATCGTAGGTTGTGTAATATTATTTCCTTCTTCCCCTAAGGCTCTTGTATTTGCCTCACTAGGTGGAAAGGTGGGTGAAGTGTGGCTCTTGCCGAGATTGACCAAGCAGGTCAGGGGTATCAAGACAGAAATAACAAATAGAGAGACAGTCTGCCTGCTGTCGTCTCCCGGGCTACAAAGGGGGTTAGCTTGAACCTGATGTAAAGAGCACGACTCGCTGCTGCTTCAAAGGGTAGTAAAAGAAGATGCTGGGGAGAGGGTAAGCGGCTACTGCGTTTAGACGACGCGTATAGCCTTTGGTGAAGTCAGGGGGGGGAAGGGGAGAGGAAGGGGAGAGGAGGGAGCAGGGGGGAGGGGGAGGGGGGATGAAGTATGGTAGATAACTTACTGGTAATTTTGGTATCAAGGGGGTATCAGAATGGCACTTGCAAAGGAGCTTCGGGAGAGAGATCCCAGAATTAGGAAAGTTGTGCCGTGATAAGGACTCCGGTTGTAGGTAGAGAGTAGACTGGTTAGGTCTGGTGGTGGTGTGGTGTCTGACGAGTGAAAATAAGTAATGGAAGAAGTTGAGATTCCAGGAGAAAACCACGAATTTATAGTTCCCTAGAGAGGGTGAAGCCGTAACGAAATGGAGCGGAGCGAGATATCAAGTAAATGGTTGTCGTGGAGATGGGCCGTTTCCTAAGGTGAATAGTTAGATTCTGGGGCGCAAACCAACCAACTATAGGACGAAATCACCGGTTTAGATACCCCGTATCTTGCCTCCAAATATTCACCAATACTGGGTGGCAAGATGTTAGACCTCAATACAATCTGCCCGTGTCATGTGCCTCGAGGAAACAGCAAGTCGTACCCCAAACCCGCCTGGATGGCGGATATTCTCTGCCCACTGTGTCTATGTCGGACAAGAGGCAGATAACGACGCACCTTGGATCCTCGATGGACTAGATGCTATTTCTTTTGGAATTTCCACTATCATTCTTATCTTCGTATAGGTTCCCTCCCGTCGATAGTGTAAGGAGTGCCACCTTACCGTAGTACTTCGGAGGCTCTGCTCAGCTGTGATACCAAGGTCGGAGGTCACATGTCAGTCTCTGGTCTGTCTGTGGTGATAGTGCTCCTGTGCTGCTGTCAGAATTTCGTAGGTAGTGGGACAATTGTTGAGCCTTTTGTGGTTTTCTCTCTCGACATAGAAGAAAACTCTTTGTGAGAGGTCCTTTCAACACTGCCTTTCCGAGCGCTCACTTGCCTTGTTTGGTATCTGCTGAGATCGACCTAATGCCATCAACCTGTTTTCTAACTAGTCTCTTCTCTGGACGGACAGTGGTATTGTATAGACTGGGCACTTTAATTTAGCCGATTTGGTAGTTCTGGAAGAGAAGTTCCCTTATTATATGGAACCAGCGTATTCTAATGGGGCGCTGGCATAGCTGCCAGGCCCCCGGGCTTGTGGCCTTGTATTTCGAGCTATCCTTTTCTGCAGACCACGCAACAAGACCTTCCCATCACGCAGAACTCCCAGGCGCAGCTAACCCTTGCGTTGGTCCTATGTGTAAGGCTGAGCTGGACAGGTTGACCATACATAGGTAGGTAGATCTATGCTAATATCCTACGGCCAAACATGTCACTGCTCCACAATTGACGAACTAATCACCTAAACCACTATCAGCAGTTGCTACAGATATATCCAGGATCGCCCTAGATATATCATCACCGCCAACTGACCAAGGGGGCGGGGCCTACGGTTTGGGGATGGCTATGCGGGTTAGAGCCGGCACAAGACTAAGGCCTACTGCGAGAACCAAACTTGACATCAGGAATGGAGTCTTGCCGACAAGGACCCCATGTTCGTGGAACCCACGCCTGTGTAGGATATGTTTGCTGGTTGTTAGCACTACCGGCTTTGTCGAGCTTGGAATGTAAATGGCATCAAAGGCCCGACGCAGGGGGTGTATGAATTCAACCGCAATCTCCCAGCTATATGAGCCAATGACAGATCTCTCACACAAGCTTGACTATGCAAACATTATTCTATATCCTTATCAGTTGGGATCTCTGTTGTTACTGACATGGGGGGATTCCCTGTGTCCAGTGTGCCGAAGTCAGGCATCGCACCTACGCCCGTCGAGCGTGAGCTCGATGACTTTGTCGCAATTGCGAGTAGTTGGTAGGCACTGTGTGCAACCGCTCCCCTGGGTTGCCCCCCCTAATGGAATAGTAGGGTAGGCATTTGAAGAAAAATACATGGGTGAATATGCCTCCAAATTATTGTTTCTTACACGGTGAAGAGTAAGAAGTGCTATCGGGGCCTCTTACTCTGCGCAGTTACTTGATGAATAGGTATTACTGTCTAGATTAACACTTACCGGGTGTATGGTTCGAAACATATTATCTCCAGGAGGCCAGGGGGGCCTTGGCGGGGAAATGAGTTGAAAATGAAAATGCAGCAAGTTAGATGATTGTGCCCAACCTCAAGTATGCACCTGTAGTCATGCCTCATCCAGGTAAGGCAACTGCCAGGCTTGGAGTACAGCCGACTTGGCATCCTGGTTTGTAGCGATGTGTCTTCATCGTCACTTAAGAGATTGTAAGTGCATATTCTGCTCGCTCTTCCACCGAACAAGTCGGTAGGGACATCTCGATGCTACCTTCTAACTCTGTCGGAAAAGGGGGCCCAACTTACACTAGTCTATGACGGAAAGCCCTCGAGTCTAGAAGCCCCGCCTGTGGCATGGGAGAAGGATAGGAGTGTAACCTGTTTGTTCTGGTTCTACGGATCAGGAATAGTTGGGCACCTTGTTCAGGGTCAAAGAGAGGCAGTGTTTAGAGGCAGGCTTTGTTGGTCCGGGCTGCCATTCTGGGGAAGCGGGACGGGGAAAAGGGGTTGGTTGCTAACGAACTAAATGAGCTACGATCAAGCTGTTATACCTGTTTAGCGGCAGATAGCTTAGCTCTACGTGTGGCCGCCGGCGTAGAGACGGCTCGACGTCTGGTATATGTGTAAATACTGCGTATTATGCTTCTACTTCTCCCTTCGTGACGTTGGTTTTGGGCCCGCCATGTCTCAGATTGGCGACGGAGCCAGACGCCACCACCAACCGATCGACGGTGCATGCCAAACAGTGGTGAGGACAACAATAAGTAGGTGGCGGTTGTCGTCGAATCAGAGAGGGTCGCGACGCGGAGTCAGATCACACCTTACGACCTCAGCCTGCCATCTCGGAGAAGGGGTTTTCGGTGTCTGCGCAACGCCCACGCCGCCTAGTCTGCCTCTAGATCAACGAATAGGAGAATAAGCGAGGATAATAGCGGCGGGGAGCTCATCTAACAGGGTCCCGTCAGTTCAACAGTGTCTCTCCTTCATTCCTTTTTAGCTCTTTCATCGCTGTGCTTGTCTCGAACGCGGGGACTGGATGAATGAATCGATAGGTATGCTATAGGAGGGGAATGCAGTATGTTTAATATCCCACGTGTAAAAAATCCCGATACTTGAAATCCCTGACCTAGTCTGGTTTGGCCCCCCGCCTCGCCCCTTTCCGAGGAACTCCGGATCGCATGAGCCGCTAGATATACAACATATACATTAAAAAAAAGCAAATACCGCGAGGTTTACCCCTGAGGCGGCGCCTCCCACAGGACGTTCCTTGCATTTCCTTCCCTTCCCTCTCCTTCCCACACTCAGGCACGCAGATTATTTCTCTTCCTCTTCTTCACGAACCTCGCGCTTCCGCTCCGTCGCCGCAAATAGTCCTTTCGCTAACCAGCGGGCTCCGCCAGACTTTAAGCCAGAGTCCGAAAATTCCTGCCCTGCTCCGCCCGCGAGACGAACGCGCTTACTGGTCGCCGGTGCCGAAGACCTCGAGGTGGACGCGGTCCTCGGCGACGCCGGCGCGGACCAGCCAGGCCTCGACGTCCTTCATGAAGGCGTACGGCCCGCAGACGTAGTACTCGGCGCGCGCGTCGCCCAGGAACAGCGCCGCCTCGCGGTCCACCTTGGCCAGGTCGATGCGCCCCGCGACGTCGTACTCGGCGCCCTGCGCGTCGCCCGCCGCCGGCTCCGTCACGAACAGCGTCGTGTTCAGCAGCGTGCCCTGCGCCGCCGCCTCCCGCACGCGGCCCGCGAACGCGCGCGCCGCCGCCGTGTGCGCCCCGTGGATCCACGAGATGCGACGCTTCGGGCCGCCCGCCGCGGCCGCCGCGGTCGCGCTGTTGACGATCGAGATCATGGGCGTCAGGCCGACGCCCGCGGAGATGAGCACGACGGGCTGCTCGGCGTCGGCGTTGGGGTCGATGAAGAACTCGCCGGCGGGCGCCGAGAGCTCGAGCGTGTCGCCGACGTGGTAGTCGGCGTGCAGGATGTTGGAGATGAGGCCGGGCAGGCCGGCGCCGGCGCCGTCCTCGCGCTTGACGCTGATGCGGTAGTAGTCCGGGCGCGGCGCCTCGCTGAGGCTGTACTGCCGCGGCTGCATGTGCCCGAGCTGCGGCACGAACAGCTGGATGCTGACGTACTGCCCCGGCAGGAAGGCCGGCAGCGCCGCCCCGTCCTCCGGCTCCAGGTAGAAGCTCGTGATCGCCGCCGTCTCCGGCTCCTTGCGCGCGATGCGGAAGCGCCGCCACCCCGGCCAGTCCCCGTGCGCCGCGTACAGCTGCCGCTCCCGGCCGATGAAGATGTAGGCCAGCGCGGCGTACGCGGCGGTCCAGGCCTCGGCGATGTCGGGCGTGCAGGCGTCGCCGAGCACGGTGGCGACGGCCTCGATGAGGTGCTTGCCGACGATCTGGTACTGGTCCGGCTGCACGTTGAGGCTCTCGTGCTTGTGGGCGATGCGCTCGACGAGGTGGCCGAGCTTGCCGAGGTCGTCGACGTAGGTCGCGTAGGCGAGGACGGCGGCGGCCAGCGCGCGGGGCTGGTCTCCGCTCGCCTGGTTCGACAGGCTGAAGATGTTCTTGAGCTCCGGGTGCGCTCCGATCATGTTCTTGTAGAACAGCGACGTTATCGTCACGCCGTGCTCCTTGAGCACCGGCGCCGTCGCCTTGACGATGGCGATGTGCTCGGGCGAGATGGGTGCGGCGATGGCCATGGTGAGGGTGATAGTAGCGGTAGTGGGGACGGGAGTATTATGAAGCTGGGTATCAATAGGTATAGGAGAGATATAAGAGATAGCTACGACGCGGGGATATATGTAGCAAGATAGGGTGGACGACAACGGTCTTCTTTTATATCTTCGATCCTATAAGTATCTCCGAGGGACTGCCACTCTCCTTCTTCCTGTGGGTAGTATCGAGTAGGTAATGGCGGATAGTGAATAGCGGATAGTGAATGATTCTCGAGTTTGATCCGATATGAGCTTCTAATCTCTCTCTCCCTTTCCCTTCCTCACCAGCTGTGACGACACCGAACCTTTAAATACTCGCATCCATCTCCCCGCCCTCGCGCGACCACAGTCGGCCGATGGTGGCAGCAGAACCAAAAGAGAGGAATCCATTATCCCCCCATGCCCGACGCTGCATCAGTTCATCGTACCACAAAAGTCTGGAGGGTGCCGAGTCCAAAGTTTGCGGCTGAGCCGTGGCCAGCGAGAAAAAACACAACGTCAACAGGCCTATGCTTCTCCCTGGAACGAGCCCACCGCCCTCCGACCATTTTCGTGAATCTGCCATCTCCGCGGCGTTGGCATGGCCCATCACGACCACACCCGGCACCTCGATAAGCGCATATGCCCGCACCCGCCGATGAACTCGCGGTTGTTATACCTATGTACTTAGAACAGTTAGGCAATTGACAATGCACGTGCCACCGTATAAGGTGGGTGTGCTAAGACAGCTAATCCCACCGTCTGTGTCTACCATCGTCTATACCGCCTGTCATTATTTATTCCTGCCCGTTCGGGGACCGGCGTAGGTTTTAAATATGTCAGCGAGGTTTCTATAGCAGGCATGCTCCCTCCACTGTTCCCATATCCTGGACCAGCTTGCCACGTGGATAAGTCGTCGAGACCTGGGCGACCCTTGTTTTGTGTAACTGCATAAACCGCCTACGTGGGACTTTGCTATCATTATCAGGCCGGCTTGTAAGTCCCATCGGCGTTTCTTCGATCCTCGATGGCGCCCAGGCAGATCGTTCTGGAAAAATCCCTAGTTGGGAAAATCCTCCGTCAAGTTTGCTTGCAATATTAATGAAGATTTACAACTTCAAAACCTACTTGCTCTCCCCCTTGCGGTATGCAATACGGCACAACAAGGGATCGTCGTCTTCCCGCATCCCCATCTCCCCGCCACCCACTTGAAGGGTAGGGTAGGTATACCTAACATACAAGAAGCAATCTAGATCCGAGCTTCCCATCACATGGCATGGGCAAAGTCGCAAAACCGTATGCCTGGGTGGCGCCGAGAAATATCGCTCATGTGTGTGCGTAGGCGATTAGGCTAGAGGGCAAACCCCAAGGTGGGTTAGCTGTTACTCTGTCTCCCCATTCCTCTGCTCTTTCGCCATTAGTTGTGAGATCGTTGCCCAACCACACCCTCCTTTCGACTGCGCTAGACTAGAAGCGAAAGGGGGAATTGGGCGAGATTCCCGCCTCTCAAGAACATCCCATTACTCATCTATCCCGAGGTGCGGTAAGCTCGGGCTCCGAGAAGCCCACACCCCCCTCCAGCTCGTTGCCGGTCTGACACGATGTTATTTTACGTAATGAGGGCAGCCTCTAGTCTATTCTGAGTCCGAGTCTGTGGCGACTAGGGGTTGCCCAGCGAGAGGTCGTACGATACGAGGGTATGTTTCTTACACGTTTTTTGGGGCTCGCTGTCGGCAAGCTGGCTGGGGCTGAACGGACATGTATCCGCCGTAACCAGAAACGCGTGGAAAGTACAAGGAAAACAGCTTGGCATTGATCCGTATGAGTGACTGTCCCAAGGAGAGCTACAAGGAAATCCATCGTGAAGCAATAATTCCTAACCCGTTCCCGCAGACCCCGAGTGACTAATACAAGGAGACAAATAAAAAAGGTCACAAGCCGTGTGCTGTTTGTTTCTCCGAGGAAATGAGAATTTCCTTATGTCAGGCCCACATCTCATAATCCGTCCACCCCGCGTTCAGTCTTTCGTTCGTTCAAGTCGCCTTCCCCCCCCCCCCCCCTTTTTTCTCTCCCTTCCGTCTCAGACCGCCTTGTGCTGGGTGAACTCGCGCGGGAGCCGGTTCTCGCCCACCTCGTACGGGCGGCCGGCCTCAAGACGGGCGAGGTCGTTGACCCACTCCTCCTTGCCCTTGAAGGCGCCGTCCACCTCGGCGAGCTTGTCGGCGAGGTAGAACCAGCAGAGGGCGTTTCCGACGGTGCCGACCTCGTCGCTGACGCCGGCGCTCGCCGCCGCGCTCATGCGGTCCCAGAGCGCGTCGTCGGTGAAGAGGTCGAGCAGGTGCTGCGCGACGGCCGTGTGATCCCCTGGCTCGACGAGGAACCCGTTCTCGCCGTCCTTCACCTGGATCGGGATGCCGCCCGCCCGCGTCGCGATCACGGGGCGCCCCGCGTGCAGCGCCTCCGACACCTTGACCTCGAACCCTTCCCGCGTCGACAGCTGCAGAACTACGTGCGCCTTCGCGATCAGCGTGTTCAGCAGCTGGTCGTTCGCCTGCAGCCGCATCACGCTGATGTCGTTCGCGTACTCGGAGTACCGCGTCTCGATTTGGTCCATCACCTGGTCGTAGATGATGTTTCCGTCCGGATCGTCGATCGAGCTGTTTCCGGTGCTACAAGTTTTCGAAGACAGGGTATTAATACCGAATACAGGCCCTCGCAAAGGAAATCGAGGGAAGCTGGGCGAGAGAGGCAGCAAGGGAAAACTCACAGAACCAGTTGTGGGATATCCTCCAGCCCTAGCTCAAGAGCACGCCGGCGGAATTCGCCGTAGGCGTCTATGACTGTGGGGATGCCCTTTGCCGGATCGAACCGCGCGACTTGAATGATATATTTGGCTGGACGAGAGGTTAGCGAGATGAAGACATCGCAAAGGTAAGAAATACACTCACTGTCCGGGTACCTCAAGGGCGTCCTAGAAAATTCACGTCGTCAATTCTCCATCGTGCCATCGTTGTATTCGTCCCTCAGGGCGGAAGGGGGATGGTTCGACTTACATATTTTGTGCACTGCACTGTACATTGTAACTACTTCCGTAGTAGGCGGTGTCCCAATCATTCAACGGCTTATTCAAGCCATCGAGCCTTTTTCAGTAGCATCAGTCACAGGCTGCTCGCGACGAGACGAGACGAGACATCTCAGAGGAATCGAAAGCACTCACCAGTCTGTGGTTGCCGGCATATACGTGACCAGATCGCGGGGGACGTTGTGCGGCACGAACTTGGGCACGGGGTGGCTTACGAACGAATCGGCCTGGCGGATCTTGTCCCACAGGAAGCTCCATGCCTGCTCCTGCGGCGAGCCGCTCTCAGCAACGAGGTCGCTGCGGATCTGGATGTGCGACCGGTAAATGATGGGCCTGTTCGGCGTGACCTCCCTGATTAACGGAATGAGGCCGGGCATTTGGGGATCGTCGATCTAGTGAGAAGCATTAGCCCGTTAGTCCTAAATTCTCGGCCCGCGTAATTCTGCACGTTGGGTTACTCACCACGATGACATCGGCACCGCCTTCTTCGACGGGGCGTAATGGGCCCCCTTTAGAGAGCCAGTAGCGGTTGGCATTCTCGGTGATCCAATCCGTAATCGATAGCTGCTCGTCCTCGCTGATGCGCTCATGCGGCTGGCTGACGCCTTGGAGGATGTTGTGCATGTTCTTGGTGATACGGAATACGCCCGGGCGTGGCTTCGGCACTATATAGGCAAGAGACACAGTATTAGTTCAATGTTCGCTTCTAGCCCAGCCGGACCCAGGTTCGAAAAAGAAAAGAAAATTCATGTTCCGACATACCGTACCACGTCAGGTTGACCCCGGCGACCCGTGCAAACCGGACGAGCGCGTGTCGCATGAGCGCCACGCCGCCGCCTTGTGGGGTCGCGCTGAAGAAGGCGATCTTGATCTTCTTAGCCTTTAGTCGGTTGGCATAGTGCATCGTGACGTCCCAGGTGGCGCTGCCGCACGTCGACTTGTAGTCGTTAAGGGTCGTAAGGCGCGCCCTAAACCCGGCGTCGCTCATGACGGCCCCACGGAAACCGACTTGGAGGATAGGGATCAGGGATGGCCCAAATACCCTGACGAGATTTCGTTAGCAAGTATATCTCAACCTTACTTTGCCCCTTTCGAAGGAGTTATGCGATTGATCGAAAGAAACAGAATCTTTCACTCACATCACGCACTTGCGGGCCATAGAGTCGGCCTGCTCGTCAACGTTCTTGTCATCCCAGAAGGATTCTTCAGACTTGTCGACGTCGATGTCGACGGGGATGACATCGACCTCGAGCCAGAGGCGGGAGTTGAGGGTAGGGCTCCGCTTGCTCAGATCGACGGGGAGTCCAGCGCCGATGAACTTGACGAAGTTGTCCTCCTCATACTTCTTCACCTGGGCGATCACGTAATCCGCGATGACATCTCGGCCCTCCTGTGAGGGGGTGCCGAGCTTCAGCTTCTCGACGCTGTAGTCGATGAGGTAGGTATGGTCGTGCGTTGCGATGGACACCAGCACGGTGTTGTCGCCGTTGCCGCTGCTGTCGGTGTCACTGTCATCGCACACCACGGCCGAGATTCCGAGGAAACGGGGCTAAGGGCGAAATTAACAAATCTGCCATTCCAAGACAAATAAGAATACCAATTTTGGGGGGGGGAAGGGGTGTTCTTGTTGAGCTTAGGTCACGGGTAAACATACCGAGAGGGCTTGGCCGTAGGGACCGTCTGCTACAGGTCAGCACTGCTTCTTATTTCTCTGCGGGGAGAGGGGAAAAGAGGCGGAAAGGCCTCAAACTTGGGGTCTATCCAGCAACTCTAGACGGCGAACCAGGGAAACGGGTGGGAAAAAGCTAGTAGAGACAATGCGATCACGCGAAAAGACAGTGGGATAACATACTACAACATCTGTTAGTCTTCGCAGATCGCAGATCGACGATAGAGGAAAGGGTGCTCGTGGGGCGGATCTGGGGGAGTGGGGATGGGAAACTGGGGACGGGGATGAAGATGGAGACGAGGATAACCTCATTTCCCCAGGACAAGTACTGACCATCTGGCGGCAGCGATGCTGAGCCGACGCTTGTGCTGCAGCGAGGATACGGAAAACGTCCGTCTCTTCCCGGAGGACATGGTGGGTTGCGCCGTGTCGGTCTGTTGTCTATCTGCGCCTAGGTGGCGGACGTAGGTAGAGGGTACGATGGGTGGTGTAAGTGCAAGTGTAAGTGTGAGCGAATATTGGACGAAAGACAGGTAGAACAACAAGTGTTTCTGAAGCTGTGTACTTGGCTGCTCGGTTGCCTGCTGGGTCTTCTTGATGATCCGAGCTCCCAGCTCAGAGCGAGAGGGAGAGCAGCAGCTAGTTTTATCTGTTGTAGGGGCTTCTGAGCGCGCCGGCGGTGAGGGCTTTCAGGGAAGTGCGGTGAGGAGGGAGTCGAATGACGGGGGCTGGACAGACAAGTCGGAAGCTGACCATGCCCTATATTCGGAGCCGAGGTACCTATAGATGGCAGTGTTGGCAGCAGGGTCATGTACCGCCCCGGGTTAGGCACAGGCGGGTTAGGGAGAGGATAATGGTCGACGACGCGAGTGCCCAACCGAAAGATGGTGGACTTAGGCTATTCTGTCATTCGATTCCCCTCGGCTGGCCGGCTCTTCCGTGCTGTCCGCCCTTTCGTGTTCTGTTATGCAGCTGATGAAGAGAGTGCGAGAGAGACACACAGCTGTCCGTGTTGGGCGCGGGCGTATTGTGGTGGAGGTATTAGTTAGGTATCGTACCGACTTTGCAGGCTTCAGGCCTGCAAGGGCCTGCCCGCGTGGGAGGGAGAGTGGGAGCGTGGGGGGCGTGGGAGGCCCCTCTCCCGTCGCCGCCGGCTGCTGTTGATGACCAAAACTCCCCTAGAACTTCAAGCAATAGGATTATTGGCGCACAATCTCCCGCGGGGCGCAGCATCACGGCGACGCATTCGATTCGACCTGCGCAGCTCTCTCGAGCCGAAAAAGCGTGTCGACCTTCCCGAGGATTCCAAAGAGGAAGACTACGGCGACGACGAAATGACGGGTTCCTGATATCACGTCCTGCTTATGCTGCGGGGTCGTTGCAGACTAAACGGACTAACTGCCTCCCGGCAGGCCAGACGGCGCGCCGGACTAAAATAATTTCGACTCCAAGAGTCGACGATGCATCGTCGTCGTCGGATTAGGCTTGAGGCTGAAGACTGTCACCCGGATCCATGGTTCTCGGACTGCCGGCCTAGCATCGACTTTAGCCTGAATCCGCTGCTATCCTGCGTCCTTTGCTCTCGTTGTGTTTTCTTGTCCTTCTCTCCCCTCCTGCTGCTCTCCCTCGCGTTGGTCTGTCGATGGCTGCGGTGGCGTGTTGCTTACACGGAAGATCGGATGTTCTCGCCTGAGGAGGCAAATCGGATCACCCCGGGCTTGGAAACCACCAGAGCATCCGAGCCAGCTCGAAGAGATGCCAGCCTCACCGAATTTGTCATTGTAGCATCGAGAAACCGCCTCGACCCTGATCACATGCCCCTCGATTATTGGGAGACCCAGGAATCCGGTCGTGTCGTCGCATCGCCGTGAGTCACCAGCGGGAGCGTCTTCCGAATCGACTCGACCCTGCTTGAGCTTCGTGAGGCAAACTTTGTGCGTATTCCGTCCCATCGCCGCCAGCACGTTTGCCGTTGTAACGTTCTATTTGTCTCACACGCCTGGAAGGCCTGCCTCGTGGATGGATATATTCACATGCAAGGAGAGCCGCGAAGGTATAAGAATAGAAGGGTCGTGGTCGTGACCCAATAGCATCGCCAAATCAAGTGGAGTCTTCCCCTGAATGGGAAATTTCCCCTTTGGTGCTGCCCATTATCGCCATGCCTCCACGCCACGAGCTCCACCCGTGTTGAGATAAGGCGAGATCCCATGGGCAATACGGACCTACACGCATATGCGTTATATGTGCCTATATAGCTGCATGTGGGCGTTATCTGGTCAAAAGCCGGGGGAAACGGGGGCGTGGACACGGCAGCGTGGACTCGTGGCGGGACCTTTGCCCTGTTGTGGGACCCCTCCAAACTTGACTACTTGGCGATGAGCAGCTTATACGACAACACCTACTACCTACTTGTTTGCCACCGGAAAGCCGTCGGGCGCCAAAATTGCATCTCGCCTCTCTCTTACACCTAGAGGCGTGCGTCCGAAAGCCTGTGGGTACCCTTGCGCCGTCATTGTGCGCCCAACCGCATCTGCTGCTCGAGGGGTATAACGGAAAAGCCCAATACCATTGAAAAGAGAGAAACCCGACTCTCGCCTGTGTCACGCGCTTAGATGTTTCCTAACGGCCTGGTTCAGAGAACAGCTATCGGACGGGTAACTGGAGAGAAACGTGGGCTTGATTCATCGATTGCTTGGAAACGTGCACTTTGTCTGCCTCTCACCGCTTGGGTCATACAGATGCCGGGCTGATTATCTGCTGTTGATCCGCTGACAAGGTGTAGGCAAACTTACCCAACTACCTGTCCGACTTCCAAAACGTGGCCACTTGCGCGCACGTAGTGAGATAGTTCGGTGCGCTCGCACTCTCGCGCAACGGACTTGAAACTTGTTAGGTAAATGGTAGGGATGCCGCTTCTAGCAGTCTTTAGCATCTAGGGCGTCAAGTCGAGCGTCATGCCTTCTTTGATACGGCTTCTTCTCAGAATACTAACGGATAATTCTGACGCATTTAAGTCAAGCTCGAGATTGAATTTTCGAGTTTCGAGTATAACGATTGACCGAGGCTGGGCCGAAATCTCGGACTTGGGTTCAGCGGATAAATACCTGCGATCTCTATATGTAAGGACACGGCACGGGGGCCTTAGCTACTTGGTGAAAGTAATAGTACACCCTCGTAGTTCTCTGGCCGGAGCGAATACCCAGGATTGCAGCCCCAGATTTGATGCTGCCCGTAGCAGCGTAGGACAACTTGTTACTAGTACCAACGGCGATCCCCATCCGAAGAAAGACAGCATGGTCATATTCTCGTCATAGCGATTTCTCATTAACCACCCTCTCCCTCTACGTTACTCATCCCCTCCAGTCTGTCCCTTTCCCTTGTCCTTATTCTTACCGCCTTCCTTCCCTTCGCCCTTATTACCAGCCTCATCCTTTTCACCCGCCTTCTGTTCTCCGCCTTCCTCAGAGCTTTCATCCTCGCCGCTGTTCTCTTCCTTTTTCTTGTCGGATTTCTTATTGCTCTCCTCTTCATTTTCCTCCTTCCTCTTCCTCTCCGCCTCGGCCGCCTTCGCTGCCTTCTCCTTCTCCTCGAGATCCCGCCATTTCTTGGTGTATTCCAGCTCTCTACTATGATCGTGGACCTTGTCGCTGAGGCCGCTGAGTCTCGGCTTCGCTTCGCCGACTTTCATTCGCCCGATGAGGCTGATCAGGATGGCGGCGCCTACGATGGCAGTCAACACGAACCTGTAGATTCCGTACCAGGGCGGCGCCCAACCCCGAACGCTGGCTCGAGAATCGGCGAGGTACAGCAGGACAAAGGCGGCAAACTGTGACGTGAGCGCAAAGTCCATCGGCATGAACAACGTCGGCCATGCTATGACGGAGGCTAAGACGCCGAGTCCGTACCGGAACCGCATCCGCTCTGGGTTCGGCGTCTTCTCGGCATATTCAAGGCCCCAGTGAACGGCACCGAGGAAGCTGATGATCACGGCGCCGTAGCCCAGCTGTATGGGTTCGATGAGGTTTAACAAATGCTGAGCCGAGTCGTGGCCGATCAAGACGTTATTCGCGAAGCTGGACGTGGTTGGCCACTCAGTGTTCAAGTCCCACGAAAGATATACAGTGGAGATGGAGGTGGCGAGATAGGGAACGGTACCAGCGAGACCTATAAGGTAGGGTTCTCTGGGTACGGCGGCCATGGAAAAGGTATCTTTAACGCTTTTCTGTGGTCTGGCTGTTAGCATACCACCTGGGGAAGCAGAGACGGGGGGAACCCGCGATGTTCATACCAAATCATCCCTAACGCCGTGTCGGATGGGCTTCTCAGTACCCGGCTCATCGGGCTCGTACAGATGGCGTACACTCGACTCGGTAGTCACTGCTTCCGGGTTCGACTCGAGCTTTTCTTGGCCGAATTTCTTCTCTTCCTCGAGATTCTTTCCTAGCGGGAGCCCACGCCTCGCCTCGGTGGCATACTGAGCCACTCGCATCGGTGGAAGCGGGAGGAGGCGGGGATCGTGGACCTTTCGGAATACTGGGTTGGGGCAGGGGGCGGTAGTTACTACCCGGAATAGCGATCTAGGCAAGAGTGCGATCGGAGAGTTCTGTGACGCGGTAGCTCTAGAAGTGCCCGCGAGAAGTGATCGCGTGCTTCGCAACATGGTGGCGAGATGCCGCGGCTAGTATTCCTAGATCGGAAAGGAACGAGATGGACCTGGGGAAGAAGACAGGGTGAGGCACGGGGGGAAGGGAATAGAGGTTCCAACCGGACTATCAACGCGGGATGGTTGGTTGGTCATAGGATACGCGCATGGAGGTGGTGATGGATTTTCAATTGAGACTCTCTCTAAAATCTGCTATCTGAACAGTGAAAAAAGATGGCTGGGCTCGATTCGGCACAGAGAATAGGTACCAGAACAGACGAGCCCCCTGCTCGAGTATCTGATTCAAATGCCTAGGCACATAGATGATTATGTGGCGAGTTGAAGGAAGCAAGGGAAGGGTTGGCAAAGAGAAAAGGCGAATCCGAGCTACGCCTGTGGCTATTCTACCCCCTTTCTCGGGCGCACAGAATTGATGCAATGGAATTGATGCCGTGACGTCACCCGTGCTTCCATCTCCTCTCTGGTCTTCACTCAGTCCATACAGGCCGGCATGGGATATGCTGGGGTGGTCAATGGCTACGCGCAAGTTACGCGAAGGCCTGCAACGGCCTTTGTGTCATTCTCACGTAGCTATGCGATGACGTAGTGTTGAGAGAGCCCGCACGTGGTTCAACTGCTACCTGGATACAGGTACCTTTGAATGCTCAGGGTACCTCTGCCTCAGGTGGGAACCTGGGTAGGTACCTAGCGAGGTACCCAGGCGCTCGAACCTGGCTGAAACTTGCATCCGGTACCTGGGTACGTGTCGACGTGTGTATAGTAGGAGTTGAATGACAGGGATGCACCCCTCAATGCACCCGGTGGCCGAGAACGCTATTTATACTATACTCTGAAGTGCTTAGATACATATTGAGGTCAGATATATCTACCCAAGCGGCGGCTTGCCCGTGTAAATCTAACTTTTTATTTATAAATGTTGCCGCACAGCAAGTACCTCATCTAAATAAATGTAGAGAGGAGGTTGCAGAAAAGGTAGAGGTATTTCCTACCTAGGTAGGTACCTACGTGCCTGCATCACAATATACCCAAGGTACCCGAGGTAGGTAGGTTAGGCACTTCTATTCCCTATGGTTTAGGTAGGCTACATTTAGCTGAATTCATAAGTTCGATATCTGATTGATGATGAGGGGTACATGACGGGCAGCTATACAAGGTAGTTTCCTAAGGTACATATAATTTGATGCACCTCCACTATTAATCCTTTGTGCACCCCCCCAATCCGGGAGTGGGAATAGTCCCCTACGAGGGGTTATTATGGGACCCAAAACCGCACTCATTGGCCCTGTTCTCTGCATATCTAGTGTAGGGGGTGTCTGCAGCAGAAATCAAGCCACAGACCTCCATATGTACCTAAGGTGGGTAGTGCATATACCCAGCACCGGCGTCATCAATCCTTCTTGAAGCAACCTAACCTAGGCAACATCAGAGGAGGCCCAACTTCGAAGGAGAGGTACCTGGGCCAGTCCACCTGGTTTCCAATTGAGTTGTGGCCAAAATTCTCCCACTCTCACCCTCACGCTTTCTCACGCACCCTCCCAGCTGCCGGCCGGGACTTGGTGACCTGGCGATTCCTACGTACATCGATCGCCGACTACGTCGAATTGAGGTGAGAGTGGCCAATCTTTCCGCCTAACTCGCCGACTAACCTCCCATTGCAGTTGGTTGTCCTGTCGTGGTCCTCTCTGCGAATTCCTCGGCCGTTTTATGCTGCTTGCTCCGATCAACCCCCGACCTGCGCCGAACTGTTCCCCCTCATCTTCTCTAGAATCATTCAGGGTCACCAAGGTCTCGCCCTAACCGGACTTTGACTCGACGATAACGACGCCTCCCTAATTGCAGAGCCTGTACTCAAGTAATTCTGGACTTTCGCCTTCGACACGCCTCCTCGTTGCGACGCACGTGTCTATGCCCGACTACTGCCTTCGAATTCCCCGTGAGGGCTTGGTGGTTCATTTACACACCTCCTAGCCTTCCTAGCGACAATACTTCATCTCGAGCTGCCTCTTGAGTTTTTGGCCGGAAGCTGCTGGTCGGAACGCGACGGAATTACAAAGCCTATTCTTCCAACTTGGTCTCTGTCCCTGCAGATGAAGCGACCAGATAGCCCCCAATAATCCCCCAACCAATCCCGGCCCGGGTTACGGCGCACCGAAATCAAGATGTTGGAAGGCCTGGTTGCTGGATTGCTCAACCGTTTCCTGGGCATGTACGTGAAGAACTTCGACCCCGCTCAGCTCAAAGTCGGAATATGGTCTGGCGATGTGAATTTACGCAATCTCGAGCTCCGCAGGGAGGCTCTGGATCAATTGAAACTTCCCATCAATGTCATGGCGGGGCATCTTGGCGAGCTGACCCTCGTGATCCCGTGGTCGAACCTACGCGGAGCTCCGGTAAAGATCTTGATCGAGGATGTTTTCCTGCTTGCGTCGCCCAAAGAAGAGGCGGCCTACGACGAGGAGGAGGAGGAGCGCAGAAGTCAGCGGCTGAAGATGGAGAAGCTAGACTCCGCCGAGCTCCTGAAGGAGCGGTCTCGAGAAGGGCTCAGCCAGGAGGAGCAGAAGAAAAGCCAGAGCTTCACCGAGAGCCTAGTGACCAAGATCGTAGACAACTTGCAGGTCACAGTCAAAAACATCCACGTGCGGTATGAGGATTCCATATCCGCTCCTGGTCATCCTTTCGCTCTAGGCATCACCCTCGCCGAGTTCAGCGCGGTCAGTACGGATGGAGAGTGGGAGCCTACCTTCATCCAGAACTCCACCGACACCACACATAAGCTAGCTACGCTGGGCGCATTGGCAATTTACTGGAACACAGACAGCACGCTTCTCGGCTCCGGTCGTGAACAAGATGAAGAAGAGAAGTCGATGCCTCACCAGGACATGGTCCGACATTTCAAGGACATGATCCTCAAGAGCGGCGATACCTCCATGGCGGATCATCAATTCATCTTGAAGCCGGTGAGTGGTCAAGCTAAGATTGAGCTAGACAAGACAGGTGACGTGCACGTCCCAAAGTTCAAAGCGAATCTACTTTTCGACGAAATTGGTGTCGTGCTCGATGACGATCAGTATCGAGACGGCTTGATGATGGTAGATTTATTCCATTACTTCATTCGCCACCAGGAATACAAGAAATTCCAGCCGAAAGGGGTGACACCTAGAGAGGATCCTCGCGCCTGGCTCAAGTTTGCCGGGAACGCGGTGCTCAATAAAATCCACGAACGTAACCGCCGGTGGTCTTGGGACTACTTCCGCGAACGTCGGGATGATCGATGTCGGTACATCGAGCTCTTTAAGAAGAAGAAGGCAAACCAGCAGATGTCACCGGAAGAGATCGACGACATCAACCACCTCGAGTGGAAGCTTGGATACGAGGACCTGCGCTTTTGGCGGTCCCTGGCTCGTAATCAGTTGAGAAAGGAGAACGCCGAGGCCCTCAAGAGAGTACCTACTGGAATCGATCAGCAGCCACAGCAGCAAGGCTGGTTGTCATGGATGTGGGGTTCGAAACCGGCCGATCCTAGCGACTCGACAGAGAATACTCAGATAACCGAAGAGCAGCGCAAAGAGCTCTACGAGGTGATCGATTGGGACGAGAAGACCGCCTTGGCCGAAGCAGTTGATACCCCACGCGATACCGTTAAGATGCAGATCGAGACGTCGCTCAGTACTGGCAGTTTTACGCTCAGACAAAGCCCTCATGGGAAGAAGACTGACCTGCTAAGTCTGCATTTCGACGTCTTCAAGGCGAAAGCGCTTAAGCGCCCGGACTCCGTGCTTGCCGACATTAGCCTGGGCGGTTTTCGAGTCAATGACGGGACTACCCCAGATAGCTTGTTTACGGAGATCGTCCGGGTCAAGGACGCGCCGAACGCGAACCGTAAGAGGCGACTTTCTATCGCTGAGCTCGAAACGTCGAACCAAGAAACATTCTTCGATCTGCAAGTTGAGCAGAATCCCCTTGATGGCGAGAGCGACTTCGCTATTACTGCGAAACTCAAGCCTTTGGAGATCGTATGGAACCCTAATTTCGTGGTGGGGGTCGTCGATTTCTTCAAGCCGCCCGAGAGGCACATGGAATCGATTTCCGCGTTGATGGAGACTGCCGGGGCGACCGTTGAAGGGTTGAGACAGCAGACGCGCGCTAGTCTCGAGTTCGCTCTTGAAGAACACAAGACGATCAACGCCAAACTAGACCTCCAAGCGCCTCTCATCATAATCCCTCAGTCCATCAAGACCCGGAGATCCACATGCCTGATTCTTGACGCCGGTCATATTAGCCTGAATAGTGAGCTCGTTGACAAGGGGACCCTAAAACAAGTTCAAGATAAACAGAACCAGAAGTTCTCTGACGAAGACTTCAAAAGGCTCGAGTCTCTCATGTACGATCGCTTCCTTGTCAAGCTCACCTCAACTCAAGTCCTGATCGGGCCCTCGATCGAAGAAACAAAGGCCCAACTTGTGGAAAAGGACGATACTCGTATGCTGCATATCGTGGAGAAGATCAATGTCGATTTTGTTGTAGCCCTGTCAATATTACCAAAGGCGCCAAATCTGACGAAGGTGAAGGTGTCCGGCCACATGCCCGTCCTTCGAGCTATGGTGTCAGACACTAAATACAAAAGTCTGATGAGGCTAATTGACGTAGCAATTCCCAAGTTCGGCGACGAGCAACAGACCAACCCCCCCGGACAGCCCAAGAGGCCGCGGTTGCTCAGCTCTTCGTCCAATCGCTTGCCCAAGCTACCTGATCTTAAGAGGTCTTCCAATCTGTTTCTCGCCCAAGAGACTGCCGTGATACTGGAAGACGAGTCAGATGACGACTCCGATCAATTTGAAGACGCTGCGGATGGCACTCCAAACCAACGGCTTAAAGTACGACAGCGAAGTTTCGAATTCAAATTTGCCGTTGATAGATTACAGGGCTCTCTCTATCGCAGCGATCCCGATGGAAACCGGAAGGAATCTCTACTCGTTGAAATGATCGCGGAAAATTTCGATCTCAATTTCTACGTCCGACCGTTCGATATGGCAGCAGAGGTATCCCTCGGCTCCGTGACGGTAGACGATTTCGTCGATAACCCTCCAGCGGAATTTAAGTCAATTGTGTCATCAGGGGATGTCGAGGATCGTCAACAACAAAGGGATCTCGTACGCATCAGATTTATCAGAGTGAGGAGAGAATCCCCAGAATTCATGCCAGTATATGAAGGAATAGAAACAAACATCAATGTCGCTGTCTCTACCATCAACCTCGTCGTCACAAGAAGAACTTTACTTACCCTGCTGGACTTCGTTCTTACTACGTTCACTAACAACGGCAATCCATCTCCTCAACCGCCTAAGAGAATTGACGATACAAATGAGGAAAAGCACGATGTTGAGATTATTGAGCCGGCAGTGGAGTCACAACAGAACGAGGCTGGCTCTATCCGCGTGAAGGTCGATCTGAAGAGTATTCGTATGATTCTCAATAACGACGGAATCCGACTGGCGACGCTTTCGTTCAACCACGCCGAGGTTGGAGTATACTTACTTGGGAAGACGATGAGAGTAGCTGCGAGGTTAGGCGACCTCACCTTAGTCGACGACGTTAACGTCGGCGCCTCGGAGGAATCGAGCTTCCGTCAGCTCGTCACCATTCAGGGAGACGAACTAGCCGATTTCCGTTATGAGACATTTGACCCAAGCAACGAGAAGGCGTATCCGGGATACGATTGCTCGATCTTTTTACGTGCGGGATCTGTCCGGGTCAACTTCCTCGAGGAACCATTCAGAAAGATCATCGAATTCCTAGTCAAGTTTGGCAAGATGCAGGCTATTTACAATGCCGCCAGGCAAGCTGCCGCGAACCAGGCACAGCAACTACAACAGAGCACCAGTAAATTCCGGTTCGACGTCATAATCAATACTCCCATCATCGTTTTCCCTCGAGTTCTGTCCCCGGACCGGCCACAGCGAGACTTGATTACGGCGTACCTAGGAGAAATTTACGTGCAAAATAAATTCGTGGCGCTAGATGATTCTGAGAATTCCGAAATAGCGATGAAGCTGTCGACCGGCATTAGGAATATACGTCTTACGTCCCTCTTTCATTATCCCAACGAACAGCGGGAAGAACTTGAAATGATCGACCACGTGGACCTAGGCTTCAATATAACCTATGCTGAACACAAGGACGGGTCGAAGAGGCCAGATATGGAAGTGGAAGGGAGCATGACCGACATAAACCTCAAGGTTACTCAATACCAACTCAACTTCCTTTTGGAAATCTCTCGGTCCGTCCCAGCCGCCTTCGCGACAGATGCTAGTGCCAGAGGAGAAGAAGCGGAACGCGATATCGACGAGGGTACACTGCGACGAGCCAAGACAATGTCATCCACGACCTCTGGAGGCGATAACCAACTGATCGATCTCTCGCCAGAATTGGGCCCGAGAGAGGACACTTGGACCAAGCTTGATTTAGTGTTCAATGCTCACAAGATCGGTCTTGAGCTAATTAAGGCCGCTGAGGACTTGCCCGTTGGCGACACTGATGCTGCCAGCCTATCGCGATTCTCTCTAGACGACAGTAAGCTCAAGACTAGAATTCTAGCCGACGGCTCGTTGGAAGCGGAATTCGTGATCTTATCATTTACCATACACGACAGTCGCGCTCGAGAAGGCAGCAAGTTCACTAGGATCATGACCTCTTCTAACCAAAGTGTCCAGCAGTTCATGGCAAGCATATCTATGTCCGGGGGCGAGGAGCGGAACTTGATTGCCATAGTAGCCGTCGACAGCCCCAGGATCATTTTCGCTTTGGATTACCTCTTCGCAATCCAGAAGTTTATGATGGCCAGCTTTAAAACCAACGAGCCCGCGTTAGCTGCTGAAGAAAGCATCGTAGACACTCCAGACATATCAGATACCGAATCAACGTGGACGAGAAGCTCTCGAAAGAGCCCGCAAAAGTCGAAGCCGGAAAAGAGTCGGGATAGTAGCAGTTCTAACTTGAACATCTCCTTCCGCGTTAATATTGTCGATTCGCAGGTCATACTCATCGCCAATCCCCTGAGTTCCAGTTCGGAAGCGATTGTTCTTGGAACGAAGCAGGTTCTGCTATCACAACAGAACTCATTGACGTTTCAGGTCTCTGAGGTTGGGATGTTTCTTTGTCGCATGGATAAGTTCGATGAGACGCGACTTCGTATCCTAGATAACTTTTCGGTTCAAGTGTCCATGGACAGCTCGCGGCCCAGTATAACGAGGGTACATCTCGACGTCGAGCCCTTGATCCTTCGCCTCTCTCTTCGCGACATCCTCCTTGCCCTCCAAATCATTAGCAAGGCCTCCGAGCTCTCCGGGAATGAGGACGGCGAGCCGAAACCTAGTGCTTCCGACAAGAAGGCAAAACGGCTCCGGCAGTCTGGACTCAAGGAACGTACGGCGAGCGGCAAGGGGCCTTCTACTATCTCGGCGAATAAAAGCAGAGTGACGAAGGCCGTTGGCACAATCAGCGCGGGCAAATCTCGGAAAGACCAATCTTACCAACCCCGCGATACTAGCAGTCCTCCAAAGAACCACGAGGAGTTGACCGCTGCTGTTGCTGGGGTTCGCGTCGTCCTTATTGGTGATGTCCACGAATTGCCAATTCTGGATCTGAGCATCAAAAGTTTTACAGCATCGGCAGAGGACTGGTCGAGCAGCCTCAAGGCAGAGACCGCGATCGACATGTATGTCAACGTCTACAACTTTGCCAAATCCGCTTGGGAGCCACTCCTGGAGCCTTGGCAGGTGGGCCTCGGTGTTGCTAAGAATCAAGAGAGCGGCCTCTTGTCTGTTGACGTCTCTTCCAAGAGGACGTTGGACGTTACCGTCACAACGGCGACAATCGCCTTGGCGTCCAAATCGTTCGACTTCTTGGTAAAAGACGAGGATGTTTTGGGCAAACCCCGGGGAGTGGAGGCTCCTTACAAGATCCAGAACTACACTGGTTTTGACATTTTGGTACAGGCGAAGAGCCAGAGCAGTAACGAAAATATCTCTCTCAAGCTGCAGGACGGCGAAGAGGCTCCGTGGAGTTTTGAGCACTGGGAGAAGATGCGCGAGAATATCGCGTCAGAGAGCAACACATCAAGCAGTGTTTCGGTTCAGATCGAAGGCAGCGGCTTCGATCCGGTTAAGAATATCCGTCTCAACCGCGAGGGCGAATTCTTATACGGCCTGCGGCCGAAAACGGATAACACGCTTCACCGGTTACTTGTGGAGGTGAAATTGGGCCCTGATAACATCAAATACGTGACGCTCCGGTCGCCTCTTGTTGTCGAAAATCAGACGCAGATACCCGTCGAACTGGGCGTCTACGACGTCCAGGAAGGTCACCTACTTAAGATTGAGAAGATCGCTCCAGGAGAGAGCCGACCAGCGCCCGTGGCTGCTGCCTTTGTGAAATCCCTGCTGATTCGACCGGATTCGGGCTTCGGCTGTTCTTGGTCGTCCGATCATCTGTGGTGGAGAGACTTGCTGAAGAGACCTACCCGTACGCTTATATGCAAAGGCGACAACAATGACCTATTCTACTTCCAACTCAGCGCGAATTTTGATCGAGGACACTTCCTGACTGGGTAAGCCCTAGCCGAACGAGTTTTCTCTTACTCCACTAACACTTTCAGGAAATACCCGTACATGAGACTCAAGCTTTCCCCTCCGATAGTTCTAGAAAATCTCCTTCCATACGACTTCAAATACCGTATTTACGACAGGAACACTAAGCGAGATTGGACGAACTTCCTGCGAAAGGGCGGTGTTAGCCCCGTCCATGTTGTGGAACTATCACATCTCCTGTTATTGAGTATTGACATGCAGAATGCGCTGTTCAAGGCTAGCGAATTCGCCATCATCAATTCTGGTACGCAGGAGGACTTTCGCAAAGAACACACCTTGGTGTGTAAGGACAGAGAAGATCTTCCTCTAAACCTGAGACTCCATTACTTCAAGATTCCGGATGGCGGCGGCGCCTTCAAGATAACGGTCTACAGCCCCTACGTCATACTAAATAAGACCGGTTTGGATGTGAACATCAGCGCTAAGCAATTCCTCCAGCAGCCAAGGAGAGCGGCTGGTCAATCGCTCACGGCCGGCACATCAGATGAAGAGAGACCAAAAGCGCTGCCGCTCATGTTTTCGTATAACAATGATGACCAGAGAAACCGAGCCCTTCTGAAACTAGGCGACTCGGAATGGAGCAGGCCCCAGAGTTTCGATGCCATTGGAAGCACGGCCGAAGTTGTTCTACCTTCGCCCAGAAATGACGCTGAGATCCATATCGGCATTACCATCGAGCCTGGCGAAGGCAAATACAAGCTGTCAAAGGTCGTCACTCTGGCACCTCGGTTCGTGGTCAAGAATAAGATTGGCGAGGAGATCGTCGTCAGAGAGCCTACTTCGTCGAGAACCATGACCCTCAGGGCTGGTGCCTTACAACCCCTTCACTGGCTCCAGCGATCGACTACGAAGCAAATAGCTTTGAGATTTCCTGGAATTGATGACCAGTGGACATCGCCGATCAACATATTAGATCTGGGTACGGTTCACATCAAGATTGCTAAAGCTGGGCAGAGACAACGCCTCATTCGCGTTGAAATTCTTATGGAAGATGCGACTATCTTCCTCCACCTTAGCATGGAGACAAAGCACTGGCCGTTCTCAATGCGTAACGAGAGTGATACCGAGTTCACCTTCTATCAGGCAAACCCGAATATCGACGAAGACGGCGTCGAAGATCGTTCCGGGTGGAAACCTGTCAGATACCGCTTGCCACCGCGTAGTATTATGCCCTATGCTTGGGACTTCCCAGCCGCCAAGTTCAAGGAAATTGTTATTAACGTCTTCGGCAAAGAGCGGCACGTGAAGCTCGCGGAGATCGGCAACCAAGTCCCAATGAAATTCATCAACGGTTCTGGCACCGCGAAGATCATCGATATTAACGTTGCGGCGGACGGGCCAACCCAGACACTCATTCTATCCAACTTCAAACCGAGCAGGAGTTTATACCGTCAGAAGACACAGACAGGTTCCGGCACCAGCGGCACCAGCGGCTTCGAAGTCAAGAGTCAAGATACCGACACGACGTTCCAGGCACAACTCAAGCTTTCCGGCATTGGTATATCGTTAATCAACCAACAACTCAAGGAGCTAGCGTACATCACATTCAGAGACATCAACCTCCGGTACAACGAGTCAGCTCTATACCAGACTATCAGCACTTCGATCAAATGGATTCAAGTTGATAACCAACTCTACGGCGGCCTGTTCCCAATGATACTCTACCCTAGTGTGGTTCCCAAGCAAGCGCAAGAGACAGAACTGCATCCCTCATTGCATGCCATGATTACCAGGGTCAAAGACAACTCGTACGGCGTTCTATACGTCAAATACGCCACCATTCTACTTCAGCAAATGACCATCGACCTCGATGAAGATTTCATATATGCTGTGTTGGATTTCTCTAAAATTCCTGGCGCCTCGTGGTCCGAGACTAACGAGGGTAAGCTCTGCGATGAGGGCCTAGACATTCCTGAGCCGAAGCAAGAACAATCAGGCCAAGATATCTACTTCGAGGTCTTGAACATACAGCCGATGCAAGTAGACTTGTCTTTCATGCGAACCGAGCGCGTCAACGTCGAGGACAAGACCTCTTCGCGCAACCCCATCATGTTTTTCGTGAACGTGATGACCATGGCTATCGGGAACGTCAACGACGCGCCGATTCGGTTGAATGCCCTGCTGCTGGAGAATGCCCGCGTATCCATCCCAATTCTAACGCAGAACATTTCCAACCATTATAGCCAAGAGGTTCTCTACCAGGTTCATAAAATCATTGGCAGTGCCGACTTCCTCGGCAACCCTGTTGGGTTATTCAACAGCATCAGCAGCGGTATAACCGATGTCTTCTACGAGCCATATCAAGGTCTCATTATGTCCGACAAACCCGAAGATCTCGGTTTGGGCATCGCCAAAGGGGCCGCCAGTTTTGTTAAGAAGTCCGTCTACGGTTTCTCGGACTCTTTCTCCAAGGTGACGGGCAGCTTTGGCAAAGGGTTAGCAGCCGCCACTCTCGATAAGCAATTCCAGGATCGTCGCCGCATCGCACGAGCCCGCAACCGGCCCAAACACGCCTTGTTTGGCGTCACAGCGGGCGCCAACTCGTTCTTTACGTCGGTAGCGTCTGGTATCGGTGGCGTGGCGCGCAAACCTATCGAGGGCGCGGAACAGGAGGGCGCTGTTGGGTTCTTCAAGGGCGTGGGTAAAGGCTTCATCGGCCTCGCAACCAAGCCGGCCGTCGGAATCTTTGATCTCGCGTCCAACGTGTCCGAGGGCATTCGGAACACGACAACGGTATTTGACGGCTCGGAACTCGACCGTGTCCGCTTGACCCGCTTCGTGCCGGCAGACGGCATCGTACGGCCTTACAATCAACGGGAGGCTCTAGGGCAGTCATGGCTAAAGCAGGTGGATAACGGGAAGTACTTCAACGAAAATTACATCGCGCATTTGGAGCTACCACGGGAGGACATGGTGGTCATGATCACATTTAGCCGAATTCTCCTCATCAGGAGTCGTAGGCTGACTACGGAATGGGATGTGCCGCTCAAGGATGTGCAGACCATATCGAAGGAGCGCACAGGCCTCAGCATCGTGCTCCGCGGGGGCACCAACGGGCCATTCGTCCCCGTTAGTGAAGAGAGCGGACGCGCCTTTTTGTACCGCATGGTGGCTATCGCCGTCGAGGAGTTCAACCGCAGATACAAGGGCTTAGAGTAAGGACAGGCCTGCGTGTCGTCTGGGGAGGATAGAAATCGATAAATGGACAGGCGGGCGACTCGTAGGGAACACGAAAAAGGTTAAGAGACAACCCGGACTGAGATAGTTGACTTATTTTTTGCAATGTCGAGCACAGCATCTTGCTGCACGGGTCCCTCGCGCATGTATATATAATATGCCCCGAGAATTCTATGAGATGATGACTTTGATGAGATAGGTCTCCTATTGCCTCTGTTGTGCAAAACAGAACTAATTTACCTTGGGCCTCTACCGTATCCATTGCTACCGGCGATGGGATATTTTTAGGAACCTTTTTCTGTCGTCGCCAGCCAGTAGATCGAGATTAGAACCAAATTGGCAACTCTCCGGATCGGCGTGGAAGGACTACTTATGGAAAATAGATCGCACATATCCACGATACTCCTTTCCTAGAGCAGGTCAACACGCTATCTCTAACATGGCCCGTACATACTCCTCGGCGACGTCAACACAACAACGTAATACAAGGAATGGCAATCCCTTTGAAGCTGCTTCCAATCAAAGAACTCCACGGACTTTTCCTTGACGCTTGTATCTCTTTTTCCCGGTCCCTCGCAGTGTCGAATTCCCCTTACGCCCAACCACTGCTCCAGCAAGCAGACCGTGGTCAAGTCGCTAGGCCGGCGTCAAGCTCACCCAGCACCCGTGAAGCAGGGAGGTGTTGACGCCGAATTTCTGCACGAAGGGGCGGTCGTCCTGGCGCTCGATGGCAGAGAAGGCCTGGAGCAGACGCAGGGTGACGAAGGCGATCTGGGTCAGGGCGAACTGCTGGCCGACGCAGATGCGCGGGCCGGCGTTGAAAGGGACGTATTCGTAGCTATGCGCCGAGAGGAGAGGTGGGGGAGTTAGTTCTCGACGGCACAGAACAGGAGAGGAGTTGGGGAAGAAATTTGGGGGGGGGGGGGGGGGGGGGTCGGGACTCACGTCGGCTTGAGCGTCTCCCACCTCTCGGGGCGGAACTCGTCGGCGTCAGGGCCGTAGAGGTCGTGGCGGCGATGCATCGTCCAGGGGACGTAGCGGACGACGGTGCCCTGGGGGACGAAGAGGGGGGAGGTGCCGTCGGGGCCGCCGCCGAGGGGCAGGACGGTGTCGCAGACGGCCTGGCGGGCGTTGGTGGGGACGGGCGGGTTGAGGCGCAGGGCCTCCTTGACGGCCCAGCCGAGGTAGCGCAGGTCGCGGAGCTGCTGCCAGGTCGGCGTCCGGCCCGCGGCGAGGCCGGCCTGCGCGGCCTCGCGCCGGATCGCGGCCGCCACGTCGGGCCGCCGCGACAGCTCGAAGAACAGGTACGACAGCGCGCTCGTCGTCGTGTCCCGCCCCGCCGTGAATATGCTCATCAGGTGGTCGCGGATGACCTCGTCGGGCTCGCCGGTCCGCAGCAGCTCGTTGAGGAAGACGTAGCGCTTGTCGTCGTCGCCGTCGCCGTCGCCGTCGCCTTCTTCATCATCCTTCACCCCGCTCCCCCTCGCCTCCCGCTTCTCGGCGGCCTCCTCCTCCTCCTCCTCCTGCCGCGCCCGCCGCACCTCGCCGACGTACCGGTCGACGAAGGCGTGCATGAAGGCGACGCTCTCGTCGAGCTCGCGGTCGCGCAGCAGCCGCGCGAGGCGGCCGAGGCGCGCGCGGTTCGCGATCTTCTGCATGGCGACGTCGAAGCAGCGGCCGAAGCGGGCGCCGGCGGCAGCCTCCTCGCCGCCGTCCCGGGCCCGGAGCAGGCCGGTGGACCGGCCGAGCATGAAGTCGGAGATGGTGTCGGTGGTGAGCAGGAGGAAGGCGGCCTGGAGGTCGACGCGGGCGCGGGGTGCGGCGGCGGCGTCGCGGCGCAGGCGCGCCACGAGGCGGTCGACGTGGCGCTCGAAGCGGCGCAGGTCCGCGACCTGGTCGCGGACGAAGGCGGGGCGCAGCGCGGCGCGGGCGCGGCGCCAGGCGGCGCCGTCGGCGGCGAAGACGGAGTGCGGGCCGAGCACGGGCAGGAAGGCGGCGACGCGGTCGCGCGGGATGCGCCAGTGGTCGAAGCGCGCGGCGAGCACGGCGCGCACGTTGGCCGGCTCGTCCGTCACGAGCACGCGCCGCCGCCGCAGGCTCGGGAACGCGACGTGCGCGAACGTGTGGCCCAGCCCGCCGCCGTCGCCGCGCCGCCGCAGCAGCGCCCGCAGCCCCGCCAGCAGCGTGTGCGTCCGGATCCCGTGCGCCGTGCGCAGCAGGAACCGCGCCCCCGTGAAGTCCCCCGGGAACGCGGGCGCCGACGCGGCGCACCCGCGCGCCGCCGCCGCCGCGTGCCGCCGGTGCGCCCCGCCCAGCGCGGCCTGCAGCGCGGCGCCCGCCCCGCTGAGCGCGACGCGCAGCGCCCTGTGCGGCAGCGGCGCCGCGCCGAAGAGGTCGACGATCAGCGAGGCCACGAGCGCGGCGACGGCGCCGCCGGCGATGACGTAGGCCCACTTGGCCCGCGACGCGAGCGCTGCCTCGCTGCTGCTGCTGCTGCCCTGCGCGAAGGCGGCCATGGGCAGGTGTTGCTGGGCTCGGTCTCGAAAGGGATGCTGTCTGCGGTGGCGGAGTCGATGACGGAAGGGGTGGGTATGGCAGTACCGAAGGGCGCGGGGGGTTATTAATAGAGCGTGATGCTGTGTGGTGGTGCCGTGATGCGACGGTGTGATGTCGATCGTCGTCTTGCCGAGCAGGTTATATATATATATATATACTTACCTATACCTACATCTCCGCCTCGGCGCAGACAGGCGAGAGCGAGGTGTTGTGACCTGGGGAAACGGAAGTATGACGGTAAGCTGACTCGCCGGGCCTCGTACATGCGCGTCTCTCCCCCCCTGCGGCCGGATTCGCTGGCTCGTATGCAGACAGACAGTTACAGACAAGCGACGGGAGTACACCGAGGTCCCGCCGCCGCAGCACATTGCAGCAGCGAGAGAGAGAGGGACACACACCCCTTTCCGGCGGGCGGAGCACCCCTATTTAACGGCCCTGCTATAACCCCCCCCTCTTCCTCGTGTCGGAGATGCCTCCAACGCCCCCCCCGGCCTCTGCCTCGATGGGGTTGGTACGGGGTCAGCAGGAGGACTAAACGCCGGTCTCCCTATCCAGAGGGATGACTCGTGGCATTCAGGATGCTAGTGCTAGCCTGGAGGGGGGGGGGGGTAAAGAAATAGATCAAAATTCGTGATTTGTCAAAGAGACCTTGCTGGCGCTTATTTCTTTCCAACAGTACCGCCGTCTCCGTGTATGACGTTGTTGCACCCTTGGACTATCACGACGTGCCTCGAGCCCCCCATGTCCCCCCGTCAAGCTGACTCTGTATACGGCTCGTAGGACGTTTGCCAGCAACTCGATACCACGTTTCTCGAGAAGTACATGCTATATAGCCATATGTAGTCAAGATACCTATGTCACGATACCCCGGCCATTAGTGAGCACCACTCCTGACCTGTGTCGGCATTTAGTTATACTGCGGTCTCCATTTATGTCGGTATTTACAGATGCCCATCAAAGCGCGGTCCCGCGTCTTGGATCAGCTCGTAGGGGTGTCTCTAGGTGACAGAGCGCGGGTGTAGCTGTGATAGAGCTACTTGGCTGCGATGCACCCTCTCAGGAGATCCGCAGGCCCCTGCGATCTACAGTCTCTCTCTCTCTCTCTGTCTGTGTATGTGTGTGTGTGCGTGTGTTCCTGTGCCCTCGTTCGCTTCGGAGCGAATGCCGGGTCAGACGCGGCGAGCATCTCGCCTGACGAGCCAATGAAGTCGCGAGATGCGGCAGTTGCATCACGGTAGCGAGCGATGGATGCGGAGAGGGGGCCTGGATGACGCGCTCTGCGCTGTCGGACGGGAACCCGAACTTTTTCGATATTTTCCGCCCCGAGAATATAGCATCCCTCGTAGTATCCGTGGCCGATGTGGACGAGCAGATGTATACATACCTATCCCGACGGCCTGTTGAGGGGTTAGTATTGAGGCAGGGGTTAGAGCGACGTCAAAATTGGTTTCCTTTAGGGGGCTGCTCTAAGTTGACGGCTACCGTCAAGGAACTCCTGCCTGCTAGTCATACGTTAAGCTTAACAACGACGGATACACGGGAAAAGCCACGAGAGAAACACCCGCGTTAAGAGGGGGCCTCCTCTAAACTGGTGTGGTCGGAGGCGGATTAGTCGACTACCTCCCCTAGCACACTGCTCCTTTCATGGCGAGTACGTAGGGTCTGGTCTCGGCTCGACCATGTAAAGATAAAGTTGTTCGGCCTCTCGAGCCATCGCAACGTTCCGGCTCTCGCGTACTTTATAAGACGTGTTCTTGAAGCAGGTAAACACAGAGTTGGTGTTCAAGGTTGAATACGAGGTTTTCGTTCTAGCCCCTTACTCTAGAGCTTAAGTCCACGCAGCAACTAGACACCGTTGTCTCCTCGATACCGCACGACCTCTAGTAAACGCTCCAGCGAGAGAGAGCAACGACAGAAACGCGTCAGGTCGAGACGAGCCACATAGCACTAGCATCATCGCGGAGTAGAGCAGGCGAGGACGACGTAATCTTTGTAAATTCTATACTACGGCGAAGGACAAACGCACGTCTGTAGATTAATATCACATAGTTACTCCGAGCTGCTGCGGCCGCGGTCGCCGCGGTCGCCGCCGACCCGCCCTGCGGTTGCTTCTCGCCCCGGTGGCCTCGTCGGGAAGCCAAGCCGTCCGTTCACACTGCGCGACAGCCAGTTCTCGCCGTGTCTGCTCCCATCCATCCACGGCACCCTGCAAACGACCATTAGCAATACCGACGTCCCCCCCCCTCCTCTCCACGGTACGCATGTGGCGCGGCCGCCACCACTCCCGGCACCCCGACCCGTCGGGCATGACGTCGACAGGCTAGCTGCGGATCGCAGGGTCGAACAAAGGACCCGGGGTTGTTCGCGACGGGCCAGCCAGCCAGCTCGCCTGCCGGCGACGCCGCGAATCAGAGCCGGCAGCCCGAACCGGCGGTAGCTTGCGTGCGTGGCTTCACGCGCCCATCTCGCTCGCCTCCCCCCCTATCCCCTCTCTTTGTGCTGCGTCTGGTCCCCCCCCCCGTTTCTCCCCCTCTCGGGACCCTCCTCGGTGCGCGGGGGTAGGCATCCATCGACGTAGCGAATGCATGTGAAAACGGCGCGATGATACGGCACAAAGAGGGAGGGGGGGGCCTCGGATAGGGGGCCTGCCGACGCCACGGCGCGGGCAGGCCGCCGCGCGGCCGTAGGCACGTACGTATGGTACGTAGGCAGCGACGCGTGCGCGCCCGCAGCGAGGACGAGGACCTCGGCTCTCGCGCGCACGCGCGCGAGTCGCGTAGCGGCCGCCGGCACGGGAAAGCAGGCAGCCGGCCGGGCCCCGTCTGCCTGGCCGCCTGCCCGCTAGCGGAGTGCTGCGGCTCCAGACCAGACGCTAGCGGCAGGCAGACAGGCAGACAGGCAGACAGGCAGGCAGATACCTGACACTCTCCGGAGCGAGGACCCGCGTGCGTACATACGCACGATGCACCCCCTTTTTCCTGCCGAGAGGTGCTAGCGCGCGGTGAAGGGGTGAAGGGGGAGAACGGGAGGTGGGTGGGTGGGCCGGAGCACGCGATTGGCAGATCGCGACGGACGGGAGGGGAGGGGACCCTTTGCTTTTTACCCTTTTTTTTTTCTTGGCTCTTTTTCTGCTGCCTCTTTTTTTTTTTAAAAAAAAAAAAAAACTCCCCTTTTACTGTTTTCGCCCTTCGCACCGTTTTCCTGCGGATTCGATTCCGCTCTTTTTTTAATTTCGTGCCCCTCTTTTTAGCACCAACCAACGCCAAGCGAAGAGGAGGAGGCAAAAAGAAGGAAAGTGAAGAAGAAGAAAAAAAAAAATAGAGAGAGAAGAATCCACCGGCCGGCGATGGCGAGGGACGGCGTGCAATTGGCCGCAGGGTAGGGCAGGGCACCTGTCTATAGGTAGGTAGATAGGCGGGCCCGCGACGGCGTCTGCCTGACTGACTGACCTGTCTCTCCTCTCCTCCTGCTTGGCTGGCTGGCTGGCCTCCCGTCCTGCCCGCCACCTACGTCGACGCGCGGGCAGAGGTACACTTACCTGCCTGCAGCAGATCGACGTACTCGCGTGCATCGGGGCCTCGATCGGATCCGCGCGCGCCGCGACGCAGCAGGGCCAGGATTCGCTGTGCGGTGGGCTTCGTCGCGCGGGCTGGAGAACGAGAAGAGAGAGAGAGAGAGAGAAACAGCAGTGCTACGTGTAAATGTGTTGCGCGCTTGTGCGTGCGCTCGTGCGTGCGGGTGGGTGTGCGAATTCCGGCTGACCCGGCGTGGAGCCGGCGATGACGACATGGCGCCTCCTCGCGGATATTTTTCCGTCGAAGCGAAGGGGAGAAATGGAGAAAAAAAATGTGAGTGTGTGTGAAAGTGTCAGGGTGTGTGTGTGAGGGCCAGAAGAGTGTCGTGTATATTATTAGGTGCATCGACGTGTAGGTACGGGTGTGTGAGACGACGTGCGCATGTACTCATCTGTGCGTGCTGCACTGTTGTTATACCATTCCGTGCTGCGTCTACATGTGTCTGTCTGCCTCTGCCTGTAGAACGACGTGTGCTACCTGACCGGCCTTGCTGACCTGCCTACCCTCTCTCGTCTTCCCCTTTTCCCCCCTCCGCGCCCATGGCATTTTCGAGATGGCCATGTTGGGAGATACGAAGCGTGGCTCGCGTCGTGTTTCACTCCAGCTCCTCCCCCCCCCCGTGCTGTGTCTCTCCCCGGCTCGGGAATTAGACCGAGAAAAAAACCCAGTGGCCCTGTAACCCTGCCTCCCCCATCCCTCCCTTCGACCTGGCAGACACAGACACCAGACGGTCGGCCGCGATGACGGCATTGGCGAGCAGGACTTGACCGGTGGCCGCGCCGGGGCGCATGACGATTGGGCCGGGACGGTTATGGTGGTGTCGTGTGCGTGCGTGCCACCAGATCAGAGTCCTCCAGCCTGTGTGTGTGGCCCCAAGGAGTGAATAGCAAAAAGGGACCCGGGCCAACCTGGCTGCCCATCAGTTGACCCGAGATTCCCATGTCTCGATCTGAACCCCCCCCCCATCGCCGATGTATCCCTGCGCAGATTTGCGGTCCTTACATCTACACCCACCGCTGCATCATCCATCTATACATTGTACCCGCTGCTGCAGTCACCACTTTTCGGACGAGGGCAGGTTGGTAATAAGGACGCGCAGTCCTGCACATAACAGTAATTTCCCCTAATCTCCCGCGCGCGCACGCAAGACGCGCAGATGAGCGGGTTCCCGCTGCGCGCGGGCGGTGTGGATAGCGCAGTTATTCTTTTTTTTTCTCTTGCTGTTTTCTTTCGCCTCTCTTAGCGAGCCGGGGGGATGCTGGTTAGGCTAGTTCGTGATCGCGCGCGACGCGGACCAGTTGGGTAACCCGAGCGTCGCCGGGTCTGCAGACGTTGTCGATTCAGGCTTCGCGTGCAGGCGAAACGCCCTGGAAATTGCCATCATTGTGCATGCGTGTTGCGTCCTTTTGCGTCCTGTCGCGTAGTACGGGATGCGATGTGCCTATAACGTATACCTTACTTGCCCCCTCACTCACTCGTGTGTTGGCGACGACGTGGTCGCCGTGGCCGGTGTGCGTGAAAGAGGTTAGCTTAGGTCGGTCAAGTAAGTAATTGAGGTGGGCATATCATGGATAGGTAGGTACCTAGCCCGACGCAGCTGTGCCGTCGCCGATACGGTAGCAGGAGGGGGAGCCGGGGAGTAGAGAGCCAACTCGCATCTTTTTGTCGGTATGGACCTCTCTCATTCCCTCTCCCTCCGTCTCTCTTCCTCTGGCTGGCCACGTCCGTGACGAGTTTTCGCAAGCTCTTCAATGGATGAGCATGTATGAAAGATCGGCCGCTAATGCCGACGAACCCCTCCAACTGCGACCCTAGTCAGTGGTAGTGCAGAGCTGTCTACATAGTAGGTAAAGTCGGCCGAGGACGGGTAGACTGGCGTCTCTCTCACTCAGGGTCTCATCAGTGTTCACTCCCCCCCCCCCCTCCACCCTCCCGATCTCCAGATCATCGGCAAAGCGAACGCTACAGAACAGGTGTGGCCGCATATAGTTAGACGTGTAGACATGTATAACCTAGGTACATCAAGGCCTCTAGATTAGACACCCACCTACCATCTCCGCACAATGTGGCCCCGCTACAGTACGGACTCGACGTGTACGGTAAGAGGAAGAAAGAATGCCGCCTACGGAATGGCTATCATCTTACCGTCTAACGGATCTCCCCTCCCTCGGGAATGTATGCATATGCATGTGCGTGTCTGCTCTTGCCGCTGCCTACCCGTAGCTAAAATTACGCACTCCCCTCTCCTCCTCCTGCGTCGAAGCTAGAATGGGGACGGGGCCGGATAGGCCAGCACCGGAGGGGGGGGGGGGGGAAGAGACCACGGGCGAATTCGGGTGGGTTAGGAAGGGAGAAAAGGCGAGAGGGCATGACTCGACGCCGACCCCCACGGCATCGAGGCCATTTGCGCCTTCGGGCCCTTGGCTGTCATCGCGACCCAGCGCGCGTGGCTTCATTGGCGCACCGCGCCCACTCGGGACACCAAGTTCCATCTCCAGCGTGGAGGAGAACTCAGCTGGCGCGGGTCAGATCCATAATTTTGCCGGAGACGGTCTCGCCGGCGGGGGACCAGTGAGGAGGGCGAGAAAAAGGGGCGGTGCGTGGAACAGAACCGATCTATTTGGCAGGAGGGCAGCGATAAGCGAGGAGGAGACCAGGGAAAAGCCACCGAAGGCCGACGAGGGCAAGTGACATTCCTCCCCCCCCCCCTCTCTCTCTCTACGGTAAAGCAGATAACCGCGTGCGCAGGGAGGGATAGAGAGGTATGTACGTCGCCATGGCCAAAGCGCTCCCGGCCAAAGCATATCGTATCTGACTCTTCCTTACCCCGATACCCCGGAGTAGATCATCCTGGGTTGTAGGTAAGTAGATGCGCTGGGGTTACACGGCTACAGCCTAGCTCGCCCCTCAGATGGTGACAATGGTGACGGTGGTGAGCGTTGGTGGTGAGAGTCGCCGGCCGGGAGGGTCGAGGATACCAGAAAAGGCATGCATGGCACGGAGGGATCCCTACCTATATTATGTGTTGCGGACGTATACCTACGTGTAGATGTGTATCGAGCTGCTGTCGCTGACGGATATTAATATGCCCAGCCGTGTCACTAGACACCAGGCACGCCCTGTACCTTGGATATCTCTCCATCTGGTGTCACGGCATCAGCGTCACTCAGCCGCTTGGGGGGGGGTGGCGAGTAAGAATGTCGGTCAAGCAGGATAATTCGCATTCTGCGGTCGCATGACGCCCAGCCGCCCGCCTGCCCGCTCGCTGTCGACCGGCGTAGGTCGTCGCGCGGGCACGGGGAATTTCGATAGGCACCCATCTCGTCTGCCTATCCTCGGTCTGCTACACGGTACTCGATGTCTGAGTTGTTGGTGCACGTACCTAGGTATTGGAGAACGACCAGGAGGAGGAGGGTGCGCGAGAGAGGGTGTGTGTGTGTGGGCTGTCGGCCTGAGAATCCCAGGGGGTATACCTAAGGGGTAGGAAGGCCTCGAAACCCAAGCCAAGCCAAGGTCCGTCTGGCACCCGGTCCGGAGATGTCGATCTGCCTACATATAATATTACCCATGTACTTACTGTTGGGATATCTATACCTACCTGCCTACATGCATACTATATATCCTGACAGGCAGGGGGGAGGGGGGACGGGTACAGGCACATCTCGAGAGTCACAAGCAAGCTGCACGCCTGCCTATACACCCCTGCATGGCTACCTCTGTGCGAATATCTACTGACTCAGAGGTGAGCAAGTAAGGTAGGCTGGCAGCAGGCAGTAGTAGTAGTAATAGTAGGTAGTAGTAATAGTATAGGCACCGTGCTGGCTGGCTGTTTGCTGGCCTCGCCTCGACGAGAGGCGGCGCGCATGGCGCACGCAGGCAGGCATTGCACGCATGCACATGTCTGGGGAGGGGAGGCATAGAGAGGTGTATACAGCGGAAAAGCACATGGTATCCTGACTGGCCCGATCGGCGACCGATTGCAATCCACGACAACGATAGATTGCATCGCGCCCGCGGGAGGCCGGCCCATCTCGGCTGGTCTAGACGCGACCGGATTGCTGACGGCGGACTTCGCTGGCCGCGGCCATGCGCGAGAACGGAAACGGTCGAGATGGGGATGGGCTGGATGGGAGAGTCCCCGAGAGTCCCCCCCCGGGGAACACAGGTGAGCGAGCAAGGAGAGGAAGGGCGCGGGTGAGACGTTGGCAGCGACCCCGAGCTGACAACCCCCCCCCCCCCCCCCCTAAACTCTTATAAGCAGACAACTTTGCGTAACTATTTCCCGGATGAGGTGAGCCCACGTTTTTTTGCCATCGACCATACATGGCCTAAATGCCTTGCCTCGTATATACTGCCGACTTACAACGCGCCTATATCTGGGCAGGGTGAGAAATTCCTCTCCCGCGTTGGCGCCGCATCGGGTAGGATGTACCTGATCGGCGATGGATCTTTTTTTGCTTCTTCCTTTCTTTTTTTTCCCCTTCCCACTGTCCCATTCTTTTTATTCTTTTTTTTTCCTTCTTACCCGTCCTTCGGGTCTGTGCAAGCTATAGTAGCGCCCTCCCGTCCCCAGACGGAATCAAGTTGTCGCACTCGGGAGGCCTAACAAAACGGTACCGCGACGGAGTCTCCATTTTACACTTCTCCACCGCCTCCTCCCTGGGTAGGTATGTACACATGTAAGCATCGCCAGGACAAGGGTCTGGAAAACCCGAGACATCTTCACGTCTATTGAACTAAATATTCTTTTTTTTTTTCCTTTTTCCCGTAGTTTTTTTTTCTTCCTCCCAGGGTAAGGGGGTGCTCCCGCGCGAATCGATGCACTCTACGTAGCCCCCGGTACCCGTGGTATCCGTGGAGTGGGAGTAAGGCAGAAACGCGTGGTGATGGCGATAGACCGAGGGCGATAATAAGGCATTGGGCATCGCCCGTGTCCGACGTGCTAGAGCCGGCCTACTACGGGAATCAAGCCACGGGTATGCCCTCCTCGCTTTCTCTCTCAACATACGTCAGCCTTAAAAAAAAAAGAGAGAGGGAGAGTATGATACGACGAACACCTTACGAGGACACCCTATACCTACCTCCTCAGCAATCCCTGCTGCAAATCCTCGTCGGACAGAAGAGGTAAGGTCGGAGGGAGGATAGAGCATCTGTTCTTCGTACCTACATTTCACCTACTTTGAGTGCATGTCAGCCACCTAGCTGAGGCTGCGCACCTCTATCCACGTCATGAGTGTTCGGCTTCTGGCGACGTGACATGGGGAGTTTAGGGTTAGTCGTCGCCGTCGTGCCTAGGACGAGGTAGGCAATACCACGTCTCTCTTCTCCCCTCCAGGCCGGGCTCGCGGGCACATGCCAACTACCTACCTGGTAGCTGACGGATGGAGTTGGATTGCTGTTACCGATCTCTTCCGTAACTGTGGCCGTATGCTGTAGGTAGGTATGAGATATGCCAATGTCAATCCGTGTAGGTGTGCAGGCGTGCGTGCCGTCCGTCCCACCTCTTACCGAAGCTCCCGCTTACTACCTCAACCTTCTACGAAATGCAACCTACACGTCCATGCGATGCGCCGACGTCAATGCGTGCCGTAGGTTAGATAATGGTGTCTTTGTGTCTCCTCGGTTCCCTGCCTGGGCATCTGAGGGGCAAAGCAGTGTTGTAGGTAGACTGCCGGCACAGTATAGGTTGATGCGCAGGGCCGTCTCTTTGTCCACCGGCGGTGCCATTGTGCACTGCATACAGACAACCAGATCGAAGGCGACACCGACCAGGGGGGATAAAACCTGTCCGATCGCTGGGTTACTTGCCTCTTTGGTGCGCTCCCGCGACCATTGCGCCGCTTCACCCCGACTCAGCGTCACCATTGCGCCCTCGCGACGCGACGGCATCTTCGCAGTGCCCTCTTGGCAGCGCCTGTGGTGTCTCCAGCCCGGGTCGTGTTCTCCCCTCCTCCTCCCCCTCCTCGCGTTTCTTATACCTACCTACAAGTCGTTGGCAGGTCATGTCTGCTGCATACCTATATGCATCCACGATCCGGCCATGCTTCCCGAGGGCACTGGAGGACTGTGGAAACTCCGCGCCGGCGGGCGAATGTCATGTACCTATTCGCCCCCGTTCACTTCGAGATCGCTTCCTTCTCGCCCCTCCTCCTCTTCTCTTCCCCGCTTCTGGTACCTGCCTACAAGTACCTCCCGCCTTGAGCCTCAACCGGGACGGCTCTCGATATAAAAGTAGGACTGCGGGTAGGGCTCTCCGAGGAACGATGTATCCTAGTCTTGTTTTCTTTTAATCTCCTTTCTTCCACTGCTTCCTTCTCGTGTGCAGTTGCGAGTCGAGAAGCATTCGAGCGCAGCAGAAGAAAGAGAAAAGAACAGAAGCGTCGGCACTCCCATAGCTCGTCGTACATACGCCAATCAATCGGCCGGGCTTTGGCTTGTTCAGCTCGGCAGCCATCCACATCTTTTTTTCGGTGTTTTTTTTGGTTCTTTGCGTTTGAGCCTCGATCCAATCCGCACCGCATCGCGTCCTTCCCGCATCCCTCGGATCGGCTGGGAAATTGGGAATCGGTTTTCTAGGCTCGCGGCCATCGCTCCCCTTCGTCCATCGGCCGAAAATATCTCACATTTTACGCCTTTACCTCTCTCGCGCCAACCGCGCCGAACATCGCAGTTCCGGTCCACCGCGCGCGCTGGTAATTCACTCAGACGCGAGACGCCAGAATCCCATACCTGCGCTCCCGAGGTCGGATACTACCCACCCGGGATATAAACGTCTGCTCCCGTATCTGTCTCCATACCCGCCTCGTGCCGTGACAAGATATCTTGGTGGCTGCTGTCTCCCGCCACGCCGTCTCGCGGCCGTATCGAATCGTCTCCGTATCCACCGTTTGCACCGTACTGTATTTCCCGTTTGGGCAATCCCCGCATTACGGAGACAGTATGTACCTCGGTTTTTGCTTGTCCCTGGCAAAGTCCCCTTTTTAATTTCCTTCTAGTTTATCTATTGTATTTTTATTTTATTTACCTCTTATTTCTTTTTTTTTTCTCCTCTCTCTCTGCCTCTCTCTCACCTGTCTCCCCTCCCCCCTGGTCGACACCCCCCAACAATTCCCATCCCATCCGCCCTCCTCGATCCCGTCCACTCACATCCCGTCTTTTCTTCGCTATATCGCGACGGCTGCAAAACTTCTTCCCGCTGGTTTGCGCCACCCCCCCTGCCCTCCCTCTCACACCCCCCCGGCCTCGTCCTTATTTATTATTCTACCTCTCTCCCCTCCGGTTCAATTTCTGGTCTTCCTCCTCCTACCTTACCCTGTCTCCCCAGAGTCACAGGTTTATCTATAGACCTTCGCCCTAGACACACGGCGCGGGAATAGAACCAAGCTACGGGCAGCCTGGCGCAGCCAAATCAACCAATCCTTTCTCCTTGCGACGGGACATTGATTTGACGCCGCTTTCGCGCATCCTCCTCGCCATTTCCGGCCTCTCTTCTTCCTCTCTCGCGTCCCTCCTCGCCACACACGCACCCTCTAGCACCCTCTAGCTGCTATCGTCCATGTCGCGACGAACCTCGTGCGCATCTGACGACAGCAGAAAATCGCACAGCAGACCCGTGTCGCAGCACAGTCACGGTTCGCCACGCTCCTCCTCCCACAACATCTCTTCGCAGCAGAGAACCATCAGCTCCCAGACGCACACTCCCTCTCCTCTCAAGATGGTCACAACTACGACGACGGTGACGACGACGGCGTCGCACCACCACAGCGACGACGCCTTGCACTACTACCTGCCCGACACCAACGCGCAGGAGGCCGAATTGCAGAAGCAGGGGTGGATGGAACCGATAGTAATAGACGACGAGGACCTAATGTTTGGCGGAAAGAGCCTCAGCGCCTGGTACGAGGAGGAGAGAAAGTCGCTCAGCTTCCCGGCCGAAGAGGAGCGACGCGGCCGTCAACGGGTAAGTCCGAATTGGGGGGGTGTAGTCTGCCTACCGACACCGGAGAAAGGGGAGAGATCGAGACAGAAGATGCCAACTCACGCGACTTCGCAGGTGCGACAGCATCACTCGCAGACACATCACCACCATCACCATCACCACAACCGCCAACACGCGAACTCGGGAACCACGACGAATGGCCATGACGACCAGAAGAAGCATTGACACGACGGACGAGCCTAAAGGGCTGCCGAGCAGCCCCCTATTCCCTTCACACGAGATACCCAAAACAACTGCATTTGCATGTCTGCACGGGCGACTGTAGAACTGTCTTTTCACACGCGCATCACGGTTTTTTTTCTATACGTCGAGCCGGATCGAACCGAATCGACCCTCTCCGCAACACCACGTCGCCTCCTCTTTTTTCCACAGATCCGACACGTGCATTTTGATCGCATTAGATATACCACATTGGCGCTCTTCCTTGCCGGGGCATTGGCCTCGGCCATGGTCACACCAAGACAGGACCGGGGGACTGATAACTAGACCAAACAACAATAGATGGGCCGCCGCCGTGTTCCTCTTGAGAGCACACACCCTGTTTCTGGGTTTCTGGCGGTGAGCCCCTTCATTATTATCATCATCACCATCATCATCATCATCATCGGTAGCATCGTCGTCGGCGACGTTACACGGGCGGGCACGGGACATAATGTATCTCTTGCATTTTTACTAGGCGTTGCGATCGGCCCTTTTTTTCCCCCGTCTTCTTCCTCCCATTGGGTCCCATAGTGTTTTGATTCCTTCTTGATTCTCGCGCATTTCCGGGACCGGGCGAAATTGACAATTAGATGATACCTGAGGAAGAGAGGGATACGGGCTCTTTTTTCTCTCTCTTCGTCGTCGTTCTTCGCGGGCGTCAACTCCGATAGGGAATAGGCGGGCGGGACACTTTACGCGCGGACATGCTCGGGGGCACGGGAACGGGGGAGCGGGAAGGTGTCGTTATGGTCATCACCTGGCGCGGCCGGATTTTGCCGGCCGCCTATGCTGCCGACGGTTATTGTCATATAACCCGGAGAAGCTCCCTAGAGCTCTCTCCTCCCCTCTCTCTCTTTCTCGGCGGCATCTGCGGAGGCGGAAGGGCTCGGGGTTGCGGCTCGAGCCGACAGCGAGAAGCGCAGAGTAGCAGTGGGCGGTAGAGGAATGCATAGATGAGGGGAAAGGATAGCCGACATTACAGACGTGAAGGAAATAAACGAAATATACACCCCGTAAAAACGACCCTGTGGTGGTTGTGGTTATCGTAGGCTCTTGATACCGTGCTGTTTGCCCCCCGAATATTGTGACTCACGAACTGCCTGAACGTCTGTGCTAAGATGAGACTGGATGTCCAAGCTATACACGTATATGTATGTATAGCATGTGTAGGCTAGACGCATTGGGTCGAATCACCCGATCAACGGTGCCAACTTCTCTCCTGGTGGACCGCGTCCGAGCTGCGACGCGACGCGACGCTTGAGCCGGACCGCGTTAGCGATCCGGGACGCTCGGCGCCCAGGCCGCGATCGGCGGCCAGCCGTGTGTCCGTCTGTCCCGGCGTCCGTCGGCCGAGCGACGGGGTCGGCGCGCGGTAGAAGGATGACCCGGAAGCCGCGAGGGCACCTGAAGGGCGGATAGCGAGTCGGCGTGAGCCTCGACGCCGCGCGTGCGGGCCCCCGCGACACAGCAACAGAGCAGACGGCCTCGCGCCGTGGCCGGCGCCGCGGGGGGTGCCCCGTATCGCGCGCCAACCGAGCCCCGCTCCCGAGGCCGGCGCGCGCTCGCGTTCGCACACGCTGCCGCCTGCCGTGCTCGCCGCGCCCTGCGCCCGCCGGTCGCGGTCCCGCGGGCGCGAAGCAGCGCGCTGGTGTCGCCGCCTCCGCCGCCTTCGTCGTGTTCTGCCCCAGTTTTCTTCATCTGCGATGTCCGGACGAGCACGGGTTCGGGAGCTGGCGGGCAGCGCGCGAGCCGGAAGCCGTGCCGCTGGGCGAAGAAGGGCTTGCGGTCGGCGAGCGGGCCGCGGCGTGCTGTGCCAGCGCCCGCGCGCACCCCTTTCCCTCCTCGTTGTTCTCAGCAGCGGCTACCTGCGCCGCTGGTCGCTGCGTCGCCATGTACGGTAACTACTTCCTGCTGCCACCGCCCGAACCTGAGCAGCAACGGCGGCCCGTGTCCGAGTCGGCCTTTGCAGGAGCTTCTCCCGCACGTGGTACTGTGACATCGACGATGTGGGCGTTCGAATGGGGTCGCGCGCCAGTTCCGGGGCGTGTGACGGGGCCGGCTTGGGTCGCGAATCGGCCGTGGTGGTTCTAGTTTCCCCCGACGGCGACGAGCGCGGGAGGACCCGGGCCACGGTGTTCGCGCCGAGGCACGGCGGAGGGGAGCTGGCTCCTGGTGAGATGCTCGCGCTCCCTCTCAAGCATCCGACTTCGACGGACCGCCGCGGGCTAGCTTACTGGGGCCCTAGCAGCCGGCTCTATGCTGTGAGGGCGCGAGAAGGCGGGCATGAAGAGCCGAGGCTCCCGGCGCAGAGGACAGCAAGCTCTGTGCCTCGGAATCCCCGCGGAGAGGGAGCGCCGACGTTGAGGGTCGCGCTTGTGGGAATAGCCGCAGGCCCGGTGCGGGGAAGATGAGAAAGGATGAAGAAAAGGATCCCATCAGAGGGAGGGGGGGAAGGGGGGTTTAAACCACCTGTCTCGCCCCCAAGGGCGCGCCTCACCCGAACCGTCCCCCCCTCCCCGAGGCCAAAGCTCCAGCTCCTACCACTACTGCCGCCGCCGCCACGATACCACGCCGATGCGCCCCCTGCGTCATGGCGCCGTCACTCGACCTTCCCGTGTCGCACGCCCTGTTTGTCTCACCACGACGAGGAGGAGAGAGAGAGAGAGAGCCTATGTGCGACGACCTGGTATGTGCTTGTGGGAGCGCAGTTCCCGTCGCACAGGTGCTCGAGCAGCGACCTGCCCGTCCCACGTAGCCATCGCTTCCGACGCCCCTGCACCGCGCGCAGACCAGGGCCATCACGCCAGGTGTCGCGCTCCTGGCCGTCGAGTCGTTCAGGCCAGCGTAGCCGCCCCCATCGCGCAACGGTGCCACGACGGCCGAACTAGTGTCGTCGATGTTGGGACTGGCGGCGTAGTGCAAAACCCCGGCAGCGCTGCGAGGACTGCTAGACCGTTGTGGGCGCGATACAGGCGCCAGGCTAGCATGCGGCGTAGCGGCGTCCGGGGGCTCTCCGTGCACGGCGCGCGAGGAAAAGGGGGGTGGGTGCGTGGGCGCCGCGCCTCTCCCCGAATCTCGTGCCGTCGCATGGCATCGTGGGCAGGACCCTAGTGGCCGGAGAGGCCGTAGACAGATGGCTAGATCTATGTCGATTGTAAATACGGGAGCTGCGGGATGAGGGACTCGACTAGTGGTTGCTCGCTAGTCCGGCCGGATTCGACTTCGCGGGCCCCGCCGGGTGCGACGTCCAGCTTGCTGTGCCGCCCTGCGGCGGTAGATCTGCTCGACTGCCGTCCTGGCCATTCGCCTCTATATTCCTCCGCAACGGCGGTCGTTGCTTAAGTAGGCGGCCGAACAAAGGCAGTCGGTGGGTGGAGGACGGGGCGCTAGGCTAGTGGATGGATATAAGATGGTTATACGGCCGCAGCGGTTTCAGGGACCACGACCCGACGACCAGTTACGTAGGATTCGCAAACGGCCTAAGGTAGTGTATGGGCGATCTAGAGTAGTCTTCCTGTGGTATGGAGCTTCTGCCAACGCCGTGTCCCCGGCGCCAACGTCGAATACAATACAAGCACGACGTCGTGGCAGCAGGACGACATACGCGAGATAATCTAGATCATAGAGAGCTGCATAGACAACTGAGATGTAGCCTAGCGAGGAGTAGGACGACGCGAGGCTACCGCATCGCTTCCCCTTAGAAACATGCCTACGTAGAGAACTAGTTGCCGCGCAACCATTAGTATCGGTGGTTCACCGGCCATCTAAGTCTCTACTCTTAGGCCGGCATACCGCAGAACACTGTCATATCACTGCCGTGCCGCGGAGACTAATGGTCGTTTTAGGCTACTCGCAGGCGTTTAGACGGGATCGCATTGCACAGCGTAACATACCCTCTATACACGGGCATGTCCTTACCTATCTTAGGACCGACACCGCGACCATGAAATACCTGCCTACCTTACGCAGGTACGATGCGGTATGCGACGCTTGCCAACTATCTACGGTGGCCATATCGTCGCCCTCTACTTGTCCCCTATCGCCGTCGCCGTCGTCATCGTAGCGTAATACGCGCTGCGCTATGCTGTGGGTGCGAACGCATGAGCGAGGTAGTATTTGCCTTCTCCCCCGCGCGCCACCGCGCGACGCTCCTGCATGTGATGCGCGAAGGTGCGGGTATGCGCATGTGTGCGCTGCGCTGCGCTCGCTCTACTTGCTACGTAGGCGCGTACGTGTGGTTACGTGCGAGTGCAGAGAGGGCGTGACACGACACGGCGTCGTCGGTGACCCGTAGTGCCGCCCAGCGCCGCCTACGCAGCGACGAGCTACCTGCCCAGCCCCCCTCTACTCGCCCACGCAGCTGCACACGCGCACCTAGGTACATACGTCCTCCTGCCCCCTCCGTTGTCTCTGCGACAAGCGCTGCTATCGCATCTCTTCCCCGAGCTCCCTCGCCCGCGTCCGTCCGCAGGTCCAGAGAGGGGGAGGTTGCTAGAGAGAGATACGCATATGGGCAACCCGACGGCTGACGGTTCGCCGAACCTTGGAAGCAGGTTTTTGCCCGGGGGCGGTGGGGGGTGGGGGGGCAGGTTGAGACCGGGAAAAAAAAGAGGGAGAAAAAAAAGAAGCGCAGGGAAAGGGGAAGAAGGTGGCCGAACGGGAAGAGGAGAGCGAAAAGAGTGAGGATAAATCGAGATCGGGAACGAGGAAATGTGATGAGTCACGCCCGGATGAGAAGGGCCTTGGCCCGGGGTCTGGGACGATGCCGTGTTCCTACGTAGTGTGTGTGAGTGAGAACCAAGAAGAGTAGGGAGAGGGTTCCGTAAAGTAGGAAATATATGAAGAAAAAGAAGAGTGGGAGGACGGCGTGCGACGTAGGTGTGCGGAAATATTAATAGGATGTATTATAGGGTTAGGTGTGCATGCAGATAGGAGGCACGTTAGGTAAGGTGGTATGCAGATAACCAAGCATTCCCCACGTAGAGGTAACTATCTGATGTATTTACGATACATCGATCCCCTCATTATAGGTATGCCCTACATAGGTACCTACCTGTAGGTATGCCCTAATACATGCCCTATATACGAGGGGCGGAGGTACCTAGGGTAGTAGGGAGTGTAGGCACTTCATCCTCCTGCTGTGGCCACCACCTTAGGTGCCCAGAAGTGCCCAGACCCAACTGACTAGGTAGGTAGGTGTCCATGGAAAGAAGCCTCCTACCTCCCTACTTAGTCCCTAAGTCCGTCTCTCCCATTGCTGCCGTCGCATCCCTCACCAGCGTCTGCGCCCTACATATGTACAGCGACGACACGACCTCGAGCGCGAGCCGAAAAAGGCATTCTGGATTTCTTGACGAGGTCGCTCCGCCGAATAGGAGAAAGTACCATGCCTGCCTAACCCATGTTCTGACCGCATCCGGCTGTGCAGCTACCCCACTGCCTTCTTTTTCTGTCCCTCTTCTTTTCCGACGACAGCGTCACAGACGGGGGCGTCCGAGGTCCCGTCGTATTATAGCCTCACTTACTTATCGGCTACGGGGATGGGGCGGAGCTTCTCGGCGCTCGCTGACTGGCCGTGCCTCCATCCCTCGCCACGAAGCTGCTACGATATAGTTGCGTAGCGTCTGCAGAGTACCGACTGACAGGACGTGCAGCTGGGACTTCCCTAGAGGGCGCCGCCGGAATTAAAGTGGCAATAAGACCAGAATGACAAGAAAAGGCCGACGGCTAACGGTGGGGAAGCGTTGCGCTTGTCATCTTGGCTTCGCCTGTCCTCTGTCGCCTATCATCCTCTCTTCGTCCTTTGGCCACCCCAGTCGTCCGCCCCATCCACTCTCATGCCATCCCCTCCCCTCCCTCCACCTGTACGTGCACCCATACCTACTCTATGCGCATCGCACCCGGCGTCCTGGCTGCCAGGCAGGCGGACTTCCGTCGGCTGAATCGCGGGTATGTAATGTAATGTAATGTTATGTAATGCCATGCTATGCCATGCCATGCCATGTATGTCTCTCGCTCATATCGGGGGCGAGAGAAGGGAAAGGGGAGGCGAGGGCGAGGGCGAGAAAAGAGGCGCACGAAGAGAAGTCGGATACTAAACGGGTCAGCTGGGTTAAGGAAGCCAGCTAGCTAGTCAATCCTGCCCGGCGCTTGGAGAGACCCGCGCGACCCCGTCTCTATCCACTTACCCGCTGTATATACTACCCACTATCTACCCACCGTCCCGACCGTAGAGAGGCTGTGGAAAGAGAGGAGACCGAGAGGGCGAGAGAGAGAGAGAGGTGCGAGCGCGAGTAAGGAAGCGAGTGGGGTGGGGGTATGGGAGGGAGAGGGGTAAGGGAAGCCCGACTCGTGATGCTACCACGTTCTCCTCCCGATCCCTCTTACATCTCTCTAGATTAACGATCGGAGAAGGGGGGGGGGGCGAGACGGTCGAGAAGAGGCTCAGAACCACAGTATAGGGCCCGGGAAGGGCGGAAGCAAGGACACGAGAAATACGAAGAAAAGGAGAAGGCAAAAAAAAAAAAACCTCGCCTAATGCTCGGGATGCTAACTGGGGCGCTAATGAAGTAGTCCGCTCACCGCTCACTTCCGAGGAGGCGGGAAGATTGCCGGCGCTGCGAGCCGGGCCCGGCGGGTAGACTATAGGGGACGCCTCTGCCCGTCGTTCGACATCGTACGTGCGTGCGTGTATGCACCGCGGGGGAAGACGAAGAAGAAAGACAAGGGAAGAGAGAGAGGGGGACTGAGATGGCGAGACGAAGGCGCCGGGAACCCCACCGTCGAACGGAGCCAGACACCGTCGATGATCGGATGCGATCGGCGTCGGGCGCGCTCCAAAGTGGCAAGCCGATGCAGCACATCGTTGCGCTAGATACGGTGAGGATGCATCGACGAGAGAGCTGTCGCCCTCACAAAAGTGAGCCCCCCCCCACCCCTGCCTGCTGCCTGTGCCCATCCCCCGCACCAAGCAATATGTAATATGTATGTAGATGGGTAGGTAAGCATGGAAGTAAGCGATAGACACGATGTGCTTCCCTATAGAACTGGGCAACCCTCAAGTGGTCGCCCCGTTTGGGTCTGCGAGCCTGCAGGTTGGACGGCGCCTACGGGGCGCGCGCTCCCATATGGGTACTGACTGCGTAGCTTGCCGTAAGACTTAGGTGGACTCGAATCGTCGCTGGCGATCCATCCCCACGCACAGAGGTATTAATATGTCACCTAACCTACCTATACACGCCTGCATACATACAGGTATATACATGGACACATAGACACACGCATGGGACCGGGTTGTAGGATGCATGACCGTACCCTCGTCGTTCCCTACTTCGCGAGTCACACACACATCCTCACGATCGAGAGCCGCGGAGACGCGATCGCCTCCAAGGTCACCGACCCTGGCTCGATGCCACCCTACCAAGCTTGCCCTGTCGCCCATCGCGTGAGGGTTCATGAGGAGGGATGCCCGCTTAGTCGGCCGATAATTATTTCCGATGCAATCTAACCGTAGATGTTCAGGTTCGCGAGGTTATATTGTCTGTGTGCGCGTGTGCCGCCTCGCGTGTAAGTGTGTGTGTGTCTGTGTGTATCCATATGTCTGTGTGCGGGCGGGTGCGAACCCACGGCACGACATGGGAAAAATGAGGTGCTGCTCGTCCTATCGCACAGCAGCATCTTGATCTGGATCCGGAAACCCAAAGGACGGGTCGAGCCAGATAGTATTACAGCCCACACCTTGAAGGGCTGGCTATCCCCAGGCCAGCCAGCCAGCCATGAGTGGTAGTCAGGAGGGCGCATCCCCTCCCCCCCCCTCCCCCCCTTAGGTGCGTGCGCGTGTGCATCGTCCGTGCGAGTGGTGATAAGGACCAAGCCGCTATCGGGAGGGTGGTCGACACTGTCCTACCGGAGTACGGAGAATGGGTTTGGAGACGTAATTTGGCGCGTGCCGGAAGACGCATCGGCCGGTAGTTGAGGATCTGCGATGGCTACGTTCCCACCCCAGCTAGGCTCAGCCTATACCCGTGCTAGACCTCGCCCGGCTAGGTGTCTCCTGGGCGCCTCCTGGGCGTCCAGAAATCCCAAGATCGAGAGACGCGATAAAGCTTGTGTCCAATCGTGTGAGTCGTGTGATGGCCCGGGTTCCCAGTCCCCAAGAAGTAGTAGGCTGGCCTTCCTACAGCAGACCAGCATGCAACTTGGCTGCGCGGGCTGGCTGCTGCGCACCGCTTTCGACCAACGCACACCATGCAGAGATACGATGAGGTCAGTTGGGTACCTCGTGCAAGCCTTATGCGTACTTCGTCGCCCTCACATTCCCCCCCCCCTCGAGAGAGAGAACCCGGTAGTCTGACGCCATGTCGCCATCGACCCAGTTCGGTGAGTCGTTCGCCGGCCCCTCGAGCCATCTGCCCTCCCCATGCCTCCACCGTGATTGGCACTGGTCGTCGTAGCGTCGAATACCCTCTTGACTCAGCAATACTATGCACCAGATGCACGCCAGCGCAGGGAGGACAGGGGTGTATGAGTGAGAACCCGAATGCTCGTGATTGGACGAGACCTGGGTTTCATCGTCACATCACCCTACCTATAATCAAATAAGAAAAAAATTATTGTCAAGCGTGAGCGAGGCGTGTGTACTATTTCGGCTCGGTTCGGCCATCCCAGACGGTCTAGACTATACGACTCGATACTACTCGGACCTGTATATATATATATATATATCTGTCTCGGTCCGGCAGCTCCACCACCTTGCTGACCTGAAAATCTCTTCTTGTTTCCTCGGGTACGTGAATAGCAGCCGCACTGTCGTTCTGCGCTGCTAGAAATCCTTTTCACTATTGGATCTTCTCCATCTTGGCGACTGGCAATTTCTGGGATTACAAGAACCGCCGCTGCTTCTTATCGGTCTCCCCTACGTTGCTTGACACCTACTGCCTACTTGCCAGCCACGAGATCGAACGAACCCACGGCCTGCGCGGGACGTCCAAGTGTTTGAATTACGAGTGCTGTTACATTACACCATGTCCAAGGTTGCGAGGAAGCAGAGGCCGTCGGCTGCCATCGACGATATCGATGCCATCACGCCGTGCCCGCTTGCCCGCGGCACCCCCGACAAAATGGGTGTGTCCGAATTTGCCAACCCGGTGGAGGCGTTTCAGGAGTCGAGGTCGGCATCGCCGTGCTCCGAATGTTCGTTGAGCCGGCTGGATGCGTCGGGGAATAGGAAACGGGAATCCCTGCGGGTGTTAGAAGAGGGCACCAACGGTGACCCCGTGAGACTCTGGAAGCGCATGCTCGCGCTCCAGCAGGCATATGGCTGCTACAAATCAGCTCGGATGAGCGCAGCCCTCAGCTCTGGTGACGTTAGTCTGTTGTTGCGTAAGTGAAATTTTCTCGGTCCGCCAAGAGACTCGTGACGTGGCCGTTGACATGGTTTACTGACTCATGGACGACAGCTTCGAAGGCGTGTCTAAACCTTTTGAACGAGAATATGACTTTCCTACCTGGCGAGGCGGGACCGGGGATGGATGAGTGGCCATCGGAGATGGAACGCGGGCGCAATCATTGAGGCCCAACGGATCGGCTGACACTATCCGATAATTATCGTCAAGAGGGGAAGGGGTTGTTTGAGGCGAAGGGACGAGCATATGCCACGATTACCGAAGACGTTTTTCTTCTTCTTTCGGATCCGATGGAAAGGGAGTTGGGCCTCAATATTAGGCGTCGGCGGTAGACTAAATTTTGATACCCCTAGTTTGGATTTCTTTTTGGACGTATAATGAATTAATTCGTTGATTCGGACCTTGCCCACACGCTTGATCCCGCGCCGATCTTGTATACCCGCAACTATGTAGTCGCCTCAATCGTCAGCAGCCATGAGACTACGAAGCGCATTACGCAAGACCTTCTGACATTGCTCGCGGTATTGCACGGCAAGCTGCTGGTTGCGGTTAACGGCCTCGTATTCCGGGTCGTTGACCTCTATCTCGTTTAGGTCGATGCTCAGCTTCGAGCCCAACGAATCGACAATCCTGGTTAGTACTTCTTCTGGGATATCGCCGCGCATGATGTGGGCTAGGCTGACAGGGCCCGTTTCTTCGCTTGCTCTAGTAATGGCTTCGTAGAGGACGGAAATGAGGGAGTCTTGAATGTGGGAAAAGCAAGGGAGGCAACTCATCGAATCTGCGCTCAAGAGTTTCGACCGCCCGACGAAGGAACTCGGATGAACGAACGGCCTTAGCGACACAAGATGCGTAGAGGTCAAGTCACCGGCCTCCAGATCGGCTTTTGTCCTGATGTGGACATAGTCGTTGTGGAGAGTCTCGTCCTCTGGGAGGGTGAAGCCATAGCCTAGAAGCAGCTCGGCATTGGTTTTCATCCCGTAATTATTGAATACTTGCTGCCCAGCGGAATATGTCTGCCTCGACCTGAGCATGCACAGTTGGGTTTTCTCATCGGTGGCCCAGGCAATTTTCGCCAATGGAGAGTGGTTCCCGATATCGTATAGGGGAAGCAGGATCGAGAAGTCGTCCAAGTCGCAAGGGACACTCGGCGCCATTCCAGATGGTAGAATGAGCGAGGGGCGAAAACTCCGGCTGGTGAATATGCTGTACGCCCAGTGGTACAGAAGCCGCGTGTACTCTAGACGGTAACTCTCCGGCAGCAGCTTCAAGGCCTCTTTATATTCTCTCTTCAATGTCGATTTTATATCCTCGACCGCTACAAAGGCGTTGGTTCCCTGGAGAAATTCGACGTCCTCTGCCGGCCACAACGCTGGGAGACTACTGCTTAGGTGCTCAGGCTGGGGTAGAGTCCGGATGTAAGGCCACCACCTCGATTCGGAGCCAAGGAGGTACTGCTGGATGAGAAAGAACCGTCCCACTACGTGAGGTGGCGCGTCCTTTAGAAACTCCGCCGGGAAGCATGCGCTGCTGCCACGATCTAGCGCACTTTGAGGAGGCGGCGACGATGCAGCAAAGTTGGGACTGTCGTCGATAGCGTTGAGGTAGGAGAGCGTCTTGGATAGCGGGAGGGTCACCACGGTGTCGTCGACGCCGATGGCGCATGAATCTCTCACGCGGAAAGACCCCTTGGTAACTTCATCATGGTAGATCTCAACTGCAGAGTTGAGGTTCCCGCCGCCTTCCTCTACCCATCGGAGAAGCGCGTCGTAGCGCTCTGCTGCCGTTGCCATAGTCGCGACCGAGCACGGGAATAGAGCTCCCAGGGTCTCTGGCAACTTGTGCAGCAAGATCGTCAGAATTCGATTCTCAAGACGTTATAGATAGCGCAGGGCAGCCTCTTCGACCACGTCTTCAAATATACCTGTCGTTTCGTGCCTACTGAGAAAGAGGAAGAAGTCGAATTCGAACATCGCCTCCGTCTCTAGGTACGTATTCCGTAGCGGGGTGCTGTTTCGTATTACATAAGAAACAGTGTATATACTGTTATTTGACCGTGTATACATACGGTCGGCTTATCTAAGTCGAAACTAGGAGGGCGGCAAGGATGTTAGAAGGGGCGGCACAAGCATTCCGTGCATTTGTGCTGCATATTTTCTATATTTAATACCTATATATATATACCTATATATAAACACATACTTACCCTCTTCGCTCGGATAGTGACCGAATACGGCTATAAAGGTCTTACATATGCCGGCGATGGCAAGCGCTGACTTGTGCCACCGCGTTTAAGAGACGATAGGTATCTAGTATATATTGGTACTGGTCCGAAAGCAAGCGGATTTCCGCAATAAAATTCTTCATGAATATCCCATCGAGTCCCGAGGTAGGTAATTCCCGGGAAGAAAGAAACTCAAACAACTACCTAATTAGTTAGACACGTTTCCGAGATTATAGAGCATGATGAACTCGAGAGACTACAACTTGACTCAGTAGAGACACCTGTCCTACAGCTTGCCTTGCTTTTCATTAGCAGTGATTGCAGGCATTGTGTGATCGAGATTCTCCGCGCCGAGCAACGGTGTTTGGACAACACCGAACTCTCCGCGTTGCCATGATCGACGTGTTCTTCATTTCCACGAATCTCACGAAACGTGACGCCTAAAACAGGTTCTACGTGAGGGGCGAAGCATGCTGCTTACTACTAGGCATGTAGTACGTACGTACGCTCATCCATTGACAACTATACCTACCATGAGAGGATGGGACTGGTACAAGGGAGTTGTTGTGGCCGTTATGCGCTCCAATCGACACAAAGACAAACGACAGCTTAACCGCCGTAACGAGAACATGCCTACCAGCTTTAAAGGCTGCTCTTCGCGACTACGAGTGCCGGTTCCTCGGCAAGTGATAGTTGTAAGTGGTCACGTGCCGGCAAGGTAGGAGAATCCCCTAAAGAGGACTATGGTTCCGTGTTACGTAATGCGCCCTGGCTCCCATTTCCACCAATCTGGACGCTGCCAAGAGAGAGCTTCTTCATTAAGGGGTCAACCTCCATGCAACCTCAACCCTGCCAACCCCGGCGCTCCACCCGCCTCCTCCTCCTTAATTCACGACAACACCGACGAGATTGCCAGGTCCGAAACAAGAAACGACGGACCGTCCTCGGGCCAATACGCGCCAGCGTGAACCCACCTATCGTAGCATGTCGTTCGGAAATCGTTGCCAACATCGGCCGAGACATTATACCGCGAAGCTGTTGAATACCTGCCTACCGACGTCTTCTTATCCCGCACCGTAGGACTCGTCTGCTCCTCCTCCCACCGTGGTGGGCAAGGGGGGGGTCCCAGGTAGCTGGAAGTACGCATATCTAGAGCGGCTGCTTCCGTCGAGACACTCCCAGCGGACCAGGTAGGACCCTGCCGGATCTAGTTCCGCATCGTGTCCCCAGGTGGACAGGGAGGTGATCTCGAGCATCATGCGGCGCCATTTGTGGATAATCTCAGGGGAGGACGGAGCAAAGGGGAATGGGAACTGATCTTCTCATTCTTCATCCCTGGGTGGGAAGTTATACCCGTACTCGGGTCCACCCCCGGCTGGCGATGACGATGCTCATACGAGCGCGACCCCGGGAAGCCCCCTGCCAACTCTCACGATGATGGCCTCACATACCAAGACTTGAAGCACATCGACGGAGGGATATCGACCTTAACAGCATGCATCGCGTAGCCCTGCCCTTCGACGAGATAGGGGTGGTGGGGCGGAAGACGTGGTCGTCTATTCTTGCTTCTCCATCTAGGTATATATTAACAGGCGTTGCCTGCCTCGAATCTCACGTCTTGGAACCCTAAGGACTCTTACATTGCCTTAGCTTCTTTCGTTAAAATTCTGTCGCAAGATTCGACACTCACATCTCAAGATGAAATACTTGAGCGTTACCTGGCTGGCAGCCGTCGCTGCCGCCTCTCCCCACAGCCTCCTGACTGCCCGCAACCTAGCCGCACGCGCACTCGCCGCCGAAGCGTGCTCCGTCGGCTACTGCACCCAGAACGGCGGAACGACGGGCGGCAGCGCCGGCCAGACCGTCACCGTTACCACCGTCGACGCGCTGACCCAGGCGGCCAAGCAGGACGGACCCCTCACCATCATCGTGTCAGGCGCCATCTCGGGCTCCGCCAAGGTGCGCGTCTCGGCGGACAAGACCATCATCGGCGAGGCGGGAAGCTCGCTGACGGGCGTCGGCCTCTACATCCGGCGGGTGAACAACGTGATCGTGCGCAACTTGAAGATCGCCAAGGTCCTTGCCGCGAACGGCGACGCGATCGGCATCGACGCGTCGACCAATGTGTGGATCGACCACTGCGACCTATCGGGCGACCTGAGCAGCGACAAGGACGACCTCGATGGTCTGCTCGACATCTCGCACGGCGCCGACTGGATCACCGTGTCGGACTCGTACCTGCACGACCATTGGAAGGCGTCGCTGATCGGGCACTCGGACAGCAACGCGAGCGAGGACAAGGGCAAGCTGCACGTCACGTACACTGGCAACTTTTTCCAGCGCACCTCCAGCCGCGCGCCGCTCGTCCGCTTCGGCACCGTCCACATCGTCAACAACCTGTGGGACAGTCTCCTCCTGAACGGCGTCAACTGCCGCATGGGCGCGCAGGTGCTCATCCAGAGCTCCGCCTTCCGCAACTCGCCCGAGCGCGCCGTCTTCTTCGCCGACTCTCCCGAGACCGGCTACGCCGTCCTCGAAGACGTCGACCTCGGCGGCTCCAAGAACTCCGTCCCCACGGGCACCCTGACTTCCAGCTCGCTGCCCTACTCCGTCAAGACGCTCGGCTCTAGCGCCATCGCCAACTCGATCCCCAACACCGCCGGCCAGAAGCTGTAAGCGTAGCCATGAGGGTGGGGCTACCGACGCAAGGGCGTTGACTCGTCGCGATCTCGGTCCCGACACCTCAGGTTTCTCAACCTATCGTCGGAGCCTCTAGGGGACATACGATGGGGTCTATAGGAAACCAAGCCCCCTTAACCCACGCAAGAGGCCTATTTACCAAACAAGGTCCCAGCGCTTAGAATAGCGCATTTCATGTATATACATACACACTTACTTGACCGTATATATACCTAACTCCTACATATATATATATATACATCTGGAGAGAGCTTTCGGGACCATCATGCGTGACAAATGTTTGTGTGTTCCCATCCCTTAGACCAACCTGTCTGTCCAATAGCCACAGACGTTGTCAAACATCCGTCTGTTCCTCGTCCGCCGTCATATCCGGTTGCTTCGATGAGCGAGGAGCGGAGTTGAGGAATACGAGGGTGTATGATGCCGCCTCTCGAAGCGAATGCGATCCCGGGTAGGAAAAATCGCTTCCAACGAGATCTCCTTGCCCAATGCTTCCCGCCCCCTCACGGCCCGCCTCCCTGAGCGAAAATGCCGGCTGTTCTATCCCCCCTCCCGCTCCCCTCTCTGCCGACCTATCGCCAATCTTGCCAGGAGAGGCAGCTGGGCAGGCCGGGTATGACGAGATGCCTATGAATTGACAGGCATATTCTCAATGGGTTAGTTCTCGTTGCACGCGCGCCATTCCCCCGCACTGCCCAGTCCGGCTGTCCCCCCCTCCCTGGATGTAACCGTAGCCCGAGAAGGGCGGCAGCGAGGGAGCAAACAGGTGGCCCCTCGCAGCGTTCTGGCAGATCCCGCGCCCACGAGCCGGTGTTCGCGCTCTGTACGTGTATCTACGGGCAGTGTCCTCGACGATCCTGCAACATCGAAATAGGTTCCCGGCGTAGAGAGCGATCGCGGGACTGTTACGTAGACAACCGCTCGAGACCTGCCTCCCCTTCACCTACCTACCTACCTATTCGCTCCCACCGCACCTTGCATTGAACCCGGATCTACGGACCCCGCAGAACATCGGCGGCTACTGCGGCGACCCTGCGAAAAAAGGGAAAAAAAGAGAAGAGGCTCGGAGAAAGAAGGCAGTAGAAGCAGGAAAAGAAGAAGAAAGAAAGACACAGGACCTCTCCCTACTCGACACACGATGGACAAACTGCCGCCCTTCGGGCGCACCGTCGACGACGTCCTCCTGCCTACGTTCGCGGTCTACACGCCGCTGCTGATAGCGCGGGAGCGCGAGATCCGGTCGACGGCGGTGTCGACGCACCAGTACGGGCCGACGGCGCGGCACCAGGTGGACGTGTACCTGCCGGCGGCGGCGGCGGCTCCGTCGTCGGGGCCGGTCCCCGTGCTCATCTTCGTGTACGGCGGCGGGTTCGTCAGCGGCGCGCGCGTGCACGAGGGCTTCGCGCACAGCCTCGTGTTCGGCAACGTGGGCCACTTCTTCGCGGCGCGCGGCGTCGCCGTGCTCGTGCCCGACTACCGGCTGCTCGCCCACGGCGCGCGCTTCCCCTCGGGCGGCGAGGACGTCGCGCTGGCCGTCGCCTGGGCCGCCGCCCACCTGCCGGCCCTGCTGCGGCGCCCCGACCTCGACCTCTTCCTCCTCGGCAACTCCGCCGGCGGCATCCACGCCGCCACGTACCTGCTGGCGCCCGAGTTCCGCGCGTCGCGCGCCGCCGTAACGGGCCCCGGCGCCGGCCCGCGGCTGCGCGGCGTCGCGCTCCTCGGCGTCCCGTTCCACTGGGGCGGCGAGGACAACGCGGTGCTGCGCGCGTACCTGGGCGCGGAGCCGGACGCGATCCGCGAGCGCTCGCCGCTGGGCCTGCTGCGCGCGGCGCGGGCGCGCGGCAGCCCCGAGGAGGGGCGCCCGCCGCTGCCCGGCGTCGCCGTCGCGCTGCTCGTCAGCGAGCTCGACCCCGACCTGATCCGCGACTCGACCGACGAGTTCGCGCGCGCGTGGGAGGACGCCGGCGGCGCCGCCGTCCGCCACCTGCTCGACGGCCACAACCACATCAGTCCCCAGCTCGGCCTCGGCACCGGCATCGAGCGCGAGGAGGCCTGGGGCGTGCAGCTCCTCGAGTTCCTCCGCGCCAACGCTAGGAAGCCCGGCGAGGAGGCGTGAGGTGTGTGGCCTGGGAGGGGGGCACTAGCTGGGTAGATGGGAACTGCAGAGTGCAACTACCTAGGTCGTCTGTGCATACCTGTGCGTAATCATGTGTATGTAAAAGGGGGAGGCGAAGGAACGGAAGGACGTGTCTGGTCTAAAGCTATTATTCACATGGGTAGAATCACACATGAGGCGGGGAGGAAACCGCTCAAATTGCCATGAAATTGCAAACAAGCCGTTCTAATAAGTCAGAAGACCGGCCCGTCGGCCTCTCCTCTCCGTGCGCAGCTAGCTAAGCTAGCCTCGATGCCGACGCGACTAGACAGCCGATGCCGCCTCTAGTCTAACAGCCTAGCCTAGCAAGGAATTGCCTATCTTCTCTCCCCAGCTCCCCAGCCAGCGAGACGTCAAGCGCCGCCAGCCCTCTGCTCCATGACCCAGACGACGGGGGCCGCGTCGGTGTAGTTCGCGATGTCGTCGGCGAGGCGGCGGGCGTGCTCGGGGGGCGTCTCGGCGCGGGCGCGGCGCAGCGCCTCGCGCGACGGCCAGTCGATCTCGACGAGTGCGGCGAACGGGCTGGCGGCCTCGCCTTCCTCTCCGTCCCCCTCCGTCGACGCCCCCGCGGTCGTCACCCGCCACGCGCCCATCCCGAACCGCTTCCACGCGTCCCCCGCCAGCGCCAGGTGCGTCCCCAGGTAGTACTCGACGTCGAAGCGCGCCCCGCGCGGGTACCCGATCATCAGCGTGACGGCCATCTTGGCGAAGCCGGTTTTACTAGAGGCGGGGGGGCAAGAAGAGGAAGGCGGGTGGCAAGGAGGGGGGGGGGCGAGGAGGAAGACGGCGCCGAGGGGAGGTGGGAGGAGACGTAGATGTGTTGATTTCTGTGTCCGGCGCTCGCGGTTGCTGCCGCGTCGGGAAGACAGGGCGCGGGATGGATTCCGTACGACAGAAAATAGGTAAACAGATAGTTGGATAGCCGCTGACGATGATAGAGGTAACTAGATGTCGCTGGGGAGCGGGGAACAAGGGGGCACTTGAGGATGGGGTCGAGAGGTCGACATCTGCCGGTTATTATCCCTCTACTTTACTTCTAATTCCCATTTACCCCCCATTTTCAACACCGCCCAGAATTGGAACGTCGTCGCTGACTAGCCTAGGCAAGTAAGCCTCGGTCCCGGTTCGGCAGCGAGAGGAAGCGCTGCGCTCGCGACCTCGTGGCAGGGCACTTGGGCATGCTGCAGTCCTCATCATATCAGCTCCAAACATCCCTCGCCGCTTAACCTAAGGTATATCATCATCCATTTTCATTTTCGCCTACTACAAAGTCTGCCGGTTTAACGAGTACTAAATACTAAACCGGTACACCATGCTAAGCGCAGCTGAAAACTCTCATCGCCATCTCGCCACCTCTATCTCCTCCGGAACTTCTGCGCCTGCCGGGGCTGGCTGCCGTAGGCCCTGCGGGCGCCCCGCTGGGCCTTCCTATCCCGCGACATGCCGGCGCCGAGTGTGATGTCGACGCGCGGCGGGGTCGCGAAGCCGAAGCTCTTGGCGACCTTGACGAGGTCGAGCTTGTTCACGTCGAAGACGGTGCGCAGCGAATGGCTCGCGTACGCGTGCAGGTACGACCGATACCCGTCCTTGGCGCTCTGGTTGAGATAGTAGTTCTGCGAGATCAGCTTCTCGAGCTGCGACGACACGTTGACGATCTTCTTCGCCGGGAAGTCGTACTCGACGACGGGGACCCGCGCCGACTTGAGGTGCGACAGGAACCCGACCTCGCTCGGCTGCAGGAACAGCAGGCTACGCCCCTTCGAGTTTGCTCCGCGCGCCGTCCGCCCGACCCGGTGGATGTAGTCGCGCGGGTCGTCCGGGGGGTCGAACTGCACTATGTAGTCGACGGCCGGGATCTGCGGATACATGTGTGATTAGCCAGTGTTGTTACTCTTATCTAAACCGTATCGCGATCACCTACATCTAGGCCGCGAGCGGCGACATCGGTGCACAGAAGGATGCCGGATTTCGCGTTACAGAACTCGAAGAACGTGTTCGTCCGCTTTTGTTGCTTCTGCTTGCCGTGGAGAGATAGGCAAGGCCTATCAGCTGTCAGTAAACCGTACCGTTAGCACGTAAAGATGGCGTCCGGGGCCAGCTCACAGATCTATGTAGTTCAGGAGCTCGGAGTAGTAATTGACGCTCGCGCAGCTTGAGAAGAAGACGATAACCTTCTTCTTGAGGTTACGCTTGAGGAAGGAGAAGAGGAGGAGGAAGCGCTTGTCGGCCTCGCAGAGGACGTAACCTTGCTCGAGCCCGGCGACGGTGGAGCTGGTGCTCTCCTCGTCGACATTGATGTAGAGGGGTCCCGGCCGGAGCGAGATGCGGGCGAGGTCCTCGACCTTGGTAGTCTGGGTGGCGGAGAAGAGCATCGTCTGGCGGCCCTCGCTCGGCAGGATCTTGACGATCTGGCGCATCTCGTCCTCGAACCCGATCTCGAGGATGCGATCGGCCTCGTCGATGATGAGCGACCGCAGGTTCTTGAACACGAAGGGCGTATTTAGCAGGTGGTCGAGCAGCCGGCCCGGCGTTGCGATCAGCAGGTTCACCCCCTTCGGCAGCTTGTCTTCCTCGGCGCGCCGGTTTGCGCCCCCCATGACGATGCCGTACGTCTGCGAGTGGTGCGCCATGAGCTCGCGCGCGACGCCGAAGATCTGCAGAGCTAGCTCGCGGGTGGGCGACACCACGATCACGCCGGTCCCGTTCCGCGGCTTGAACCGGAGCGCGCCCAGCATCTCAACGGCGGGGATGAGGAAGGCCAACGTCTTGCCGCTGCCGGTCTTCGCGGCGCCGAGCACGTCGCGGCCTGCGAGTAGCGGCGGGATAGCCCTCCGTTGTATGGTGGTCATCTTCTCGAAGCCCATGTCCTCCTTGATCGCCTTCATCGTCTTCTCCGACAAGTTAAGCTCGGCAAAGTTCTGCGCGTCGTTGGCGATGGCGGCCGACAGGGAGGCTATAGCATCTCTGGCTGGTGGGTCGGCAGTTTTATTATCGTCCCCATCCTCTTCCTCGGCATTCGCTGCTTCTACCCTCCTATCCAATTCCGATGTTTCTTCTGCGTCCTCTTCCAATTCCTCCTCACCCTGCTGCTGGTCGTCGTCATTGTCGTCCCCCTCGCCAGGTGCTTGGTCTTCGACATCGTCATCCAGCTCGTCGGAGGAACCTTCGTCTGAGGACTCGACGGGAATCTCTGGCTCCACGCGCTTCTGCTTCTTCGACTTGGGTATCGGTGTGGCGGGGAGGTTAGACGGTGCGGCCGCACTCTTGACGCTGCTGGCGTCCTTGAACTTCCTCTTCTTGCTATGCTTGGAAGCGTCCATGTTTTCAATCAGTCAACGTGACGGCGGATTGCAGCAAAGAAGAACTGAACTCTTTCCGGAGGTGAGCTGGCTGAGTCGTTGGCTGGCTGGCTGGCTGATTGAATGGTTAATTTGTCCGTCGATTACCCTCAATCGAAAGAAATTTGGTATTTAGGTGTGGCTTATCGCTTATCTCACGCTTATCTCTTATCTCCCGCTTTATCGCTTACCCTGCTAAATGGGTTAGTCATCGCTCTACTGCTATGACCCCAGAGATTTCATTTTCGGTACGCCAGCCAACATCGTCGTGTTTGTTGCGCAAGTTCACCACCCATTGGGGAGCTCAAGTTCACAATCGACCACGTGCCAGCGTCCTCTGCCGTGCCTTTCATCCTCTAACGTTGAGGGCTACTCTCGTCGCTCGCATACCTGGGTAGTAGGCACCTAGGTACAATCTCGCTCAGAGCCCCTATCTCGACGATCTCTGTCTCCCATCACTGGACCAGCGCGGGTATACTGCTGCTGACGAGTAGGAGCGGCGCCCGGCCGAGGTGGTGAGCGGTTTCGGTCAGAAAGTTCGTGCTGCAGGCGAACGATGCAGATCGCTGCCCTGAGCGAGCTAAAAATACCCATGCCGAACGCCGGGGTAGATCTCGGGGGGTGAGGATCTGCATGCCACGGATATCCTCCCCAACTTGCGTCCGTGTCGTCTCAACCAGCACGTCGCGTATTCCCACGTTTGGATGACATTTCTAGTCGTATGACTCGGGGCATTGCTGTCTGGCTCGCCGCGGTTCCGGCTAGTCCTGCCATCAAGCTTGATGAGCCCACCCTTCGTGCGCCGCATTACGTATTTCCGCTACTCCAATCTAGCATCTTCCCACGGACTGCTTGATAGACGAATGCCCTCGGGGTGGGATTCTGTCAGGTAGGCACCAGAGGCAGTCGAACCGTCTGCCCTCTACCGCTACCCCGGAATATGCATGCCTATGATACTCGGGGGTATGCAGGTTTGAACTCGAGTTGTTTATAGATACCTGCCTACCGGGGTGCGTCCGAAGTTCCCATCGCGCCCACCGATGGCAACACCAACCCACCGACAAGGAGTCATCGAGCAGGGGGGGGTTCAGCATCTGGAGGTGACGGCGGGTGATCCCTCCACCGCCTTCCCCCCCTCCCCCTTTTTAGACGCGGAGTGAGACCGGCTGGTTCTGCTCGCAGCCAACTCGTCCGCCGCGAACGGCACGCGCAACATGCCCTATCTTCTTCCTTCCTTGCTCCCGCGCTCTCTTGCGCCCACGCGGTCCTTCTAACCCCCTCACGCGACAGCCCCAGCGTGCTGGACCCTGCTGCGCCGGCGGGCGGGAAACGGAGCGCCGCGCACGCGTGCGTGTCTATGCGTTAATATAATCCACTCTATCCTATATTGTGGCATGGGCGCAGCGATTGATTAACTACTTAATTCTTCCGGGTTGCCGGGTTTTGCAGCACCCTCCCCCCATCTAACTCCCCTCCTCTTCCCCTGGTAAATGAAGCATTACCGCCGCCGCCCCTCCCCCATTCTTCTCTCTCCCTTCCTTCTCGTCCCCTTCTTTCCCCGTGGGGGGGGGGGGGGGGGGGGACGCAGGCAGGCCGGTCGAGCTCCACGGTAAGCAGATCGGCCTGGCAGGCCCGGACGGCGGCGACGATGCTACGGTGCCTGGGGATGTAAGCGGACAGGTAGGTAGCTAGGGGCTGGTGGGCAGGTATGTGGGCAGGTCGGCGATATATGTTGCCAGCGTGCTAGCAGAAGCAGGCGAGGTCGGTAAGGAGGTAGGCAACTCATCCACATCCGTTACAGCTGAGCGAGCTCCAGTACTTCCTTACGTACGTGCATGCATGCGCGTTGCATGGCGCACCCCCGCGATACGACGATCTGGGCATGGGAGGGGAGGCGGAGGCGATGGGGGCAGGCCGTCCAACCCCCGTCCGTCGCACCGCGGATAAATCCGCGGCTAAAGTCGTCCCGCGTTCTAGGTCGCGTCCGCAACCCCCGAGCCCAAACCTGCTCACGCGCGCCGCCGCCGCCGTCGTGCCCCTTTCCTCCTCTGCGCCCATCTCAAGTAGGCATGTGTCGCGTTCGTACGACTAGATGGATGGGTGGATGGATGTAGGAGGTAGGTAGGTAGACATTCACTGTTACATACATACTCCTCCTCCTCCTCCTCTTCCTTACCCTCATCTCATCCCAGGTCATAGCCCGCCGCGCGGTGTCGCCGCTGCGCTGCCCGTGGTAGCAGCGGCTGTATTATTAACGGCGATAACAACCGTCCTTCTATTTAAGGGGGGAGGAGGAGGAGGGGGGCAACTAAGGAGGTTTCTAAGAGCAGATGATCCATTCTCGAAGCAGGTAGACATGCGCGCGCGCTCGGGGTCTGGGTCACAGTCGTCTAGGCGGTCTGTCCTGCCCTGCGTCCCTACGTAAGCCGTAACCACGCAATCGTGCGCCGCCGTCCTGGCGACCAACTGCCGGCTCGGGGAGATAGGCCATGCGCCTCCCCCCCTCTCCCCTTTTCCTCCTCGTTGCCTCCTGGCTGTGTTTCCGAGCCTCTGCCCCCCTTAACTCCTCTCCTCGCGGTAAGCAGACAGGCAGGTAGGTAGGCAAGCTGGTAGGGCAGCGAGAGTCTCTCCATCCGGATCGCGAGCCGTTTCCCTCCCCCCTCCCATCTCCTCGTTGTCCGACCCTCCAGATCCCATTGGGCTTTGGAACCATTGCCACGTTACAGCGCGATGTGACACCGTTGCGAGAAGACGCCCTCTCGATCCGGTAGCTGTGCGCCCTTCTCTCTCCGTCTGTCTGTCTCGAGGAGTAAGCCCGAGTTTCCAAGCCATCATCATATGGCGCCGTATGCGATGTATGTGTGTGAGCATCGTATCACTGCCGACATTCGGGCCTGTCCGGGGCGCTCGCTTCCTCCTCCTCCTCCCCCCCTTTTGGAAGCAGCTTCTAGAAAACAGGCCCTCGCAAGGATGCTTCTGCATGACGACGCTGCAACGGCGGCTGAGGTTGCAGCTCGGCGCCTTACGAGCTGCTGAGCAAGCGTGGGCCATTGGACGGTGCTGGGGTTGGGGCTTCGCGAGGCTTCGTTAATGGCAGGAGGGTCCAGGGGGTGAGGGCGGCACATCCCACGCTGGCTCTCTCTCGACCGAGAGACGGGAGGCGGATATCGGGCGAGCTTGGGGGGAGGGGAGGTGGGTGAGCAGCGCGGTGATGGCCCGCGGGCTGAGCGCCGCGGTCGGGGTCTCGACCGCAAACCATCCCCTGGCTATCGGGTCGAGAACGTCTAACGTCTCCTCATCGGGCAGGTCCCAGGGGGGAGGAGTGCCAGGCAAGGTTGCCACATCCGTCCGACGCTCACGCCGTCAGCCCACGCTCGGCTGGCGACGACATGTGGGAGGGAGGGAGCGCAATATAAAAACGGCGCCCTCTCTTCTCCTCGAAGATAGGTCGGATCTCCTGCCCACCAGCCTATCCTGTCCACCAGCGCAGTCGTATCAGTGCCCCCCTAGCTCCTGTCGATCGCCCACTCCTCGCTCCGCGCTCCCCGTCACGCAATCCACCCACCTTATCCCTTCTCTCTGTACCTCTCCACCACCATGAAGTCGGCAGTATTCTTCCTCTCCTGGATAGCAGGCGCCCTGGGCGCCGCCGCCGTAGCAGACAGCCTGCGGGTGCCCGAGAGCGCCGCCATCGCAGTTACCACCGCCGCCCCGACCCTAGAAATCGACCGCGCCGGCCTCAAGGCGCTGCCGCAGCAGCCCGTCGGCCTGGACGCGAAGAGCATCGCGGGGCGGCGCCGCGCGCTGCGGCAGCTCCGGGGGCTGGAGAGCCCGCCGAGCGTGAGCGACTTTTACGAGTGTCGATCCTCGGTACGCCTACCCTCGCCCCCCTCCCCCTCTTCCCTCGCGTGCCTAACCTCAAACCCTCTCAACCCAACAGACTCCAGCGCCCACGGCGGCCGACTGCGGCCGCGTCGTCGACGAGGTGTACGGGCTGGGGGGGCAGGCGCTCATCGTGGCGCCGAAGGCGTGCCTCGTGTTCCAGTACGGGACGTGCTGGGGCTTCTTCTGCGCGCTGTGCGACGGCCGCCCGCTCAACACCGACACCGACTTCGTCGCCGCCCAGCTCGGCGTCGCCCAGGCCCTCTGCGTCGCCGGCACCAGCAACCAGGTCGGCACCGTCGTCGGCGACGGCGCCCCCCAGTGGCAGGCCGGCTTCGTCTACCGCGGCAGCGGCCTCCCCGACTACTACGACGTCTGCTAAGGCCCGCTCCCGCTCCCGTCTAGCCCTCGGAGCGCGAGGGGGGGAGGGGGAAGGGGAAGGCGGCGAAGGGAGAAGGAGCAGAAGGAGGAGGAGGAGGAGGAGGAGGAGGAGGAGAGCAAACCGGAACCGAGGCGAGTAGGTATGTGATGCTAGGTAGTGGTAGGTAGTTAGATGAGGGCGGTGACAAGTAAACGGAACACCATCTACAAAGTAGGGCTGGCTATAGGAGTGGGGGGCCAAATTTATATATATCTTAATCTCGCACGCACGTCTTCTTCGTACCGTCTTACGTAGGTTGCAGTGACGCGGCTAAGTGTCGGCTTATGTATGTATGTATGTATGCGGGCGCGTATGTCTGGCAGTCCGTCGTGTCGATCTCGCCCGTTCGGCCTGTCGCGTACGCTGGAATAAATTAGATGCGTCGTCAAGAAAGGGCTCGGTTAAATACGTGATCTTATGTGGGCTTTCGAAAGCCTCTGTGCTTGCGTCCCTCTCACCTCGTTCGGCGTATAGTTGTCGGGACATCCTAGAATTGCACCAATATTTCGGCCAAGGGTGAAAACGCGCTTTACATCAGTCTTATTTCTTTTCTCGCTATGTCCGTAGAACTGTAATCATCAGTTACTAACTTTTCTTGCGCCGTCGCCTGGGATCCCGCCGGAACCATATACACTCAGACCGTTTACATGCGGGAGTAACCCCCCTTTACCCTTAACCCCTCTATCGATATTAATATGCAGACGCCTTTTTACCCACAAAGCCGACCTGCCAAACCAATATGCACGACTCCCTGGTTCATGCGCCCACGGAGCTAGCTTGTTGGATCTTCTACGTAGATGAATGAAGTCCGACGTGGTTGGTTATACCCTTCATTACCCCCCCTTGTCTTCTTATGCCATACGCTGCTGGGTGCGGCAAGGGGCTCCCGTGGATTTGGTAAAACGAGCCGAGTTCCAATCCCCAGTTAGAACGGCTTGGTACCGAGGCGGGCCAACGTCGCTGCGTCAGTGGGTCGGCGGCGGCGCATACCCGAGATTCGCCTCTGGCACGGGATCCTCGTGCTTCGCGGTGCTGCCCTTCCCACGCCAGGTACTAACGGCAGGTATGTCGGCTTGATACCGCTCCTCGTCCGTGCCATAGGCGCGTGGGGTGAGCTTGATGAGGCAGTGCAGCGGGACGTTCATCCACGGACTACGCGCCTGGTCCTTCTTCATGAAGTAGGCATAGATACAGCGGAGGATGGCTTGGTGGGTGACGATCAGGATGTCCTCGGAGCGCTCCAGTTCCATGATGATGGGTTCGAGACGGATAACGACATCCCGATACGACTCGCCCCCGCGGTAGCGATAGTTGTACTTGTCCTCGTCACGCGCCACGAAATCTTCCGGGTAAACATCCTTGATCTCCTGGTACGTCATGCCGTCGCAGACGCCAGCATCAAGCTCGTCCAGCGCCTTCCACTGCAGCTGGTTGTAGTTCTCCGGGAGAAATCGGGCCGTCTGGATGGTGCGCTTCAGGGTCGAAGTCCATACTGTGAGGGGTCGGTCGTCCTATCCATGCACAGGCTGGTCAGAAACGGGTCACGGAGTGCGGGAATAATGGTTCGGGTGGGGGTCGACTTACACCGACTGACTGTCGGACGAGCTCAGGGAGCTTCCTCGCGTACTGGTGGCCCCGTTGCGACAGCTCCGCATCACCGCCAATTCGCCCATACAGATTGAACAGTGACTCTCCGTGCCGCGAGAGCCAGACGGACCTAGGACGGATGTGCAGGTTCATCAAGTAGTACACTACCCGGCTCTGCAGGTAGTCCTGTATCCGATTGATGATGACTTGGCTGCCCACGTCCATGATCTTGAGGTAGGTGTAGTGGTTTTCGTCGCCGTCGCCGTCGATCGTCTTGTAGACCTTCTCGTAGTTCCGTATCCGATTGCGAAAGTCGAGGGCGGCCATCTCCGGGTCCTGTCCCTTGTAGTCGGGGCTCGTCGTCTTAACGTCACGAATGTTACCCATTATGAGCTTCTCATCGTCGCACTTGGACTCGACAAACAACACTTCAATGCCCTGGCTGACGCACACGTCGTACACCCACTTTCGCCGCTCCTTGGTCGAATTGGTCGCGTCGAGGATGCCGATGACGCCCCCCTCGCGAAACCAGCTCAGCATATCGGCAATGGCAGTCTCCGCGGCGTCGCGACGCCGTCGCTCCCCCTCAACATTGTTAATATCAAAGAAGTCGGCCGAGGGCTGAGGAGCTTTGTGACGCCGATAATTGCCGACGTTGAAGGTCTTGGCATCGATGGACAGCCATTGGAGATACCTCTGGGCTTCATGGGGGGAAGAATCAAATCAGCATCCCAGAACCTTGGGAGGAAAGAAGAAAGAGACAGGTGACGGGATGGGGATGGGTACCTTTCTGTGCTATGTAGCTCTTCCCGCGTGCGGGCAAACCAACCATTACCACGCAGATCTTGGTGTCCTCGACCTGGACAGCACGCCCGTTAGTTCCAGGAGCCATGATATCCGACTGTCTGGTGTGGTAAGAGCTCGGATGGGCGGCGAAACCATGTGAGGCGGCAAGGTGGTGCGCGTGCGTGCGTAGTAAGGGGAGGTAAGCGAGGGAGAGGCAGCGGTTGGACTAGAGTAGGCAGAATAAGGCAGAGCAGAGTCGAGTAAAGTAGACGAGGCCAAAACAGCAGTAGAACGAGACAGCAGTGGAGGGATGCCTCCTTGAGATGGGGGCTCGAGATACTCAGCCGGGAAAAAAAGGGATTGGTCACAAGGGACGGGTACGGTGGTCAGGTGGCCTCAAAAATTAAGATAAAACAGGCGATATTAAGCCAGAGAGATGGCCCCAATATTGGCGCACGGCAATACGGCGAGTCGACGACGGGCAGCGCAGGCGATGCGTTGTCGTCGTGCTGGTGCATGCAGAAGGGGGAAGGGAGAGAGGAGCCAGAGGTGAGGACGGGGAGAGAGCAAGTAGACGGGACAGGCAGAAGGCGAAGTTGCGGTGATGCACGGTATTCCGTCACCATTGAATGAGGTAGGATCGGCTTAGGCACGGGTGCGACCACCCACGGGATTCTCAGGAACGAGAGACAGGGGCTTGGAGGTACCTCTCCCCGTACCCAACCACAGAGGGGGAGGGGGTGTCTGGGCTGGCGGTACCTAACGGCCACTGGCCAGCAAAGTATCGCGGGCGTCCGAGCTACCTCACCGCACCATCTGCCGGCCGCGGATACCCGAGGTACCAGCCCGCCGCCGGGTACGCTGCTACGTTGGTACCCCTGGGCTGGGGCACCGGCGCGAGGAAGATCTAGAAAGCAGCCGGGCCAACCACGAGTTCAGACCAGACCCGGAAACACCCCGCAGCCGTAGGGGGAATACCTGCAACAGGCCCCCGAAGCCCCGCTGGCCTTCCAGGGCCTCCAGGGGGAGGGGTCTCCAGCAAATAGGGCCCCGAGCGCGGGGGGCAGATGTCGGCTCCCGTTCGAGCGCTTCGGGGCAGCGGGGCACCCAAGAGGGCAGACAGCTCAGGACAGACTGCCTAGGACAGGGACAGGCGAGGACGTGACCGAGCCCATCAGGCATGCCGGCGTGACTTGGGCAGGCAGTCATCCTTCCACCGGTCCCAATTGAATACAGGTGCCAGGTGTGACGGGCAGAGAAGCCGACCCATCTGACGGCGTTGAGATCCCACCCCTGCGCTGCTCAGCAGCAGCAGCACCCCGGTCGGCTATTGGTCAATGGCGTCCTCTCTTTGTAGTGTAGCTCAGAGACTCTTCGCCCTTCTCTCCCTCCCCTTCTTTGCTTGACACGTCTGTCTCGGCTTTGTCTTCTCGCAAACTTTTACCACCAAAAGAGAAGCTTTCCCCTCTCTCGTCCTAGTCTAGTCTTCTCCCTCCTCGACGCTGGCCGGAGAGGTGGGATTGCCCCAAAGCTGGGAGAGGGTGCCGAGTGGAGGAGGAGGGCGGTGGAGGATGAAGGAGAACAAAGGCGGTGACCAATAAATCCCCCCCTCGCTCAAGGGGGCGGGCGCACGTGGTACAAAGCCCACACCGAAAGGATTCCAAAGCGGGAAACAAAGGAGAAAGCAGAGAACGCCGCTGGCTTCGCTCCCCTCCTAGGTATCGGGATCGGGATCGGGATCTGTCGCGAGCGAGCAGGTGGACACGCTCGCGGTCGTGCGAGTTGCCGTGGCATATATGTATGGCTTCGCGATGGGATCCCAGCTCCCCGTCACCCTGCCCATCCAAGCCAACAACCGCAGCCGGATCCTCCCGAGGGGGACCCGAAGGGCGGGTCTCGTACTCGAGAAGGGTGCCCGGCATCGCCAGCGGGCAGCACTACAACCGGCCTAGACGACCCAGCACGCCTGCGGGCCAATTGGGGGGGCGGCGCGCGCCACGAAAAAAAAAAAAAACAATATAGCCGGCCAACAATTCAGCTAGCGACGCCTGCTGCTCGCGGACGTGCAGCCGACGATGGTGCGATGGGAGGAGGAGAAAAGGCCCGCGAAACCCATCATTAGGACGCGGGCTTGGAGAGGCCGGTCCCGCGCTGGGGAAAGGCTAGGCACGCTGTGCATGCCGGTGGGCTCGTAAGGCGCGGCGGGAAATGCAGAGCATGCACGTCGAGGAGAAGACGCAAAAAGAAGCAATCTCACCTTGGAAAAGCTCCACGTGTCACCTCGATTCCGATGCGATCGGCCGCCGGCGATGACGCCCCTCATCGTGACACTTCGGCAAGCCCGGGCTCTTCGTCGCTGTCAGGCCTCCCGCGCGCGATAGGCTGCGCCCTTCTCCTCGCCGTCCTGCTCTTCCTTTCCTTCTTCCTCCTCCGCGCGGATTGACCTGGTCGGCAGCGTCGGTTGCGTTGCACATTCGCGACAACCGCCTCTTGCGGGATTTAAACGCCGAGAGGGATTTTAGCAAAGGGCGATGGGAGGGGGAGCGGATAAAAACGTCGCAATTCCAGAAGCGGCCGGCCAAAAATGCGAAGCCCGGCACCTCGATGTTAGCGAGCCTGGCCCGCGCAAATTTGCAGACCGATGTGAGGGCTAGCCGGAGGTGAGGAGGGAAGGGAGGTGTGTAGCCAATTCTCGAGGGGAGGGGTGCGAAGTCGGCCGGCCACCCTTCTTCCCCTGGGGCTCAGGCTTTATCGCGCGGGATGCCTGACGTACGACCGCGCAACTGCAACAGTAACACGTGCAGCGCCGGAACAGTAACTCCAAGTAGGGCTAAAAGTGAGACGAGAGGCGACCAGGATGCCAAGCGAAACAGGAGAGACGCTGCAGCCGGACGGTGTTCCGGATCCTGCGTGGGTATGCTTATGTAATGGTCTCCGGAGCGCTGCGCCTTGCTGCTATCGAAGTCTCAACACTGAGTTGCTTCGGGAGAGTTTTGCTTGTGGACGGAGTGGCAGTATCTACGTGGTAGGTTGCCACGCAAGGTTGCATCGCGAACCTTGCCATAGAGTCACGTCTGGCCACTCCCCAAGTTTAACTTTCTCGCCACATCCATTACACTCTACCTTAGACATCTACGGACTTTGAAGGTCGGAGTCCGTTAGGCTCAGGAGACATGGGGGGGGCGACACGCGGGGGGGTGAAGGATAGTTGGGTTATAAAGTGACTATTAGTATGTTAGTTGTCCTCTACCAGTCCCACGAAACCCTCTTATACCTATTACACCAAGGCTTTTTCCTTTGAGCACGTCAAGCCAGTCTCTCTTCTCTTCTACCCCTAATCTCTCCAGCCAAACATCATGGAACCAGCACAGAGTGCCGTAGCGAAGCCGCACCTACGGCGGCTTTCCTCGACGGACGGCGAGTCTCCGTTCCCCCTGGTGTCACTATCAGCGGATCTGGCAGTTCTGATCGCCGATTCATTCCTCGAGCCTGCATCGGCCGTGGCGCTCTCCCTCACTTGCAAAGACCTAAAATCCCTCCTCTTCGCCAGCTCGCTGCAAAGACTCCGGTTATTAGACCTAGAAGAATTGCTGCTCTTACTCGAGCGGGACTCGGCGGCTCCGTATCCGAAGTACTACTGCTACGACTGCACACGACTACATTCCTTCGATCCTGCCGACCGCCGCCCAGGTATTGTTCTGAATCCTGGTGCGACCCTGCAAGACACATGTGGTGGGAGAAATACGCGCTTCCCCGGGAGCCGGCTTATGATCAGCTACCGCCACGCTCGCCTCGTCATGAACCAGCACTTTTACGGCCCGCAAGGGGGGCTTCCCTCGAGCGTGTTCGACGTCGAGTACCGCGCGGGGTGCTCCGACCCGTGGACACAGAAATGGTCGGCTATGGTGGTAGACGACGAGCTGTTCTTATCCGCCACACACACCCTAGCTTTCACTGGCCACGATTTGGAGTTTCGAACTTATCTCAACCAACACACGCACCAGATCTGCGTCCACGTGGGGACGAACAAAGTCATCGCAAATCACCACTGGATGGACGTTCTGCAGCGTATGGCGACCTACACCCCTCGCAAGGCAAAATGTTTCTCCCGGAAGACCAGGTGGCCTAACAGTTACATCATAAACATCACCAACGGCGATGAATGTGCGCCCACCGTGGCAATGGAACCACCAAACCAGCGTTTGAAGTGTAGTTGGTACATCCCTGGGTCTTGCGGCTTCTGCGCCACCGATTACACGACGACGCTTGAGAGATTTAACCCCGAAAACTGGCACTCCCAGGAACAATGGCGGCTCACCATCGTCACCTACCATCAGTTAGGCAGCTGCCGGTCGCCATCTGATCCCGTATGGAAGGCATTTAACGGGACATACCACTCCCATCTAGCCCGATCTCAGTTAGAACCTAGAAGCGTGGAGGATAAGTGGTTTAGTACGGAAGCCCATATCTACACTAGGGAAAACCCCATTTTTGGAGGCGAACGCCCCATTTAATACACGATAAGGAAGCCTATAACCTCTCTACTATTAGTTACCACAGTTGAATCTGCTTCCACCATGTATTGTTAGCAACAAACCGGTGGAAATAGCTAGCGCATAAAAAACATGTCAAGGGTACGCCGATAGCATTGGGTGCAACCCGAACTCAGAATGTCGATCCCCTTTCCTCGCAACACGCATTCTCCAGGCGAACCTGAGAATCTGCGCCTGCCAAGTCTCAGTGAGTATCGTGGCTCCATAGGTTGATGTTGCCGGATCCGATGTCCATCTGTACCACAACGTTGGTGAGAAATGCTATGCCTAATATGTAGGGGCCGCTTCCTCCTGAGCCGATGCTTGTTTGGCACAGGCCGGTTTCCGGATCCTTCTCCTCCTGGTTCAACAGGTCTTCAGGATTTACCCAGAAAGTGGTACCGTTAATCCGAACTCCAAAGCTTGGCGGTACGGCGTCGCAATTGGCAAAGTACGAGTCGTAGTACCTGAGATACGTCGCCGGTGGGTCAAAATGGGCGTTGACAGATTGAGCTAGGGCTAATTCTGTACATCAGTTGCGGTCCACGACAAATCGACGGACAGTTTCATACCCGGGGGCAAGTATATCAAGGATGTCGCCGAATCCAATATAAATGGATATTGGCCTTTGGTGCGTGTGCTTCCGTATTCGATGCCATCAGGTATAAGAGTATAGAACGACGGCTTGTACGCAGTGATGTCCCGGTGGATGATGTCCGCCTGAATAGCTGATGAATATAGGAGCTCCACAAGGGATGCCAGAAACCTACAATGATAATAGGAGTTGATGCGTGTTCGCTCCCACCAAGGTCAACTGGCGGCATACCACCAACGCTGACCGTCCCTAGCGAAGAGTTTCTGTACACTATTGTTGCATTAGTTAGGTCGTAAATGTCCTTGCTGATATGTCTACCAGCGGGCTTCGAATTTCTAAGTGAGCCCTAAGGCGGAGGGGAAGTATAGATGAGCTGCAGACATACAGGCGAGAGACCAGTACGGCTCAACCAATCCATTGACAATCATCGAAGTGAAGAGAGGTGAGTACGGCGCAACCAGGTATTGGTTGTCGTTGTCGAGGTCGTCGCCCCAATAAGCACTGGTTAGTGACGGGTAGGCGAGCCCAAGAATTCCCGAAGTGACGCTATTGCCTGCATATCCCAGTTAATAGTGTCTACTTTATCTGTGGTGGCGCTTCACATGGTGATCCGAAAAAGGGGCGGGGTTGTAGGGATGGGGATAAAAGGGGGGCAGGCTACGCTAAGAAACGAAATGACACCTACCACGCCATGCGGCCTGGTTTACGATCGCCACTTCTTGATCAGGGACAGATACGCCGGCGAATTCGACATTCTAGACAATTGAGTAAAGCAGGTTAGCTACAGGCACTCTCATTTAGACCAACCGACATCGATGGGCCATCTGAGCTAGGGTATGGCATTATATGCGTGAGAGCTGCCTTCTAAAGGTATTCTAGCGTGGTAGGTCAGGGTACTCAATGGTACGTACGAGATATCCCAAACCTGCGGGAAGCGTTAGAATTTCACATAGTAAACACGGATACCTATGGCGAGGTGGGTGTCACTCACGGCCCTTGACACTTTCACCGTCTCCATACTTGATTACAAAGTGTTGGTCAGGTATTTGCTGCACCGAAAGGTTACCGACGGGGGAAGGGCCGAGTCCGCAGGCGTCCGCGGGTAGGGTGCTGTTGGAAAGGGGGTTGGAAGGGCTGAGACAGGCAAAGTTGGGTCCTCGAATCCCTGCAGCACGGAGGTTAGAAGGCGGAGACGGGGAGTCGAACGAGCGAAGAATATCAGCATACAGGTGTCAGCAGAACCCGAGTCGACGACAACGGTGGTTGGGACTCCGTTGAAAACAACCTCGGCCGCGTACTGAACGGCGTAGCGATCGACAGCAGTGACATTCTGGTAGGCGGCCCCGCCATTATCGCGTTGCACTTGTCTAAGGAGGGACACGGTAGAATGCTGAGCGTACGGTGCCCTGTCACGAGAAAGTCGTTTTAGACCGACGTAGTTCTGGACCTTCCTCTGGACGGGCTGGGCTCGGAAGGGCTCCGCGCGGCGAAACTGGAAGCCTGGCAGGGAGAGGGATTCGATGATCCCGCCGCGGACGGGCAAGCATCCGCCTAGACGAGCAGGCGGCTGGCGAGCTGCCGGAGCTGTGGGAGTCGCGATGGGGAAGACTGCCAACGCAGCAAGGCCGAGAAACTTGAGCGAGATCATCTCGAACGAGGCCCTCGCGGTTGGGTAAGGCAGGGAAGCGGGGAAGAGAGAGACAGCTGCGGTCTGGAGGGGAAAGGCGGAAGAGGCGAGGGAGGTTGGATAACAGAGAGGTTCGGGGAGGAGGGCGAGCCTTCTCTATGCTGGAGGAACGGGGAGACAAGAAGAGGCGAGGAGACGAAAGAAGAAGAAGGGAGGACGGCGGGTTATAACTAGCTTGGGGAGACGGGGAGAAGAGGTAATAATGTCATCCACATTCCGCTACTAGAGAGGCGTACGCAGCTAATATTCTGTACGGCGGCAGGGTGTGGGAGAATTCTGGTCTTCCCTGCGCCGTGGGCTGCTCTGTGGGAACGTCCGTCCCCGTGCAGTTACTCAAGGCAGGTAGCCTACAATACGACATGGGCGGCATCAGTCAACAGGATGGTTCAAGTGTCGAAGCAAACACCTCCATGCTCCCTGCCCCGGGTGTCTGCTGATATGCCGCCGTCTACCTAGCGTAACTAATACCTGCCTCCTACCTCTCGCGTTCCCGTCTCCTCATGATGGCCTCTTTTATCAGCTTACCTACCCCCTTGAGGCGGGCACACCTCTCCGCAGGCACCCCTTCTACGCATACCTCTGCCTTCACCTGAAGACGTCGGCGCGACTCGACGACGAGCGAACGACGAACGATGGCGGATGATACTGCCACTGCAGTGGTTTCGCTCGTTTTATAGGCAAGTAGCCAAGGTCATGTTGCTGACTCTACCGGACTGTCGTCTTGCCTGCCAGCGTTTTCAGCTCATCTCGGAGGCCGCTACCCCGCTAGTATCAATTTCCCTTATAAGACATGTAGGTAGGTATACACGGGACGCAGAACTCCTCGAATAACAGTACGCAGTATCACGGTGCCGTGCCGTGGGAACACACGGGAATAGCGTGGCACCATACATCTCCTCGGCCCCTTGGCGAGACTTCCTGTCGCGACTCGCCCCAGTTTGCTTGATCGGGCTACCCTTGGGTTTCATAGCTGCCGCCGACCCGTCCCGTCCTCCAGATTTCCTTCCGGCACCCGCGTGCGGGCTTCGAGTGGACTCTCTCCGCCATTGATCTCACTGATTGCTGACGTACCTAATATATCCGACTACGTCGATGTCTAGTGCGATCCCGTTTCTCACCTCCTGGGCCGATAATCCTCGACGTCGGAACTAGCAATCCGCCGTTGACCGCGAGGTCCGTGGCTAGCGGGAGATCCATTACGCCGAAGCCGGCTTGGCCAATGATCTCATAGGTATCTGCGATCTACCTAATCTAAGATATCCCCGTTACCCATCCTATTTTTAGACCACTAGAACCTATATCCTGGAGGGGTGTTGAGCCCCTGACTTCTCAACAAGTAAGGCGACACCGATTTAATTAGCCCTTCCGAGCTGATACGTACATCGCAATACCACGTCCCCTACGCATTCTATCGGATGTTTTGGTAATACCATATCTGCGCCGAACCCGTGTCTGAGGGTCCCTCCAATAACCGCTAGGAGAATAGCGATTCCAAGAGGGGGGGCAGAGAGGCAGGGGGTTTGGGAAGAGTAAGAAAGCTAACAAGGATAAAAATCGATGAAGCATAGTAGATGGGGCGGGTGGGAACAGAAGGGCGGGGTGCAAACTAAGTAAACTAGGCATTGGAAATCAGCGGGCAAAGGAGCCAGCCTCCATGCCACAGGATTACCGGCTATTATGCCGGCGCAGAGAAACCATATAATATAAGCCGACACAGCCAAAAAGTGCAGTGCACGCGTCTACCTTTCCACACAACAACAGGCTACCATACGTCGGCAACCGTATCCAATATACCCCGCTTTAGATGACTCTTGTTACTTGAGACTTGGATCGTACCCGAGCCCTAGTTGTCCTCCTTTGCCGATATGGAGGCGAATCCAGCAGTCACGGCAGCGGTTGGGCCGCTGTCTACGATGAAGAAGCTATCGCCGCTCGCGTATTTCTACGAACCCGACGAAGTTCGTCCCCGGGAGCCTGCCGCATCGACCGCCCCGAAGCTCATCATCCTCGCGTCGTGGATGGACGCGAGGGACGTACACATTGCTAAATACATCGCCGAGTACCAGAGCATCTATCCCTCGTCCATCATTTTACTGGTGAAATTCTCTTCGAGAGAATCAGGCTTGGTGTCGTCGAAGAACGAAACCGTCCAGCCGGCCTTCGCGTATATCTGGTCGAAAATCGACGCAGGGATTCTGTCGACCACGCCCGCGCGGCCCGAAATTCTCGTGGTACGTACGAAGGCCTCGCATGCTTCGCCGTAGTTGCCGGCTTGTGCAGAGGGGAACCGGTGATGATACCCAGACGCCAGAGTGCCGGGGCAATATTTCTCTACCCACTGTTGACCAAATTCACAGCACATATTCTCGAACGGCGGCTGTTCTACCATGCGGGCACTTTATCTGCTATTCCAGTCGCAATCTAGCTACACGTTTCCGGTGCATACGGCGGTTTATGACTCATGTCCCGGCCTTTTCTCGTTTTCCTCGCTGTATAACGTGATCATGGTCAACTTTCCCAAAGGCCCAGCACAGATAGTGGCGGCTCCCTTGGTCGCCGCCGCCGTTGTCTCGATCTGGGTTTGGTTCGATCTCTTGGGATTCCTAGCCGGCGAAGACCCTCTGTCGCTGAATTCGAGAGTCCATAACGACCGAAGTGCGGTTTCCCAAACCAACCGTACGTATATCTACGGCACGGCGGATGCTATGGTCCACTCGGCGCACATCGAGGCTCACGCCAAGGAGGCAGTCTCAAAAGGCTTCTTGGTGCGGGGAGAGGTCTTCGAAGATAGTCCGCACGTATCACACATGAAATCCGACAGCCAACGATACTGGAACATCGTCGTTGAGACCTGGAAAGCCGCACTCGGGTAATACTAGCAGAGATCCCTGCCAACTGGATGTCTCTTTACGGCTTACACGGGCGTACCCGACCCTGGTGGCTCCCGCGTAATATGTTTCATCTTGCTTCACCCAAGCGGGCGATCATGCACCTGTACTAATGTGGCAGACTTGTTGAATGCGACTTGACTGGTTGGGATAAGGGAGCACGGCAGAACACGTTGGCCAACACGAAGAACAGAAATCCGGATCTCGATTTGGCCAACGGCCTAACCGTATAAGTGACATTAGGGACGCGTACATGTGCGAGCTTGATTCACCGCAACGAGACACGATGCCAAATTTTCTCGCCTACGTTTTTTCACCGTTACCTATAAACAGAGACATCTAGAAATCGACGGGTCGACACCGGTGGAGAAACAGCATTATACATGGGCTTACACGTAGAAGTTAATAAACAATTCCCGTACTGGGTCTTTTGAATTTTTAAAGGCGTCGATCGATCGACGCCTAATATACAAACCAGCGAGGGGTCGAGCCAAGCTCCTTGGATGCACATCGGGGCAACTTCTGTGTGTAATATAGGTGCTTATCCTCTTTCTCCCAGCGAGACCGTCGCAGCGTCCGTTCGCCTCGACGCACCGAGGCGTCGTTCCCTCCCTCGTTCTCGGCCTCCTCTAAGCAGCCTAACCCTAATATGTACACGCCCCGTCTCCTTCGCTCCGCAACCGAATTACCAGACTATTATAGCCTGCGCCTCGACGCGCCTCTCCGTCGCGGGGATTTCACTACCCTCTCTGGCCGTGAGTTGCTGCGTGATAGGGGAGCGCGAGGTAAATGTCTGACCGGATCTGGTGCCGAGATCCTCTCTCTCCGTGGTAAACGTGCACGCCCCCTCACGATAGCCACCCGCCCAGCGAGCGTGCCGCGTCCCGGGGCGTCCACTGCCGGGGGTGGTCCCGACCGCGGCCCAGCCGCGCCGCCGACGCGTGGTTCGCCGGGGTCTGCTCGGGGTCGGGGAGGCGGGCGCGCGCGGAGTTCTTATCCTGCGCCGCCTGCTGGCCCGACTGGCCGCCGTCCTGGACGCTGGGGTCCCGCCGGTTCTCCCGGGTGGCGTGCGCGTGCTCGGCCGCGGGGTACGCGTTGGCGCCGCCGGCGGGGGCAGGAGCAAGGGCAGGGCCGCCGCGGTCCTTAACGCTGGCGGCCAGCGCGTCGAGGAAGCCCGGGTTCGCCCAGACCTGGGACATGTCCCAGACCATGACGCCGCCGAAGCTGGGGAACTGGCGGCTGTAGGCGACGATGGGGGCGAGGGCCGCGGGGGCCGCGTAGGAGCCGCGCTGGGCGGGCGCGACGGCGGACTCGGCGCCGGGCACGCCGAGGAAGACCTTGACGGCGGGGTGGTCGGCGGCGGCGGCGGAGCGGGCCCAGGCGTCCCACTGGGCCATGTTGAAGCCTCCTCCTCCGCCTGCGCCTGCGCCTGCGCCTGCGCCGCCGGGGGCGAAGGCGCGCACGTCGCAGCCCTCGTTGTTGTAGAACTGCACCATGACGAAGTCGAAGCGCACGGCGCCGGGGCCGTGCAGCAGCTCGGCGTTGTTGCGGTCGGGGAAGGGGCACTGCGGCGCGGCGGAGAGGTAGAAGCGGCGGCCGCCGGCGGCGCCGTTGGCCGCGTCGAGGTGCGCGCGCAGCCGGGCGGCGAACGCGCCCACGTGCGCCAGCGGCGCCTCGATGTCGAGGTCGAAGCCGTCGACGACGGCCGCGCCGAACGGCCGCGCCGCCGACGCGTCCCCCGCGCCCACCGGCCCGAACATGCCCCACACCTGGTCCGCCGCCGCCGCCGCCGCCTCCGCCGTCGCGAACCCCGTGGCCAGCGTCGCGCCGCCCACCGACATCAGCACCGTCTTGCCCGAGAGCTGGCACGCCGTGATCTCCTCGCTGCGCGGGCGCCAACGGGTTCCCCGGGTGTTAGCTGGTGCTGCGTCGAGGTCGGCGGGACGAGAGAGGGGTCGGATGGAAATAATATGCGATGGAACGGAAAGCGGAGGGGGAGAGAGGACGTTAATACATGAAACAGCCACGACAAATTTGGGTAGTAGTGGAACCTTCCCGGGTAGGGTTGGGGGTGTAAGTCTGGCGGCTAGACACACCAAGGCAGGCAAACGTAGCGAGAGAACCAAGACGAGCAAGTGCAGGAGCGAGATGACAGCACTCACCCAATGTTGTTGTTGTCTTTCATGTTACTCAGGTCGATCGTGACCGGGTCGGTGCTGGAGAGGAAGCCGATGGGGATGATGTCGACGTTGGTGCTGGCGCAGTACTCGGACAGGGACCGCTGGGCCTTGCTAGCGTCGGAGACGCCCGCCGAGTTCTGGCCCCAGTAGATGGCGATGTGGTCCGAGGCGTCCGGGTCGAAGGTGGCGAGGACCCCCGAGGCCCAGAGCGTGAAGGTTACGACGGTGCTAAGTAGTCGAAGCATGGTGGTCTATTGGGCTTCTCTCGGCGGCTTATCTTGCCGTTCTGTGTCTCCACCCTAGATTTCTTCTTTCCCTCCGACACTAATCGGTGCCGTGGGAGAAGCGAATGAGAGAAACTGATATCGCTAATAAGTATTATTCGATACGTGCGGTCTCCTATGTCGCCGACGTGAGCGACGACAGCGATCTTAACGAATGCTCAGGCCGCTTAGGGGCGAGAAAATAGGTACACGGGATGTGTAAGGCGGGCGGGGGAAGGAAGAAGCGAATAGAGACCAGAGCCCGGGGGTTTCAGGAAATTCTGCCAGCGGAAAATACAACACGAAGGTATCCAAGAAGGGGGATGAGAAGAATACGGTGAGCACGAGCTGGCCTCGAAGCGCAGTGACACGGCGGACGAGGAGTGGGAGAGGGTCCGCAGACTCTTAAGTATGTGCCTGTTCTAAGAGTCGTTTAGGCGTGGGGACTTCGCTTCAGGAAAAGCCAAAGGCCTGAGAGGAAGCTGGAAGTGTTATTACGTGTAGAGCGTTCCTAGCCATTCCGCCATCGAGGTAACTCTACACCGCGACCCAGCCACCCAACTCTTGTCCATTCGAGTGGGCGACCGGCGGGAAAAGAGGAAAAGAAGAATGCAGATTCGAAATGGCGGCTGGAGGTCCGCCTTCTTCTCTTACACATGCGTGCAAGCCAGCCCAGCCTGGTTTCGCTGCGGCCTGGGTGAGACAGCGAGCATTCCTCCCGGCGGCGGCGGCGGCGGACGTGGTAACCGGCAGCGATCGGCCGGGCTTGGCGCACGGCTGGCCGTTCCTCACTCGCTCGACTCGAAACTCATCCGCGAACCCGTGACGAGTCTTCTCACCCGCGCCGAGTCCTGTCAGGTGTGCATTGACACGTCCACAACACATGGCACCCGGTTTCGACAGACGCTGCGGGAGGAGGTTCAGAGGCTGCACCTGCGCACTTATCCATGCGACTCAATGGACTAACTAACGCTCTAGCCCCCGGTGTCTTTACCACTCTCCCCATGTGCTTGTAATTATGCGTGAGCAAGTGCCTACTATATCTACACGCCGACTTTTTCTAGTTTCCTTAGTGACGGCGTCTCTCTTCGTTGCGGATAATGGCGTAGGCAACTAGCCGACGAAGCGAAGAGAACTAATAGCTGCTCGTGCGCCAAGACTAAGGCTGCCCTTCCTCCCTCCCTCCCTCTTCTTGGTTTCCCCTAGTGTTTGTGCCTTTTGCGGTTCTGTTCCGGACATCGTCGAAGCTAGGTCGTCCGTAGAAACAGAGTACGTATGTGAGCGAGTGAATGGGTGAGCCGGTAAACTAACCTCTAGGCGAGGCAGAAACGAATGGGTAAAGGCAGAGGCACCTACAAAAAGGAACGGGAGAGAACATCCGTGGCCGGCAAAAAGTTCGAGGCATGCCTAGACGCGCGCTAAAGATATTGCAGAGAGCGCCGCTCCGGGGCATGTGACTAGGAATGCCGGGTCTCTCGCCTCCGCGCCGCCTCTCGATCTCACGAATTCTTCGTCGCTATGGATGTCTTACTTATAGGTCACCTAGGGTCTTGGTTTTATAGGGTGTGAGCTACGCAACTCTGGCATGGGCGTACGTAGAACCAGCCGCGTGCATCGCTGCCAAGTGCCTCCCTGAACTAGGCGGGCTGGCGAGTCTAGCGATGGCGACGGCGAGGCGAGGCATCGCGTGCCCCGGCCTGCCCCAAATGACACCGCGTGCCGGAGTTACTTGGCTCGTAGCGGAGACGTGCGTGTACGGACTCACTACTCGCGTCCGACTATAAGTTACATGCACCTATATACATGGATATACTTTCATCCGCATCAGCATGATCCGAAGAGCCCTACCTCCCGACTACAGGGTCTATCATTACACCCATTTGACAGTTCGCAAATGTCGAAACGGAGCACGCATCTCGTTCTGTCCTTGAGCGCAGCCACGGGGACGCGACACCATCGTTTAACTGTGTAATACCCTGTACATACCTGTGTGATGTTGGCTCCGGTGTTACATACCTACCCGTCTACAACGAACCCAACATACCGAGACACCACCCACACGAGCACGACGACGCCGCATCGCGACCTCGGACCCGCTTTCCGGGCGAGGACGGCGGGAGGCCGCGGGCCTAGGCCGTCGTAGGAGGGGGAGAGGGGGGCAGTCTCGCCTCGCGGGGGAGACACGCGGTATTATGGCTGTCTCACTGTCGCCGTGGTGCAAGTGCGCATGTAACGTGCGACTTCGTCTCGCCCACCCTTTGGGTGTTCTACCGTTGCATTCGTGCCCCTGCTTGATATGTATGCGACGCTGCGAACGTAGGCACACACACTCTACCAACCTACCTAACCCGCCGCTGCTACGGTCCTCGGCTCTGCCTCATATCAGGCTATTACGAGGTACCCAAGGTAGTTCCAATCGAGTCCCCGCAGGGTAGCGCGACTCCGAGCAGAGGCCAAGAGGGCCGAGGGCAGTAGAAATCCCCTCTCTTCCTCGGGCGGTGTGCTTTTGCCTCTCTGCCTCCACCTCTCCCACGTCCTCACCTGCTGGGAACTGGCTCTCGCGATATTACCGCAGAGCGCCAGGAGGTAGGTGCCCTCGTATAGGTATGGAAGATACACACACACCTTACCCAGCGCGACAACTCAACCCATTCCGACTTCGCTCCGGATACGGCACGGATCACCGCTCCAGGCTCGCAGAGAACCGTGCTAAAAATACTGCCTGAAACAACCAGAACATATCGCTAGAAATGAAAGCGAGAGTAGAGGGGAGGGACGGGAGGAAATTAGAGGAAATGGTGAGAATGATGAGAACGACCAGGCCTTGAATACGTTGCGCACTCCCCTCGCACACATAATTTAGTGACGATGGATGATGAGGGGGGCGCCAGCAGTGCCATCGCTTCCAACCCCGACCGTCTGTTCTTCTATCGCCATCTTTCGCGCCCCCGCCGTTAGGTAAAAACCAGCGACGATTCCGTCCGCGTAGAATGAATTAGCACAATGGATGTTATGTATTCATTACGTGTGCGTCTGCAATACTAAGTGTGTGCATTCAGGCCTGTGCTAATGTATATACGCGCGCGCACTTCGCCTTCACCTGTTTTTTTCCTCTCCCCTCGAATCCCGATGCTGCCTGCTCGTCCTTGACCTCCCACTATGCTTCGATCCGTCCCATTCGCCGCTCCACCTTCTCCCAATCATCCTTAAGATAGACGGAACCATATATAGACGATGTTGATGCACATAAGGAAAACAAAAGAAAGAAAGAAAAAATCACTGTCCGCCATTACCCATTCCTCAAAACGAGCTCAAACGCCGAGGCGATGCTGAGAGAGAGGAGGAGGATAAATATAGGTTATGCCTGTCCTTTAGTGCGGCCCGGCTTCCACAGGCTTCGCCATAATACATCCGATATCAAGGCTGGATGCTCTGCCTCCATCGTTCCACCCTGTCCATCTGACCGGGTGTCGGCATAGGCATCGCCATGTTGTACGGCCCGCCCATCATCCCGTTCGCGGGATAAGCCATCGCCATGCTCGCCCGTGGTTGGCCGAGCCCGCCGCCGGTCCCGTCGTTGAAGCGGCCGGCCAGGAATCCTCCGGAATGCGTAAGATTCGGCTTGGTGAGGTTCGACGGCATCTGGCTGCGGAGCGCTGCCAGCTTCATATCCTGGTCCTGTCTGTAGCGGGCCGCTTCTTCTCTCTTCGCCCTCTCGGCCTCGGCCTTCGGATTGTGTAGGATATTCCTGGGCCCGTGTACGCCTAGCACATCTGCGAGTGAACGTCGCTTCGTGAGCTTTGCCGTACTGCCACTGGCACCGCCAGTTAGCATTGCACTGGCCATCTCACGCTCGCGAGCCTCACGTTCTGCTTGTAATCGTCGGCGCCGCTGGCCCAATGTTTCCTCTTCCTCTTTCGGGTGTTCGTCGCTCTTCTCCTTGTTCTCGCCTTCCCCGAACGCGTCGCCGATCTGAGTCAAGAGTTCGGTCGTAAATGCGGAGCTGACCGGCCGGGCCCGCGGAAGAGGGTTATCACCTTGCTCGCGAGCCCGAAGGCGGCGCATGCGCTCCCCGAGGGTTTCGCCTTCGACCTCGTCTGCTTCGGGCGTGTGGGCGCGGGGTTGCTGCGGAATCGGCAGCCTTAGGGCACTGCCTGTATTGTGAAGGCCTTGGCCGAGAGGCATAATGCTTTGTCGATTAACAGGACCTAGTTCCTTCCCTTGGAGCCTATCGCGGCGACGGCTGAGGGGTTCATTTTCTTCCATCTCGCGCTGCTCCATGAGGCCAAGCGGTCGGTTCATCTCGGCGAGAGCAGCCACCAGACCGTTACCGTTGCCCTGCCCCTTCGTGGCCATCAGCAGTCCTAGGGGTGTGTCATCGTCCTCGGGATCGTCGGCTGGGTCCACACTCGGCTCCTCCCAAGCAAGATTCACCTTCCTGCCTTTTCGGGCCTCGCGCTCAATCTGGGCGACGGTATCCATTTCGAGAAGGGTGGAGTGCATACCATTAGGATAGGCCGTAGTAAGTGGCCTGGTGCGAAGCTTCTGCTGCTGCTTTCGCATTTGGAGTTCCGCCAACAGCGTCGTCGGCGGTCCGCTGTAGACCTGCTCTTCGTCGTCCCCGGCGTCGTCTTCGCCGTTTTGAGATACTGGCCGCCCATCGATAGACCCGGATAGTCTCTGCTTCTCCTCGTCCCGTTCGTTTCCGCCCTTCAAAACATCGTCTGCCCCGGCGCCTCCCGCTATGGTATTCCGCCGGTCCTCTGCAGGTTCCGAATTGTGGCTAAGGGCGCTATGTTTCCGAAGGTGGAGGAAAGAACTACGTTTTTTGGGTTCTACTGGTTTAGTGGGCGCAAGGTGAGACTTGCGTTTCTTCTCGGTTCCGTAGATTTCCGACCCCGACGATCCGGTAATGGCGTGTTCTGTGAAGGCAGAAACCGGCGCCTTGGCTGAGGCGTCCAAAATGCTGTCCAAGGTAGCCATCGGGGAGCCGTCTTTGAGCTCGACGGCAGGCATCTGGGATGGTGGCAACTCGAAGAAGGCGCTGGCCCGAAGCTGCGGTGGTAGGTTATTACCGACGGGTAATCTCGACTTACGCTTGTCCGGCCCCAGAACGGAGACGCGGGGGTCGTTGCGCGGTGCGTCGGCTACGGGTTCACGGCTAGGCGGTGATTCGTTCGGGCCACCTGAGGCCGGCCCTGCCGGAGACTCAGCATCGGATCCTAGAGAGATAGGTTCGAGCGGAGGCTCCAGGAGAACCTCCGGCAGGAAACTGGCCTCAGACTTGCGATTTGTTTCGGCCATCTTGCCCAGGACCTGCGATCTCCGCGCGTTCCGCACCTCGGCCTTGGGTTTCTTTGACAGCTTCTGTGGGATATTCAGCATCATTGGAACACGTGCCGGGTAGTATAGCATGGTCTGGCCTGTCTCCGGGTTCATGTAGGACGTTGGTCGAGCAGCGGGTGCCTCGACTGGCGGTGCTATGAGAGGCCGTGACTGGTCGGCGGCCACTTGCTCGTGGGTCAAACCACGATCGAAGGGCTGCAGGAAGGAAACATCCGCCGAAGGTGCGTTAGAGTACGGGGGCATGAACAGGGCATCTTCTAAATCGGCGTCGGGGGGGCAGTGGGCACCGTCAAAGTTCGCGAAGGCCATCTGGGCCTGTTCGAAGGTACCTGTCGAGCTGGAACTACGTGGTCGATCGTGGCCACGCTGCTCGTGGCTCGGCTGCGTATCTGCAACGGCCTGGTCCCAATAGTCGTACACGTTCGACGCTCCGTACTGTCCCAAATTGGGTGTGGGGTCGACGCCCTTGGTCGGGGGCGCTCGCAGAGCGTCGTCTTCCTCTGGCTCCTCGGCCAATCTATCAGCGGCGTCCATGGCCGCTGGTGTGAGCGTGGTAGGTTCCATCTCGGCAATATCCGTCAGCGTTGGCTTAGATGCAGACCTCACACTCCGCACGGAGCTCTTCCCCGGGCCGTGTCTCGACAATACGCTTCCCGCTTCGACCTCGGATCTCGTGAGCCCTCCCGAGCCGGACCTCAGGCGCGTCGGATTGGAGAGCAGTGAATGATTTGGCGATATGAAATAGCTGCCTGGAGAGTAGCCACCGTGACGCACGGCGCCGTTAGCCTCGAGTATCGAGCTGGTGGATGACAAAGGTTTGGTACTAGTGAAGGACGGCGGTTGGGTATATTCGGGGATGGAACCTATGCTCGCGGCTAGGATCGACGACCTGCGGCTATCGTTGCGTTTTTGCTCTTCATTCAAATCTCGAATAGCGTCCTCGATAGACGATGTCAAGGAAAGCTTTTCAGCAGTCGCCTCCAACTGGGCAATGTTGCTCGCATACGATGCGGATCGAGGATTGACGTCGGGGGTGGGGTGGCGCAGCGAGACGCTCTTCGTAGACGCGGTTCGGACGATGGGTATAGGCTTAACGATGGCCGGCTGGTGCGTGTCGCGCTGGTATGGGTGAGCGGGCGGATCTTTTGGCCGCAGCCCTTTCACTCGCAGTTCTACGGCCGGCACGGGGTGGGTAGCGTGGGAAGTGTTAGGTGCATTGTGAGCGTTGCCGCCCGTCGTATTTCGTTCGCGAAGAAAATTGCGCTCAGGAGTCGAACCACGGTTCCTCGGGTGCGGGCTTGACGAAGTGGAGGATGGAGAGGAATCGGGCGATAGGGGTCCGTATTCGCTAGGATGGTTGCGTGTGGCTCGTGCAGACGTCAGGGATTGGACCATGGCACTGATGCTCATGCTGACGCTGGCCCTGGCTGTGGCCGTGCCGGCGGCTGTTTTGTAGCCATCGCGAGAACCGGTATAGGCTATCTCGCCTTTGCCTGCACTGCTTCCCATCGACGAGTAAAAATCGCCGTCCATCGAGAGGCGCGTGAAAGTCGATTCTACAGTTGGCAGGAAAGGCATCGGCGACGAAGAGGGTGCTGGCGAGAGAGACACCGAAGGAGACAGTCCGTCGTTTCGATCGTCATCGTCATTATCGTGCTGCGGGACCTCTCCATACGTCACAGCCATATCTCGAAGCGGACGGCTGCGACCTTTTTACCCGTTTTCCTCTCGCGCGCTCCAGTCGCAGGCCCAAAACAGAGGGGTCGCACCGTATTACTTGCGCAGTTGTCCGCCCGTCAGCCGGTCCAGAGATCGATTAGGTGCTATTCAAATACGTACAGCTGCCGTTACAGGCGAATCATTCAAGGCGGATCGCGAGCTCCGGTGGAACGTCGTGCATGTGTGCCGATCAAATCTAAAACCGATCAAGCAGAGGGAGACGGAAAGAGAGGAAGAGACGCGGTATACGAGTGTCACGACCGCTTTGCGATAGTAACAGCCTGGGAGGGGGGGGTTTTTTTGGTTGGTGTCCTTCCCGTGTTTGAGAGGGGGGCACGGAACGGGCCAGACTTATGAGAAGCCAGAGGAGTTGTACACGAGAATAGTGAAGGGGTTAGGGCAAGAAGGAGGAGGAGGAGGAGGGATAAGACCCTGGCCTGAAAAAGAAAAATAAGGCCTGGCAAGACGAGGCGAGGCGAGAGACGTCAATCTGACGAAATCGGGTTACAGCCGGGGCAGCAAAAGCAACCGGGAGACGAAGGAGTTCCCACGAAAGGCGAAAGGGAGGAGGAGGAAGAGGAGGAGGAGGGGAGAGGAGGTGTATAAACAGGCGAGCAAAAAGTGAGCAGCGAAGGGGCGACCCTCGCTGGGCGACGAGAGGCTCCTTTTTTTAATATATATACATAAAATATATATATAGGTATATATATGTAGGTAATGTATGTATGTGCGTGCGTGTGAGAAAAAAAAGCAAAAAAGAAAATTTCAATAATAATATAAGAGCGAATAAAACAAAAGACAGAGAGAGGAGAGGGTGACGAGAGAACGATAGAGAAGATGCCCTCGGCCCGTCGCAAGAGCAAATCTTTCGGTCGGTCAATCAATCGATTAATTTTCCTCGATAGACCGGGATCAGGACCGGGTCGCGATCCTTGCCATGTGCTCTGGTTGGGCGGTTACTCGACTGGCGGTGGTGGTGGGCGAGGGGAGGTCTGACGGGTTTCTCGAGGTACGGCAGATAGGCGGACGACGGATTGGGCGATGAGAATAGACGGGTAGATTGGGCGAGGTGTGGCAGACGCGGACGGGCGCGCGGAACACACTGGCGACGAGCCACGAACAGGCCGACACGAAACGAAAGCACAAGGAGGAGCGCCTAGCATGGAGAGGCATCCCCTAGTGCCGTGAGGACGGGGGGGATGGATGGGATGGGATGGGATGGGATGGATGGATGGATGGATGTGTAGGCGTGTACCTACTTAGAAACGGCGCTCTCTCCGTCGGTCTGTAAGTGGAAGTGGAATGGACGAATCAATAGACAGGGAGATCAGACGAAATTGGTAGTATGGCCTCTTATAGCGCCCGAATAACACGGAAAGACAATTGATTTCCCGCGCTCCTCTCTCTCTCTCTCTCTCTCTCTCTCTTTTTCTCTCCCTCTGCCCGTCTCTTTCTTCCTCCCATCCAGTCCTCGCCTCTTGCGGCCAGGCAATGGGAGCGAGGATATAATGCCGGCATCACGATCGTCCCAGATTCAGTGAAAAATCAAATCAGAAATCCAACCCACTCTTACTCTCGACGGCAACGTTCGTCTCGCTCACCCGTTTCATGCCCCCAAAGGATGCCTTAGGCTAGCTTCCCCCTCCCCCTCAGATAGGGGCGCGATCTAGGTATGCATGCATTGTACCTACGCGGAGGCTGTAACTACCGCCTTGGGTTAGGCACCTAAGCCCGCCTAACGTGCACCGAGGGAGAGCTTAGGCTCGCCTCAGGGTTGCGAGAGGAGAGGACGAGTGCGAGTCTCAGACATTGTCTGTCCGCGTGCTTCGCCCGTTCGCTTCTTGGGTTGTTTTCTGGCTAGCGACGAGAACCCGTATTCCCCTCGGGTCCCGACGTAAAAGGTCTAGGGCCCGGTTGCTGTTCTTGTCCATAAACAGGGTCCATCGTGGGCTACAGACAGCCCGGTCGGCCGGGGTGAGGTCCCAGGGCCACAGGTTCCAGAGCGGCGTGGTGGATTCTCTCTCTCTCTTTTCCTCCTTCATCTTCTCGCGCACACACACGCACACACATTATACATAAACCCATGTACGCGTATTGGGTTACACTTAACTCACATTACCCCCTTTGCTTACCCTCACGCTTCTCTCCTTCGGAGCCGGTCTCAGGGGTTGAGTTCGCCCCCAGCTTCCCTCTCCGCTACGGCGTCAGAGAGGTACGGTCGGTAGCTAAGCACCTAGGGCTCTCTGCCCTCTAGGTACCTATATATAGGCTGACGTGCATGGGTGTATAGGTGTGTTCCTCTGACCAGCTCTAGCAGCAATAGATGCTTTAAAAAAACAATAAAAAACAGCAATATTGGTGTCTTTACATTCGGGTGAACACCATCATCCTCATTATCGCCGTTATCATCGTTATGTGTACGCATGTCTACACATATAGACACCGTTCCCACAGCACGTGTCTCGTGAATATTTATTACCTTGGGTACCTTACCACCCACCCACCCAACCGCACCACACCCTCCCGCGCGTACATGCATACCATACATACGCATGATGCCCGCCGAAGGCTCAGGTGTCCCCCTTGAAAGGTCGCCTTTTCTTATCATAGCGTCCGTGCCGACACGGCATAGGCGCAGTGTACCTACGGTCATGTCTGCGGACCTCAGATACCCGGCCACCTGCTGACGCGAAACACAACCCCCAAGCGCCTTTGGGGCTCGCCAGCTCCTGTCTCCCCCCCAATAAGCCCCCATCGCTGCATGTCGTAAAACACGCTGCTGCTAGGAGCAGGAAAAAAAAAAAACTCTTACCTCGCTACGCAGGTAGCAGTAGGAGCGTGAGGTGAGGCGTGGAGGCAAATTAAAAAGGGGGCGAGATGGGCGGATGGGTGGATGGATGACGGAACCTGCGCGCATTCACCGACATTCGTGTGCGAGACCAAGGTGACTCCCGTCCTCGCGAGAAGCTTCACCACGACCCCACCGTCTAAGTTGGCGGGTTGGCGGTGGTGCGTAGTAGACACCCAAGACGATAAGCCCATCTCACTTATCTCTGCGGTTAGCAATAATAATCGGGGGAGGAGAGCTAGCATGCGCACTCGCACGCACGTCAGTAGCAGTCAGCTTATCAACAGGTATCCTCCTGAGATGCTGCTCCTGGAGGAAGAGGGGCGAGGTACCCCCGGTACGCGGGCATCGCGATCATCATATCATGTCATCCGTGTTGTCCACCGTCCGGTGCCGGGTTCCAAGTGATAGAAAACAGTTGAAGATGGATGCATATGCAGACCTGCAGACAGGCCATGCCGCACAGAGATGCCTCGAACCTGGAGATCCTATATATGTACATACATAGATATACGTGCATATATGTATACGTCATTACACCTCGCCGCCTCCAATATCTGCTGCAAAGCGGAATTGGACGGATTTACGTCGATCTGCCCTCGTTCTAGCCGGGCGGGATAATATCGTAATTCTCTATCTCCAGCTACGTACGTGTACGCTATGTACGCTATGTATGACTGTCTTGCGCTGTCCAGGAACGGAAATATACATATGAGTAGGTATGTAAACAAAAGCTAGACTCTCCTAAAGAGCAATAGGCACTGCTCCTGGTGTTGTCGCTGTGTGAATTCGGAACCGGGGCCTCACATTTCAACAGTCATATATGGCAGACTCCTGCAACGTTTAGGCGGGGAGTCCATACATCTTACAGATACGTACCGGACCTTATCTGCGCTTGGGAACGACGTCTACCTATATGATGACGGGAAAAGAAATCATGAAAATCACAGTTACATCGAGCAGTGCAAGCCCCCCCTGTCCGCCCCCGAGGACTCTCCTTCGACCGTATCACGCTTTGTAGATAAGCCGTCGCGTCGCATCCATTGGCCGTCCACGTCTTCCTCTCCCTGTCCCACCGACGATCTCCCGCCATAGGTCTCCCCGTTTTCCATGGAGAAGTGCGAAAAGACTGTCGACGAGTGAGCCGTTACATATGTACTACTTCCGGCGTCGAAGCCCGACGAGATATAGACCATGCCCGTGCCCTTCCCGCCGCCTACAGCAGGGCGCATAGTTGAATATACCTCTATCTATATATATACGGATGTAGCCACGTTGTGGTTGCAGCCCAACCAGCGCGAGGCCTGCATGTGACATGCGACGACGGGAAGGGACCCATGGGCCATAGGGCACCAATGTGCAATCCCGTGCAGTTGAACCCGGGTTGCAGCTAACAATGCGTCTAAGATTGCGATCATGTCAATACCCGCCCGCGAGAAGCCGGAGCATAGTCTCCCACCGGAATAGGAGGCCTTCTTGCCGACTCTACGCTTTGCGGGTGCAGCGAGAGGCGATAACGCGATTTCCGCGGCGCGGGGTCGTATCCGAGTCGGGCAGGCCAGGACGGCGACGACGAGAGACTTCGGTTTCCGTTCACGCCCGTCCCCTTCTTGTTCTCGTTGTCGTCCTCGGTCTCTCCACGCTACTCTTCGGCCCTGGAGATAGCCCCCTGAGGGAATTGTTGTCACAATTTCCTTGCCGGTCCCTATTGGTGACCGCCTGTGCGTCGGGTATCTGCGTAATATCGCGTTCCCGCCCGAATGGTGCATGCGGTAAAGAGGACAAGAACACCCGCGAACAAAACTGACGTCCAATGGTTGAGATCGCCCGGATCGCCGAATGTGACATGGACAAAAGGGCTCTTCAGCGGCCGCTTATCAACTTCGGCACCGCTTGGCGCTGCCAGCTGGACGGATTGGTTGCCGTCGAGTGCTTGATCTAGAATCTTGTTATCAGCACAGGGCGCCTCGGTGAGGCACGCCAAGTTGCCACAAACCACCAGTCGGGTTGGGAAGACGACGGCGCGTCTGCTATTATCTATCTGCGCGGTAGCGAGTCACCACGGAATATGGTTGAACCCGCATTTGGACTAGGCCTGCCCTGCCTTCAGCGGAATCAACCCGATCTTGTGGCGAGCACGGTCTCAAAACTAGGACGGTCGGTTTAAGAAAGATAAGGCCAACTTCGGACGTGGCACTCGTCTGCCCCACGCGCGGAGAGGAGTACGCAGCATGCAGACAACCCTCTCCTCCACGGGTTGGCGATTGATGCGACGACCACCTCTGCAGCCCGTCGCGAGTCTTCATCCAGCCTCGCATACGTCGTGTCCGTAGTAATCTCTCTAGCACCAATTCTTCTAGACTAGGTGAGCTATCGTGTCGGACATCGTATTGGACATGACTGCATTCCGTTAGCACGGAGACTGCACCGATCCGCGTGTCTCTCTATCCAACGCCGGAGCATGCACCAGCGCACAACGGATGCCCGAACATCTGAGGATGCAAATAGTTTGGCGGCAGGCAGCGAGGCGCGTGGTCTTTTCGCGAGGTGCTGTCATGCCGGGTGCGGTTTTTGCGGATTCTGTCTGATGTCCGTGGCGCATCAGTTCATTCCACGTGGAGTCGTGTCGTCTGCACACACAAGAGGAGAGGTTGATGCTTCGCCGTAACCACTTTGGCCGGGTGCTCCCAATGATACGCTGTCTTGGCCTGCAAGGCTTGCCTAGCATGGAAATTCGTGGATTTAGGATGAGGTTACGCATTTAGCTCTCTCTCTTTTTCTCTCTCTCTCCTCTCCCCTCCACAGATTTCCCTTGCGCAACGATTTCACGGAGTGCAGTTACTTGTCGTAGAGTGTGTTGCTGAATTGGCTCGAGTGCTGATTAGCGCGCCGACTGAGCTACCCCCGGGGCAGCTTGAGGACAGGTTCCGAACAGTCGGTGAAGAGCTTCTAGAGACGAATCCGCTGTAGCAAGGGCGACTTGTTGTGGGGATGCTGCTCTCGGTACCCCTGCTTGCATATTATTAGCAGCGGGAGACTCACATGAAGCTCCATCGGCCCCCGGAGCACGCAAAGCTGGGCCTGCAATCACACGAAATTGCTGGCCATCCCATCGTGAACCGTGTCTTCCCAGGCTTCGAATCTCGAGTTGCTGTGGCAAAAAGAGGGGGGTTGACCAGCTCCGCTCTCACTAAATCGCTACCCAGCCCATAATAACCCGGATATGGCGTTTTTCTGGAAGGATGCGCTGTATATCGTCAGGGCGTACGTATTCGGTATTCAATAGCACACCCAGGTACGCTGGCCTAACGATAGGGTGGGGGAAGCGGTCAACTCGACCGACCCCCTAGGCATCTCGGAATATTTGCCGCATGCGATCAACGGTGAAGAAACTTATGGACGCACAGGAAATGGAATGGCTGAGAGCATTCAGCCAAAGTAATCCGATCCCTTCGCAAAGGAAGCTGGCTTGGTCTAACGGGGTAAACGTATCCGATCGACAGCCAGCCCCTCGTAGCCTGTAGGTACCTATATATACGCCTACCTCGGATGTATGCCGCTAATGGAGAATGAGTATGGTATCAAAAGCTTACGGGAGAGGTATTCGGTACGGAATCGACAGGCAATTGTTGGGGATTCTGGTCGGCAAAGGGGCCTAGAGACTAGGTGGATCCGCGTCAGCTAGCATCTACGGCTTGGGCGTTGATAAGACCCGGGCAGAGCACATCCTCACCCCCGAGCCGGCTCAGTAAGCATGTGTCGAGCTCGATACCAACGCGGATCTTGCTTTGGGCTGGGCGATGCGTGGGCGTAGTGTGCCTAGGCTGCGGCCGCTGCTTGGTCTACTGGATTCTAGAATCGGGCACCGGGTGGGCGTCTCCCGCGTGTAGGTGCTAGAAAGAGAGGGCGGGATGTCTGGCCGCCGACATTGATTGTATGGTGGCCTGTGTACATTGTTAGGATGAGTCTGGAGAGCGTCCCGATGGAAGCGAGCGGGTATTCGACGACCCAAGTCCAACGGACTCGGGTATCTATCTATCCAATGCAGGGCGCGAATCCCATCGACGACGGAATAAACAACAAGAGCCGGGGGGGTCGGTCTATGCGCGCATATCGCAAGGTATAATACGGCACATGCTCGCAAGGTTGTATGCCTGTAAGATGGATATTCATGTTTGAAGCTTGATTGATTGATGTTGCCCTGAAAAGTGTGCGAGACCCCGGGCGGTGTCACGGGACATGATGGCAGTGTGTAGTACGAGGATGCCGATGCCACCGTAGTAGGGCATTCGGTATATGTGGTAAGACGTAATACATGTTATGTAGTAATACAGGTAGGGACCGTGAACGTATGCGTGTAAGGGATGGCCCAAGGGGGTAGTTGATAATCTCCATCTCCCCATAGATCTCACTCTCAAACTTGCCAATATCTCCGCATCTCATTTTGTTGGCTGTGAAACCAGCTCGCACGCGACGATGCCCATCCGCCGTTCCCCCCACGTCACGGAGGTCTGATTGGCGTGGGAAACACCTGCCTACGTGCCAGCAAGGAGCCGTCTTAAAAGCTGATGAGAATACATCCAAGAATCTGAGACGCCACGTCTGGGTTTGTTGAGCGCGATAGGGATTCCGCCGGCATGGTCATGTATGCACTCACTGGGTATTATTGCCTCGCACAACCTCGATACATACACACATACACAGCTAGTGCGGAAATCCGGGGAAGCGAGATGTACCCAACCCTGCCCGACGCTCGGCGGGACGTAGGGGGAGGTATGTAGGTACATATCACGACCTGGCATATTATATGCCTGCCTGCTACCTACGTCGAATGCTACCTAGAGGCACCCGTTATCCATGTACCTACGCTCGGGGATTTAAATACGAACAATACCTGCCTCTCCCTCTTACACGCCATGTGCCCGCGTCAGGTACCTGTTCTCGGGGCATGGAGATATCTCGGGCAACTCGACTTCACCCCTTTTTTCCTGCTCATCCCCCCCCTGAGTCTGCTGGGCGATAGCGTACGTAATGGCATGTAACGAGTCGACCCTGGGGAGTAGTATTGAGTTATTAGTCGAGTGAATGACACCTTTTCCGAGTCGACCGGATGTGCACGCACCTGCATGCTACATACAGACGTACCTAGTCATATGGTACCTTGCCTGACGTGTGTTTCTATAGCTCGTTTCATGTTAGGCATGTCGGCGTTATGCAGACTGACCTCAACCCACGACTCCACGGGGGGACGGGTGTATTGTACATCGGAGCCAGCGTCAGGCACAGGCCGGACCAGACACACCCTCGGCAACGACAGGCACCCTCGGGTAGCGGAGGCAACCTCCCAATGCTGTTCTTTGTCTGCGGATATACACCAGACGGATTGCGCCGGCGTTCGCAACTGGACGGGCGGTGATGTGTGCATGTACCGAGTGTATGCAGGTATCGAGGCGATTACCCTCGGCCTAGAAGCCCCGCGCTACCGGGTTCTGCAGACGTGCGGATGGAGTTTTTATTACGCCGACATGGAAAATCAGAACGCATTCTGGAGATGGATGGATGGGATGAATGTATGTATACCTTCCCTCCCCCTTCGCCTCGTAAGGCGATTAATTAATTCGCATGTGGTTGATTGGGATTGATTGGGGTTGGCACCGACGAAATCGCCGTTGGGTAGCTAAGTGATTCCCTATCTGGGCTAGTGGGTGGGCAGAGCACGGAAGAGAAAAAAAAAAAACCCTGTTGCTAGGGAGGCGAGCGGCGAGGCAGGCTCTCAAGAGCGCGAGGAGAGCGAGAGCGAGAGGGGAACGAAGAAAGAGAGAGAGAGAGAGAGAAACCGAAAGAGAGAGAACGTCGGCAGCCCAGGACAAAGGGCGCGCCGAGATGAGAGCGGAGGAGAGCAGAGGAGAGCGAAGGTGAGCGAGAGACCTCGAGGCCGGAACCGTGGGTACGTAGGGCATAGCTTCGTACCTGAGAAGGAGGTCGATTGACCTCCTCCTCACCTTAGATACGTCGCCGTCTCTCCCCTTTTCTTCCCCCGTCTCCCGCTCCACCTCCGTCGCTCTGCGATCCGACCAGCGACGGGCCTCTGCCAACTTCGCTTCGACATCGTTCCCAGTTGCGAAGCCGGAACTAGCACGTTGTCGGTATGGTCCATGTACTGTACATCGCTCCCTAGCTGCTGGGTCGCCGTCAGCCCCAATGGCCGTTCAGACCGTTCTGGGTCGATGCCAACAACCCTCACTTACCACCCCCTCCCCCCATCTTCCAATCCGTCTTCGACGCCCACGGGCTGCGGGCGACCAACTGCTACACGACCTCGTCCCCCTGCCATTCGCTGCCCGTCTCGACAGCCAGAGTGCTGCGACTCCACCCCACGATCCACATCCCCCCACCGCCCGGAGGAGACCGCAGGACGCTCGCTGCAAACTAGCGGTGCGTCGTTCGTGGCTCTGCCATTCCAGCGTCGCTCGTCACGGGGGCTCGTAAGTACCTACCAAGCTAGGACTTCACTAATGCCGGATCGTGGACCTGTTGCTTCTCCTGTTCCTGTTCTGGCCATTCCCTCATCGATACCTGGGCTCGCTTTTCGTGTTCAGTCAATAAATAAGACCTTGCGGATTCCGCTTTATTTGGGCAGCGGGTGTGTTGCCATCCATGTCGCAGCGTTCTATTGATTCGTAATTTGTTCTCGTCCGTTCCTGTTTGCCGTCCTTGATTGTTTCCAGCTCTGCGTTTGCGTCTCGTGCCTCAGCCAGCGATCCCGGAACGACGCCCTACATTATGGCACTCGGAGACGAGGAACCGATGGGCGATGCCCCACCGTTGATTCCCGTACCAACTTCACCACCCGCTGCCTCTATAGCGCCGATGTCCTCGCCCGGAGCGAAGCCTCGCCGCCGGTTTGCCCCGCAGCTCGTCGAGCAGAGCGCGAAGACGTCGTCGGGCAATAGGACGCAGCAACTCGCCCAGAGCAATAAGCTCTCGGCATTGACGCCGCCCATTTCCACTACCAATTCGACTAGGAGACCCACGAGAGATGTGTCAGTCCAGGTGGACGTAGATATGACAGATGCTCCCCCTCCGCCCCTCTCCAAGCCCGCCCGACGCTTCGCACCTGTCCCGATCGAGACAACCTTCGACTCGTACAGAGTGAGCAACAACAGAAAATATCCCATCGGCCCAGCCGCCGAGCTGACTCCGGATCCCTCGCCGACATCCCCCCAAGCACCCCCACTATTTGAGAATGAGAAGCAGAATGAAGAACCGCAGAAGCCGCGAAGGAAGTTCGCGCCGCAGTTAATCGAGACAACCCGACGATCCAAGAAGGCCAACCAGCCCGGGCCCGCCACGAGGCCCGTAGATAAGACGGACATAACGCCGGGCACTAACCACATATATGCCCCGAAACCGAAGCGGAAACCTGGTCCTCGCACTTCTGCTGCCGGCCCCGCACAGGCCACCAGCGATAACGACGGGTTCCTGACTCCGCGTCGGCAGCAGTCTATGAAGCCGCACCCGAACACTCGGCGGAGCACGCGGCATTCCTACGCCCCCGAGCTCGACACCATACTCTCGTCCGAATCGGAAAAATCGGTTGATGATGAGGGAGAAGAGGAAGAGGCACCGGGCCTCTGTATCGGGACTCCGGCCCTGTCCATCGGGACTCCGACCCTCTCTATCGGGGCTCCCGACCCGGACGACAACGACGACGAAGGCAATTCGTGGAATAGTAGGAAATACCACTCACGTGATAGACGAGAATCTTGCGACGAGGAATTCTCGGGCTACCTGCTTGCCGTAGCCGCTAGGGAAGCGCACAGGCAGCGTGAGCTGGAGGCGGCCATGGCAGCGTTCCCCAACGGCGTACGACCTCAGGGGGTGGAACATTTCGTTGTTAGAGACAACTCAGAAGATGACGACCCGTACGACGAGCGGTTGAGGCACGGAACGTCACGGCTTCTCCGCCGCAAGGAGTCCGAGCCAGGCTGGGCAGTCAAGGAAATGCGAGCACACGCTGAAAAGCTAGCTCGGGTGAGGCAGGACGAGGTGATTGTCGACGACGAGCTAGATCACATGGACATAGCGCCTCCGCCGGAAGATCCGTTATGGACGACAACTACGTTCCGGACGTCCCTCGACGAAACTATGAGGGACGCCCCAAGTCCAAACCTGTCCGCTTCCTCGCCGGCCTTACTAGCTCGGATGGATTCACATCCTAGGGGGCAGGACAGGCCCTTTACGCCTTCTCCGCGGCTCGGGCCCGAGACCGGACTACGCGCAAGTCCTTTCGGGATTCCGTTCGGCATCCGCAGCGGGGAGCCGGAGGACCCTCAGATGCGCAAGATGCGCATGGCGGCCGCGCCACCCATGCTCGGAGGTGATCTTGAATTCCGGCTGTGCCCCAGTCCAAAGCATACACGTATGGAGCCGAGCCAGCGGTACTGCGCCGCCGATAAACCTGAGGAGCCGCGACGGGACGTTACCGGAGGGTCCGGTCTCTGGCGTGGATACTGCTCTGCTAAGACGAACTGCACCGTAGAAAACGCCCAACCAGGACCAAATCTTCTCATGACGCCGAAGGAGCCGAATTTCCCGGCCGACCCATTCTCTGCTGCATTTACGGCGTCTATGAGCATTAGCGGCGTCATGACCGCCACGCAGTCGTCGGGGACGACGTCCCCAACGAACCGCCACAGCCTGTCCAAGGGCCTCTACATACTCTCGGGACTTGACGAGCGGTTGAAGAAGGAGAAGGCACGAAAGGAACTCGAAGAGCGCATCGCGGCCGAGTTCGACGACAGCTTCGTCACGCAGGTGTACAACTACATCAGCCTGGGCTATCCCACAACGGCGCGTGCCTTCGACGAGGAACTCAGCAAGATCAGCGGCATCGACATCGAGGAGCTGCGTAAGGACGACAACCTCAAAGTTGAGAAGGGGTTCATGCTGCACATGGAGATGAGCATCCACAGGGACCGTTCGTCGTCGGATTCGGACTTTAGCGAGGACACACAGCTACGCACGCCCGAGGAGGACGAGAGAAGGGCCCGCCGCCGGAGGCAGCCGAAGCCGCCGCGGTGGATCGCGCTAAAGCTGTACATCCGCGAGTGGGCTCGTCAACATCCCGACCTGAACGACAGCGGGACCGCAGAGATGGCCTGGGGCGTCCGGGCCCGGAGAGGAAGCTGGGCCATTTAGAGGTGGTGCGGGTGTATTAAAATTTCCAGCTACACAGCCCTGGGGGGATCTCTGTCTCCCACGGCTGAGGACGAGGGGGTACTAGACAAAAAAGAAAAACACGTAGATGTCACGAAAAATATAGCTGGGGGGGTGAGAGAGGCTTGCACTTGGTAAGGACATACAACACCCGTCCGGGACGACGGTTTCCGGTGTTCCTGTTATTTATTACGCCGCTCGTAGTGCGGTAGCCGCGAGCGGGCATGAGGATGCTTTGCGTTTCTGTTCATTGGGCCGGCGTTCTTGCGTTCTACTCACGAACACACACACACACACACGGACACACACACATATAGGTGCACGGAGAGCGGTAAAGAAAGACCCGGCCGCCAACTAGAGTAAATTTGATAGAGGCGTGCGGTAATGCGAAGCGAAGCGGGGCTCGGCCAAGCCGATGCGAAGATGGCTATTATTCTAGTTTCTCTTGCACCCTGTTCGTTCTCTGCTCCCATGCGTAGGCTAAGTGGTCTCGATCTCCGAGATCCGGAACGTCTCTCCCCTCGCGGTGTTGAAAACTCAACCTCATAACAGCGTGGCGTTGAACTGCCTCCTCTGCCCCTGGAAGTGGGTGCGTATAGGCGAAATACCCTGTGTATCTAGGTACGTCGAGAGGCCACTACGAACGGGAGACTCGAGGAGGGGATCTCCTCTCACTGGCTGCGACGGGGTTATGGTTGGGAAAATGGTCGCGTGAGGGGGGCCCGACGCATCAGGCCACACTCGCGCACGCCTACATACATATTACCTGCATCCGTACCGCCCGCGGCTTGCTTTCCCGCGCACAGCGGCCACAGGCGCCGAGACAACCCCTCTCTCCTCCCTTCTAGAGCTATCGATGGCCCCCGTCTGCCTGTGTAAGCTGTGCAGGTAAGGGTATCCTCACCTCTAGAGCTTGTCCCACGCGAAATCTGACAACCCGCAGGGGAGGATGGGGGTAGGGCGGAAAAAGAGCGCGGGGGCTGCCGCTCGCGATCCGCTGGCTGGCTGGCTGGCTGGCTGGCCGCAATCCTCCCGATCCCCCCCTCCGTCTCTCTATCCATCTGTCTGTCTGTCTGTCTGCGGGCGGCGAGGAGCGAGGGACGAACGAAGCCCGGACCAGCTAGGCTGCGGTGTGCGGCGTGGGGGGTAGGTAGTCACAACAAGCGCAGGAAAAAATCCTTCTTTTTCTACTTCTGCTTCTTCCTCGGCTTCTCCCCGGTTCTCGTTGAGACGGGGCCCCGGGGCGCTGGCTAACCGGGGGGGAGAAGGTCTCTGCGACCTTCCCGAAAGGTACCCCCGTCGACGTCGAGGGTGGGGAGCGGGGCGTGCGCAGAGAGAGAGAGAGGGTGGGTGAGTAGAGCAGGCGGCAGGCCATAGGTAATACCAAAACTACGGGCGTGGGTTGGTGGGCGCCGGGTTGGGATGTGCCGATGGCGGGAGTGGGAACATACGCGCGCATACACCTGTATATATATATATATACGCACGTCTGCATACATATTTCGAGGCGTGTCCCTATCCCGTCCTCTTGCTTTGCTGTGTTCCTTCTCGCCTAGGAGAGTGTAGGGATACGGCTCCCGCGGGAGCAGGCCAATCGAACGGGGGGCAACGGCCGGGGTGGAGGAGAGGGGATTTCGCCTGGGTATATATGAGTACATACACACACACGTCCCCGGCTTATCGTCCCTGGGCTAGGTATATCGAATTGGGATCTCGGATGGCCTCCTCTGAGCTTGCCTACCTCGATGTAGCTACCGCGTGCGGGCCGACTAGAGCCGTACCTGCGCGCGCGGGCGCGGCCCAGATAATGGGTGCCGGGATGTCGACACGTTAATCCTTGTGCCAAGCTTGTTCTACCTGCCTGTTTACTTACCTCCTTGTCTGCTCCCTACGTAGCATTCTGCGCGAATCCCTACAGGCGACCAGAGTGCGGGGAGAGAGGAGGAAGGCAGGCAGGTGGACGGCGAGAAAGAGGAGAATAGCGACGGGCCAAGGGAATCGATTGCATGAAAGGTAATGTAACTTTTCCCTGGTTGTAATATACCCATGGCCTGCCAGAAAACGCTAAAATATATATAAACCGCGTTGTCCCCCCCCGGGTCCCCCTCCGACCCGAGACGTGTCCTAGGTAGAATTGGTTGCGCGAAGCTCAGCCAGCCAGCCAGGATTCTCGCTCACGCTCTTGCCGGCGCCTCGATCGTCCTAACGCGTCGCCCTACGCAACCCCTCTCTCGTGGAAATAGGCCCGGGGACCATGCCGCCGTCGATCAGCCTTCGTGCGGCCTTCGGCCTCGCCGTCATGGCGGTGGCGCCGCTGGCGTGGGCCCAGTTCCCGCCGACACCCGAGGGCGTCACCGTCATAGAATCGAGGTTCGGCGACGGCGTCAAGATCAGCTACAAGGAGGTGTGCCCGTCTCTTTCCCCACAGATGCCCCCCCTTAGACGGATAGCACGGCGGTTTTCGAGAGGCGAGCGAGTTCATCTAACCCAGGGGTTGTGAAAACCGAGGTAGCCGGGTATATGCGAGACGACCCCGGGCGTCAAGTCGTACGCGGGCTACGTCCACCTACCGCCGGGCACGCTCCAGGACCTCGGCGAGGCCCAGGAGTACCCGATCAACACCTTCTTCTGGTTCTTCGAAGCCCGCAACAACCCGCAGAACGCGCCCCTCTCCATCTGGCTCAACGGCGGTCCCGGCAGCAGCTCCATGTACGGCCTCTTCACCGAGAATGGCCCCTGCTTCGTCAACTCCGACTCCAACTCGACCACACTTAACGAGTGGGCCTGGAACAATGAAGGTGAGGTCTAGGATCGATCCCGCGCCCGTTGCCGAGTCCAGCTCGTCGAAACGCGAGCATCTCATCGGCGAGGGAAGTAGAGGTAGCTGGACTAATTGCCTGATTTCCCGCTCTAGTTAACATGCTGTTCCTCGACCAGCCGACCCAAGTCGGCTTCTCGTACGACACGTTGCAGAACGTGACGCGGAACCTCTTCACGGGCCAAGTCACCGTTCTGGAGCCGTCGGACCCGATACCAGAGCAGAGCGTGGCGTTGCTAGTGGGTACGTTCCCGAGCCAGATTCAGCAGCAGACGGCGCGGGGGTCGCGCAACGCCGCTATCGCCCTGTGGCACTTCGCCCAAGCCTGGTTCCAGGAATTCCCGGGCTACCACCCTGCCGACTCGCGCGTTAGCATTTCCACTGAGTCGTACGGCGGCCGCTATGGCCCCGCCATCGCCGCTTTCTTCCAGGAGCAGAACCAGCGCATCGCCAACGGTACCTGGAACGACTCGGATGGCGACAACTACGTCATCAACCTCGACACCCTGATCCTCATCAACTCCTGCATCGACCGCCAGATCCAGTGGCCCTCCTACCCCCACATCGCCTTCAACAACACCTACGGCATCCAGGCCGTCAACGAGTCCGTCTACCTCCAGATGGTCGACGCGCTCGAGCGCCCCGGGGGCTGCCGCGACCAGATCGACGAGTGTCGGGCGCTCGCTCGCGCGCGCGACCCGGAGAACCGCGGGGTCAGCAGCGAAGTTAACGAGGCCTGCTCGGCGGCCGAGACCTTCTGCTCGAACGAGGTGCGCGGCCCGTACCTGGACTACTCGGGGCGCAGCTACTACGACCTGGCGTCGGTCGACCCGAACCCGTTCCCAGCGCCCTTCTACCAAAAGTACCTGAATCAGCCACATGTGCAGCGCGCGCTCGGCGTGCCCGTCAACTTCACGCAGTCGTCGCGCACCGTCTCGGCCGCCTTCCGCGGCATCGGCGACTACCCGCGCCCCGGCTGGGTCGAGGACCTCGCCGAGCTGCTCGACGGCGGCGTCAAGGTGCACCTCGCGTACGGCGACCGCGACTACGCGTGTAACTGGATCGGCGGCGAGGCCGTCAGCCTCGCTGTCAACTATTCTGGCGCGGCCGCCTTCCGCGCCGCGGGCTACACCGACATCGTCATCAACGAGACGTACGTCGGGGGCCAGGTCCGGCAGCACGGCAACCTGTCGTTCGCGCGCGTCTACCAGGCCGGCCACGAGATCCCGTCCTACCAGCCGGAGACCGCGTACCGCATGTTCCTGCGCGCACTCGGAAACCGCGACATCGCAACGGGGGAGGTCGACCTGGTCGGCGCCGCTGATGAGTACTCGACGGTGGGGCCCGCCGACACCTGGGCCATCCGCAACGAGGACCTGCCGGATGTGCCGCACTTCTGCTACGTGTACGACGCGTCGACGTGCACGGATAGCCAGATCGAGGCCGTGGTCAACGGCAGCGCAGTCATCGTCGACGGCATCGTCAGGGACGAAATCTCGGAGAGGCTGTTCCCCGAAATCTTTGGTGGTGGCAGTGAGGGCGGCGAGGGCGGCGGGGGCGGCGAGGAGGGAGCTACTAATACGCCCGGGAGTGCTGCTACCCGATTCGACGCCCGCAGCGTCGCGGTCTGGGCGGCGGTTATTGCTATTATGCACCTCGTCCTGTAATCGTGACTTGTTCGGGGGGTATGCCAGACCAGGTCTTATTTTATGTGGAAGGGAAGACATAGCTCTCTGAAGATAATGAGAATCGAACTTCCGGATGAAAAGGAATTCACACGCCAATGTCCTTCCATTGAACGTGAACCCCTATTTTAAAAAAAACATTTTGCCTCGGAATAGGACCGGAGAAGAAAGGGGTCTCGTAGGACAGTCACCTTCCAGCATATCCTTCTTAAGCAATGGTGCCGGGCTATTAGCGGAAGTGATGAGCATGTAGATGATCGACTGTCCATGGCCCGTTGGTAAAATACAGAGGTCGTCGCAACTTCTCTCAACTTCCACACAGTGTCCAAGTCTGGTCTTGGGGATGCCGGGTCTAGACCGGCCGGGTGATACGCAGTATCTTGATAGGCACTGCAGCAGCGTAAAAGAGCGCTTTTTGCTGGCGCATCGGCTTGGGCTCGAAATCGACGTCCGCCACTAGGAAGCAATGGCAGGCTGCGGGAGTCAGACTACTAGTAGCCTATGATCCTGAAAAGATGCAGGACGTCTCGAGCACGTACCACACTCGTCTCTGAAGGTCTGGAAGGTCTCGGCATTTCTGACGACTCCTGCGATGATAACTACTAGCTCTGCTCTTAGGTCAAAGAGGCTCCGAAGCGTCGACACGAGTGCTACTATGGCGACTTTGTCGTAAGTCTTCTCCCACGGAGTCAGCGCTCTGGCTTCGCTTTAAAGGTTGCGTAGAAGCGGAGGGAAAGGGACAGCTGACGATATCGGCACCAATTACAACATCGTACGGCCGGGCCTTACAATCCCCCTCGACCCAGGTCCCCTCGAGTCCGTCACCCCATCTCAGGGTCTCGGCCCTCGCCTTCCGCGCGTCGTCGAGGCCGTTGAGAGCGAGATTCTGCCTCAGGGCCGCGACGACAGCCTCGTCGCCGTCGGTGGCGGCGACGTAGCTCGCGCACAGGCGGCCAGCCAGCAGGGCGCTGAGGAACCCAGTGCCAGCACCGAGTTCGAGCACGTTCTTGGCGCGGATGAGGCGCGCGCCCGCCGCCGAAAGCAGGTACGCGCCGAGGTGCAGCGAGCCCTCCCAGGTCCGGAACCCGGTCGTACGCGACCCCGACACCATGTGCCGCCGCTCCAGCAGCGTCACCGTCGGTTCTACGTCCCCGTCTTCCCCGTCGTTCCGCGCCTCCGGGATGCAGGTGAACGTTACGTAGGCCGGCCCAGGGGTCGGCTCAAACTCCACGTGTTTGACCCTCCCTGCGAGCGACGCGAAGGCTGCGACAAGCCCTTGCGAGATCTTCTAGACCGCGGGAACGTTAGGAGGCGGTGGTGAGCTCCCCCAGGGGTCGGGGGGCATCATCATGGAAGGACCTGCTAGAAACTTACGGCTTCGGGGGGGTCCTCGGTCGTCTTCTCGATTTTGGCGACGAGCCGCGTCAGCACGCGCAGCTGGTACTGCTCGGGCGGCAGCCTTGGGTTGCGGCCGGCGTCGAACAGATGCTTATGCAACCACGTCTGGGCGTCGGCGCTCTTGAGCAACCGGGGCGGCGGCCAAGCGAGGAAGTCGGGCTCGAAGAGCTGCAGGTACTGGCGGCGTAGGAGGAGCAGCTCGGGGTCTACATCTTGGTATGCCATCACGAGCCGCTCGGTAGAAATTGCCGCGTTTTTGCTTGTGGGGAGAGGAGAGAACGAATAATGGTTACGGCCACGGAGGTGGTGACAAGGTGGTGATGGTGTAATCAAGCCCCGTCAAGGAGGAATGCCGGGTATATGCAATAAACTGATTTCACCTGCTGTGGATCCTCAGGCATCAAGAATGGAGGCCTGTGATTGGTGGAATTGAAGAAAAACACGCAACAGCTAACTTGTTCGTAAAACGCTGTATTTAAGTTTAGCAGTTCACCTTCAATTGATCAACTAGGTTCAGCTTTCAACACGTCTTGCATGCCTTACAATTAAGGCAGCGAGGCCACGAGAGTGAACCGTCAAAACGCACACTGCCATCTAACAGATGCATATGCATATCATCCTTAGTTGGCTCGTCGGAATGCCTAGGAATGCCCAGGATTGAGGCTTCAAATCGGACCCTGCTCCGAATTCCCTGTTTCTCGATTACTTCTCGGTATTTTCTCGTCATGACGACGCAGCGGAATGGGTGATCCATCCCACACCAAGCACAGTAATTTACGCGCTTTGAGTGGCAAGTCGTCGGTGTTATCCTGCTGCGGGACTCTATTACATTTGGACGTTGTCTCCGTTATCTAGATTGCCTAGCTGGGCATGTCTGCGCGCTTCCCGTCTTCACAGCATAAATTCGCAAAACCAGCATGGCAATGCTCCAAATCCTTCGTTGCCAAACCGCGGGCGGCATCTTGGGCTGGCTAGCATCCCTTGGCCTAGATGCCTCACATATCGGCATTACTAGAGCCATCCCTGCAGGGAGAGCAGCCTAGCTTACCTAAACAGGCCGCGTATAGTATAACTATATACAGACAGCTTAGGTAGTGGCTGTCTAGCGAGGATCTATAATACATAGATATAGGTATATATGATATATATGATATAGGGAGGAAGGTGAAAATACATGTACGATACCCATATACATCCTGAACCCTGCAAGGGCTAGTCCTACTACTACACTAAGGAATTGTGATAAGGTTAGGTAGGCCGAGTCTATAGATCAGCCTAACTAGTCCCCTGAACCTTACCCCAAAGCGGGTCACGGCTTCCTGAAGATTCTATTAGCTCTTTCCTACGACCGTACTCCACTAGTTAGTTGGGGTGAGATCCTTTTGATTACTTAAGCCTCTACTACCGCTACTACCGCCACCACTACTACCACCGCTACCACTGCTACCACTACTACCACTACCAAGTCAACTGTACTACCAAGTTAACTGCACCACCAAGTTAACTGCACTACTACCGCCGCTACTACTACTACTACCGTTAACCTGATTATTTATTAGATGCTCCTAGGGCAACTTTTGATTACGAAAAAGAATAAATTAAGTGTACGTTCGTACGGTGGTTAGAAAGGAGAATTTAGTGACCCTTGTACGAAAAGTTTGGGTGACAGGGATAAAGTTTGGTTGACAGGGAAAAAGCTCGGTAAAATCGCCTAATCCGGTTAGAGGTTGGGGTGAGGTATAGGGGACTAGTTGGGCTGATCTGAGACCTCGGTAGGCCTGGATCCTTAACTAAGTCTTCGGCGTTGCCTTCGTTGGATATGAGATGAAGACTCTGTGATTGCCTTAAGTACCTAGGTAAGGTTGGGTTTGGGATTTCGCTCAACCCAGTGGTAAACATCTCTCGCCTCTACGTATATGGGCAGGCACTGCTAAGCTGCAGCCCAGCGGCGGAACATAGTTGTGCAAGACAGGTGCGAAACCGACCGAGCTGGGAGTTAGGGCGGAGCCGCGCCCGAGACCCGGCGGCCGGGTCTCTTGCGTACCACGAATCCACTCGTCCATGGTTATTGTGGCCGTCGTCGTAAGCTTGTCCAGCCGGGCAACCGGCTACGGCCTATAGCTAGGTGGCAAATGCTTATATATATATTCATCACCTGGGCCGTGGCGGCACAAGAACACAAGCAGCGTCTGTTCTCCACCATATTTGCTTACCTGGAACGACGACTTCAAACGTACACGCCACCGCAGCTCTCGAGTCTTAGAGCGCCGGGGGTCAATCTCATTAGCACCTATGTGGATTCTAGCAACAGTGACCAAATATGTGCAGCGTCCCTCCCTCTTCCGCGAATCCCGACTCTCCGGCGACGCCGTCTCGCCTCGCCATCCGGGGAGAAGCCAGCCGGCGAACGCTGCGGAAACCGCACGCGTGTGGGTGTATGGGACTTCTAAGCTCCGTAACGCCGCCCAATGCAGATGAATGGTATCTTGGTTCGTTGCCGCCTCGTCTGCTTCTATCGTCTTCACACCATAAACGACTCGCCGCAGCCGCATTCCTCCTCTGCGCCGCGCAGGTTAGCATGGGTCTGACTTGCCCTTTTTTTTTCATCTATGGGTCGAGGGGGTTCGGTTCCTAGGGTGAAGGCGGGAGGAAGGGGGTCGCTCACTGATGTTGGGATTTCGGAAGATGAATTGCTGCCGCAACCTATCCTCGATCCAGTCCATCTCGCTCCCGATAATGCTGAAAAGCGCCTTGCTGTCGATGACAACCTTGACGCCGTCCTGCTCCACCTCTTCGTCGAACATCCCGGGCTTGTCCACGTACTCCAGGTGATACGAGAGGCCACTGCATCCCCTGTTGCGCACCCCCACCTTGATCAACTTCGGTTGTGGCTGGTCGAGAAGACTGCGTAGGTGTTCCACGGCCGACGGGGTCAGTTTGAGCGCCGCCTTGCGCGGCTTGAACTTGCGCTTGGGGGGCGCCGGCTTCAGCTGCTGGGCTTCGGTCTCTAGGATCGTGGGGTTCGCGTTGGCACTGGGTTGCGCCGCCGCCTCAGGCTGAGCTGGCTGGGGGGGCGGGCGTGTCTCATGGACCTCTGGAATGGGGCTTGTAGCAGGGATTTCTCGAGCGGGTTCGTTTCGAGGTTGAGTTCGGGTCGGGGTGAGAGGGTATGGGTGGTAGGTAGGTATCGGCTGCATCTTCTCTGACGACGACGTGTACCATGGCTGATAGTTGGAGAACTGGCGCAGAAGGCTCTCGCAGGGCCTTGCCCGCGGCGCAGACGTAGTGAGCCGGCGACCCAGCAGACCGGCGGAAGCTCGTGAGAGAACTACGCGCGTCGAACCCATGGTGGCGGAGAGCAGATAAAAAGCCGCAAAAGGTAGCCGGGGGAAGACGAGGTCAGTGCATCAGAGTCTCTTCGGGGAGGGTGTGAGGTCTATAATAATTAGGTATTTAGGATACGGGTGCTCTGAGGCAGCGTCCAACATGCATATGTGTCGGTAAGTAGATAGGCGGGTGGAAAATTGGAAATCCAGTCAGGTTCGCCCGGAACTGCTTTGAAAACAACCAGGAGATCTGATGACATCGGTCGATGGCTACCCGGCCTTAGCCCGGTCCAATCACACGTCTGTTATTGGTCACCATTAGCCGGGTGAAGGGGGTGCGATGGGGGAATAATGATATTCCGAATATGTGTATACACGTACTCTCAGACTTGGATATGCAGATGTACCGTGTAGGTACCATACCGGGAGGGGGGGGTCTATGGACAGTATGTTAGCAATAGAGTCGGGGTACGGACACGGTAACTAAATCTGGTAAGGGTTACCTATTCTTTCGAAAGAGCTAAAAGAATTATAGCAAGGGTCGCGGTACCGACCTTATTACCTTCCCTTCTTATAATTTCAGGATGGTTTTTATGACTACGTAGGAACCAATGTCCAGACGGATATGACAATGTCCAGACGGATATAATGTCTATATATTCCATAGGTACCTACCTACCTACCTACCTACTTACCTACCTACCTACCTACCTACTTAGACCTACCTACCTAGACCTGTTGTCTTCATCTTTTTTCTACATACCATGATCTACTACCCATCTTCGAACCTATCTTCGAACCTATCTGCGAACCTATCTTCGAACCTATCTGCGAACCTATCTGCGAACCTATCTGCGAACCTATCTGCGAACCTGTGGGAGCCAGTTCGCGCGTAGAATCTATCTATCTTCGAACCTATCTACGAACCTATCTGCGAACCTGTGGGAGCCAGTTCGCGCGCGTGGAATCTATCTATCTATCTTTGAACCTGTAGGAGCTAGTTCAGGCGTATGGAATCTATCTATCTGCGAACCTATCTGCGAACCTATCTATGAACCTATCTACGAACCTGTGGAAGCTAGTTTGGGTGCGTGGAATCTATCTATCTTCGAACCTATCTGCGAACCTATCTGCGAACCTATCTGCGAACCTATCTGCGAACCTATCTACGAACCTATCTGCGAACCTGTGGAAGCTAGTTCGGGCGCGTGGAATCTATCTATCTTCGAACCTATCTTCGAACCTATCTGCGAACCTATCTGCGAACCTGTGAGAGCCAGTTCGCGCGTAGAATCTATCTATCTTCGAACCTATCTACGAACCTATCTGCGAACCTGTGGGAGCTAGTTCGCGCGTGGAATCTATCTATCTATCTTCGAACTTATCTTCGAACCTATGGGAGCTAGTTCAGGCGTGTGGAATCTATCTATCTTCGAACCTATAGGAGCTAGTTCGCGCGTGGAATCTATCTATCTATCTTCGAACCTATCTTCGAACCTGTGAGAGCTAGTTCAGGCATATGGAATCTATCTATCTTCGAACCTGTAGGAGCTAGTTCGCGTGTAGAATCTATCTATCTTTGAATCTATCTGCGAACCTATCTGCGAACCTATCTACGAACCTATCTGCGAACCTATCTACGAACCTATCTGCGAACCTATAGAAGCTAGTTCGGGCGCGTAGAATCTATCTATCTATCTACGAACCTATCTACGAACCTATCTACGAACCTATGGGAGCCAGTTCGCGCGCGTGGAATCTATCTATCTTCGAACCTATGGAAGAGAGGTAGGAGGTAGGTAACAGACGTAAAAGATACAAAGGTACAAAGGTACGTACCTAGTAACCTAGAGGTAACCGGGTAATCCTATAGAATGTACCTTTTTTAAAAATAAAGACATTATGTCCGGATGGTAACTATGTCGAGAAATGGTAATAATATCAGCCTAGAGTTTAACTTACTCTTATTACGAGGCAGACATTATGTCCAGTCATAGAAAGGGTTGCTAACATAGTGTCAATAGACCCCCCCCTCCCTGTATGGTACCTAATATATAGGTACGTACCTGCCTAGGTATATATAGCACTGCCATCCACCCATCATAGGTCCAAGTGGCAACGACCCGGTAGCCCGGTATCGGGCATGGAGGACCAAGGTACCAAGGTACCAAGGTACTTTGCAGGCCGGGCACTTACATAAGCAATGCAAAGTGGCTGTTGTCAGGAGGACAGTGCTTGCCTCCAAGTCACACGTGTTTCCGCACGATGCATTACGAAAGCTGTCAGAAAGCAGCCATTGATTGGTGTCGCATGTCTCGCAGTCCCATCCCATCCCATCCCATCCTATCCTATCCCATCCCATCCCATCCTATCCTATCCTATCCCATCCCATCCCATCTACCATGTGCAGATATCTGGCTGGATCGACATATAATTCGGTACCGAAACCACCAATGAGGCTAACCTCAGGGCTGCTCTCCCAAGGCTGTTAACAATCCGTCGCGCCACGACAATGGTAGCGTGAGCGTTGTGTCCATCACGCATCGTTCCCCCCCCTTGCGCATCAACGCCGACCATGGAAGCCTCTCCTTTAACGCAACAGGCTCGACCTGACCACTTCCAGCCTAAGATTGTCCAGCTGTATGAGGTGCTATTCAAGGTTCGGGAGCATTGGAAACACCCCCATCATTTTCGGACTGGGCCACAGCTGACTTCGGGAAACCCAAGGTACGTCTGACTACGGAAGGGCTACCTCTATGCCTGCCAGGCCGCTGACCCTCGCTCCGATAGGACGACGTCGACGGGGATGGAGACAAGCCCGAGGGCTTCTGGCGCGAGTTCTTCCTCCTGAAACCAGACCGAATCTCCCTGCAGCGAATCCTAGCCGATCTAGGACCCGAAGACCTGCTGGGCCTACAATCACAAACCAGATACCTCTTCTCGAGAGCGGTGGAATGCCTGAAGAAGGATAACGTCGTCGCCGATTCCCACGCGCTCGAGGTAGGATCAGGCTCGGCCCCATAGCTGAATCAAGAAGGGACCTCCCTAACCGGTAGCGTACAGACCTTGACCACCTTCTTCTCCGCGATCCTCTCGAAGAGGTACACGAACCCGAGCTCTGATATCATTGCCGTGCTGGCCGGACTGGACCACGTCGATGCGGTCTTCACCGACTTTGTAGGAGCCCTGGATGGGATAATTCGCAATGGGAAGACAAGTAGGTTGGTGTTCGTCGTTGTCAGGCGCCCGGGCATGCTGACGGTGCGATAGTGGAGGTTCGGCAGAGGGCGGTGGAAGTGGTGCTGTCCATCACCTCAGGCGCATACCAGACAAGCCTTCTCACATATTTCATACAACGGGATCTCTTCCCCGCCATCATGAAGGTGGGCCTATTCTCATTCCCTTTTTCCTCGGGTCCATACTTGCAACCGTCGGGGCAGAGCTAATACGGTATCTTAGTTCATCCAAGAATCCGACTCGCCTTCCCGCGCCCTCGAACCGTTCACCTTGCTAGGGCTGTTAGCGAACTACAACAAGTTCGAGTTCCAAAACCCGTATCAGTTGCGGCTTAACGACTTCGTCAACGAGGCGGCTATACAGAAGATCGTCAGATGCGTCGGCTACACCTGCCGAAATCTAAGGGGTCAATATATCGATATACTACAGGATTTGCCTGAAGGGTGGTCTATCACCAGTACTCTGAACATGATCGGGCTTGGCGCTATCGCGCCCGGTGCGAAGGCAAACCACAAACCAACATACGATCCGGAGATAGCGAAACAGATGTTCTCAAAGCTGTAGGCTGCCGCCCCCAGCCACCGCTTACGACTATGGCTAATCATTTGCCCAGGCCCGGGGAGGAGGCGGCCCTACTACTAGGGACGTACGACTTTAGCCACGCGAATAAACTCTTCTGCTTTAACCTCGTCACCCTAGCGGCCGACAAGGGCGAGGAGCAACCCATCTCGAGCTTCCTGTCGCTGACGTCTTACCTACTGCAGCACGCATTCTTGTCCGCCCGAGCGACTAACTACGCTCATCTCAGCCTGATGGTGTTCCGGTTAGTGGTCGAGGACCAGCTGCTGTGTAAGAGGATCTGCAGCGAGGAGAGCAAGGTTGCGGTCCGGCTGTGCCGTCAACGGCAGCCGTTCCTGCCGGCGGCGCGGGGCGAGCGAATCCTAGCGACGAGCGTGCTAGACACGATGATCGACGGCATCAACCACAATCTGCGGCGCAGGCTGGACGTAAGCCTGTACACGCTCTGCGTCGGCATCATGCTGCGCATCATCTCGTACCTTTCCCGGTCGAGAACGCGGTTGCAGTACCACTGGTCCGAGCTGTTCCGGTCGCTGCTGTCCCTCATCCGCTTCCTGACCGCCTACGCGTCAGACCTCAGGAGCTTGTCGCACTTCGACTCGCTCCTGGACCTGGTGGTGAATCTGCTGGCCCTCTCGCTGTCGGCCGGGGAGGCGTATCTCCCGACGCCTGCGGCCTATGACGACCTATTCTATAAGGTGGTGGAGAGCGGTGAGGTACTGACTAAATTCCGCGACACATACAACTTGTCGAGCCGGCCGTCGAGCTCGATCGGTACGCTGATCAGCGTCAGCACGCACTACAAGACGATGCTGGACTCGGGCGGCTCTAAGAGAAGCCTGACGAGCACAGAGGTAGCAGAGGTAATCAAGCAGGGTTACGAGACGCTGAGCATCCAGGCCAAGGAAGGCTTGGACGGCTGGGAACGGTATCGCGAAGCGGACGAGAAAACGCTGCTGAAGAAGATGGCGCGGGCGACGGTGACGGACGTGCAGGTGGTTGTGCAAACGTAGTAATCGGCGGAATTGCCAGTGGCAGGCCGCCGGGCCCGTGCAGAAAAACGTGGTCGGGGGGTTGCTGCGATTCGCCTATTACGGCAATGGAGACGCGCCGCCGTGCCTCGGGCAGGAGACGACGGTGCTTAATAAAGGATTAGTGAGGGTATCTACGTGCTTGTCGGGCGAGTCGAAAAATTGAAACCGGAGTGGCAGACGAGCTATGGGCAGCGTGCTAGTGTCGTAGTTGTGTTCTTCCTCTCGCATTCCATGCCGGTTTAAGGACAAGACGACCAGAAAAGAAGAAGAAAAGGAACCGAAAGAGAGAAGGAAAAAAAGGACCTTTAGATACTCGGCCCGTCCGAATGTTGTAGACGCGGCTGATTGGTGGGCGACCAAACGGCCGGCGCCCGCCAAGGCCACACGCCGGTTTCCCCGTAACGCAGGCGTGCAGCGCCCAGTCCCTTTCTCGCGTGGTTCGCAGCCAGGTTGCGACCCGGAGCCGAGAAGCGGTGACTGCGCGTGCCAGTACGTGGCTCAGTGTGACCCAAGTCACGCACCTCCGGCAGCCACGCGGCCACAGGTGGCATTGCAGGCCGAGGGGCGGGCGGTGATTGGCCGAGAAATCTGGCTGCCCGATGGGGATCCGTCGGTTGCCGTATGGGGCAGGTGGGGCCAGCTGGCTACCACCGATAGGGTTAGCGCACATGTCGGCGGTTCCCAGTACAGCGAACGACCGCCGACCGACACCAATGCGTGCTGGTAGAGGCGTGTACACGTCCTGTATATGGACATGGACCGCCGAGGTACGTCTAGGGATGTACACCCGACGCCAGGACAACTAATTTTCAAATAGCCTGCCCGCGGCCGCACACCTTCACGAGCCCCTCGCACCCCGAGCTCTTCGCACTCCGGTCTCGTCTCCCGGGCCCCACGTCTATCCTTCCATCCCGGCGCCCGGTAGGTAGAATAGTTTGTCGACGCGGTCTCGACGATCCCGTAACGCACCCAGTCCCCTAGGAACATCCCTGGACGCCCAAGTCCATCGGCACTCTCGGACCGAAGACGCGTCCAGCGCCTCTCACGCTCTCAACCGCCGGAGACGAGCCGCTCCCCCCCCCCCCCCCCCCTCTCCCCCTCTCGCCGTTGGCCGCTCTCGATGCTGGCATAGACCACCTCCTGGGCAGCACCACCCGATAGGAATCTGTCGACGAGGGGTCTTGGTGTCGCAGGCAAGGTCGCTTCGAGAGTAGATCGGCGCTTGACGCCTGCCGCCGTGGATGGCTGCCAGCTAGCAACTTCTACTATTCCCGGGCGCCGAGACCTCAGCGTGATAGAGTAGGGTAGCACTACCGGAGGGTTCCACCGCCCTCACGCGTATGGAGCCAGTCTACGTCCGCAGTAGACGAGGCCCCCTGCGAGAGCAGCTGGCTTCTCGCCTGCTTCTCCTGCCAGAGGGGAAATACAGGAGAGACATCCCCAGGGTATCCCAGTCTAGGGAATATTATCGAATGGCGTAGAGAACGCTTCTATTTCCGTAAGTTGATCTGGCAGAATCTATCCATGTTCGAAGCGTCACCGTCTTCATGTGGTCGGCATTCCCACCTGCCACCCTGCACGACGTTGTATAGAACAGAATACGATGCAGTGATTCTAGGCATCAATGCGACCTGGGAGAGGCTACCGCCCAGGCAGACTTTTAGAGGAGAGACTCTGCTCTGAGGAAACGTACCACCAACCGACCTCGTCGTAACCGGGCGTGGCCATCTCCCATACACGCACATACACACATGCACATACACACACGCACACTCACTCGCACGCACTCACTCACGCTCACTCACATACGCCTCGAACCGGAGTGCAGAGGCCAGCGACGCTCTCTTCGAACAGCCTGCATGAAGGTAGGATAGTGACCGCGCATACCCGAGCCGACTTCCCTCCGACCATCGTCTTATAAATCTGCCGGTGGACTGTACGGCTAATCATGAAGGCCGATGGCATGATCTGACGGCGACGCCTGCATGAGGGATCGCATGGCGCAACTCGCTCCCTCTGAACGCTTTTGTCATTCGCGGATCCAATTTCCTGTTCGACTGGGCGCCGTATGCCGTTGATTCCCGCACCAACTACTAATGGGGCCCGGGTGGGCTGTCATGGGGGCAGGACGAGTCCATCGTCATATCAGGGCCCGCATTCCACTCCGACGCCTCCCCTCCCGCAGCATGGAATAACACAAGCAGGAATCGGTATGCAGCATGCTCAAATGCCCATATCACACACCCGGAAGCCTCCACGATGCCCAAAATACGCCCTTCATCGTACAGGCGGAGCACTCCTCGCGCCCAGCCAAAGGGCCATGCAGATGTGGTAACCGCCCGTACGATAACCGGGGTAGATAACGAAATTCCACGTCGTGGCCCAGCGAAAAGACGGCCCGTCTAGGACCGATCTGTCCAGGACCGAGCCGTCTCCTCCCCTCGTCCCCCCCTTCGACCACGTGCTTTGTCAAGCGCCAGGATGAGAAAATGCCTCCCCAGCATCCAGAACGATTCCAATGTAACCCATCACACTTAGGATTTTAGCGAGATAGGCGGCCATTCTGTCCTACTACACCATCCACGACTCGCCAGTAGGGCTTGGGTCGGCGCAGCGTAGGTGTGACCTATTATAAAGCTGAGAGGCGGAGGGCAGTATTATAGATTCCGATAACGAGAGCTCCGAAAAAGAGGAGTAAAGGTCACGTCCCAGAATAACCATAATAGATAAGAATTAACTGCCTCGACCGCTCAGTATTAGATCCTTCTCGGGGGTGAAGAAACCTGAGAGAGAAAGAAGACAGAACGAGAAAGATCCCTTCCGACCCAGGTATGTAAGAAGAGACCGAACATGCGGGCGAACGCTCCCTAAGCCACCACTTCTCCGGCAGACAATCATGTGCGACTGGGAGCGAACACTTTGCTCCACGTGCAACCGCGTAGTTCAGGACAAGTGCGTCGGCCCTTGCACGGATACATACCACGAGATCTACACGAATGGGGCCAGCGTGAGGATTGTCCACGGGACGTGCGGGCCCTGCAGCCATCCGACGCCGCCGTGAGACAAAGGGTGACCTGGCCTCACCCTACATACCTACGCGCATGCGTCTACGAACAGAGCCGGACCCGCACACGGCGACGACGGTTTAGAGGGGATAGGAGAATTTTGATCGCGAGAGAGGGTGGAGGGGGGTGTGAGACTCAGGGGTTAAGCGGGGCTGAATTACAACGGCAATATATTGCGATGTCACTCTCATCCGGGATCCTGGGAGCAATGCTGTGCAATGTCTTAGGAGGCAAGCGCCGTGCATCGCCACGCTCTAGGGGGGAGAGAATACTTACCGAGGACAGGAGCGGGTAAGCGGCTGCACTATACTGTACTATGGACATGTTCCTATCGACACTAGTAATATATATGCAGATCTCCAACCCTCCCATCATCGTCAGCCTCGCTCTCCAACCAGCACGGTGGCCAAATTCCCGGCCCCTCTGCATACAAAATACAATACCTACTACCACTACTTGGGCGAACTAGGACCCGGATATAGTGGGAGGAGAAGGGAGCCATAATATGTGCCTAGTGATTCGAATTCACGACCATTTGTATACCTACGTTATATACATCGTAGGGGGGGCAATGTGCCTGTGGGCGTGATATTGGGGTTTCTCATGCACCAAGCCAGTGGAAAGGTCTATTATATTAAGGGGGGGGAGGTGATTTTCGTAGGACACTCCAAATCACAGACCGCTACGTAAAATACCCCGATACTCCCCCAATCAGAAAATGGCCGTCCTAGGGCTACGGCACCAACGAGAAGAGAATATGCTGCCAAATCTCATGGGCAGTGTTCTAAATCGTGTTCTCTTCGGGGACCTAGCAGCATATGGCCCTATCCGTGGAGAGGGCAGGAAGCTCTTCTCTACCTACCCCCTTACCCCTTTATCCGCCCTGGGCGAGGGAACTGCCTCGAACTCCTTCAACCCTCGCACAACACCCCCCCCCCCCCCTCCCTAGCTGTGGGCATTCACTGCGTGTTTAAACTACAGCTTTCGTGTCAAAATATCAAGAAGTCGTTGTCGATACCGATTCTATAGGCGACTGGACCCCGAAGAGTCGGGTGCGATACGTACTAGCGCCCAAAGACGAGCAGCGGCCACCGCCAGCAAGACACGAAGCACGTAAACAAACCACGCACAGGAACCGCCAGACATATGTACTAATTAGCAACGAGGAACTTCTTGCCGGAGCCGAAAGCACACGCAACACGTTCACATTCGCCGTGCCTACCCTCGCGAACCGACTCGACCCGACGACACCCGCACCGCCGCTCTGCCACCTCTCCCTCCCCTTCCCCTCTCTCCTCGACAACCCCTTTCTTCCGCCCGCACGCTACCGGCGCTCCCGGCCCTTCAGTCGTAGTACCTCCGCGGCCAGATATTCATGGCGGTCTTGACGCCGGCCTCGACGGGGAGCCCCGCGTGGACGGTGCGGTCGTCGCCGGTGCCGTTGGCGAACAAGTTGACCCAGAAGAGGGCGTTGCCGGCGACGGGGCGGAAGGCGAGGCCGCCGTCCTCGTGGGCGCGCCAGAGGGGCCTCTCTCGGTGCCCTCCCACCTCCTCCTCCTCCTCCTCCTCCTTCTCCTTCTCCTCTGGCCCGGCCGAGAGCGGCGCCGGCGCCGCGAGGCGCGGGAACCAGGTCTCGCCGCCGGCGCAGGCGTCCTCGAGGACGGCGAAGAAGCTGGCGACGCGGTTCCAGGGGCGGGCGGCGGCGGGGCGCGGCCGCTGCGGCCGCGGGAACCAGTCGCGGTGGGGCCCGAAGTGCTGGCCGGCGGCGTAGCGCACGAGCTGGGGCGCGGGCGCGTCGCCGGGCGCGCGCAGCGCCGGGCCGAGCAGCCGCGCCGCGCGCGCGAGCACGCAGCGCACGGCCGGGTGGCCCGGCGGCAGCGCCGCCGACGCCGACGTGCGGCCGGCCGTGCCGCTGCGGTCGCGGCCCCCTCCCCCCCCCGCCCCCGGCTGCTGCACGCGCGACGGCGCGAACCCCGCCGCCGCCCCGGCCCCCAGCAGCGCCGCGATCTCCGCCCCCGACACGAACCCCCGCAGGTAGAGCACCACCGGGTCCACCGAGATGATCTCCGCCGTGTACGCGTGCGGCCGGCAGACGAAGGGGGCCGTGCGGCCGTCCCCGGGGCGCGCCGGCGGCGCGGGCGCGGCGGCGTCGAGGGACGGCGATAGTAGCGCGGCGAGGGGATGCGGGGGCGCGGCCCGCCATACGAGCGCGCCGAGCGCGCCGAGCGCGGCGACGAGCAGCGCGAGGACCAGCGCGTGGCGGCTGGTCGGCCGCGGCAGTATCGCGGGTGTCATGGTCCGTGGTGCGATGCGGGCGACGGAGCCCGAGCGTCGATATCAGGGGCGAGCGTCGCACAGGTGCGGGCTGGGTTGTTCGGTTTGCACCATAGGTAGGTGAGAATCATAAAGAGAGAGAGAGAGAGAGAGAGAGAGAGAGAGAAGCGAGGCAGGCAGGCCGGGAGGATGGCAGATAAATCTCACAAGCGATAGCTTCTAGCTGCCTCCCCGGGCGATCCACGTACGGCTCGACGGTGCGCGGAGAGCCTCGTTCCGAGGGGGAGCGAGCTGGTTGGCGGCTGCGCGCCCACGCACCTAGCCGTCGATGCGACTCGCCCTCCCCCGCCCCTTTTCGCACACTGCCGGGACCGTCACATTCTGGCCGCGCGCGCGCGGTGACACCCGCAATGCCGGCTGAAAAGAACAAGCAACTCTGGCTGGCCACTGCTACTACTGCCGCTGGGACGGCGAGGGGGAGGCACGATGCGCCGTCGGAAGCATCAATGTGGCAGTACTGCTACTATCCAGACACGTCATCTCGTAACTACCCCCCCCCCCCCCGAGGGAGCAGGATAGGGGTCGGCGTATAGCTAGCGATCGTCCAGGGGAGGTGTTTCTATGCTGGTATACTGGCCCCGAGCGTTAGGGAACGGTTGGCCGCATCTGGACAGCTAGCCTCGCACACGTCGGATTCGGTGCAGTCCCTCGAGAACACACTAGAAGGGGAGCCAGGTATTGGTGGCGTTCGTTGGGGCAAGGGCAGGGACAAGGGAAGGGGGGGGGGATTTATAGGAGCGGAGGGTGACAGCGTATAATCGCCTGCACACGATGTTGTATTGCCACCTCCCCCTCTCCTCCCTGGTTAACACAGTTCTCACGCAGTTAGTTCCAAGAATCGTGCTGACTTGGTATAGACGTCAAGTAGCAGTCGCGTAAACGTGGAGAACCTAAATCGTGCCACTCTTCAACTACGAGCACTACAGCGCGGATCCCGAAAGCCAACCATTCTATCGTGGACTCGCGGAACGCCTAGGTAATATGGGATGTATTTAGTGATTAGGCCGCAGACAGCCGTAGTGATACTTCTTAGGTCTCAGAGCTAGCAGGCTATTAGCCCAGTGCCTATCGTGCGAAGGGACGCCTCCAACGGATCCGCATAAGCGCTCATGTGTTAGACATCGCTATTATCCTCCACGAGAAAGACGCCGGCGGCTACAGAATATTCTGGCCAAGACCAACTCTTCGCTGGCTGCCAGATAGAGCATGTTATAGGGCCTTCCGATGACGTATTAAGGAGATATAGCTACCACGCATAAGGTCCCGGGGTCGTCCATACTCGTACTGTAGGCTTGAGAGGGGGTATGGGTAGCTATAGAACCGAGCTATTTATTGCGGCTTGTGATGGCGCGGCTCCTTAACATCGAGAAAAGCATACAACCACCGAGAAAAAACCATACTCTCGCGCAAAAGGTAGACGCCTACATTCTACGACTCGTAGTTTGTTGGCATATAAGGGCTGGTTCAATTGCTACGTGACACACACCAGATTACAGCCTCCTGGCCACATCATACCAGGCCGCTGCCGTGACATGAGCTGGCCGAATGGAGTAGATCCATCTGCCCGTACTCCGCCTTCGTCCAAATCACCGTATGCTTTATCAATATACTCCCTCACTCCTGACATGGGGAGGGTCCGTGCGATGTCTCCGGTAACGCATCTATCCGAGCCGAAAGGCCGTTTCGTTAGGGGCTGGATCAGCGATAGCTGCGGCGCTAGGCACCACCAGCAGACGCATTTATTCAGCTTAAGAGAAGCCCCTCGACAGAAACTGCGCCCTCCCTGCGGCGAGGCCGCTTTCTAGGTCGCAGGTAGATGTCGTCTCCGTTAACGCACCTATCTGAACCGAAGGACCGTTTCGTTAGGGGCTGGATTAGCGATGGCTGCGGCGCTGGGCCATGCCCCACTACGCGAGCTTGGTCAAAGTCTATCTTGATGACTCTCCGTACATTTTCGTCCCAAGCTAAGTTGGATTCGTTGTCATCGTCATCCTCAAGCCCATGGCCCTCAAGTTCTCGTAACGTGCGATCAGCCTCCCGATCCCAGTCTATGTCCCACCCCAGGCGTTTAGAGCGCTTGTGGAGTTTGGTGGAGTAGAGCGGCAGGCCGGCGTACGACATCAGCATCATGTGGGTAACAAGACAGAAGTTAACCATCGGATATGGCACGATGAGCTCTATGAGGCCTAGATGTACCGGTATCAGCGAGCCCTGGACATCGGCTAGTCTCTCGTAGATGGCCGTCTCCCGAGCTAGCTTGTGGCTGTGGAACGACTGCACGCCTTTGGCCACGAATGTGTATCCGTAACAAGTCAAGGTGATCTTGAATAGATACCCGATGGCCCCAGAGAGACCGCAGTCGACGTAGCATTCGCAGTCCAGCTCCGGATCTCGTTCCAATTGCAACCTGACGAGTTCTGAGAGCACCTCCCGGGTTATCGGGTGTAAGTTTGACGGCTGATTGTGCAGCTGGCAAGCCGCGTGCTCATGCAGTAGGATGTTGGGGCAATTGTAGTCGAGCTCTTCCCCGAAGGCCAGCCCGTGAAGACAGGCCTGCGTGCAGTATGGGCGTATTGGTAGAAGGGACTTGGTATCGTAGGGTCGAAAATCAGGCTGCATGGATTTCTTCGACCCGCCGCCCGTCTCACGTGGCTCATGCGGAGTAGAGACCTCGGAGTGTTTCAACGGGGATGACATTCGCGATGCGTGGGCCAGGGGAGGCAAGCGGGACCGCGTATTGCGTCCGCGGTCGTCACCTTCATCGTCATCGTCCCTACGCCGTCTGCCTAAGGAACTGCCGGGATCCTGGTGAGACGATCGCGATGAGGTGGAGGTCGACCGCTGCCGCGAAGTCTCAGACGGCGTCGCGTTACCCGAAGCCCGAGGCCTTGGAAATATCGGCAGGGTTGCGACCGCCGTCGTCCTCCAGCGCACGGAGCGTGGGGTATCCTGATCGCTGAGCGCGAGAACACACAAGCTGCAGAGCTTGGATACAGCAAGCCCGCGGAGCGCGTCCTCGTTTGCCGTGTTGGCATCCATGCTCCCTTGCGACTCGCCCTGGGCATATTCGGGGAGAAGGGTAGCGTGGTAGAGCAGGGTTGAACAATCCTCCTGAGGGATGCGGAGCAAGATGAGAATTTCGCCCGAAGCTAGATAGCCAAACTCCAAGCCTGACACTATCATGTAGTGGTACGTTTGGGCTAACGCGTAAGCTAAGTAGACTTGGTTTCGGATTGACTTGGCTGAGCTAGTGGTAGGTGGGGTAGAAGATCCTATGGAGAGATCCTCTACGCTGACCGGCGCCTCGATGGAGGGATCTGGAGCCGCATTTTGTCGCCGTTGCGCGAGCTGGTGGATGTAATCTTCTGGTAGAGATGAGAGAATCTTAGAAACGTCGGCCTGCCGTAGCTTATGGGTTGGCTTGTGCTCTCCTATGGTGACGCGAGACACAAGCATACCGGGGAGTGCATCATTGTCCTCTCCTTGGCCCTGTCCATCTAAGGCGTTCTCCGGTGATTGTTGGGCAGCGGCTGCTAGGACAACACAATCCGGTTGCGTCATGCGGTTTACGGCAGACTGAGAGTTGTTTTCAGAAGAATCGGACGCGTTGTACCCAGCAGCACGATCGTCGAAAAAGATTGTTCGAGGGTCGCTCGTGGTGTTGAGATACGCGTTGACAATCTTGCCAGCGGGGATTTGTAGGGTCTCGTCCAGGAATAAAGACGTTCTCTTCTCGTTGAAAAAGGCATTCGACTCGCGGAATTGTTGGGACAACTTCTCGCGAGTGCGGGTTTCAAAGAGGGATACTTCTCTGAGCGACGGAAGTAACCGCTGCTGCGAGAGAACATCTCGTAGACGAGAGAAGTTTTGCTGGTGGAGCTCCAGAAAGTCAGACCAATGGCAGAGTCGGAGAGGATAGTATTTTCCGTGGATGTTCGTCCGTCCGGTAGTAGCCCGTTTCGTCTTCGAGTCGAGCGATTGCGAAGGTTTTGAAGGGAGGAGGCGGGGGAGGTTCAGGGCCGAGTTGGACGTCTGGGCGAGGTATTCCTCGAGGGTTTGCTCTGGCGGGTTTAACAGTTAGCCCTGGAGGGACACGGGGACGGACATGAATACGTGCAAACAGGCGTGAACATACTCCGGTCCTCTTGTTCCCGCTCCTGATCCTTCTGCTCGAATTCTCGTTGTCTCGCGAGAAACGCTTGCTTGACGGCGAGCACATCTTGGCGGAGCTGTTCCTGTTCTAAAGCGTGAAGTGCACGCTCCCTTTCCACCTGCTTGCGCTCCTCGGCACGCTCCCTTTCCACCCGCTTACGCTCCTCGGCACGTTCCCTTTCCACCCGTTCGCGCTCCTCAGCACGCTCCCTCCTGAGTTGGGAGAGGAGAGAAAGTGCTTCCTCAAGAGATGCTGGTTCGTCAGCCTGCATTTCTACATATACTGCTCGAGGCGGGAGCGACAGGTCCCGAGGGACACGAAAATGGGTATGTCGGATCAACGAAGTGCGTGTGAAGAAGTTGTATGCATATTAAATTGTTGATGTCCAAAACCGTCAAGCTGCGAGTGCCAAAATTGTAGGTATAGTAGACTTAAGGTTGAACGCGATGAGAGAGCCCGATGGAAGCCTGGCCCAGAATTTTATTCCTCGGCAGCGACGAAGCGGGTCGCTTAGGTAAGCAGAAAGGGGTGTGGCGGTTGGCAGGGCAGGTACCATCCATGACGTAACCACCGAGCCCTGAAAATGAAGGCGCGTTGAGAACGCCTTCCTCGCCTGACGTCTGTAAGGCCTCGCCTGATACTTTTCGGCTTCTGAGCAGCCGTCGCGACTGCTTCCGGAAGATATACAACGTCTGAACCTTCTTGCCACGGTTTCAACCCAGATCCCGAGGGATTTCAAATCAGATCCCGAGAGAGGACTCGCGGAAGTCGTCTGTTCCGCCTCCAAAGGCGGTAGGCTCTCTCGACCCGAAATGATGCTGAAGTAATGTTGCAAAGCCTGCCCGCCTGTCGTCGGCTTGTACTCGTAGAGGCAGAGAGGATGCTCTGCTACTCTTCTCTCCTCGGTCCCTTTCCAGGCTCTTTGTGGCCCCGCACGCGGCCGCTTCTCTTTACACCTACCTACCTAGGTAGGTGCTCGTTACGCCGTCCACCATCCGATAGGGAGGTGATGGGAAGTACGAAAGGGGTGCCAGCCATTTAGTAGTCTCGACGGGATCCCACTTTGTAAAACTGCGGTTCCAGCGAAACTTGCTCCCTCTTCCTGTTGATCGCGTCTGCAAGCCACAGATAGGTATACCTACTACGAAGGAGGACGAGATTAGTCGTAGCTCTCCGTAGCTCCTCCTACCTAGGTACATAAAACGCACCACCGGCAACAGCGGCATCACTGGTTAGTAGTCGAAAGCGGCCACCGAATGCCAGACAGGTAAGTAGTAGCCGACGCCGCCGAAGCTCTCCCCGTCTCGCCTCGGCCCAGGCGCTAACCACTCCGAATTCCCTCGCAGCTCGTGCTCGTCGTGTCCGGCATCTTCACGAGTTTGTGTGCGGCAACCGTGTTCATCAACCACAACCAGGATCGCGAGATGGAATCTCACGACGTCGGGATGCTTTCTCTCACCGTATGTTCCCACATACCCGTACCTGCCTATACCTACCCATAGACCTACTTCTTGCACCTACGTCTTCCCCCTATCTCGCATACCCTGCCCGCCCTACACGCGAACAAACCCGCTGACACACATCGCTAACGTTGGGTTGTAGGCAGGCACCTTATTCTTCGTAGCCGCGGCATTGAGCAAGACGTCCTTCGCGATCACGCTCACGCGGCTCGCGGGGCCGAAGCTGAAGGCGACGCTGTGGGTGATCATCGGGTCGATGAACGTCACCACGATTCTTAGCGTGATCCTGCGTTGGGTGTAGTGCTGGCTGGTGAACGCTTGCTGTGGAACGCCGAGGTCAGCGGCACTTGCTGGAACCGCACGGCCATCCTCTGTGTCACCATCTTCGCGGCGGGTACGAGACAACCCTCCCCCTTTCCGCCTTGCTGTTGCACCCTACACACCCACCACGTCAGGCTAACGTGCCGGCCCGACAGCCTACTCGGCCATTATGGACTTCGTCCTCGCCGCCCTGCCCTGGGCCATCCTCGTAAAACTTCGGATCCACACGAGCGAGAAGGTCGGCATCTCCATCGCCATGAGCATGGGCACCTGGTGAGTGCGCACCCAATTAGCGTCGCGACGTATCCTAGGTATAGATTGATGATTTGGGTACGCGACCAGACATACACCTAAAGTATTGATATTACCGGCTGGACTGGGACATGCCTCTTACTACCTACGAGATACGCACATAGACACGAAGATGAATTGGTTGATATAGCTCTAATTGACGTCCCTAATACCTGCACCTTGAACGCTATTCTCCTAGCAGAAAAGTCCGCATTCGTCTCGATCGAGCTGTAGCCTCTCCTTGCACGCGAAATATTTAGTGGGCATAATAGGAAAACCCTGCTTGCAACGACGAGACAAAGGCACGACTGAACGAATCAAAAGGCTTGGAAGAGCGGCCGCGTTCATGATTACCTGCGTCAAGATTGGCCTGGCTTCTAGCAATAATATTACCTATATGGTATATGCCTGTATACAGTAGCTGACAGGGGGGAGTATTAAACCTGCGTGCCCACGCCAAGACGACCAAGTTCGTCAAGCCCCCCGCTTCGCCTCAGAATTCCCCCAGCTTTCTTCTCTGCGGGGAAACTCTGGGTAGGGGGATCCCGTAGTAAGATCCAGGGGGCTAGGTACCTTGGCGATCGCGGCCCGGCCCGGCCCGTCGTAGTATGTACGTCGTCCTGTCATCGGCGCGGTCGATCATCTGATGCCTACTACGGCGCTACCGCGTGCGTGCCTACGAGTCGTCTATTGTTAACCTCCCAGCTTCCGGGTGGAGGGCGCGTGGAGCGAATGCGCCGTGGTTGTAATAAGGAATAAGGTAGGTACGTATTACCTAGTGTGTGTGTTTGTGGGCCGATTGATACGGGCAAGCGAGAGACATCACGCAGAAGAAAGAATGCGAGCTCTGGAGCGAGCGATGTGCTGGTTGCATTTAGGGGGAGGGGAGGGGGGGGGGGGGGGGACGGTGGTGGTGGTTTTATTATTGGTGGTCGGTTGTCTGAGTAAGTAAGAGCAGAGCTTGGACATGATGAGGCCCTGGCTCTGGTATAATATATTATGTATGTGTGTGTGCATATAGGTAGCTGGACTGCGTAGACAAAAGCAGGCAGATGTAGATCGCTTCACATCGTGGTGCGTGCGTGCGTGCGTGTGTGTGTGGGGGGGAGTGTGTGGGAAAGGGGAGGGAATCAATTCATAGTGCAAAGTCGTTCCGACGCCGTAACGCCCCTAGCCGCCTATCGTTAATATCCCTGGATTCGTTCCTCCAAATACCCTCTCCCAAGCATCTCGCTTTCCTCCCTCCCCCTAGTTCTAGACCAAACCTTCGATTTCTTCTTTGCCCTCCTCCTTACCCTCCTGGTCCTCTTCGTTTTCGTCCTCCCTCTACTTTCCTCGTCGTCACCATCCATATCGAGGCTACTATCAGATTCCTCGATCGCGGCGGCGACGAGAGCGGCCCTTGTCTCCTCTACTCTCTTCCCCCATTCACCCGCCAGCATGTACAGCTTCTCGGGCGTTCCCCGGTGCGTGGACAGGCCCTTTATTGTCACCTTGAGGGCGGCGGCGGCGGCGACGACGACGGCTTGTTCCTCTTTTAGTTTCTTCCACAAGTTGGCCAGCCGCGTGGGCCGTCTCGGGGGCGTGATCAGGCCCCCCCTCTCGCGTCTGAATGGCGCCGGCGCCGGGGGCGGTGGCTTCTTTTTCCTCCGCTGCTTTCTTCCACTTATCGGCTAGCATGTACAGCCGTACGGTCCGTCCCCGGTGCCAGGGCAGGCCCCATGCTGCCTGAAGAATGGCTATCGAGGACTTTGGTTGTGGGTACGTAGGCGAGCTTTCGTAAATCCAGCCGCGCTTCTCTGGCTGGTCTTTCTTGGCCCGGGGATGGGCAGTGGCTGGTGTAGACATGGTGGTGGTGGTGGTAGTGAAACTGTGGCGATGATGATGCCGTGGTATTAATGAAATTGTGGCAGTGGTGAAGTTGTAATGGTATTAGTAGTAGTAGTAGTAGTAGGAGAAAGAGCGTAATATCTAACGATAGATGGAATATGGCCTTAGAGATGGGCAGGTGTTATGGAGGTTATAGGGCAAGATAGCCGGTGTTTTGTGGTTGTTTTCTGGTTGCTGAGAACAGTAGCGTAACGAGAGAGAGGGTTGTCTGTTAAATACGCATTTATCCTGGGGAAAGAAAGGGGAGGATGATAGGAGACGGCAGGCCACTGTTTTATAGAGTAGACACGGAGGAGGGTGATTCGTAGCTAAACTCTGATGTCTCTGGCTATCGGATATCCGATCCCCCTCTGGCTTTTAGAGCAACTCTAAACTTTCAGTCTAAGCTCTAGGGTGAGAGAGTTGGCACTGGCACTGCCGCTGTCAAATTCGTTAATACGTTTCGGTGGCTCGTGACAATCTTGGTGCGCCGAGGTGGTAGTTTCGCAGTATCTCTATAGGCGGGACGTCTTCCTGCGTTTTCTTTTCCTTCGCCCCCCCTCCCCCGACTCCCTCTATTCCTCCTGCTTTGTGATTCGTTTCCCGAATCATGAGCGGATTGTATTTTCTTATTCGTACTTCCAGGGATGGCTCTCTTTGCCGCCGGTAATTACCCGTAACAACTACAAGGGTTCCATGTTTTCGCACTCCCGTTCAGTCGTCTTCGTTTTCCTCTCGCTGATGTGGCTGACGCGTCCCCTCTCCGGTGTTTTGCATTATCGTTGTTTTATTTTCCATTAGTGAAGGAGGAGCTACGCAGGTCCGCAAAGGGGGTGACCGACTACGTCAGTAGCGACCGGGGAAGAGGACAGTGCCCAGATTCGTAACGCGTAAAACAACTTAAGTAACTACATGGAGCCTCTTCGTGGCAAGTAGGTAGCGCTGTTATATCACCCCCTTCCCTCCGCTTCCCACCCCCCAAGCACTGGGCCGGGAGACATTAGTTCATAGCCTCTAGTGACTTCACGTATTGTAAATATCCGACCAAAGAAAGCTATGTCCAGGCCTAGAAGCTTAGAAGATCCCACGAAAGCTCGGATACAAAACGGTCTGTCTGAGGATGCCAAGAAGAAAGCTATAGGTATGGCCCTGCATCATCCACGATAAAAGTGACCGCGATTTCACGTGATGGCTTCATTTAGATACCATCTATCACGTGACCACGGGCGACAGCCACCCTCTCCCCGTGCTCCAAGACCGCCTTTATGCCATGGAACGGACGCGAATGGGGGGGGAGGGCTTGGCGGTGTCCCTAAATTCCAAGAGAGCTTAAAGGGGGAGAGGACGCGTGTTATTCGAGAGGGGGAGGGGGGGGGGATGACAAGAAGGGTGGGCGAAAGAGGTCAGGAGGAGGGAGTTGGCTAGGTTAGGCTGGGTTAGGGCACATATGAGTCCTCTATGGGCCTCTAGAGAGATGGATGCTTATGTGTAGGGGACTCGACGCGATATGCCACCATCGGCGACGCGCCATCTAGACGCCCGGGTCCGGGGGCTATGCGAGGTCCCGAACGAGCGTCGCTTACCAAAAAAAGCTTGTGCGGGCGGGGTGCATACGCGTAAGCCCCGACCGACAGGATCCCCCTACTCTACCTGGTGCGAGAGCACTCTCCCCAGCCTGTCTCTCGATTGTTTATCGCGGTGGCGATGGTAGTAAGACGGGGATCGCGATGCCCGACGTGGAATTATTGTCTAGCTGTATTACTCCGGCGCTGCCTTCTAGATAAGCCCCGCTTGCTAACACCCTCGAACACTAATATCTGCTGCCCGTCCCCGCCTCCCAGCCCATCGCCGGCACACCCCAAGTCGGCCGGGGTCCCTCAATATAACTTGCAGCTTGGCTTATCACCCAAGCTGTATGACCAACCCGTTCTTAATCGCGTCCATCTCCCGTTTACCTAGCGGGTCTTTCTTATCGAAGTTGGCCGCTTTGCGCTTTGCGCTGGTCCATGTTGTGATATCTAGGGCGTCGCCGCCAATGCGGACACCGTTCTTCTTGGACACGTACACTGTTACCTTGGCGTATTTCGTCTCGTATCTCTTTAGCCCCGCCTTCCAGCCCCATAGATCTCCCGCGCCCGCTGACGGCAGCTCGATGTCCCCGTTGAGACCCGCCGTGAGCTCGTCGACGTCTCGAGGGCCCTGCAGCGTGACACCGCGTTGGTTGGCATAAGTCAGGATAGCGTCGTCCGAGCGGCCGGGGTTGAACTTTGTGCTGGTATTCTTCTTGACCTCTTCGAGGGCACCGCTTGCGCGCGCGTTTGCCATGATCTCGAGGTACATCGCCATGGTCGTACCGATGCTCTTGACGTCGGTAGCGTCACCCAATAGACTTTTCTTATCCAGCTCGGCCAACATGTTGAGAAACATGCGGCCGATGAGGCGGAACGTTTCGTTGACATATTCGCTATCGCCAACACTGGGGACGGGACGAGGGTTAGCAACTGTCTAGTATCCAGAACAAATAACGGACGCATTGAGAAGGCTCTCTCTATCAATCTCTCGCACGCAGGTGCATACAGGAAAGGAACTAACTTACGTCGTGAGAAAGTTGCTGCCGGAACAGATCAGCCAAAGCGCGAGGCCCTCGCAAACGGCCCATTGCTCTCTCCATCCTCGACCGGCGGCTTCGACGTAGTCGAGCAACACGTTTTGCACCACCTCGAGAGCGCCATAGCCGCAATGGTCGTTGAAGGTGTACATGTCAAAGTTGTCAGGGTTGCGCAGTGACATCAAGATGGACAGGGTGCTGTGTTTGCGGTACCCGGCCTGGCTGATGATCCAAGGGTGATCGGGGTTCTCCGCTACGGGCTTTAAGCAGAAGCAGTTCCCTTCACCGCACTTTGTCCGTCCCGGATCCTTGCGATCTCCGTTGTCGGTGTCACTCTCGTCGTCGTCGTCGTCATCTAGGGGGCAGATGGTTACAAAGGAGTACCACCTGTCGGGATTCTTCCAGGTCGTCTTGTAGTCGGCGTCAGCGTTGGCCGAGCCTGAGACGGCGGCCCATCGCTCGCTCCTGGGCGGTTCGTCCTCGGGGGTCTTTGCCTTCTTCTGCTCAGAAGAGCCAGAGCCAGACGAGCGACGTTTGGGAGGCATTTTTTCGGAGGAGAGAAATGCGATCGCGCGGTGGCTAGTAGGAGATGGGAACGAACGAATATCGACCGAGTTGGAACTGCGAGACAGCACCGACTTTTATCTCGTTCGAGTTTTCCAGATTATCGGTGAAGGAAAAGCAGGAGATCACCTGTAGGCATACATCCTCCCTATATATTATGCACTGCATAAAACATTAGGCTACCAAGGTGCCCGTTATTTATGCTGCCTGTAGATACGAAATACATACATGCACACGCCTTAGCCCCAGATGAGCCAAATAGCGAAGACTACCAAGTAGCGCTGTTAGGAATCGAACCTATCCTCCATTAAGTAACCTACTGATCTGCCCCCTACGCGTCGAAGAGGCGCGCCGACGTCTCGTTCGTCTTCGTACGAATACGTCATGCCTGGCGCTTTGGCCCTGGGCAGGTACCTGTAATATCCGTGTCGATGTTTGGGGTCCCGATTTCTGATTAGCTACCAACCTATCCGCTCAGTCTTCAACCCTCTCCCAGACGTTCCGTGCATAAGTCGCCAGCTCTGGGACACTGATAATAAAATCGCCCTCTTGCGGACCAGGACCTCGCAGAAAGAGAAGCCGAAACGAAAGTACCAGTGCACCGCTAGTAACATGGTACGAATTGGTGGTTATATCCCGTATAATGGCGATACTCTGCCGTAATACCGGTTGGAAAGTATTACCATTAGTCGACCGTCGTGTATTCGTAGCTCCTTGGCGAATCTGTAACTCTTCTTCCCATCTCTCGATGATGATCCTTTGGTTCCCGTGATCAAACTTGGCGAGAAGTACAATCTTAACGTCATGGTCTGACGCTAAAAACCACCATCTCATATCATCTCGGAGGGCAGATAGAGACTCAGAGTCTCCAGCCTCAATGACCAGCGTTGGCCAGGAGCCTGGAGAACTACGTACTGGCCTTGGGCAACCACTTGAGTCGCCTTCTCCAACATCACCTTCAGGGTGACCTCGCGGTCGAAAGGTAGTACTACCAATTGGTCTCCAACCTCTGTCTTGATTTTTCCTGACAAGCTTGTCGCGATATAGATTCCAGAGCTCAAGGTGAAGTGTTTCGTGTAGGCAGGTAGGGATTGTAAGAATTAGAAGACCCTGGTTTGCATGGTACCGGCGGATGCGACAAGGGCGTTTTTCTCGGGAACATAGCCTCTCGAAATCAGCAGGAGGGACTTCTACCTACTAATTAGTAGATAATTCTTAAAAACTTGGGGTCAAGGAAATATACTCTTAACAATGAGAAAGTCACCCTGGACCTGTCTGACCACCTTGAGGAGGTCTTGAACATTTGTGAATCGAATCGTAGGCATGTCATCTCTTTGATCCACATCTGAGTCTACCGTAGTGGCAAACAAGAGCAGCGTGGGCACGCTGTGATGGAGACCCGTTTAAGGACTACCCAACTGGCAACAACTGGCTCAGTGCCGATCGAACTAGATCACAACTGTAAACAGCTGTAATCAGTTGATCGGCCAGCTAAAAACGACAGCTGGGAAGGACTAGAAAAGATAGGGACTAGGACGACGAAGAAGGCGTAGTAAGAAACGAGTGAATGACTGTAGGTCCTGATATCTCCAGGTCCAAGTCTAATCGATGAAAATATGAGTGCGAGACTCATATAAATACTCATCTGAAAGGCTACGTAGCCTAGTCCCACCGCACCACTACAGTGGGTAAAGTTGAGACTGAGAAGGACGGGGATGCTGATGCCATCGTGAAGAGATAACTAGTGGCGGGAAGAAAGTTGGTTGCGTGAGGAAAGTTGGTCCCGTGAGGAAAGTTGGTTCCGTAAGGAAGTACGGAACCAGGGAAGTTGATCCCGTGAGGAAAGTGGTTGCGTGAGGAAAAGTGGTTGCGTGAGGAAAAGTAGTTATAGCTCTCGCTAGGCGGTGGGATGGGGCAGAATTGTGGCAAACTTTTTCCGCGGGGCTAAGGCTGCCATTTTCGGAAGGCCCAACATTAACACCGTGTTATAGGCTGTGCCCATTGTAGGGCCATAGCTAGGGCATGGCACGTGATCAGCTCCTCAGCATAAGGCCAGCTGTTGCAAGTGCGGCCCACAGGGCGCACTTTTCCTCCTTTTCTCCTCGTCTAGCTTTAAATCGTCAATATACGGCTTTCACCCAGCGAACAGCTCTTGAAACCGTGACACTAGGTTCAGCTTTCACCACGTCTTGCATGCCTTACAATTAAGGCAGCGAGGCTCCGAAAGTGAACCGCCCATACGCACACAGACATGTGCGAGCATATATGCGTATATAGGTATACATCAAGAGGCTAGGCCATTTAAGAGGTCTGTTAAAAGGGGGATCGTCGACAAGGCCCGGGGATATAGGCGGTCTGTTCGTATTTCTTTGCTCTTCCTCCATGTCTTTGTCGTCTTCATCTTTGCCAGTACGGTAGCCCGACTCCCCGATAGAATCACAGTAAAAATAATATATTTAAAAAAAAAAAAAACACCAGAGTATTACAGAGGGGAATACCCCAGGGAAATCCCACGAGGAGGACACGGGGGAGCGGCTACGAGTACGTTTATGTATAAAAGAAGCGCTCCTAATACCATGTGAAATCTCGAGAGTTCCTGAAGCGAAGAGGAGGAGAAAAATTAAACACGCCGACGCGTGCGCAGCCTCATAACATCCCGCTACACCTCCATTCTCGATGTCTGTGCCCTGCGCAGCCAAGACTTTCCCGATCCCCGGCCGTGGCCGCCGCAGCACGTCCTTATTTGCTCGGTCGGCGGGAACGACGACCAAGGGGTACCTAAGTAATACCGCACTGTCCCGGTCGCACCGATGCCGGCGACGTCGTCGCACGGATATCCCTCGAGCTTGCGGTGAAATGCGTACCCCAGATAAGCGCGCAAGATGGCGTGGCTGAGGCGGGCTTCGCAAAACAGGTAGGTAAGGCGCTGTGATTACCTATAGTGAGCGATAAGGTTACCGGCTACGTCGCTCTCGGTTATGTGTGGTCGAGTAAGGCGGGTAACAACAACTGAGTTGGTTAAATCCGATATCGAAGCACTCGAGGCCTCTGGAGGCGTCGGTCGGGTTCGATTGCCCGGTAGGTAGTATAATCGGCGACGTAATTCCTCTGTGTAGGGATTTGGGAGAGCTATAACACCTCTGGGCTGACCGTCTTCGCATCATACAAGACGGCCGAGTCACAAAGCCTGCTTCGTCAGCCCCTCTTACGCGCGAAGTAGAAGGCTAGAGCATGAGTCCGGGAGATTTTACGAGTGCGTCGCTGATACTTCCTTCGCTTTGGAATAGGAGGGGCTGGCCGTTCTGAGAGAGGCTCCTAATATCCAAGCGACGGCTCTTCATAGCGGAAGGCCATGTCTTATACGAATGTTTCCCAGGACTGAGCCATCGAGCCTCTTACCTGGGCTCTTCCATCCACGAGGCTAGGAACAATACCCTATCTTTTTGGGGTAGCTTCGACGAGATGTGGCTCCTCACGTCATGCTTGTCGAGGGACTGCGTTGCGGGACGCCGTTTGTCGCTAGGAGAGTCGCGGCCGGGGCCGTGGGGCTGTGCGCGTGGAAGGACTGCTAGCCGTGGTGAGAGACCGTTGTCCTCTGCTAGGCACACGAACACGGGAGGCTCCAGTCTACATCTAGACATATTTTGCATAGGTAGTATGTAGTTCTTAACGATGTTTTGATTTGCGCAGGCCTGTGCGGTCTGCGTCATGTCATTAAAAGAATACTCATTACCATGCCGAATACATTAGGTATAATGCCCACGTGTCTACGTTCGCTCGACCACCCGTTCTGTTTTGACTACCATGATGTGCCCCGGTTCCGATCCTCTACCAGCGTACGTACGCACATCCCGCAGTCCTCGCGCGGGTTATATCCACCCGGTCTCGGTCCTCGAATCTCATTATTCATTACGGCGATTATTCTCACTCCCGCGCCTCTCATCTTGTCACCGGTCTCGAACGGGATAGGCGCGAGGAATTCACCACAGGACGCGTAGGTCCCGGACTAGGCCGGCGACCTGGCAGGCTCGAGGGTCTGGACGCGCAGGTCGACGGGGACGCAGGAGGGGTTGCGGGGCGGGGGCACGGCGACCCAGGCGATGGAGCGGTAGTAGTAGCCGCCGGTGTACTGGTAGCAGAGGTAGAAGCGGGTGAGGTCGCCGAGGTAGGGCGGGGGCGCGGGGCGGGTGTCGTTGAAGGCGGAGTCGTCGTAGCCGCCGGGCAGGTAGACGGTGCCGTTGTCGGCGCTGTAGTAGAAGTTGGTGCCGCCCTGCAGGCCCGGGTACACCATCGCCGGCACCACGTTGGTGCCCCAGCCGCCGCCCGACAGCTGCACGGCCGACGGCACCCCCGTGCCGGCCTGGTCGCCGCCGAGCGGCAGGATCCACGTCAGGTACCCCGGCTGCCCCGATGACGACGACGACGTCGTGTTGAAGTACCACTCGAACGAGTTCCCGTCCACCGGCCCGTCTGCGTAGCACAGCGCCTCGATGCCGGCCCCGGCGTGGCAAGCGCCAGCGTATCCTGTCCGAGTGGTTAGCACGCGATGCCTTTTGCCTCGGTTTTTTTTTTAATCTGTTTCGCCCTTCTTCCTCAAGACGATGCATGGCGGCGGCGGAGAGCAGCTGAAGCACATGAAGACTAGAGAGGGAACGCAAGAGAGAGGTGAGGGGAGCCAAGACTTACCATCAATCGAGGCGTCCTCCTTGCCGATGATCTGCAGCGCGAAGGGGCCGGTGACGTCCGCGGCCACGGTGGCGACCGTGGCGGCTAGGATAGTAGCGGGGAGTCGAGACAGCATTTTAACCTCTGAACTGTCAATGAAAGGAGATATAGATGAGAGTTGATAGGCAGAAGGATAAATTAAAGGTTGATGAACGGAGGGATAGAAGAGGGTTGGTGGACGGAGAAGTGATGGACGGGAGGTCATCTTTAGATCCGTGACGGAGAAAGAGCACGCAGATAAATAGAGCCAGGGCAGGCGGAAGGGACGGGATCGACCGCGGGCCGGTTATCGTATCCGGCAATCTAGCCAGGTGCAATCTAGCCAGGTACGTCGCGGGCAAGGCGAGTCAGACAACACGAGGATGTGGTGGTGAGAGAGGCGGAGCTGCGATGCGGTCTAAGATGGGATATATGGATACGAGGTATTGGTGCTAGACCGCAAGCGGGTGGAAGGAGAACGGGCGCGCCGGAAAAGAAAGAAAGCCCAACGCCCCAGAAAGGGCGACGAGGGCGACGATGATGTAGGTGCCGGCCCTTGTTGTCCCGGGTGCCTGGGAGAAGGGGGAAACGAATGCCCATCATTCCGGCTTTGGGACAGCCACGGGGCGAGAGGGGATCGTGGGCCGACCGACTTGGGTTGTGCCTATCCACAGCTCCCCCCTTTCCCCCTGCCGCCCATGCCCGTCCGCGATTCGCCGAGCAAGCGACCCCGTATATACAGAGCTCGTATATTACGGAGTCGACGACAGCAGTTCTATTCTTACCCCTCGCTTCCGCTGGCATATGGCTCGGTGCGCGTATACCCACGGGATGGCCGGCTGTTTACTTGCGCACCTCTCATCCACGGGCAGGCCGTCGACCAGCGATCAATCGCCTGGCCGGGCCCGGCAACCAGACCCTTTCCTCTTCCTGTCGTCGCCCGGCGGCCGGCGCAGACCATTCCACCGGCATTCTAGTTATCCACCGACATGGCTGTTCACGCGCCACAGATAGTGTAAATGTGCACAGTAACTCTCCGTACGCTCCTCCGCCGCCTGCGAAGCGACACCGCAGATCTTCACTCTTTGCGGGATCGCGCCAGACGCCGCAGTGCGCGCGTACTCACACTAAGCAGGCCCGTCCGGCAAGCGGTCAGCCAGCAGGGGCAAGTTGGCTAAATACTCCGGCAAAGAGGGGAGAACCTCCTCTCTCCTGTCTCCTCTTCCACAGCTACTCCGACTCCATTAGGTTCGTGGCGACCAGGTGGCTGCTGGCTGGCTTGGCCTACCTACCTGCATATGCATGTAAGGTTACTTGCCATCCTGCCGCCCTGCCTCCCCCCTCCCTCGTGTATGCAATGGTAGGCTGGGTGTAGATCGCGAGTGCGTCGGCGCGGAGGATTTGGGCGGTATATTTGTATGCATGCAGCAGCGCGCGTAGCCGAGAGATGGGGGATGGGAGGTTGACGGGGGGGGGTGTTTGTTGACATGTGTGATGTAGATCAAGCCTTGGGATGGGTGCTTGCATCTGTTGCATGTGTCGGGAGCCCACGAGGTAGGCGGGTGGCGAGGGAAAGAGGAGAGACACGGCGAGGGAAATAAGGAAAAAAAAAAAAGGTAATAAGCAAAACGAATAGAAGACGGAAATAGCAGCGGAAAACAAGGTAGAGAAAAAAATAAGAAGAAGAAAAGAGGATGCCCAAGACAGCACGACTATCTTTGTTCCCAAAGTACCTCCCTCGTCCGTCCATCACGAAGGCGGCGGCCCGTTGTGCGATGTGAGATGAGACACCCAGCAACCGCCGACTCTGCGCCGAGCTGAGAGGGTCCGAAGCCACAAGCCGCCGCCTTACTCTGCCTACCTTTGCCTACCCCTCTAGGCATACGATAGGTGCTCCATCCCGGCAGCCCAACGTTCGCGAAGCATGTCTGCACTTACGCAACACCTCCTCACCTCTCCTCCTCGCATATCCATCCGGTAGGTCATGCCCCTCCCTCGTTCCGCCGCCCGCTAGCTAGAGGAGGACCGCTTCGCCAGCATCCCCGGTCCATCGCACACCCTGCGCCCTCAGACGCAGGGACTCTCGCGCTAATATAGCGGCCGCCGGCGCGCGATCGATCGCCTAGCCTGAGGCCGCCGAAAACTCTCGCCTCCCTCGGCGTCTCTCTGACTCATGCGTGAGCAAGGCCGCGGGGGGATTAGGCGTAGACCTACTACACCCTCCTTACTCGCACACGACGTGGCGAGCAAGCACCGTGCGGTTCTCTTCTCTCCCCGATTCACGACGGCCAGATGCACCAAGTAACACATATAGCCCGGGACACACGCTTACGTACATGCACACAGCCACACGGTGACGCGAGAGATGTGGGATGAACAATGCGTCTTCATCTAGGGATTAATATGTACTCAGAACAGATCGGTAGGTGCGGAGAGACTATGTACATGGATATATAAGGATACGGGTTCCCCCCACCCCATCCCCGCCCTTCTCTCTGTGAGTGTATATATCTCGTTTTCAACACAAATGAGGTTATAGACAATCCGACCATGACGGCATGTGTTCACACCTTCACGTCCGCCGGGATAGATCATGGGAGGTGCAGCGACGTCATGTCGTAGATGCGTGAGAAGAAGGCTGCCGAAGTCTGCGACGTAAGGGGGGAAGGGTGCGTAAGGGTAAGCAAAGGAGAAAGGAATGCCCGCGGAAAAGCTTCTCCGTCGGGATGCATGTCAAATTGTGGTCTATCAGCCCGTCCGAATAGAACAAATCGCCGCCCGCCCCTTCTCGAGCCCCATCCTCTTCTGCCTAGGGAAAAGAAAAACAGTATCGTCCCGCCGTTCCGACCTGAAACCTCTTTTATGATCGCTCCATTGCTAGCGAAAGAAAAACGACTGCCCTTGGGTTTCACCTTCCAGCCTAGGAAACACCAGCCCCGTCAAGACCGTCGCCGCGTCCACGACGAGGGGGGTTGACGGAGCGAGAGACCATATGACATGTCGACCGACAGGAAAGGCCGGATTCATGGTTAGAGAACAATAGAGAAAGATAGGTCCATCTCCACGCATTGCGGCAACGAGCCAGACAATTGGATTTGATATTTGAAATCTCTTCGCGCTGGCAAACCTGTGCCTCGCGATGCAGGGTGTGCTTTTTCGTACGTGTAACTAAGAGAAGCCAAGCGTAGATAGACATGCATCTGTCTCAGGTCTCTCATATCTCGTCCCGTCATGCTCGTTCCATCGTGCTTCAGCGCATCGAGGCCGTCTTCGATGCACTGTCGTCCCAAACTAACGTTGCTTTCGTATTATACATTTCGAGAGTCGTGAGTGATCTTTTAGGGCTCAACATATCGGTGGGTATTATAACCCGACGTCGATAGTAACAACGACGGTTCGCCTCGACAGGCCCTCGCCCATACATAAGCTAGGAAGTTCAATCAGGTGCTTAACATATCCCGATTGAGCCACGTGTGCTGCGGTCGACTTTGCGGATCGCATACTGCACCCGGCAGCGGTCTTATAACTGTTTTGTGCGTGGAAGGGAGCCGACGACGAATATATTGGTGGTATATCTCTGGTCAGCGAACAATCGCCTATCCCAGTATAAATCGTAGATAACGACAAGTTGAAGATCGCATTCGCACGGATCCCTCCTGCTGCAGCTTCATATCGCAATCTTCTTGGCCGTCTCTGTGCTGCCGATACTCGTTTGAGTATCACGCCTCTTAGCGGGCGATAACGTTCTGCCCAGTGGCGAGCCGTTATTATCCCTAGTTGTCGGCCCCCGTTTCTTGGGCTTCATGACGAGGCCCTCGTCCGAATCGCTCCCTTCGTCATCATCGATTGCCTTCGTGGTGTGAGACGATGGAGTCAGGGAGTGGTGTGGCCGAGGGAACAGCAGTGTCTGAAATCGCCCGTCGCCGTCGATGGGGAAACGCGACCTCGATTCTTTGGTAAGAGCTGGTGGGGTGAGGGAATCCGTCGTGTCTATGAGGGAAGGGCGCTCAAAAGAGCCGGGTTTGAGGAGAAAGTCACCCTCGGCGTCGGCGGATACTGAGCTGGCGCCACTGAGCAACGCTGGCAGAGATGGATCAGAGCAGAACATCTGCATGTCACCATGGCGATCCCCTATATTCGTTAGGCTTATAGGACTCGTTGACTCGCAAGGGCTAGTTAGCGGTGTCATGATTGTACCTGTCGAGGCCGAAGCTGAGGTGGTCGCAGTGCTGACGGTATCCTCCCTCGACCGTCGCTGGGGGTGTTCCAGCATTAGGCTATCCGGAGAAGGAGGGCAGGGCTCCGAAGTAGTAACATCTCTCCCGCGGTCAACTCGTGGGTCTCTGTGCCCCGCTTGCTCCTCAGCCTCTCGATGATGTTGGCGAACCACTTGCTCGTGATCCCGTGTAAAAGACTCTGAAACGGACGACTTGTGAGCTCTTCTCGATGGGATGATGTTGTCTTCCATCTGCGAAGCTCGATGTGCCGTCATAGGTCGCTCGGCAAGGTCTACCGTGCTCATGTGGGTCTCGTGCATATTGGGGTCCGAGTTCGGTTGGCCATGTTGATAAGCATGAACTGCTCGGGAAGAGAACAAGATGGGAGACGGTAGGGTGGGTCTCCGGTAGGAAGAGTAGGGTTTGGATTCCGGTGGGTTAACCGAGAGTGGGCGTTTGGGAAGCTCTAAGCTCCCAGGGGCTACAGCCATGCTCAAAGCAACCTTAGCTTCAGCTCGCTTATCGCTGTTGCCAAATAGCCCGCGGTCTACCGATCGGGAACGAGAGGCTTCGTCGACAATCCCTATATCTCGGGCTTTCCTCAGAGAAGCGATCGGATCGTCCCTGACGCAGGTTTCGAGGGCGGGAGAAGCCGGTGTCGTGTATGATTCCTTCCCATGACTGAGTGCCAGGATGGCGTTGGTAATCGACCTGGGTCGGATGTGGCGGCTGGTTATGTGGCCCTTGCCCGAGGATAAGGAAGTCGACGGCGGCGACGGCCCGGCCGGACCTGGATGCGCGTTAAAATCGTGGATCGAGCCGCTCGTACTACGTCTGAAATCTCCGCCTACCGATGTCGTAGCATACTGAGCAGGACCGGGCCCGTCATGGACCGGGGACTCCTGAGGCGTTGCAGTGACGCTTTGTGAAAGAGGGTGGTCAAACTCTTTAACGGTAGCGAAAAAATCCTCAGGCCGTATGCTCCTTCGTCGGGCATCCCGTATATGCATTGCCGATGTTACGATTGGAGAGCTGTCTTCCGCAGAGCTAGCAGCGCTGCTGGTCGCTCTCTTCCTCGAGGGGGCATCTACTCTTTCCGCCCGCGGGTGCATCACCTTCCCAACCGCCTTCTTCACGACAGAGCGAGCTCTCTCGAGAAACGTAAGCGGGACGACAGCACGCGTGATCTCCCGTTCGTCAACCTCAATCTTGCGGCCGGAGGTGCGGCGCGATGGGTCCGTCTCGTCGATCCAGGCGAGAAGGTTGGGAATGCCCTGTACAACCCACGGATGGCGCTTCACTTCTCTGAGCCTGATCCTCTTCTCGGGATTCTTAGTCAGCATGCGACGGAGGAGGTCATATAATAGATCGTCAACCTCTTCGTAAGCAAGAGTATTGTCATCGCGGTATGGCGCACTGCTAACGCGCTTGTACAAGGACGTCGAAGACGGGGAATGCTGCGGGTCGACGGGCCGAAGTCGGCGACGTGGGATGTATACATCCTCCTTGGCAATCTTCTTGAACATTTGGTACTCGTCCTCGCCCATGAACGGGATGCGAGCAAATATCAAGCAGTAAAGAGTTACTCCTAGCGACCACACGTCGATTTGCTCCGAGATCTTAGGATGCTCCTCAATTGAGTCCGTGTAACACAACTCGGGCGCGAAGAAAGCGGGCGTGCCAACAGTCTTGGCTAGTTCGAGATCGTCATCGAAGTCGCGGGCCTCGGACTCGGATACGACCTCGTCGGTTTCGCCCTCGCGGATGGGCCGACCAAAGTAGGAAACACCGAAATCGGATATCTTCACCCTATGGTCCCTGGTCCATAAGAGATTGGCGGGCTTTATATCACGATGGACCACGCCTTCGTAGTGCAGGTACTCCAAGCCCAGCACGGTATCACGGAACGTAGCACGGGCGCTATCGATCGTGAAGCAAGGGACGTAGGAGAAGTCGTCCGCAAAGGGATCATGCGGTTGGGGATTATAATCGATGGATGACATGTGGGAGATGATCGAGTCCGCCATGCTCGGAGACCGGCCGCGTAGCATGGCCTCCTCGGGACACATGCTGGTAAACGTCTTGTCCAGGGCGATCGAGGATCCAGGCAGGGAACGCACGGGCCCAGGGGTTTCTATCTCGCTCTCGCCGTCGTTATTGAACCCGATTGATGAGACGTCGTATTCCGAGGGGAGGGGGGTACTCGCACGCGAACCCGTCAGCGTAGATTGGGCGCGCGAAAGGCTTGGCGACGGCGCGCCCGATCCGAACCTCGAAGACGACGAGGTCACTCTGGGCAATCGCATGAACCCGTCGGTTACGCCTAAAGAATGCGGCTGATACTCGGGCTCGTCGTCGTTGGCCGCGCCGAACTCGATGCTCCAGTAGTCCTCCGGGCCTCTGTGGGCCTGCTGCATCTTCGCTCGCTTCATATCGTTCAGGACCTGTCGTCGCCCGAGGAGCTGGAGATAGCGCTCTTCTTCCTCGGTGTTCAGCTCCCCGCGCATCTCCTTCTCGACCCTTCTCCTCTCGATATTGCAGATATTCGGGAGGCCCTTCTTCCGCCAGACGATCTCTCCGAGCTCGACATGCTCCAGAACCATGTAGATCTTCTTGAACTCCGGGTCGTCGATGATCTCGAGGAGGGCGACGACGTTGGGGTGTCGGATCTTCTTGAGGATGGCAATTTCTCTCTTCGTCTTGTCTTGGGGAGACGCGGTAACCTTGCCCAAGCGACGTTTCTTGGAGAATCGGGGGATGATCTTGATTGCAACATTTTCACCGGTCTCTAGGTTTCGGGCCAGCTTCACCTTGCCGTGCACGCCGCGGCCGAGTTCTTCGATCACCGCATACTGGTTGATGATCTTACGTCCCGTCTCCGAATCTAGGTCGACTAGAGCTTTGTGGGTCCTACAATTGCGCGTGGCCGTTAGCAAGAAGCGAGTTTCTAGTATACCTTGGGGGGGTTAAGAACCGAAGACTAAATTCGGCCGCAGCTCAAGGTCTGACTTGTGACGGCCACATTCTACGAGAACATGCCCAGCTACTTGGCCACAGAAAGAGGAACGCGATGCGAGACTCACTCTCGGACTCTATGGTTCTGCAAAGGATGCAGGTAGGGACTGGCGAGGGCCGCGGGCGTGGACGCATCGGAGGCGGAATGAGTAAGGGAATGGGAGCGAGGGTTAGCCGGACTGAAGAGACCGGGAGAAGATATCGGTGTGCTACTCGCGGTTCGCGAGGGAAAGGAAGCGAAGCTAGGACTGTTATCGGTATGGAGAGGCGAGGGCTGGCGATGCTGATGAGGATCCATAACGGCAGGAAAATCTCGGTGGTGCAAGAGGGGTTGTGGTCGTCACCATCAGTCTGGGGTGGTATCGAAGCATGTCGTCGCGGTCTCCTTCACAGGGACAGAAGGAGAGCAAGAACGGAGGCAGGACGCAAGGTTAGGAGGCCATTGTTATGGTAACAGATCTGCAGACGGGACGGTGATGATCGTTGCTGGAGAAGAGAAAACAAGCAAGCCGTCCAAGGGGGGGATTCGAGTCAGAAGAGGAGGGGGGCAGCGAAGAAGATATGTTTGAGCGTCTCACGGCCTGGCGGTTAACCGAAGGCGAGATTCAGCGATGCTCGAGTCAGAGCAGGCTTCGGGATTGAGGGATGGATTGACGTGTTGGCGTCGTCGTCAACCAAGGAAGAGAAGAAGATAGCGAAAATAAATTAATAAGTAACCAAGAAAAGAGGACTGGGAGAGAAGGGGAATGATTCGTTCTGGCAGAATGGAACGATGATGAATGAACCGGATGGCAGCGGTGGGACGGGCTGGATGGGAGGGTGGTGGGCAAGGGCAATAAAAATAAAATAAAGCGAGATAAAGTGAAATAAAATAAAACCTGAAAAGAAAAAAAAAACCCCCCCGGTAGGGAAAGTGGTGACGGCCGCAGTTGACTTCGGGTCAGATTGGCTTCTCCTTCCCTGCCGCCGTCCGTCTCGATCGTTCTCTCTCTCTCGCTCTTTCTCTCTTCCTCTGTTCTTTCTCTCCGCCTCTCCCTCTCTAGCGTCTTCTGTCTAGCGGGGCAGGGGTTGTGGGAAGGCGACCGCCACTGAAGATAGCAGGGCAGGTACCGGGCCAATTATTACGTAGGTACCTCGGTTCTGAGTACCAGATACATGCCGCTAGGGTCAGAGACAGCGTAGTCGAGCTGGGCAGAGAGAACCCTAAAGAACACCCAACACAAGTACACGCCTATCGCTCTGCAAAGCCCTGGAAAGAGCCAATGGGTTGTCATCGGCCAAGGCAAGGACCCCACTTATACGTAGGAGGGTACCCAGTTCTGCAGCTACCGCAAGTAACGAACCTGGCCGGGAGGTGGGAACCTTCCACGGAGGAGCTCCCTACGGGACCTGGTGTGGACGGAAAGACGTACGTGTAGCAGGCCAGGTACCAAGAGTGGTGGTGGGCGCTGTACATGGATACATGCGCCAACAGGTCCTCGTCCCGCTTGTGTGTCTGTGCGCCTTTGTGCAGGCCGTTTAACATGCGATGCCGAGGGTACAGAATGTACACGGCACGAACGTATCTTTCACGGCTGAGACACGCTACACGCCCGCCAGGTGCGAGCGCGCAGGTACAGGCTCGGGAGGTCGATGGAGGGGGAAGAGGAGGTATCTCTCCCTAGAAAAGACCCTTGTTCTGCCAAGGCGCGCTAGACGAGGACGGCCCAGAGTCGACAATTCGCGTATGTACGTATGTATATCGTACCCTTTCCTTTCAGTGTCTCGCCTCGTTGGGCACAGGCCAGCCGAAGACAGGAGGAGAGAGGGGCAAGAAAGCACACGCTGGTAGGAACAGGCCCAGGTCCGCTGCGCTCTTCTTATATGTGTATGTACAACTGCGGCGCCTGATGCAATGCAAACATACCGGAGCTGGCCTCTGGAGTCGTTTATGAGTAGAGGTTCCGTGATAAACCTACCCGGACACCTTAAGGTGGGTGCAAGTATGTCGAGCAGCAAGGAGAGGCGGCACGTATATACGCACCTCGTACACTTGGGCGCCGAACCTAATGCACACGGTCCCTAACACACCTCGTACATGCGTACGAGTGCTCATACATGCTGCCTTCTACACCACACTACTACCCAGTGTGGTCCTAGCTCTCTCTCTCCCGTTCTCTGCCACGATCCTGGCTGGGTGGGTTGGATAAGACCGGATCTGTATAGCCGCTCTCCGCCCCTCTCCTTCGGTCCCCTGGCAGATTTATGTGGTGCCTATATGCAAGTACATAACCTACATAGGCAGGCATATGTACTCGGAGCGACACCAGGGAATTCGTCCCCGGAACCTTGCCAGCTCGTAGATACATACCTCCTCCTCATTACTTGTGTGCATACTTACAGACCTACCTCATACATCCGCCTACCCAGTAGGAGGCAAAAATACTAGAATGCAGCGCACACGAACACACTCGCCACCAGGTATCTATCTATCTACCTACCTACCTGTGGTGGGTGCACATGTTGACCTCGTACACTTTCCCATGTGCGACATTAGGGGCAAACCAAAAAAAAAAAAAAAAAAACACCCCCTTCTCACCAAAAAAGAGAGACACCCATTTTCAACATATACCTACCAGCCCATCCGACTCCAGCGCCTACACACCTACTCCATACTCTCGCCTACTTCTCACATAACATCCCTAGGCTCAGTAGGTATGCGTCTACCCTACTGCCTCTAAACCTTTGTGTATCAATCCGGAAAAGGGGGCGTGGCTTCGAAAGGATGGATTACTCTAACTTCATTGTCGCGGTGCCGAGCGTGTTTTTGTCCTCCTCCTTTCTTTCTTCCGCCCACCAACCCGTTCTGCGTACATCAGTATACGTTTCCCCCTATTCCTCTCCTGATCATGATACGACCGTCGCTGAACCTGCTCTCATCGCCCATTACCAGCAGCGGTAGACGTAACATGCATGCTGTTCCCGTTGCTCGAGATCGCGGGATCGCAGAGCAATACTATAGTAGTAGCCGTAGCAGTAGTAGTAGTGCGTCTGCCATTGGTAAGCTAGGCCACCTGCTGCTCTGCTTGAGCCGCCGTCTTCCGCCTGCCTACGTATCCGCCCGCCGTCGCCGCCGTCCCGCACCAGAGAAGAAGAAGTCTCTTCTTCGCGACGTGACGCCCTGACGTCCCCCTTTCGCTTCTCCCGCTTCTACCGCCACCGTGGTGCGTTGCTGCTGCCATCGTCGGTTGCAGTCTGAGATGGGATACCTACCGTACGATCCCGAGCCGTGGTGGGTTGAGGCTATGCGGGTGTACATATGTATGCGTGCGCGCGCATGTACGCATGCAGACATCATGCGCTGCGATAGCAGGCCAGTAGATTGATTAATTGGATAGGGGGTGACGCGCGTGTGCGTACGGATCAACGTGTGTATCTACTCTACCTACGTATTGTAATGTAGCAACAGGCCTTCTCTCCTCTCTCTCTCTCTCTTCCTCTGGAGGTTAGGTCGTTGACAAAATACGTGTAGACGAGAGCGCACGAACACACAGACGAGACCAGGGGAGCCCGACTTGCGGGCATGGATCGAGGGTAGAGGAACCAAGGGTGTGGCAGCTTATCGCTCGCGCCGCCGGGGTCGTGATTGGCCCATCTCGTAGGAGGAGGGGATGCCCCCGGTCGAGAGAGCTCTCTTGTCTCCGGCCCAGCCAGTGGGTCGATTCGATGGATGGGACAACGTCCGTCACGGACGGGAGACCACAACACATAGCACAGCATCCCAAGTCGATTCTAACACTGCCGGAGGGGCGTAGGCGCTACTTGCTTACCTTACGCGTGTGTACCCTACCCAGCCTAGCCTGCGTTGTAGGATCTCTGAGAGACCGGTAAGAGAGATTTAGAGAGAGAGAGAGTTGAAGGAAGCTCGAGGTTCGATCCAGGGATCGATCGCGTTGCTTGCGCCTGTTCATGTAAGTACAGGCTAGCCGGGGGCAACCTCGAAGAAGGTATTAATAGAACCAACCGCCCGATACGTATGTGCAGATGTCTGTGTGTGCGTGAGGTAATATGTAGGTAGGTAGGCCTAGGTAGGAGGTAGGCATGTAAGTAAGGATTGATGGAGGGGTGGAGGGATGTTCATCCATACATTTGATGTCCGTGAAGTAGCTCATGTACGTATCTACATACCTCACAGCCAACAACGACAGGACGTTGCTTCGACTTACACGGATTGGCAGGTCGTCTCTGCACGAGGCAACGAGAAAGTGCTGTTGTGCATGTAGGTATATGTGTAGGCATCTGTATCTATCTAGGTGCACATGCGTGTCGCGCGCGCGCGCGTGTGTGTGCCCACTCTGAGTGGAAGGTATTCACCCATTTGTAGGGTGTAGGTGTGTAAAGTCGGCGTCGGCGTGAAGACCCCGGAAAAGGGGGCTCCTAACGGCCTACGCGGTGCAAGTACATAGGGATGTGTGGATTGTCCGTCTACCTGCGCACATATTCCAAATCCCATCAGCATATCTGTCCATGCTAACTGCAAGTCAACTGTCCACGACGGACGACGTCTTGCTTGCCTGCCCGGCATGCCTAGTAACTAACTCGCTGATTGCGATCTTCGCACTGCTTCCTCGCCTGCGCTTGCGGTGCTGTCCGCCTGTCATCTCGCTCGGCTTCGTTGTGGCAGCATCCTACTCTTCCCTCTCTCTTCTCTGTCTCTCTCCCGCCCCGGCTCGGAAACGTGCGTTTCAGTGTGACCGACCTTGCCATCCGGGAAAAAAGAGCGGTCGTGTCGCACTGTTATGAGAGGACGGCAAGTCATCTATAGGCATATGCCTACAGTGTATGCGTAGGCAGACGAGTTACACGCGTGTAGCCGTCGAGGACCGCCACGGCGATGCCAACAACGAAGAGGCAAGACAAATCTCGAATCCATGCGTGTGCCTGTCACCCTCCCCGCGCACGTATTCGGCCCAGTGGTTCGACATCATCCCAGGCAGGACGACGGGTAGTGTACGATCACCGACTACCTATGGTGCGGATGTGAGGAATGGCTTGGTCTTGGCTGATATATCAGGATGGCGAGTCGGCCACACGTTTCCTATATATGGACGCGTGTGTGTGCACATAGGGCATGGACGTGTGTCGACATGCATTCTGTGATTGGATCCCCAGAGATGTGTCTCCTTCGCGCAGCATGGGAAATTTGGGTGAGGGCGGATAAGTCGCGGTATCGGCCTGCCTAGGTATGTCGTCCTCGTCCTCGTCCTCGCCCTCGTCGTTGTCTCTAATTTTACCCTTTTTCGAGCCGGCTCGACGAGAGCGACATCCCGCGCATGGCATCCATCATCCATGTATACACAGGCATCTATTTACAGGTATAGACATGCACATATACAGACACGCCTACGACAAGCCAGCCTACCCGCCTGCCGATACCGTAAACCCATCTCTGCCTGTTGCCTATCTGAGGTGGTGGTGCTTTGGCGTTTTGCGGCTTGCCGATCCGACCTCGTCCCGGGCTCGCTTCGCGTAGCAAAAAAGCAGGACTGGATCGACGATGCCCACATTTCGGATGGGATGGGTTCAACACGCACACATGTGTATGTAGGTATATTCGTACATCCATCCATGCATACGTGCACCCATCCACGGCGTGCGTATAACCTACCTGTGTAGGCACGTAGGCATTCGCCTACATACATACTACATCGTCAATCTGATCGACGGACCGTTACGGCAACACTCGCTGCCAATCCCTTCCCAGTCAACGATTGATAATCCCTAGCGTGTGCGGGATGTCATCTCGAAAGGACGGGATTGGACGAGACGCATCCGCTCCCCTCCGTTTTGTTCTCTCCGCCAAGCCCGCGGATGGGTAGGGCAACCGACGACGATGCCGTCGTCGCCTTGTCGTCGACGCACGTACGTGGAGCTTGACGCATCATCATGATAGTGGTGGTTATTGTCGTTATTGTTGGATATTATTCTTATTACTCCATGCGCGACGTAGCATAACACGTAGATATCTGATGCAAATACAGGCATGAGAGGTAGATACCTGCCTACCTAGGTAAGTAGGTAGGTAATACAGGGAGGTATATAGGTAGGTGAAAAAAAAGGTCGGGGAATATACCCAACAACCATCCGGGGAAGGACGGGGAGGGATGGGGACGGCTCGTCAATCCCATCCCCCTCCTCATCTCCCCCCACCTTCCCTCCTCCTCAACCTTCTCAAGAATATGCTGTTAATATGCGGAGTCCGCAACCTCCATCTCTTGGTTTCTGATTCATCACGGCGGCCATATAAACGAGTTGGAGAGGTGCATGGTTTCGACTAACGCGTAGCGGTTCGATCCCTCTCCGAGACCTTTGCCCCCTCAGGGCCGGGACATGTACAGATCCTACTGCGGAGTTGGGTACTAATAAATGGATCAAGAGTGGCTGGGCTTCTTGGTCGCATGCAGAGCTATTGGTTGGTCTTCGTTTCGGTACGCGTGCATACCTTCCGAATGGCCTCAACCGCCTCCTCGACGGCTCTCCGCGAATGGTCTCAGCCGCGATCCCCCCCGGCTCAATAAGAACCGGTAGGGGTGGAGGAATGGTAGTAGCGGCTCTCGCAGCCCAGCAGAGACGTCTCGAAGCGTGCAACGGCCCCGTCGTGGTGAACTGTGTATTGGGGGCATCGCCGTGCCATTTGCTGTCTCTTCCTCCCCCAGCTCCTTCGCTCTACATACGGCTGACTACACACAGATCCCTGACATGGATGTAAACATCGTCATCATAGAGTAGTATTCTCTCCAAGACCGCCTACGCCGACTGCAGTCTAGACCACGAGCCTGTCATGCTGAAAGGAGTTCCTTGGAGGTAGGAAGGAAACGCTTGCGGTGGTATATTATCATTCTGTAGCAAGACTCGAGGCTCGGGCGCCCACGCGTGCTCCTGTCGGCGAGGTCGACTCACGAAAAAGCAATTCATCATCAAGACCCCCCTTTCTCCACACGCACGTTCTCTTCCCCGGGTTGTCCTTTGTCACATATCAAGATGCGGAGGCATAGCCGAGGACCTTCTTTTACCCTACCACCAGTGTACGCGCCCCTACACACACTTCTGCCAGTCCTCCCCCTCCCTTCCTTGGGCTGGAACTCTCATCACCACAAAGCCGACGTCGATGTTCGATGTTCGGCGCTCCAATCTTCATCTGCGGGCATGAATTGGTACATCGCTTCGCGGCTTCGCGGCCTTCGTAAACAATGCGACATGCTGTTGCACCGCAGAACGCCGTCTTTCTCTCTCCCGGTCTTGAAATTTCAAAAGGCATGCCACGAATCGACTTTTTGCACTTGGATCTCACATGCTGGCTACCTAATTCTCTCCTACGGGTCCACGTCGGGCTGGTAGTTGCCACTCGTCGGCAGGTGGCAGTGCGAGGTAGACAATGCGACGATGAGGAGATTCGGTACGTGAGCGCAAAGCAGGGAGGGGAGACCGGGTTGGTAGGCAATACATGCCCATGAAAAATACCTGCGATGGCTACCCAAGCCCATCCTTTTCCCCTCCTCCCCAAACAAATCCGCCCATGGATGGGCTTTGGGGATCATCGCTGCTACTTACCGTTCCAGGGCCTTGTTGCACCATCGCCGGCTTTGGGCTCCTAAAGCGGGTCGGGGTGCCGGGATTCAGCGATCGGTGATGCTGCGATAAAGATCTGTCTGTCTATGGCTGTCGCTCTTCTGAGCGCTTGATTTCCCGCCATATGCGACAGACACGTTAATCCCCATGGTTGCATGTCTGTGTTTATTTTTATCGTTTCGAGGCGGGCCACCGCGTATCTACGCCTACTTTCTCCGGAGAGAGAGAGAGAGAGAGAGAGAGAGAGCCTAAGTTGGGACTTGGATATTGTCGGCATTTTGCCCAGAAGTTGAGATAGGTAGAGAAAGGGAGTGGTGGATAGCGGAACGGCACCGCCGGATGTGTGAAATCGTCTAGATTACTTATCTGATTTGTTTATCTGTGCGCTAAAACAAGAGAAGAAGAAAGGAGAAGAGAAAAAGACGAAGACAAAGACGACGAAGCGCCGGCGCATAGATTGTTACGTAGTAGGCGTTGTGGTCCTGTCTCGTCGACTCGGCCGATTGGAGTGGAAAGCCGGAATTCAGGCTGCTGGCGTGGCTTGGAGGAGTACCTTGCAGAAACCTGGGGTAACGAGGAGGATCCTCTCTCTCGCGATCCCTCTCTCTGCTTCCCCCTCTCCTCTCCCATATCCTACCTATAATACGAGAGAACCTATCCGCCTATTGCGGCAGCTTCTAGCCCGCTTCCGGTGCTTCACAAGCCGTCGCCGCCTCGCCCCATCCCTTTGTATGGAGTCGGGATGAAAGGCCTGTAGCTGAGGAGGCCCTCTCTAGAAATGGGCATACGCGGCATCACACAGCGCCTTCATCCTCTCCAGTCCCGCCTCTGGGCCCACCAAACGGCGGCTCCCCGCGAGCGACAGAGAGAGAGAGAGCAAGGCCTGTTTCCGGATCGGTGAGCTTGCTGCCAGGATGCAACACAATATTGACGTTGCCTCCCCATCGCCGTCGTCTGTCAGAGCTCTCGATCCATGCTCGGTGGGTGTAGGATCCAGCGCCGTCGGTCCCGCATGACGATATTACTTTGCTTGCACTGAGCCCCTTGCGTAGTTACATTTGGAGTGGGTGTTAACTATAGCACCTGGCTCTCAACCCTGTCCCACCTTACGCTGCGAGCCTGAATCCTCGCAAATTGGGCCTCCCCCGTTCCCCCTCACCTCCCGTCTGGAGGTTGTCGCCGATGGGAAATGACCTATCATTTCTCGTCTGTCGCTCTCGTGCGGGAGAGCACGCGCAGCTTCAGCTACGTGCACAGCTAGTTTACGACCATGAACCCGTCCTTCGCGCTTTTTCGGTTGCTAGGTTTAGGGACCACGTCAAGGGAGAGAGAGCTCTGTCTCTCGGCAGCTTGATCTTCATCAATAATTGCCACACTAAGAAATCCGAAATCGCGTATCCCATCTCGGGCCGAGTCGTTAAACGTGCGACGGCAACAGAGAGGTAGGGTAGGATGTCTGTACTCAGCGCGAGACCATATTCAGTCTGCCCTCTCTCTCTCCTCCCATCCCATCGTCGGCTAGCCTCAAATGTCCAGCATCCCCGCAGACCAGCGCTACCATGACCAGGCATTCCCGCCTTGTCTCGGCATCTCAACCATCATCAAACCGCCTACCACATCTCACAGGGAATGCCTATTTAGATCCATTAGTTGCACAGGCAGTTTCTTGCGACTATCGGCAAGGTCGGCTAGGAACCGGTTCTGGAAATCCCTTCTGCTGACCTAGCTTGCTCTATACCCCGAACGAGGGAGAAAGCGTACGAGGCGAGCTTCTCGACGTTCGTTGCTACCGTCAATCGGCGAATACACTAGTGTTACCTACGTAGTGGGCGAAAAAAAAAAAAAAGATCGACATCCTAACCTCGATCAAACCGTCGCCGGCTTGTAGATGGTGGGATTCCCCTCTACGTCTATGAGTAGAAGAGGCTTACGCCCCCCGCTTCCTCTCCTCTTCCCTGGCACTGTAGCTTTTGGAGACGAGGAACTTTCCCATAAACACGACTCAGGATGCTTACAATCGTGTCGGATGATCGCTATAAGTGATACCATGGTGCATCCGCGGCCCAATTGTCGCCTTGACCTAGCTCCCCCTCATCAGGATGCTATCGCACAAACGAATGCGCGTGCATACGCGATCTGTTGGGCCTCGCCTGGGCACCATGACCCGGAACCTTCGGGTGGCCGAGCAACCACAAGGTAGGATACGACCAACCATTCAGTTGTCGGCGAACCCATTATGATTACCAATACTAAGGTGTTGATCATTAAATCATTTGACTCGCCATG